GAAAGAAGCAGAATAAGTTTTATGTGGTTAGATTAAAACCGATTTTATGGTTTGAAATTCATAGATAAAATTTTTTGTGAGATTGCTTGAGTTTACAAAATCTGAGGGGTTTCTACAAATTCTTTCTGAATCCTCCTAAATCCACACGTTTTTATATTAAAACAAAAAATTATATTTTACGCATTTAAGTTATGAGATTACAATGGTGTATAAAAGTTTCCTTATATTTGTTCATTTTTTGACCTAATAATTGAGGAGAAAATTATTCAAAAATCATAATTAAATTCTTCCATGCTATATTGAGTAAATGACTCTTCAATTTCATACCATTTCTAGACATGTGTGAAGGACTTTCAGTATTCTGTGGCTTGGCAATTGCTGGTTTTCCTCCAGTCAGAGTGTCCTAGGTTCAAACGCCAAAGACTAATTTTTTGAAATAATTATTTTCAATTAAATTATGTTATATATACATTAATATTCATCTTGTAGCTATATTCTTGTTGTAGTTAAATAAATCATTATTCTTAGATTTTATAAAAGTATTATGTAGATTGCAACTATAAATTTTGAAATAGAATATCATAAGGAATCATTTATAAGATAAAAATATTTATTTTCACTTTGAAAAAGATAGCTTTATTAAATAATAACAATATCTTCTATAAGATAAGTTGATAAAGATTCTGAATAAATGTATATAAAATTTATATTTAAAAGGAAATTCAAATACACATAAAAGGATCTTCAAAAATAAAATTATTTTTATTAAAATAATGATATGTTTGAAATTAATCAATCATACAATAACATAAGATAAAATCTACAATATATAGTTTAAAATTATATTACAAATATCAGAATCAATATTGTTCAAACCTCCTTACTATGATCCTATTGACTTGTCCATCCCATATTATTAGAAATTCTCCATTTGATGACAGAGTTCCTTAAATTCCGCAACAATTTACAGAATTTTCGAATGATTATTCAATTACGTATTCATCATTCTTATCTTTTCGAATTATATTGATAAATAGACCATTTTTTGTCATCAAAATAGATTTTTACTTTATGAAAACTAGAGGAAATAAAGCAGTACAATTTTGTCCACTTTTAATAGCTATCTATTCCTTAAAGATATATTAATTTTTCTAATTCCTTTATTATTTGAAGAGATAAAGCTAATCAATCCCATGTGGTTAGAATGCAAACATACTTTCATTTATGAAAAGTACACTTGAACCCCAGTAATTTACTTTAATCTCATGTACTATGGCCCAAGTTTTATGATCGTTTTAAAGTTATATAACTAATACTTTGAAATCTTCCTCTGCACAAGATATTAATTAATCTTCAACAGCATTTAAACTAATACTCCTTACACTATTTTCGTGTGCCCTCAATATCTAATGACACTTCCAATCAATTTCTTTGATCCAAAATATTATAGTCTTATCTTAACTACCTGAAATTATAAGGTTTTCTTAAGTATTCATGATGAGACATTAAACATACCCTTAATGACCTACTAATTTCTGACAACTATACCACCTTTTATTATAATCTTCCTCCCAAATTATTATGGATCTATCATTGCTCCCAGATAAAAATGATGAAGATTGTTTCATAAAGTAAAGACATTTTACATTAAAATTATGTTCACTTAAAACCTATATCAATTTTAATGATCCATTAGAAAATGAGAAAACTTTGATTTGTCCTCTATATTATCCCAAAACCAAAATTGAACATTAAGAATTAATGGCAAAGGTAAAAGTTTGTGAGTTTTCATTAATCTCACAGACCACTTCATATTGAAATGGCCTTTAAATGTTTTTGGCCCAATTTTACCTAAAAAGGGATTTCATCCTAGAAATCTTGTTTAATTAAGGAGAATCTCGATCAATTGTATCTATTTCTAAAGAATCACGATTAGACTCAATATTAAATTCTCTCTTAATTGTTGGAGAGTTTTCAGTAAGGAATTGTTCATTACGGGTTGTTGTAGGACCAAGAAATGAATAATTTTTTGGTTTTCTTATTTAATAGTGTTTTTTAGTTTATAGATAAAGATTGTTTTCTTAAGGTATTGTTTCCTATATCTCAGATAATAATGTATTGATAAGACTTTAGATCTTTTAGAAATTACTTGCAATAGTATTTTTTATAAATTACTCATTATTTTTGAATTCATTTCTGACATTTGCTTTAATAATTTAGTCTCTATTTTTTTAACTTATAGAATCTGCAATAATAATGATTTCATCCCTTGAAATGGTTAGCCAATCTTTCTATAACAATGTAAAAGGTTTGTAAAATGAATCATAAACGTTGAATTAAAGTGATTTTTAAATTAATTAACATAATCCATCAATATCCTGATTGACTTCAGTCTTGAATTCTTATATTGTTTTTAAAATTTAATTATTAATCTTTTTTTGGAAATTTAGATAGGCCTAAGCTGACTTTTGAGTATCTTAATCATACTTTTACCATTACATTTACAAATCTTCGATATTTGTAAACTAAATATTATATTTTGGCACACATTTTCTACATGCCAATCGATTAGGAATAGTTTATTGATGTCCCAAATCTATAAACATAATCTCCTCCTTATGTAGGTCACACTTCCAAATATTCTTTTGTTATTATTCATTTTCGTTGTTCACTAATTCCAAATTACATAGTTATTCTAATTCTAAATTTTAATCTCCAAAATCAATTTTTTATATTCTTTCTTCAAATTATTACTTTATTGAAAATACTTCAAAACCATTTATTTGTTTTATCAAAAATTCCTTTACACCCTTGCAATCTATAACTTCTTTTTTTATCTAAGACTTTAGTTTGTCTGGACTATTCAAATCATGTATTGTTATTTGGCTTATTTTATTTTTGTATTATAAGTTAGCCTTTTGTAACAGACTTATTTAATTATATATGTTCTATTGACATTTTTCTATTTAGTAACAAAATTTTCCTTATTATTATTGTAAAAAATTATGTAATTCTTTTAACAAATCAATATTTTATTATGTTCGCGATTCTCTGTTTTAAATTAAATACTCCATTAAATTAGATAGTTGGCTTTTGATATTATCTATCATTTTTAGATTTCTATTTTTTTCCTATTCAGCAACACATTGATAGCATAGGGCCCTTTTTGCTGAGTCTGATTATTCTTTATCAATGTAAACTATTTTTTCTCTATGTGTCTAACAGATTTCGAAATCCTGTAAGCCTATATTCTGGATCATTTAATACTTTTGATAAATTATTTGAGAATAAAATATTTTACATAATTTATATGATATTTAGCTCTTTCTATTAATATTATAAGAAATAATTATATGTTTTAATTAAAATATCATTTTCTAAAGGATTAAAACATAATTAATATTCTATTTGCTTAGATAATTGTCTGACTTATTATTTTTTCTGGAAGCTTGATAAATTTAATAAATTTAATCAAAACTCATTACCATTTATTTTATAAATACTGAATTAGCTTTTCTTACATAGTAACACCTAATAGGGATTGGGCATTTTGTGATTTATATATTTAAAGATAGGGAACTTTTGTATCGACAGTTTAAAAGGAGAGTTGAATCTGTATTCGACTGTAAATGAATAGAATTAAGTAAAAGTTATTAGAAGTTTTATTGAATTTGAACAAATTATACGGAGAGTTCATTAATTGAAGAGTATATTAGAATTGGGGAGAGTTTTTGTGGCCGAAAATGTAATTTATCTATGTTGATGGAAATGATCTTTAGAATTATAACAAGATTTTTTAATTGTAAAATGTTGGCAGATTGTGAAGAATAAAATTTGACAAAGATCATTTTTGGGTTGTTTGAATGGTGGTTAAAATGTTTTTCATAGAAGGGTTAGTTGATATGGTTAAAATTGGATTTTTGGAGGTAAAGGATGAATGTACTTGAATGATCATTTTTTAAGCATTTTCTAGCAAAGTAACTTCAAATTATTGATTAATAAAAGATGCAATTTTATTAAGAAAAGATTCTAAATTGAATCAAAGACTTTTCAATACCATATTTAAGATTAACTGGAAGATTAGTATTAATTTACAAGAAAATTATTGCGAAAATTTAAAAAGAATCTTCCAATTGATAATACTGTTGGGTAATAAAAATCATTGAACAAATTTTCTAATTTGTACCTATTTTGTAATCTTATCCCATGTGGCTATATATTCACCATCATATGATATATTTCCAAATAAATTTCTAGTACCAAAATCAATAACTTCTTCTAATAAAAATTCTCCATCAGAAGATATTTTAATCAAATTTACTTTAGATCCATTTTTAGTTAATATAATATTTTTAGATCCTATGTATTTAGAAGGGAATAAATTGCCACAATGATCCCCATTTTCGATCAAAACATTTTTTATATGATGATATTAACCATCTGATTAACTGAGTTTATAGACACTTAAATTTATTGAATTTTCAGAATGGAAAACAAATGTAAAATTATTAATAAAACATAATCTAAACCCTAATTTATCTAATTTGATTGTTTAAAGTATTATCCAATTTGAATTATTGAATTCAAATATTTTTATTGTATGATCACATGAGCATGAGATCAATTGATCTTCAGAATCATTTAAACTTAAACTATTAACTGTATTTAAATGAGCATTTATAGTTTAGCAACGTTTCCATAATTCATCTTTATTCCAAAACTAGATAGTCTTATCTCCACTACTAGAGATAATGAGAGTATTATTCTTATTAATAATAAGATGGCTCACCCAATCTGAATGAGCATCTATTCTTTACTAACAAATCCAGAGTTTGTTTTCAAAAGACCATATTAAAATCATCCTATCTTGACCTCCAGAAATAAAACAGTCCTTCTGATAAAAAAATTCAATTGAATAAACAGATCCTTTATGCTCTTTTAATATTTACTATTTTCTAATTTATTCTGTTCCTAATTCAAATATAGCAATCTAACCTGTTGAATAACCTGCAGCAAGCATTGAGGAAGTGCAATTAAATGAAAAAGAGTAAATAGGACTTTCTTTTATATTTTAAATTAATTAGTATTTGACATCCTATTTCCCTAGATTTGATTAGAATGAATTAATTTATATCTCATTAAGATTGTCGCTGTAGTTCTTTAATACAGATAACAACTCTTATTAAACTTTCAATATGATTGAGACAAATTTATCCTAATTTTGTTATAAAAACAAGTTCAAAAGTTCATTCATTTAGTCCAAATTATCCATTTTATTCGATTATAAAAATAGTAATTTGCTTCTTATTTAATTGAAAACATTGATTATCTATTCAAGATAATGTTAAAATTAACTAGCAAAATCTTAATCTTCTTTTTGTCTTTGTAATTTATATTCTAGAAAATCCTATATTGTTTTTACATCTCTAATATGGCTAAGATGATGCTCCTTGTTTAAACATTCATAACAACTAAATCGAAATGATTAGCATTTTTCATTCAAACAAACTATTTGAATTAAATTGTGATGTGAAGGGCAAATTAATTTTTGATTCATTGTTTTATTTTAATATTTAATACATAATTTTTGGCTTAGAAATATATCTCTTCTAAGCAACTATAAGTTATGAAAAACGAAATTTATCACTTTTTTTGGAAACTAATGTTAAGCATTTACAAATTGTATCAAATATTTAAGCAAACCTTTACAAAAAAGGTAATACTTCATTAAAACTTTTCATAAAGAAAGACAAGTAGAAATCCTTTTATTACAATAGATATATTATCATTCTAATTTTATAGATAAATTTTTCATTATTTTTTTGGAAAATCAACATTATTTTTCAAAGTAAATGCTTTTTGTTGAATAAAAAAACAAAAATTTTAAGAAATCCACAACTACATCTTTGTTTGTTTTACATTCATTATGACTTTATAAATCCTATCTTGAAATTATAGTTTGAATTTAATTAATATCATCAAATTCCTATTGATATCCTCTTTGTTGTATTTTTATCCTTTTGAAAAAATATCTTTTCAATGCTCTCAATTCTTATAGTAGAACACTATATGAACTCTAGATGTTAGAGGAAGAATGAATTGTAATTTTTACAATTCTAACATAATAATTGAAAAGGAAAATACTTTTTTTACAGTTATTATTAATTTACTGATTATTTTAAAAAAGAACATCGCTTTGTTCTAATATCTTGGTATTATAAAACCCAAGTAATTTTTGAATCTTGATCCAAATTGATTTCTTTGTTTTGAGATTCTTGAATTAAATACCTAGAATGCTCCCACTTAAAATAAGATATTGACAAGTGTTATTGAATTACATTTATTTTTATAATTATTATTAATATTTATTAAAATAATTCACTTTCTATTTAATTCTAGAATCTGGAAATTTTATATCATGGAGTTTAAAATTCTTTTGTTTATAAAAACATCATTTCTATTATGAATTCATAATCATTTGACAAACCTAAAAAGCCTGGATTATTAGATAATATCAAGAACGGAAGCTTAATAACAGTTATTGTTGCAGGAACAAGCACTGCTTTAACTAAGGCTGGATTGGCACTTTATGGATTCTCTTCCATAGGACCAGTTGCAGGAAGCTTTGCTGCAGCTGCTTAAGCCGGCATTGGAAGTGTTGCATCAGGAAGTGCCTTTTCTATAGCTTAAGGATTAGCAATGTCAGGAATCGGATCCATTGCATTACCAGCAATTGGAGTCGGCGCATTAGTAGGCGGTTGCTATGTTGGATATAAAGAATTCAAAAAATGATTCTATAGAATCAATATCATATTGATAACTAAATTAACAATTATTTTAGTTGCTTCTATTTGGTAAATATTGAATTAATTTGATAATCAAATAAAAATGCTTTAACCAGTGAAGGATTTCATCCTTAAGTAAATCAATTATTTAAGAAACTATTATATTAAATTTATAATTCTAAGTTTAGTCTGTGAAAGAAAATGGTATGAATTAATGTTAAAAAGGATGTATCTTTTCAAATCATTACTTTGTTGTATTACTCTATATTTTGAATACTAAGAAATTTGAAGATCATAATTATTTTCTTTATAATTCCTGTTAGTTATTTAATATTGTAATTTAGTCAACTATAAGCTTTCTCTCTAGATACAAAGCTTTAATTTCTTATATGTATATTTTCTTTAGGTAATTCTAACAATATCATTTCATGTAAAGTTGACATTCTTTATTGTTTTTGTGCTATATGTGTCCTGACATTTGAGAATGAAGTATAATTTTGAATAAGCCAAAAAAGAATTCTATGAGAATATTTCAAAATTGCAATTATATGGATAATATATACTTTTACAAAATAAATCCATCATAAGATCTTTAGATTATGATTATATTATCGGTTAAACAACAGAAATATTAAAATAAATTTATATTATTGCCTCAAATTTATAGATATAATATAATAATTGTAGCGTAGATGCTTGAATTCTCTATAATTATGATGAATATAATTAACTTTAACTAAATTATTGTATTTGCCATTAATTTTCATATGAATCGGCATTCCACAATATAATTTAATATAAAAACTGTTTCTGTGAATATAGCCTCAGACTCCAAGAGGTATTACTTACCCCATGTAGGTTTGGGCTATGAAAATAATAATGACAGTAAGGAAAAATCATAAATCTTTTAATTTTTAATTATTGGCATCAAGAAAACCATTTTTCCATTACCAAAGTAGGTTTTTATTCAAATCATATTTTAAAACAATCATTTATTTCATATCATGGTTATGTTAAATCAATATTAATTGTGTAAATACAAGTAAATATGGTTTAATTTTATAATTTAAAACAATCATTATATAATTCTCCTTATTGATAATCTTATTTATCTCAAATAATATGTTTGCATTCAATATGTTTAAATCAGGCATTGAAGTAGTGAAATACACTCAAAGAATGATGTAAAATTTTGAATTTATAAATGCTGATTTTGCATATATCATTCGGAAGTTAATTTAATTATCAATGATTGCACTATCATAAATCAATTATTTTAGAAATATGAAAAAGAACCCAAATTTATAATATTAAAATATTGATTTTACGAAACTTACATGAACATTTCGTTTGTTGCATAACAATCTTGTAAGAAAGGTGTTGAACATATCAAAATTGCCGCGCTTAAGATAGCATTTAGAATACTTAAGCAAAACAATCCTCATTAAATGGATTTGAATAGATCGCCAACATTAATATAACCAATTAGCATATACTCTGGAAAATAATCAAGTCAGGAGGCTCAAATATAATAAAGAGAGGATTTTGAATAAGAGTCTAAGAAATCAAAATAATTGACATTTCTTTAAACAAAAGTAAGATCATCAACGACTCCTTAATAAGTATAAATAAAGATTCGAATTAGGACATTTTAAGATAATAAGAAAATGATGAGATTTTAGACAATGACGTATCAGTGAATTAATCAGAATAGAAAGAAGTCACAAAATTAAAAAAGAAATCATTTATTTAAAATAGAGACCCATAATAAGAGCTATAAAGCCATAGATAATCAGAGCATCCATTTTTGAAATTTGGTGATGCATTTGTTATAAAAACAAACGTAACAATGTCTGGGAAGTAATCAGATGTACTGTTCCATGAATTGATATTAATAGGGAATTTAAAATATTCAGGTTCAATAAATTGTGTGAATATGTCAAATCAAGTCATCAATAATCCATATTCCCATTAGCAGAAATGCTTTTTTACAATTCGAAATCCAAGGACAATAAAAAATGATTAAAGTCACATATGTTATGGTTAGCGGATAGTGTTAGTGAATATAAAGTCTAAATTGAGTGTGATGATTAACTTGGATATGCCGTCTTAAGAGAGAGGGTCATTTTCTGTGAATCTATCATCTCAAATAGGACATTAGAATATATTAAGAATAATGCCTAGTTCGAGTGCAAAGAAAGTAGGAGATAAAATTTAGTACAATGATTAATTATTCTTTTAATAAGATTCAAATAGGTAATATTATTTAAAACTCGAGAAGGATGAATCCAGATATTCGAGCAATAAATTTATTGATATCAATGCAAGTGATTGTCCTGACAGTTTTCAACTTCATAAAGTAAAACATTATCAAAACAACATTGTGTAAATAATTCATTAACAATCCTAAATTGCTGTTGGAACAAGTGAAAAATAGTTACAATCATTTATTGCAAATAAAACAGCTCTTATTACGAGTGGAACTAATGATCAATAGTAATCACAATAGGAATCATTTGCATTAAGAACTCTAGATCTTAACAAATACTTAGTATAAGACTACGAAGCATTATCTAGTAATCTACTTAACTCATATACGTATTTTGAGATTCAGCCAATTTATCCATTCACTGAATAGTTGGAATAACCTAATGCTTGCAAACTAAAATCTCTTTTCACACAATAATATTTAACTGTAGACCCTAATGATGAGAAAAGATTAAAACTGACATCAGGATATGTTTAAGATGACTATAGTGTATTTTACATTAATCCTGAATAGACTGGTCAATAAGAATCTAATGAATAAATAGTTAGCATTTAAAGTGCCTTGGGAACTTATTTATGTTTAACTTAGAATGCCAAATTTTAATTTTAGCAAGTTTAAACTGATTAATCTCCTCAACTATTTTCAGTCAAATCTATTGATGTTTAATCGTCTAACATTTTGGAGGACTTTAATGAAATTTAAATGAGAATTCTGAATTTTCATGTGTATCTATAATAATGGTCAATAGTGTCAGATAAGAGGAAATAAAATGATGATATTGTATTATTTGATTACTTGAAATCTCTATCATAGAAGTCTTAATTAGAACAAGAAGTGTATCATTTACAATTATAATTGGATAATCTTAATAGTCTTTTGACAATTAAGCCGAATGAGCATGAGATAAATAATAACAACTAAATAAATTATGCCTAAAAATAAAAAGTGATGAGAGAATAGAAAATATTGGAACTCTTATTTTCATTATTGAAATTAATAGACAATATTGTCTTCACATCTTAAAAAGTGTTCCGAGAGAAGGATAGAAGTCGTCTCTATAAAACAGATCGCCCACTCCCATCTCAGTAATCAGCAGTATTATATTTATAATCACTTATAGTCTTATGTTGCATTCAAAGTCTTAGCATCCATGCCAATTTAAATATATAGAATAATCTTGTTATCAATTAAGAATAACTAAATTAATAGAAGAATTGCATTGGACAATGACGAATTCTTATGCTAATAAATAAGGAGTTATGGCCCATAAGTAGCTGCTATTTTGAGAGAGGCAGTTCGAGATTAGACTAATATTGACTTAGCAGATTGGGTTAAATTATTGGAGCCACTTAATGAAATTGGAAATAATATTTATGACATGACAATTTACTTGAAAATCATTTCGATTGCCATGGTTGATTCGAATAATCAAGGAATAATAAGATATCAAAAGAAAGTATGCAAGGAATTGTTTTCATAAGGAAAAAGTGGGAAAACCAAATTTCTATGTTTATTTAATATCACTCAATCAAAACCAACCTTTACACTATTCAGAGAAGAAGCTTTAGCAGATTTTCTGATAAAAAATCCATCTTTGTCATAATTACATTTAATTCGACCGTCTGAAAACAATGAAATTGAATTATTCTCTTTAGAAGAATTGGGGGAAAAAATACTATATAAGAAATCTCTACTATAATTCCTGAGTTACTTAACTGCATGTGTGAATCTTTTGGCTCATCTATGTAAAGGCAGGAATAAAAAATGCATGAAAAAAGTGAAACAACTTGGTATCTCATCCAATCACATCTAACAGGTCATAAAATCAACTTTAATTCCATTATCTATGAAAAATAGTTATCTAAAGTTGTATGAAGTTTTATACATAGATATAGATCCATTTTTACCAATAGATTCTCAAACATGTTTTATTTGGGGTTAACTATAAATGGAAAAAGACAAAAAGATAGCTCAAATTTTCAATCATTAAGTCGAACCTACAGAGGTTGAAAGAGTTATAAAGGAGTTTGAGGATAAAATGTTACCCTTACTTTTTGAATTATTAACTATAGGGCAGAGCTTTTAGGAAGGATTGATTCAAGTTAAAAAGAAGAAAATGTATGTTCGCTTGCCTTCAATGAGTTCTAATTAGGTTTCGACTGAGAAGGTTGAATAGAAAAGCAAGGTTTCATAAAAAATCAAATTCTTAACGACTCTCTATCATTTAATATATAAAATCATAAAGTTTGGATATTTAACAGAAGAACAAATATGTAACATAGTCAAACCAATGCTATAAATTTTTGTACCCTTTTTATCTTTGAAGGAAAAGTTAGCGTTGGAAGTCAAAGAGAGTTGGCTAAATGAATTAATCAGTAGTGCTCTTTCTTTACAATAATAAGGGTTAGTGGATCTAATTGATGAACTATTTTTTAACGCGGGACTCTTGTTTAAGTAGTATTTCATTATTTAATTGAATGTGTAAATATAAGAATTCATTAAACATTTTTAAAGATCTCATTAAACCTATTGTCTTTAATCATTAGATAAACTTATATTTGAAATTAAAGATATCATAAGTAGGATGTAATTGGGAGAAAACAAAAATTTAATTTTAGGTTCATTATTGGGGTTCTACTTCTCAAATTTTCTATTCCAAAGCAAGGGTTTCAAAATATGTTATGAAGCATTAAACTAAGGAGTAAATCAATAATGGATTTAAAAATTAAAATAAGTTGAAATAATCCTAGAAGGTGAAGAAACTGAATTGTATCAATAGTTAACAGGGAATTCAAGCGAATCCATATTTTCACCTACTAAATTAGAATTATTAATTTAATAATTAGAGGATTAGTAAAAAAAAAATTAGGAAGGAGTAGTTTAATAAAAAGAGGATAAAAATCAGGAAATCGAGAACCTCTTAAATAAGTTAATTAATAGAATTAAAGAATTTAAAATGGATTAATTCTAATTAAAAAAAACCTAAAATATACTCAGAAATTTAGGAGTACATAAATAAATTCTTAGATTGCTTAAAGTCTTTAAAGAGTTTAATCCTACATAGTAAATCTGCATAAACTTATTGTGCTTGTTTTTAATTAATAATAAATTAAATTGTGAAGAAATATAAGATGATATCTTCATTATCATAAAACTAGGAGCAAATAATATTAAGGTGTCAAAATTAGTTGGAGTGTTTTGTTAGAGTATGGTAGAAAAATAAAGTTTAATATAATAATTAGTCAAATGCATCTTCAGCACTATGTATGAGTACAAATCAAGTTGTCAATAGTTTTATTATGCTATGTTGTCCATTTTACAAAACAAATAAATTTCACCTGAGAGATTGACTATCATAAAAAGGGAAATATTAAGTAATTTATTTAAAGTGCCTAACTTCATTAATGAACTTTAATACTACAAACAATTTAATGAAATTAAGAATTAGAATGATGAATAATCATTTTATGGATTGGATTATTAAATATTTTCAGCCTCAAATTCATTAACAGCCTAAGTCATAAAAGATTATCCCTTAGGAGTTCAACAGATCCAAGGTATTTTATTTACTGAATAAATTAATTAAATGATACACAATCCTGGAACCTCATATCTAATGAAATCAGAATTAATCAAATTGGTTTATGCCACTTAAATTCAAACGAACCATACTTTTTCTATGCAAGATATGAGAGAACTGTTATTGCTGATATTAAATGACTTATTGGCATTTCCTAAATATCTGGATGGGTTAGTAAAGACATTTGAATCAAATTCTCCTGAGGATAAGGAAAATATGAGATAGGATATATTCTAAATAGAATATATGAAGGACAAGTTATTTTAGGATACAGAGGAGAAAAAAAAGAACTTATTAAATTCAACTCTTGGATTAACAAATCAAAATACTGCTGCCTAATTATAATAATAATAAATTAATGAACAAAAGAGAATTGTGAATGATTACACTGAATATTGGAAATATGTATTAGCAATTTCAAATTGGTAGAATATTCAATTTGGTGTTTTAACACTACTCTAGCAATTATTCAATGAAATATAAATCAGAAAATGGAATATATCTGAAAACTAACACAATTAATAAGCATTTCAAAGTGAGTAAATGAATTAGGTAGTGGAAGATTCTCTTTATGAACCTTTGGCATTAATTAAATTAATTTTAGAAAGCATGAGACAAACCTTGGTAATTCTTGAAATCTAATTACTTACTCCAAAGTTTAGAGTGTATTTGGCTTAGATTTAATTCTTTCTATCAAAATGCTTAACTCAATGTCCCTTGGATTCTAATCTAAAGCACTTTAAAACAATCAAATATGCCCAAGAACACAAAACTTAAAGAGCTATCAAAATGTAAATAAAGGAATATAAACAAAGAATGAATTAGAAATTTTCATAAGAAGACCTTAAAAAACATTTATATTAATTTTATGAGAAATTAAGGAGATATATGATGGACAATCACCTAACAATTAGCGAAATGATGGATAAGATAAGAGGTGAGTTTTCATTTCATTAGGATTTGCAGATTCAGGAAGGGGAATACAGTGTTGATAATGGTGATAAACTAGTGAGCAGAGATAAATTTTGTAGTTTATTCAACTATATTTTGGATGAACATTTTGGAGTGTTGATCAAATTAAAATAATTAAAAGTTCTACCTGACTTAGATTAGTATCTAACATTTTAAGATGCAGTCATATATTATGAAACCCATATGTAAACAAAAGAGTCATCAAAGAGTTTGCTGGACTTAAGTAAATTATAATTATTTATTTATTAGATAAATTCTATTAATAATTGACAAATTATTTTGAGAGCCAAAAGGGGAAACTCAATAAATAAGATCAAAAGGAAGCCCAAAGAAAATAAACATTGTAATAAACATATTATCAATAAAAGTCCATCTTCATTCAATAAACATTTAATTAATTTATTTATTAATTTGATTTATTGATCAATCCAGATAATGTATATAATCTATATAGATTGGATAAATTATTATTTGAGGATTTGTAGGAATAATTTCTATTGAAACTTCAGAGTGACGAAGAAGTCATATATACATTTTCAAGATTATTAAAAGAAGAAGCTAGCTAAGATAAATTTCTAGCCTTGCATATATTAAATGAAATATTGTAAAAAGAGTAGAGCATTATTGAGAAAGAAAAGCTGATTCATTTTGCATTAAAATAAATTCCATTTCTTATGATATATTTAGAGGAAAATGATAATGAATATGCTTTACATTGTATTAAAAAAGTTCAATTAACTTTATCAATATTTGAATAAATATAAAAAATGGATGAAGGATAGTTGGGAAATATGTTCTCGAATGAAAGTTGTTTATCATTTCATAAATTCATTTCAAGAGCATTTAATCAAGTTGATAGATTGTTAAGTTTGGAGCAACATTCAAAACAGGTTACTAAGTCAAATCAATAAGGATTTTTTATTAGTAGAGTGGATATTTAAAACGAAAGAAATTATTTACTTGGCCAATTTTTTAAGATTATAATTTCAATCTTAAGATTTATTGGAAAATTAATCTTATATATTGATAGATGTTGCTAGTTTTGCGACTCTAATAATCAATAAGTTTTAATAGAGGAGGTATTATATTTTACATCCAATTTTTATAATTATATCAATAGATCATAATTAACACATATATGTACTGAGCTGGACATACTTACATTATATTCTGAGTGTCTAAAATGCTTAAATAACTTTTGTGAAGGAAATCCACAAAATTAATATCTAGTTTTTAGCCATAAACCATTAATTTCAATCATCTAATTTATTATAACAACATAAAAATATGATATTCTAGCAGATAACTTATAAGATAATACTTTTAGAGTATTATTTAAATCAGCTATTTAATTACTATTGTAAGTCAAATTAGAGGTACATTATAGTTATACAGACTTAAATTTTTAAATGCTATTTGAGAAACTATTAAAGATATATGAATAATTTGCTCCAAGACTGAATATTGTTATGTAAGGATAGAAATGCAATCATGTAGATAATATTAATTGCACAAACTTAAAATGCTAATCAAACTTCATTGCTGTTGGAGAGGTTGAAGTATTAGGAATTTGCTTTGACTTAATTATTTTATTTAACATTTTGAGTGAAAACATTGAAAGTATAGGAAATTTTGATAAGAAGAAGGACTATTGGTAGACGTTGCGGGATAGAGTAATTGGAGATTAACCTAATGAATTGTCATTAAACTAAAAGCAAAATTTAAATTTTCTAAGAATTTTCATTAGTATGAAGAATTTTGTGAAATAACAAGAGTTCAATTAAAAACGAGTGGAGTTATTGAAGGAATATTTGAATTCAAATGATTCTATAATTGCTTCTCTAGATATAAAAGACTTAAGGACACAACAAAAAATAAATGTGAAAAAGAAATCGACGCCTTTGAAGACTCCCCCCTTGGTAAATAAACAGTATACAATGTTTGGTGATAATTCAAGTCCGAAAAGCAAGTTTAAAGAAAGCATTTACAAAATAACAAATAAAAAATAGTTTGTTAAGTAGTCCTTAGATGAAGCAATACCATTCAAAAAGTTTGATGAACAAGATCAGGTTATAGACCCTGCAGAAAAAAGGGAGAGCAAAATTGAATAGAAATTAGAAGTGATTGCAATAAATTGGTTAGAGGGTGCTTAATATAATAATCAAAGAGACATCATTAAGAAAAATATGTGTATGAAGATGGCTGAGGCTATTAACTTTTTTAGTAAGTATGTAGGATAAATATAAATCAGCCAACATGATGAGAATAAGTTATTATATTTTATTCTACCTTTTCAATCCTTCTTTTTATTACAACAAACTACCAAAAAGGCTAAGATGTTAAGAATGAAGAGAGGCAGGTATGAATAGTTAAAAACTATGTCTGAGTATTTCTAAAAAGAAGTAGCATTTCGTTAAAATATTTCGAAGTATCCAAAATTGAATTGGTTTTCAATCAACATTCATTTGCTGAAGATATTAAATTACTTGATAGTGCTTACACTAAATTTATGTTATCTGGGTGATTTATAACGAAAGGTAAACAGTTTCTTTTTTAAGAGTCAAACAATCGAAATTATTGTTATCGTTTTAACAATCATTTTGATATTGTCATCTGCTTTCGTACTAATGATTGAAATTATAAATCAATAACCATATATAGCATTTAGAGTTGATTATTATAGAGATCAAAACTAGGAAGATGTGAACTTAGGGTTGAAAGGGACAGAAAGTCTAAATTAGATTTATCCGGATCCTCAAAAACAAAAGAAAACGAATCTGAAACGTAAAATGAAGATGCATCAATATCTAAATTAAAATAGAATACTAGCTTAAATCTCAAATGTTACTTTTCTGTATCATTTAACTTATTTGATCTTAGCCGCTTTGTCTTTTCTTGCTTCACCATTCATTTCATTACTATTATTTGATATAGTATCAAGAGTGAATGTAATTGATTTATTATTTATCATTTTAGAGTTTAAGAAAAGTGTTATCATCAGTACTTGTTAACTTTTGGAAGATTCTACTCATACTGTATCTGACTTTGATTGTGATCCATTGTTATTCATTTCTAGCATTTGTAGTTGAAGATGCTGAAGTATTTCATGAAGAAGATACTGCTCGATTTTCATTCATATCTAAATTCTGGAAGTTCTTTGGGAATGGATTCAGACTACAAAATTCCTTTAATTCTGAAGATGAAACTCATGATTGGGGTAATTACATATTTGTTGTTACATTGTTTATGCTCATATTCATATTGTGTTTCGCCCTCATCATCAGTATAATTAGTGGGTAATACTCTCATAGCAACTCATTGTCAAAAAATCAAAAGAGCAAGTCTTGTAAAATTTGTGGGATATCCTATGATTAATGCAGAGAAAAGTAATCAATTTATTTAATCTTAGAAATATTAGTTGGCAGGAGCATATTGAAAAAGAACATAAATTATCTTCTTATTTGTTTTTCTTGATTTGTTTACAATAAAAGAGGGAATTAAATTATTTGGAGAGAGAAATTGCTAAGAAAATTCAACAAAAAGATATGTCTTGGTTACCGAAAAAATGATTAATTAATAATATTGATTCTAATGAATATAATTTGATGATTATTTTATAAAAATATTTAAAAGCGGCAATATGAAATTTATAATTGTTGATTAGCTATCATGTTTGGCTCACATTAAGCATACTACATAACCAACTCATTTCTGGTTAAAATTATCGATATTTGTTATGTATTCCTAATATATCGCTTTGTTATTGCCAATGCATGGATGGAATTTATGGGATTATAGTGATGGTCATTTCAAACTATTTCAAATGATAGCTCAATCTTAATTAATCATACCAATTTTTGCAGACTCCTAAATTGATTTCAGAATGACTGCATTCATAATTACTATTCTGTTACTCATTGTCATTATTCTAATCATATTCACTTTGCTATTATTTGGAATTTACGATAATCGAAGCATTATTGAACATCAATCAATAAGAAAATCCATCTTCTATTTCTTACAAATCACAGGAACAGTATTTCAATTACCCATTTTATTTTTATTAGTGTCGCAAATCTTAAATGGTCCAGAAACTCTTAATTTTTAAAATACACTTCTTGGAATACAGAGTATCATTAACTTTTTAACTTTAATTTTATTCACAATCATTATATTCTTTTCCTAATATTTCTTAAGAGCTTACACATTCATTCCAAGCAACTACATCCAATCAAAGTTTAATGGCTTTCAACCCTTACATTATGTTTTGCAGGTAATTATGGCTGTATTTTATTTTGTTGACAATTAAGACACTGTTTAATATGCTCAAATTGCAATAATACATCTTTCTTTAATATTTAAAATTATTGAAAGCCTAATCTTTAAACCCTATTTACCATTTATGAATGAAACTCATTTTAAATTAAGCTTGGTTGCTGAATTTATCAACATCATAATCAGTTTCTCCGTCTTTACAGATGGCAAAATAATTGCTTAAGAAGACATATTATATTTACTTTTATTTACTGCTTTATTTTCGTATTATTTAGGAGAAGTGTTTCATGAGAGGAAATCCATTTAAGCCTACGATTTAGATATCAATTGTTTTTCTTGTATTTCATTAGCATAAGAACTGTTTTTATAATGCGTTGCAATGAATAAACTAATCTATTAATAGCAGTTCTTCTCTTTGTATTTCTACTACAAAGCTCATAAAGTTAATTGTGCTAAAAATTGGAATAAGAAACATAGAAAAAATGATAATCATATTCAGTTGACAAATTAAACTATTTATTGTATGTTGCAAACTGAACTTGAAAAAGCAAAAAGCGATACTAAAACTATGTATGAAGAACTTGAGTTATTCTTTATTAATTATGTAGCTGAATACATCAATCGACCATTGTTGGCATATGTAGAATTAAAAAAGTATGAAACTCTAACTAACTAGCAATCATACTTTTTTATGGTAGTCAAATATCAAATGAGTCAATTTCTTCAATAATTAGTCAGAAAATAGCAGAATCTAATTAAATTGAATAGTATTTAGTAATAATAATAATAATAAGAAAAATAATTAAGCATTTAATCGATACATGAAACTTTGAAATTCTAAGAATCATTTATACCAAAGGTAAAGGAGATAATTTTGGAAAAAATTAGTTTTTGGACCAATCAGATAAAAGGATTTAATAGTATTTATGATATTGAGAGAATGGCTATCTCCTAAAGTGCAAAAATTTAAATCTTGCATGAAGAACTTTAAAGATTTTGTAAATTTGATTTTCATAATTTGGATAAACTATCTTAGATTTATAACGTATAAACTATCAAATTCATATCTATGTTTTTCAGTGCAATAATGAATGATTATTATAGTACTTAAATATGTGAATAAGTAATTGCAGAAATATTTAATATTGAACATACACAATAGGATGATCTAATAACAAATATTCTGTTAGTTGAAGAGAGAGCAGCATTAGTTTAAATTAGTATGGTTAGAAATAGAGGGAAAATAGTGAATTCAGATAAAAGGTTATTGGCCAAATATTTTGATTTTGAAGAATAAGAATTTTAATAAATAGATAATATAAGTGCTTTGATGCCATCATTTTTTGCAGAAAAACACGATAGATTACTTTAGGATTATTTGTAGTCGGCGAAATCTATATTTTTTGATGACTATAAGTTAGTATTCGGAATTTCTAGAGAAGGATTTTTAGTACCATAATAATTAAAAATTGATAATGATTTTTCACTTTTAGATGATTATATACTGATGGGTTGCATGTCAAAGGTTAAACATTCATCAGATTTTGTTTTGTTTGGAGAGGATGGTTATCTGATTGGATGCACTTAAAATTTTTATGAGACGTTCTTCTAATTCTAACAATCGATTACCAAATTCACTTCTGATATGATTTATCAAATAAGTATTTGCATGTTATTTCCCAATATTTTTGATTTGCTCATTGATTTAAGGAATAAATTGAAAAATGATTTATAATATGGATCACCTGATAATTATTGTAAAATTTGGAAATTCTTCAATTAAAAGGATATACTAGAGGATGGATACAAATTATAGCAATCATTGAAACAATTTTCAACACAAAATTATGAAAAATCCTAAAGTATATAAAAATCAAGGACTAGTCAAACATCATTAGATTTGAATAAAACAAGACTCGTCCAATTATAACTTATGGAAAATTATGAAATGTAGAATTCAATGAAAAGCATTTAATATCTACATTAATTACCATTATTTAATGTTGTTGTTTAAACTTAAATGGTTGATAATATAAAAAGGTTTGAGGTAATTAATAATAATGTATTTTTAGGAAAAGTAGAAATAAAGTTTTATTAGTAAAGTTCAATTGTAATTTAGAATAATGGGAAAAAAGGATTAAAGAAAGGCTTATTTTATATTAGAAATTTTAGACATTAGAAAAACTGATGATAATAAAACAAACGAATCAATTGCAAACAATTAATATTCAAACAATGCGTTTTCAACAAATTACAACTAATAAAGTAATTTCAATAATATACGTATTAGCCAATATGGAAAACAGTTAGTCTTATATTCAACCAAGTGAAAATGGATTGGAAGCACCGTCTGTAGCTGTAGAGGAGATACGTCCAGATGTTTCAAAGATTAATGAGGTTTCATTATTGATCAAAAAGTATGGGAGTAGACTGCCAGAATTATCTAATTATGAAGGGCAATTGATTGCCATTGAATCTGCAAGAGATAGCATGAGTTATGCACCTATTTCCCAAAGAATTTAATTTGTCAGTCCTTCCTCTAAGTAGTAATAATTACAGGGATTAATTGAAAAGGACTTTACGGAATTATAAAACCAACTTGAATATGGAAATGGAGATCCTATTATAAATGATATTGATGTTCCAGAATCATCACAAGTAAAAGGAATAAGTAGCAATAATAAGAAAGAGAATAGTCATAATCTTTTATAACAATTATAAGAAAACTAGTTGTAATAAAAGAAAAATGATTTTGAAGTGAGTGCAAAGAAATCAAGATCAAGTAATACTTCTGGTACGTCTGGAATATCTGCAATTCAAGTGATTAAGAAATTTCAATCAAAGAGGGATTTAACTCAAAGTTTATAGGCATTGTTAGCAATCAATATTTTGATTGTCCTGATAATTGCAATATATATCATAATCCATTTAATAAATGTGAGTTCATATCATGATGAATTATTACAGACTCTAATTAATATTCAAGCTCCTTTATTATTTAACAGATATTTCTTTAAGACTTTTTGTTATATATGGAGTCTAGTCTTCAATTCATTGGATATAATAAATAGCAGTGAATACATAGTTATTTAAACATTAGAAGAGATCCAAGTACTTGCAGACACAATGCTTGGAAGTTTAAGGAGCATGTATGATACATTTATTGGGATTGAGTATGAAGGAATGTTAAGTAAAATTAATTTAGATTTCTTATATCAAGATAATGAAGTAGTCACATACACTTATTTTATCAATTTTATATCAAATATTGCAGATTTATTATTTTAGGCTCAATATCATAGTTTTGATGATTTGGAAGACTTGATTGACCAAAACTATCTAGATAATCTATTGACATTAAGATATAACTTAAAGAATGTGAATTACATGAATGTTGAACTGCTGGATTCATTGAATATATTATTCTTTGATTTATAGTAGTCAAAGCTAACTGAATACTAATTACAAATTAGTATTGAGATAATAGTGCTAAGTTTGGTAATGTTTGGTTAAATTTATTATTGGAATCAACTTGAAAAATATTGTCAAGCTATCATACTTTTAGCTGGAAGGTTGTAGGAGAATTAAGCCTAAGAGCAAATTATCAGATTCTCTTATGTAAATGAAACTTTGTAAACATTTATAGGGAAGTAAAGTTGGAAATAGCAAAACTATTACAAATTATTATATTCATCTTTAAATTAGTTGGGTTTAGAATCTGTTTATACTTAATCTAGGATATTGAAGGAGTATTAATTGTAATTGTCGAATAAAAATCCATAGAAGTCAGATATAAATAATGATGAAGGGTAGAAAAAAATTAGAAAAAATCAGAATGTTGTATTAAATTCTAGAATCACTAATTCTGGAATATCAATTATAAAAGAGGTCTTCATTATAACAATTACTTTCTTAATTATTCTTGGATTTATAATTGGAGGTTATTTTTTGTACAATTCCCAAGCGAGTGATTTATATCCTACCTAATAATTGACTTTAAGTTTTATTAGATTTACCTCTTAATAAGATATTACAATAAGCTGTGCTTTAGTAATCAAATCTTAACAAATTTTATATAATAAACTGATAGAAAAGAAATATTATACCGATGCGTAGATTTAGAGTTTTCAAGGTGCTGCAGAAATTATGACTATCTTTTTGGAATATTATGACTCCTATTTTGAAAATTTAACAAATATCTATGAATTCATTTTAGAATCGAATAGAATAAATGGAGATGATGAAGCTGTTCTATTTAACTTGTATTCTGAAGATTTTTGTATCCTATTGGCTGATCTCATTCCTTTTTGTGAATAAGATGCTAGTTCTTTTGATGCTAAATATGGAACACCAAATCCAGATGATGACAATCGGGAATTCCTAAGTTCTGGTATTCAAGGAGTAGTGAGTCGTATTGATACATTGTTTAAACAGCAATTCATTTATGAGATCGAGAACAAAGATTACAGAGATGAGCTCGATATTGTATTAGAGCAATTAAATACTAAAGAATTCAATAATGCAATTTTTGAGCACTTTTTAGATACAACTGATGGTACTAACTTGTTTATAGATAACATTATGATAATCTTAAAGAATGTAATGGCAGAGGATTTAGACGTGATTTATTCATATTACTTGGCAGCAGGGATATCTTTAATAGTTATTTATATTATGGTCTTTGGAATTTGGATGTACTCCACAAATTAAAGATTAATTTTGCTAAGATTAGTATTAACAAATCTACCTATAGAAACATTGACAGAACCACATACATTAACATTATTAAAGAAATTAAAATGAGTTTATTCTCGTAGTCTAAATAAATTGCTATATCTTATATAATTTTATTAATAATTTAATGTTTATATAAGATTAGATTTCTATATAGATATTATTAAAAATAGTCAGTATTTAATTATTTCTTTTTCTTAAAGTCTGAAAATGAGAAAGAATAAATTGACGAGATGATTTCCAAGAATAATTTTAATCATTTTATATTATTATAAAAATATGAATTTCAACAATCTATTAATTACAATTAATAATTGATTTCATCAAGTGATTTTTCATTCATGATCATTTGTAAGGTAATACTTGTAAATGGGTCATCTTTATTATTCAATTTCCATTCATTTAAATTGATTTATAAATTTTAATATCTCCGCCTTGAATTCTTTTATTGAATGAGTTGAGCGAAACACATTCCTAAATCGGTTACATTACTTTAGTTATCACCAATTGTTGCGTTGGCGTAGTCATTGAGCTTGAAATTATTATTTTCCTCGCAATACAAGATGGAGTCCAAAGTTATTTCATCTAATACGAGTTAATTCTCCTTTGCTGACATCAATGCTTATAATAAATCGCCAAGTATTATTTTTAGTTTTGCATTTGACAATTCATGAGAAAAATGCAGAATCGATTTGCTGCAATATTAAAACAAAAGTAGTTGAAACTTTAAATGAATTATTTCTTGATTCAACTTAAATCAATTACTTATTTCCTTTGCAAGATTATCAATTTTTTGTGTCTGGACATGATGACTGAAAATGTTTTGAGGTGTTAAGATAAATTTAGAATTTAATTAAAATAATTTCTAATATATTTTATCTATTTACTTGAATTATTTCACTTTCAGTTTGGATTGGCTTTATAAGAAACTTTTTTTTCGATTTCTTATCCTCAATCTATAATAATTCACAATATATACTAGAATTTAAGTCTAATTAGACAATAGATCTTTATCTATTTTTAGAAAATCAAAATCGTAAATGGTCTATTCTCTTAAATTCATCTTATAATACAATGAACTATCAAATTTGAATTGAGAAATCTAATCAATTTGAACTTATTTTGCTCTAATTTATTCTGGATTTTTCTTTTGTATATTTTTTGATCTGTATCAAATTTAATATAAAAATACTTAGCTTAAATCTATACACAGTCTTGTTTTATAGCCTTGTTCTGATGTGCATCGATTTCATTATCAGATTAGCTATTTTGCTTTTATAATTTTTGAGAATTAGAGCTCATCTAAATAATTTAATTATTTAATTATATATGTCAATGGATTGAGATAAGATTTGATATGAAAAAGTTAGAAAAAGATTAAAATTAAAAATATAAAATATAGATGAAGAACACATGAATTATAATATATAAATGACTAATATTTATATAATAATAAATTCATTATTTTGAGAATCCCAATGTAACTTTGATAAAGCAAGAAAGCAGAAAGAAATTACAAAAACTCCATTTCATTTTGGTGCTAGCAAATTCAAATCAGGTTACATATTTTAAATTACTATTGGATAGATACATAAATTGTTTCAAGAAGTATAACAGAAGGGCCTTAGAATAAATTTTAAAGGACACGAAATGAAGGAAGCAAAGTTATAAATGTCGTCAAATTGAAGATGATTTGAATTCAAGAAAAGTAGTGTAAATACGGAACCAATCTAAGTGATCTAGTCAACTGAAAAGTGCGGATAGCTGGGTATTCCAGTAATTCAAGGGAATTTCCTTTCCTTCCTATTTTGATTATCCTCATTAAATTATTCATTCTACCATCATTATTTAATTGATCAACTGAAAATATTCTGGTTATAAAGTTAACGATTATCGTAGCAGAGTTATCACTAGATTGCCTATTAATGTGATTATATGAAATACATGGAAACATTTAATTTATTTAAGATCTTTATGTAATTAATCATATGTTTATAATATAACTATAATATCAATTTAGATTATTCTAGGAATGTCATTTTTAAATATTTTATGGATAATTCAAAGGAAAACTTGATTCTCCAATAATAGTCATCCATTCCTTCCTTCTTAACTAAAACCTATGATATCTTAGAGGTACAATGTTGCTCTAATATATAGAATTCCAATTATTCTGATATCATTTAATGGAACGAAGAAGGCTAAGCTTTTATTATAAAAAAACCTTATGAGTTTGCTAAGAAAGTATCTCTATATTAATCTAATACTTTAGATACTACCCAAGTATTTTAAGCACAATAATTATACTTCGTTTATTAGATAATTGAACATATATGATTTTCATAAGATTAAAAATGAACTTGGAAAACATGTATTTAGACACAATTTTTTTTAAAAAGAAAAGAAGTATTTTTACTCTCCATTTATAATATAGACATTTATTGTGTGAAATAAAAAGAAAATCTATAGAATAACAAGAACAGTTGGAAGAAAATAACTAAAATTAAAGTTAATATAAAATTAATTGATATTAGCCAATAATTCATAACTGAGCATGTCCAAATTAAAAAATGACTATCAATAATTTCATAATGAAATCCTGAGGGTTAAAGCTCAATAACAAGTGTTTTAACAAACAATTGCTAAATTTATGACCTAAAATGATTATTTAATCAATCAGAACTCCTTATTATGGCAAGTATATCGACATATTAAGCAAATTTAAGGAAATTTACAAAATTCGAGATATTGATGATAAAAAGATTGAGAACTTCTCATATCTATTGACTACATTAATTGTTACTATTAATTAGTACTCACAAAGTTCATTACTCCCAAGTCAATAGTCTTCTTATTATCAGACTTCATCTTCTGATATCAGTATATCACAATAGAATTATTAAAGCAATTATTTAGATCAATCTATTAGTCTATCACAGTAATCAAATTAAAGTAAAAATTATCATAAATAAAATCTAGGACTAATGCAACAAACAGGTTTAAGATAACCGCAATTATTATTTTCTAGTATTTATTCTTATTAAATTTAGACAAATAAGATATCTCAATATTTGATTAAGGGTTTACTAAAAAGAATTAAAATTCAGTTAAATTTGATGCCTACTCAAATGGTTTAGCTTTTTATTAAAGTATATAATATATATTGAATAGAATTAATGGACTTATAGTAGTAGTAAAAATTACAAGAAATGTAGGAAGGCCAAAACAAGTTCTTAATGAAATAAAGAAAATGATTTGATCAACTAATGATCTCCCTTTATGAGAACTAACAATATAATATTTATATTCTTTAGTAAATATATTATATTGTAAAAAGAAATAATTATATTGAAATAGTTCGTAATTATAATATTTGAGTCTTAACAAAGTGAGCAGTATTTGATTATTTACTATAATAGTTCAAACTATTGATTGCCTCTGAATTTATAAAACGGATAGTAAAAGGATAATAGAAATAAAATCCAATTGTCGTTTTTGAGATTATTTATATTAAATTATATACTAAAATGGCTGACTTAGATTGTAATAACATCAATTTCATCGATGACTAAAAATCAACTGAAAACCAAGTGAAAATATCAGGAATATTGAAAAAGAGTATACAAAAGGAGAGAGGATGTCTTTGTCAAAAGTTGAGATAGAAAAAGAAATATAAAATATAATCACCTGAGGAATCATCAAATGAATGTGATGGATGGGAATAGGAAGACATTTATGATAGGAAATCAGCTAAAAACAGCAAGCAGAAAGAAATTGTGGATTTAGTTTAGTACGCATCTAAACTTGAATTCATGATAAATGTAGCAAGACAATAACTTAGAGAATTGGAAGAAACTATGCAACCAAATCATGCATAAAATTGATTTGGACTTTTTAAGTTAATTTAAATTAAACCCATATAAAAAAAATGTTAGTCATCTCAAAACCTTATGAATTTTAAGATGATTATAATATTCTCTCACTTATTTAATAAAATTTCTTTGACACACATTTTTATAGATTTTAATTCTATTCTTTAAAGAATTATCATTTCTTGATTATATAAAAACATTTGAAGCAAAATTACCAAATAAACGTAAGTAAGCACAATGCTGAAAAACAGTTATTTTATAATTTAATAGGATTATCGTCAAATTCGAACCAAAACAGGTTATGAATTTCAGGGCTGAGTTTAATTTAAAAAAAATAAGAGAATTTGATTATATGATAAAATAATATAGTTAATAATTTCATAAATATTAAGAATAATATATTTTATTTAATAGTATTAATCTGATAATTAAACAATAATCCTTGTCATAATTTCTTGATTTGGATAATAATTTACATATCTCATTTATTGTTAATTTTATTCATTCAGAAATTATGAAATCCTCTCACATAATATTCATTATTTGAATATTGAATATATGATAATTTAGCTGATGATTAAATTTTTCATTTTATGAACTTCTAAAATATTATTAGTACCAGATAATTATGTCCCTTTTTCTAATAACTGATATACCAACCTGATCAATAATTCAAAAACAAACTTCTTTGTTACCATAAAACCATTAATAAAAAGGATTAATTGTTTATATAATTATGAGTGTGTTTTATAATAGATAACCATTTTTGCTATAAATTCTTGATATCAGTAATCTTGAATATGTAATTTATGTGAACAAGAACAGTTGAATCAATTTAAATTAATTATAATAATTATATTTGCTACAGAATAAGCGTTGTTCATTAAAAATCTTTATATAAATAAAATTTGTTTTAAAATAATGCAACAACCCTTCACAATAAATCCGAAGTGCTTTGGGTAATTTGTTAGGCCTAAACATAATAATGAACAACAGGAATAAAAATAAAAGAATGAATAATAATAATGTTTATCTAAAAATATTAATGACAACCCATAGATGTGGGTGAAAAATAGATCAATCACAATATGTTCCAACACATCTACTTTGCCTGAAACTTTGTCTACATCTTAATAGATCTAAGAGTTGAATTAATCGATTCAAGAAGTGAAATAGGAAGAAATTTTTTATAAGACCATGCCAACATTATTCTAGTAATTTCAGTAAAAGAACAACAGAAAATACGAGCCACAGGTGTAGATCACTCAATTCTAAATTGATCTGGCTAAAGTAAGAGTCTATCCCTATAAAGATTTGTGATGATGATAGAACTACTCTGATGATCCGCAATATCCCAAACAAATACACCCAACCAATGTTGCTAGAGAACATGGACATTAATCATAAGGACACTTATGATTTTTTTTATCTTCCAATAGATTTTACTGTAAATTTTTAATCAATATTAGAATAAATGCAATGTAGGTTATGCATTCATTAATTTCTTGCATACCAAATTTATACCAAAGTTTTTTTTAGAATTTCAGGGCAAAAAGTGGAAGCTCTTTAACTCAGAAAAAGTATTAATTTCCATAAGATTTAAAAGATCTGTGAAATCACCTATGCCAGAATCCAAGGTGTAGAATAGTTATAGGGTCATTTCCAATACTCTACGATTATGCAAGAAAAGGTAAGACATTCTCATTTCTATATCAAGGATAACAGATTAAAGCCTATATTTAAGAAAAATAGATCCGATTAACAATTTATTAAATGGAGATGATATTTGTATTAAAAATACTGATCTAATTAATTATTGCTTTCTTAGCATTATTATTATATAACCGAATCCCAAATTGCGTAATAACTTATATTATTTTTAATGAAATATCTTCTTTTATCTACCCTAGTGATGTTGTCATATTAATGGTGGGATGTCGGTCATATGATGACAGCTTAAATAGCAAAAAATCATCTCAGAGAAAATCGACCTGATGTTTTGGCTTGGGCTGATTCATTAATCCAAGACTTAAACCCACTTACAGATGGAAAATCTAACACCTTTGCCGAGGCTGCAGTGTGGCTAGATGATATCAAAGAAACTGGAACCAATTTCATGAATGATTGGCATTACACAAATCGTCCAATGAATCCAGACGGTCTCTAAATCAAGATAGAAGATCAAGCCAGAAACATTAATTCCATCTATGCCATCAATTCAGCTACCTCAGTATTAACCAGCACCAAAACTGCCAAATTCAGACACACAGTTTTCAAGGCTGAAATGATTAGAGTATTGTTGCATGTTATTGGTGATCTTCATTAACCACTTCATGATACTGCCTTTTGGAATGTCACCTATCCAAATGGAGACTAAGGAGGAAATCTCATGAAATTACAAGTAGCATCAATACATATATTTATTAGATTGAAAATGGTACCTTTGTTAATTTACATTCATTTTGGGATGCAGGTGCATTTGCCTTCGTTTCCAATTCCACCTTTCTATCTCGACCCTTATCCTAAAAAGATTAAGAGTATCTGGACAATTGGGCGAAGAACTTAATCCGTTCATACCCCTACTCCAATTATAAAGATTACGATATGACGTAAATTAGATTTTAAATTACATAGTAATCCATCAGTTTGGACTTATGTTGGTTATAGGTAGGCTTTACAGTTTGTTTATCCAATGATTTAGTCTTCTAACAACTTTAATAACAACTACGTTGAGTAAGCAAAATAGTTCTGCGAGAGCAACATTGCTGTCGGTGGTTATAGATTAGCGAATAAATTGATTGAAATCTTTGATATAATACTATTGAATGAGTCCATGGTCAAATTTGATCAATGATAATAATGTTAATTTAATGATTCTCAACCTACTTATTTTATAACTCATTTTTTATTAAATACATTACAAGTAAGAACTAATTAAACCTATTTTATAATATTTCAATTATCATAATATAATATTATTGAATATCAATAAATTTCAGAATTAAACGCATCTTTCCCACCAACTAGGAAATGATGTTTTTGATTTGAAACGACGTATCTACACATTATAATTAAAAAATATACTAGATATTTCCTTCCCTCTGCCCAAATTAGCATCACTAATGCAAAAGGAAGTGCTCCAGTGCCATAATGAATAAATAACACGTCCCTAGTTCCAAATACTGCGTTAAAAACTTGTACATAAGACAAACACACTGTTAACATAAATTCCACCCAGAAGGCGAAAAACATATAATAATTCGAAAAACCTAATAAATACTGTGAATCGATTACCTTAAAAGGATCCTGCATTTATTAAAGATCTCAAACCCTAATAATTGGCTATTTACCCAACTACAATACCATATAGGAATGTTGTTTAAGCATAATTTGAGGCTTCAGTCGTATAACAATAAGGTCTATTTGTATATGGAGATACTAAATTAACAGTACATTAGGCCCATTCAAATAATTACTAAATCTTACCATCTTTGCATTCAAGATAAGCCATCCTCAAATCAAGTTTGGAATGATTGGCAAAAATCCAATCTACCTCCTTCACCTCAGATTCAGGAAATTCTGTACAAGTTCCATCTTAAAATATTTCCTTTAGATTTGTATTACCAAACCAAGGATCTTAAGGATCATATACATCATTAATCTTTGGTAGAATAGTTTTCCTAATTCCTATGAATAGTAGATTTGAAGGATAGAACCCAAAATCATAAAAGGATGCAAACCACTAAAAGAACCCACAATATGTAGATAGGAATCCATTCTGCAAATATGCATAGATGAACATTTTCCCACCAACCAAATGATCACTCTTTGATCTCGGTTTCCTCGTCATTATATCAATTTCAGCATCCTCAAAGACAAAAGTGGTACATGGAAAAACATCAGTTCCCAAGTCGATACATAATATCAATACTGTAGTTAATGGTAATGGTAGTCTAAAGATAACAAATCCAATAAATGGAACCAGCTCTGAAATGTTTGAGGTCAAACAATAAGCCATACTTTTCTTTAAATTATCAAAGATCTTCCTTCCTTCTTCTATGCCTATCACAATATTTGAAAAATCATCATTTAACAATATCATATCAGCTGCATCCTTAGCAACATCAGATCCAGTAATACCCATAGCAATTCCTATATCTGCCTTCTTGATTGCAGGACTATCGTTAACTCCATCACCTGTCACAGCAACTATATGTCCTCTCTTTTGACATCCATCAACAATAATCAATTTCTATGCTGGACTTGTTCTTGCAAAGACTAATTATGGTTTGCTCAACCATTCCTGCAATTGTCTACCTTTTTCATCTTCAGGTAGACCTTCGTCATCAATTGCCATTTTAGTTAATTTATCACCATGAATTACTAGGGCATTTGATTAATGGAATGCCTCTTCAAATGATATTCCTTTTTCAATCATTATCTCATCAACTGTTTTCTCTGTTATTATGTTACATTATCTAGCTATGGCTGTAGCTGTGACTGGTTAGTCTCCAGTAACCATAATAACTTAGATCCCTGCTGTTTTACATTTAATCACAGCATAAGGAACATTGTCCTTGGGAGGATCAATTAATGAGATTAAACCAACAAATACTTGATTATTAAAAGGGAAATTCATCTTATCCATGTTAAATTAGTATCCAAATGGAAATTATTCTTTTGGTAAATGCAGCTTGGCAAATCCTAATACTCGTTCTCCTTGTCTTCCAAATTATTCATTTATCTACTCAAAGGACTTTTCCCATTCTTCATCCTTTGATTCAATTTATCCATCCTTATATACTTAATTGCATAACTTCCATATTCTTTCTGGTGCTCCTTTGCTTAATAAACAATAATGAGAATCTTCGGTCTCGTATTCCACTATGATGAATGCATACTTATTATTAGAATTGAAGGGCATTTTTGCAAGCTTATTTTCTGAATCTTTAGCAGGTGTTCTACTTTATCTCATTTTCTAGATATCATTTATAGGTTAGAAAAACTTGATTAAAGCAGTTTCAGATGCATCCCCTATAGTTGGTTTTTCTTAACAAAGCATCTTATTAAAATTCAATTCCCATTTCTCATTGGCTTCCTTTAATTTCTAATCTTTTTACTATTAATTCAAACCAATTGCATTCTATATTCGAATCTTTTAATCTTGAGGCAAAGAATTATCAAACACTGCTTCTGAACAAAGCACAGCTGTTTCCTAAAGTATTTTAAATCCTAATTCATTGACATCATATTCGTATTAATGTTTTTGACCCATTTTTTCTAAATTTGCTCCCTTATGTTTTTTGTTATTGTACCATAAATTTTCAACTGTCATTTTATTCTAAGTCAACGTTCCTGTTTTATCAGAACATACACACGATCTATTATTTAGTTAATTTATTACGTAGATCCAAGGGTTTCAACTCCCTCTAAGTTTTTCACTAGAACCTTCTTATAAGCCAACTTTTTTGCGGTTAGTGTTAAGGCAACAGTAACTGTGGCCAAAAGTCCTTCTGGAACATTGGCTACAATAATTCCTATTCCAAAGACAAGATTTGTGATCGGAGCTAAGAATCTTAGAATTATATATACGATATCCAATAGCAAAGCCCAACACAAAGAAGATTACTCCAAATATTGTTGATATTACACTTATGTTCTTTATAAAATTATTAAGTTCCTTTCTTAAAGTAGTATCATCACCTCCAGAACTATCTACTAAACCTGCTATCTAGCCAATTACTGTATTATCTCCAGTAAAAATCACCAAGCCTTTTCCATTTCCCTTTTATAATAGATCTTAAATTACCTCTTTGCAAAGTGTTCCAAAAAATGCCAAATTTTTAGTCTCCAAAGGATTGGCAGGGTTTGTGCATTCTAAAGATCTCATTAGCAATAATGATTCTCCTGTCAAACTTGAATTATCAACCTTCATCTCATTGCTCTCCAATATTCTAATATCCGCTGGAATTCTCTTTCCATTTTCTACAATTACTACATCTCCAGGTACTAAATTAGAGGCCGGTAATTTTTATTGTTGCCCGTCTCTTATTACTAAAGTCTCAGGAGGTATGAAATTTTTAAAGGAGTCCATTATTGCTTCTGATTTTGCATTTTAGAAAAATGTAATCACTCCTGTCAGTGTATTTACTACTACTATAACAATACCCAAATATAACTAAAATATTACAATACAATTTACATTTGATGGATCCTCTGGAGCCAATCCGTATGCTATAAAGCACAAGATTGATCCAACCCACAAAAGCATTGAAAACATAGAAGTTAATTCATGGATTAATTTCATATACCAAGGTACTTTTTCTTTTTAAGTTAATTCATTTTTTCCAACTTCCTACAATCTTTAATTGGCGACATCTTTAGTTAATCCATCATTTGAACTTGTTTAAAATCTCTATTCAAGTTCTTCCAATGGTATTCTGTGCTCATCCTAATTTTTTAAATATTTTAAGTACCATATTTTTGAATTTTTCTGCTTTGTTTGCATCTACCTTTTCCTTTTCTTAAGCCTTACCCTTATTCAATTCTGAAAGCAGCTTCTTTCTTCTCTCTGCTATTTCCCTTGTGAGTTAATCAAATTCCTTCCTTGCTTACGCAAGTTGTAATTCTTAGCTAAATATTAGACAATATGATACTTCTGTTGCGTGAACATTGTCACTATCATCGAAGCTGTCTTATTAGCGGATTTCATTTGTAATTAAATAATTCGATCCTAATAAGATTTAATTGAACTTATAAAACATTATAATTGATTAATTTCTAATTTAATCAAAAAATTTCAAAAGATGTCCCCTAAAATTTACAAGTGCAAATTTTTGAAGTTGTTAAAAATAACCTACAACTTAGAAAAATATATTAAATATGAATCCATTTCTAAAATTTTCTAGTTGCAATTAAAAAATTTGAGATAATAATAGTATTAATATCAATTGTATTATTATAATATTTTCCTTAACTCAGAGTAGTTATATCATGGAAAACTGTTATTATAATTAGATAGGATTATATTCAATTAATTTGAATTGGTTCGTTTATGTATTCATGTTGTTACTTTTATAATAAATTACAATTATCAAATTATAATTGCAAATTATATAAATTTTAAAAAAGTAGGATAGACTAATTTTAGAATTATTTTAATTATACTTAAAATAATAAATTTGTTTTAGTATGTATGTATATGAATTATTTATTCATTTAAACACAATTGAATTCAAAGAATATTTATAATATTTCCTTCATTTGATATAAAAATTAGAATTTATTATTTTATTATAAAAGTATTTAATATACTAGTTTATAAATAACAAGTAGGAATAAATCAGCCAAAAATAATATTGAGGATCAGGACAAATAAATGAAAATAAAAGATAAGTGATGATAATAAAGACAATTATAATATTATGTGTTTATTTATTAAAGGAGATAAATAAAATTATCCTCTGTTAAATAGTTAAAAATATTTTCATAAGCTTTATTAGCATTTAATTCAAAATATTCATCATGATAAATAAATAAAATATGAATTCCAAAAGTCACTAAAAAACCACAATAGCTGAAGATTAAATGGAGAATCATTAACAATCCTTTAAATCGATGGAACGAATTTCGATTTGTTAACCGTTCAGCAGTAAAGAATTTTTCAACCGATAAAAATTGTATGATGATTTATACAATACTAATCAAATAAAATGTGAAAGCCTAAACTCTATTAGGCTAGAGAAGGGAATGAAATAAAGTAAATATAAGGACATAGTGGAGTCTGCTAAATTAAAACATGCTTAATCACCAAACAATATCAGCAACAGTATCATGAAATTACAATAAAACTCGATTACAGACATTGTAGAATAATTGAGAAATTAAAAGAAAGCCAATAATGTCAAACTTTAAAGCAGTGTTAATAATCTTAAGAAACAACAATAATTAAACCTAAATCTTATCTTGATTATTGCTATTCCATTGTTATGCTGTTTGGTAGTAATTTTTGAAATGGCAAGAATCAAAGAGTAAAATACAAATTGAACATATATAATTTTAAGTAATATACTTGATTATTTTAAAAACTATAAAGTATCTCTGAGTATCATTCAATTATTATATCTTTGTAGAGAATGCAGTCTTAAAATTGCTTTTCATTTTAAAAAACTCGGAATTCTGTTTGCTTTTTAAAATCAAAGGTTTACTTTTCCATTTTTTTAAATTCCTCTTAAATTATATTTCAACTAAAATAAGAAATGAGAAAATTTCGATTCTAATTAATTCCAAACCTTATCGCTAAGATAAAGAATAGATTTTAGGATAAGATTGAATTATTAAATCCTTAAATTAGGAAGAAAAATTGTTCCTTTATTAACTTGAGATATCCGATAATATAAATTAAGTTATAAACCTAATTGCATTTTAATTATATAATTTGGTGTTCTTAACAGAATCTTGGGACTCCAAATCTGGCATTAATCAGACTTCAATCCAAAATTAAGACCAACATATAACCTGATATTTATCAATTTAAACTGATATTAATATATTTGAATATTTACAATAGGTGGCAATATTAATTGATACCAGCAGCAGAGAATGCAAACCCAGATGTTGCGTAATATTTTGTAATTCTGACAATGTCATAAGACAATTTAATTGAAGTTATAGTGAAATTATCAATATCAATTGGATCATAAATCTATTATTCTACCCTCCTTTATAGAACCAATTAGGATGTCATAACTCTAATTTAATTATATATTTAATAATTTAATAGTTATATGTAAATGATCAATTTTGTAAAACATATGATAACTCTTCACACTAAGGGAATATCAATCAGATTATTTAGTTTAAACTAATGGTCTATTTATATAATGAGAACTAGAATATCGGAAGAAGGATATAATAATAGATGATCAACTAACAATCATGAAAGGGAATATAGTTTAAAATGAATTATGTTAAAAGAAAATACTGAAAATTAGTGAGATAATAAAATAGTTAAAAAAAAAGAATTTAGAGATGAATCAAATCACTTCAATTATTCAACTTTATAAATTTTTATGGAAAATCATATTTAAATTAATATGTCTCAAATACATTGTTAATTACATTTTTAAGAATTATTGATACTAGATCCATAGAAATATAATTAAAATGAAAGTAATTTAAGTTAATATTTTATAAGGTTGAAGTTTATTAAAGCAATTTAAATATCATTCAAGATTCTTATCTCTGTTCTACCAAGATGCTTTTTCATGCATTAATAGCCATATTAGTACATAATTAAAAAGAGCAATCGTCAAAGCTATCAAGCAAACTGGAGGAACCAAAATAGATGCTGATCTAGAGAAGGTTTTGATACAAGAATTTAATTTATGGAAGGAATTATATGCTTCTTTGTAATTATTTATATTAAATAATTTTTATATGCAATAATTTGACATTGATAATCATCATTAAAACTATTAATTAGAACTGCAATATGCAAGGGCTAGGTAACGATAGAGAAGAAGAAGGATTATCTTAATTGTATTTGCTTTCATGTCTGTCTTTTATGTATTCATTCAACCAAATTAATATGCTGATAAATCAAATCAAATTCCATATTCTTAAAATAATGGCACAGATGGAGCCATCAATATTACAGAGACCAATTAAACATTAGCTCAAATCTAACAACATTTTTAAATCTTAGAAAAGCTGCTAATCTCCTAATTTCAAGGAAAATGGACAGATTCTTAAAATTTATCTAATAACTTAGCAGAAGCTACTTTTTTTAAAACCTCCTATTAAAATCGCTTTCAGATACAATTACAATTAAAACTCATTGAAGGTTAATTTCTAGAGGATTACTATAACCAATTCTCATTTTATTTGAATTCTTCGTAGTTAGTTTATCCATTTGAAGACAAGAAATTAGTTTTTGAGAATGTTAGAGGGTCTTACAGAAGATCTAGCGTTTTTGAAAAGGATCAATAAATCATAGAAATCTACGCGAATTTAACAATGAATTTAGATTATTTTGATTCGGAAAGTGAAACCATAGATGATATTACATTAGACTTGAATGCACATTATAAATTATACTCAGATACATTCTCATTCAGTTCTAGTCTAGGGGTGATAAATGTAAAATTTTATGTCTATATTAAGATAGATAATAAAGCCATAATTTATTCCACAATCGTTTCTGTTCTAAGTGTGATTCAATTTATCAGTTGCCTGAGATTGATGAGAGACTTAATCAATTAAAATAGGATCGCTACTTAATTCAGCCTATTTATTTTTGTTTTTCTAATGATCTTTGATGGATACTTAGGAATTGTTCATTTCTTTCTTGCAATAAAAAGTGAAGTATTTTATTTTATTATTTATTTAGTATTTCCTAACACCTGCCTTCCTTGAATTAGTATTGTTCTTCTTCTTGGAATTGAAACTCGCTAAACACATCTGGTAGGAAAGGTTCATCAATTTAGAAGACAACCTAAATTTGAGAAGAGAGCTTTACAGATTTCATCTCAAATTTTACATGCTTGCTATTATTTTAGTACTACTACTCTACTATTTTGTTTACTATAATGTTTTCTTGATTGCAATGAATCTATACTTACTACCTTAAATAATACATGTTGCATATCAAGGACAATATGTAGAATTTGATAAAATATTTGTTTTTGGCTTATTGTCAACCAGATTATTCATACCTGTAATATGCATCTAATCATTTAGATTTATTTCAGAGGTTGCCCCTACAATATTCTACATGCACAGGTGTCTTATTTATCAGTCACTATTATTCTTCTCTTATTTGTTGCTTAGGTAGTTCTGTACTATTATCAATGTAAAATCGGACCCAGATTCTTTATACCCAAATGTCTCAGACCTAAAACTCATGAATACTTCGTTGAACAACCCATAGAGGGAGATTGTGCCATTTGTATCACTTAATTGACTGACATACCAAGTGAATCTTAATCAGAAAATAAATTTATTGCTCAAATCATTAGTTAGAATTCACATAAACTTATGGAAACACCTTGTGTATTAATTAGTTACTAAATTAGGGTCATCATTTTCATTCTATTTGCTTAACTAAATGGATGAATGTCAAATTAAATTGTCCAACTTGTCGTTCTGTACTTCCACCATTAATTTGATTAATATAAATAAAAAAGGTTTATTAATTATTTCACTTATTGAATTTAATCCAAAGTTTGCATGTAAAATACTCCTATAATTCATATTATTACAATTACTTGAGTAAATCAAAAAGATATAAGATATTCCTAAGAGTGATTCAATATAATGTTAACATTAAAACAAATAAAGCATTATGTAGTAGTAATTATCCCGGTTTAAAATTAATATAATCGATCTGGTTATTATATATTTTATTAATTTAATATCTTAAAATGGAAGAATAACTCATAAATGTAATATTCGATCCCAATTTCTAATCTTTTGATTAAGAATTGGCCAACTTAAGTATGGATAAAATGATGAGTATCCAATTCTCAGAAGAATTGTTACAAAAAAATTTTGCAGTTTTGATATCTATATTAAAACAATTGCATAAGGGAATGGTGTTGTTGAATTCTAGAGTTTAAGACAATTCGGACTGGGTACAGGTATGAAATGAATAAATTACAAGAAACTGAAAGAAGTAAGTGAAACTCCTGAAACCAAGTAATAGAGCAAAGACACAATTGATCAAATCACTTCAAAATTATAGGAATTGCAGGAAGCAACTTAGAAGGACTAGGCAGCTAAGGAAGAAATTCAGAAAGACTATGCAACTAAGGAAGAATTAGATTAGACAGCCCAGAGATTTAGTAAGTCTTTGATTTACATTCCATTTAGATAGAATCGTAAAATAATAGGAACAATCCTTGTTGGATTTAGAAAGTGAATAAACTGCATAAGCCAAGAAAATAGAAGATCTAAATAATACTCAAACTCAACAATCCCAGTTGATAAACTAATTGAATCAAGAAATCGAAAATATCAAGAGATAGATGAATGGTTTCTAAGATGAGTTGCATGAAGTGGAAGAACGCAAACCGGAATAGATTATAGTAGAGAAGGAAATAATCAAGGAAACTCCAGTTTAACCTATGGCTCTCCCTATTCAATATAATGGAAATGATGAATAAATCAACAAATTAAATCAAATAGTTCAAGAATTAAGTAAATATTTATCTAAAGTTAGAATAAAAACAAGAATAATAATCATAAGAACTAGTAGATTTAAAGGAAGCATTGAGCAAAATTAAAATTCCTGAAGAAAATCCTCCAGTTGACTTATCGGATATCAATAAGAAATTAGATGGTCATGAAGAGGAGATCTAGTCTTTATTCGAAATAGTAGATAGTGTGAGATAGAAATTAAAGGATTAAAACAATAACTAATAATCTGATGTTTCGAGTGAGGAGTTAAATTAGATCAAAAGTGATATAAAGAAATTGCAATCACAAATTGAGGCTTTGTAGACTTAATTAAACTTAGCCACATTTGGATAAGGATAAGACATGCAAGAGAATTAGGTTGCTTTAATCTTAGTAGAAATAAATAAATTAAGAGATCAATTATAAAATTATTGTACAACAACAGACTTCTAGAATGAGAATACAAAAAAGGAAATGAAAATGAAGAGTGTTTAAGATCATGCAGATGAAGAGTTAGAAAAAGCAAGAAGGGAATTCAAAAGTAAAAATGACAAGAAAGCAGAGCAGACAGATATTGCCAAACTGGAAAAGGACATAAGCTAATTGAGAGAGCAATTAGGAAAATCTTAATAAAGATAATCGTCGATGCAAATTGAAACACCACTGAGACACTCGAATAATGACAAAGAACTATTACATTAGATTAAGGAATTGTAATAATCAATAAAAGAAATTGAAAAGTAAATAGTATGTAATCTCATATTAGTGATTTATTAATTCACAAAACATAAATGAATTAGAATAATCAACAAACTCATGTGAAGTTGGCCGAATTAGAAAAGAAGATCCAAGGCATCTAGACTGATAAAATTTATATTGAACTTTAGAATTAAAGAGAATAGATGGATTTGATTAAACGTGATTAAGATCAGAATAAAATAAAGATAAACAATTTTGGAAAGAAAATTGAATCAATTGTAACAAAGGATGAATTATTCTAAACTTTTGATCCTAAAATCAAATAAGTAAGAGATGATATCCAAAGAATTGGAGATGAAACCAAATTGAGTATAGACAGAAAAGCTGATGCTTAGGAAGTCAAAGATTTGAATCAAGCATTTTTGGATTAATTACAAAAGGTTGTCACTGAACTTATCAAAACATTGGCTAATAAATAAGAAACTAAAAAAGCACTTATATATCTGGAATAGAAAGTATTTTAGAATCATTAATTAGATTAATTAAATATTTATGATACTAGAAGGTGATGGATCCAAAGATTAGGATTCATTGTTTGTTAAGAAACCTCTCTCTTATAGTTGTGCCTCATGTGACAAGGAATTAGACAAATACAAAGGATAATTGGGAGATTTCAAAAATTGGGCAGTCTTCCCTCCGAAAGAAACCTCCCCTGAGAGAATGGGCAAGGTAGATTGTGATTCTATCCATAGTTCGGAATTGGATATAAGAATATGCAAGAGAAATTGAAATCTAACAGAGAAAAATTGGAAAAGGATAGGAGTTAGAATGAAAAAGAATCCAGTTAACATTAATAAAGCATGACATTAAGTCAAAGTCAAACATAATTACCAAAAATTAAATAATGATGATGTCTTTATTTCAATATAATTATAAAACCAAAAATTTTATGTTATATTAAAGAAATCACTATTTCTTATTGAATTATGAATACATTTAGATCCTCATTCATAGAAGATTCTCATTATTGAATCATATAATTTTTCCTTATATGTTTGAAACAACGTTTGAAATTCCAATCAATTGGGGTTAAATCTTGGGAGAATGACAAATGAAAAGAATAAAAACACTCTAATAATTTAGAAATTTGAAGGAACTTTGGATATCCTTTAGATATTAGTTTATATATCCCAAAAGTTTGGTTGTGCATAATAATAAATATATAATTGCACAAGTAATCAAATGAATTTGGTTAATTAAATACAATTAGATAAATCTAATTTAGATGTGTTGAAAGTGATTTCTCTATATGTTGTTAATATTACATTCTTTACAGCAGGACATGAGTACATACTTCTATAGGCATCATAAGAGTAAGTCTGCATGAAGTTTACGATACAATGTTCCAAAATCTAATCAATTAAACTATGAGTAATATTGCAACTATAAAGATGAAATAATATTTAATTTGATAAAGCTTAATTTGTAGAGGCATTCATGAACTCATGAATTTTGCTGTTGTGCTTAAAAACCCTTTGTAATAGAAATTTACTTAGGACAAAAGTAGAAATTAATTCTTGAGAATTCGCCAACACAATATAGTAACAAACTTAAAATAAATGCAATCAATAAAATTTAAGAAAATATAGATTATGCTAACAGTCTTTGATTATGAACTATTTTAGGAAGAAAATCGATGATAATATCTAAGATGTTGAAAGAGAGAATGAAAAGGTAAAGAGAAGGCAACTTTATTTATAATTGTTAGACTGATATGGTTAAACAATTAGTGGACAACCCCAAAGATTTAGAAAAGGATATTTCAATAAGGTGAAATTAATTAATTTGGACAGCCTTAAATGAGGATTCATAAAGAGGTTCTAACTTTTGAGAAGGAAGAAATTGAAATAGTAAACAACAGAGAAAAATTAATATGTTACAGAAAGCAAGAGGATTTTAATAACATAGTTAATCGTTTAAAAGAGGATAGATACAAATATAAGGTTAACTCCAATGAAAACCTGTTAGATAAATCACTTCTTTAGTTAGGGGTTAAGTGAATAATTATTATATACTAATCAATCTTCTTTTACTATCCAACATTTTTCACATACATCATAATCACATTCTTAACATCTATATGCTCCTCCTGCAATTGAAGCCCTACATACATCGCAAGAATGATATTTCAGATTAGGAACGTATTTCAATCTATTATTGATAATATATACTCGTGTCCTCCTCCACAAAATTCTCCCATCACAGGAGGCTATCTGCATTTTACACAATAATATATATTGCATTAAACGCATCCGTATCTGCTCATTGTGTCGACTGGGCCACATTGAGTACATTTAGAAATATGCTTCTTTACCCACTGTAGTTTATGATCATTTTGACAAACATCATTTGCAGCCCAATTAATCATAATATATACAATATTATTAATAATTAAAATAATCACATAAATCAGTGAGCGAACTTGATACCTTGATAAAATCTTACAACATGAATAATATGATTAACAGCAATAAATCATTTCGAATTTTGATTTAGCAAAGAAAAGAAATCTAAAATGCCATTAAATTGTTAATCAAACTCAATAACTCATTTTGAAAGACCGAAAAAATACTTATACAATCAGTTTATGAGGATTTAAGATGAAAAGTTTAATGAATGTTTAAATCAATAAGCAATTTATCGCATTTTTGCTTAAATACTATCTTATCCTTTGATGTTAAGTAAGAAGACATAAAAAATCCATCTTAGCCTCTTGGTTAAGAAGATTTATGTTAAAATAAAATTGCTGTATTGTATTAATTTTTAATTCATCATCAAGGTTTTTATTGTAAAAAGAAAGGATATAAGTGTCCATTCAAAAAAGATATTATTTTATAATTATGTAAATCAAATCAAAATTATCTTTTAATTTATTATAATTATTATTCCTGAAGATTTACAGATCTATTAGGATTCATTTCCTGAAATTTTATTTGATTAATGTTTTGGAATTTGGCAATTCAATATGGTTGTTTTCAAGGAATGTAAATTTATTTGGAGAGGGGTCTTAAATTTTAGATAACTTCAAAGAGAAATATCATTCTAAATAATTGGAAAACCATTTTATAAAATCTTAAATAATGAATAAAGTTTAATAGTAATCATTGAGATGAATTCTATTAATAGAAACAAATTGGAATATTAATGGAATGACAATATTTTGATTTTTATACTTATAATTCAATTTGTAATTTTTGTATATAACTTTCTCTTATTTATAATCTTCTTTCAACAATTTTTGAGTCTCTCGAATAATTTCTATTGAAATATAAAAATATATTTATTCTGTAAAGGTGAAAAATTAATCCCATCAAAAACTCATGTGGAAGGAATATAATTTACAATTTTTAATTTACTAATACAATAATGAGATTGAAAAAGATACAAAAAATAATAGCTACAAACATAAATAACATAGAGCATCACAGATGATGAGTTTGGTACCAATCACAATACTTGTATAGTTAAGTAGCATTAGATAATTCAGCAAATGATTTTAATTGAGAGACAGAGTTTTGATCAATGAAATTGCAAAGAATCTTCTCACATAAGGATTTCAAATCTTCTAACATATAGTAATCAGCAGTCGATAACAAAGATTTGACCTATTGTAAACAGGTTGAAAATTGATCACTTGGTTGCTAATTAATAATAGCTTTGATTACTTACTTCTCCTGTGTATATATACAATAGTAATTATTCAAATACTGCAGCAGAAGTATCTTTGATGTATATTTTCTATTCTTCATTCTGCTATTCCGATTCGAAAAGCTTAGAGAAGTTTTAATATCTAGATAATACTGTAATATAATGGAAATTTACATAGTTTATGTGCATAAAATTATTGACCCTCAACGAAAAAGATGAGATCACTGTATTTAGGAGAATTGTAGAATTACTTAAAATAGTTATTCACTTAAATATTGTTGAAATCCAGGATATGAATATTGGGAGGAGTGATAGTATCAATGATAAAAAAGTCTCTAAAGTACTAAGTACCACAAGACCCACCGAAAATATAAATTAGATTACCCATAGCTGTCATGCTATGACCAGCTCTGGCTTTATCAAAGTGTTCTTCGTCTTACAATTCTACAATTGTCCATTGATTTTTAATTGGATCATAGCATTATAAATCCCCGAAACAAGTTGTTTATGGTCCACTGCCTCCAAATAAATAGATGTTATTGTTTATAGTTGTCATACACATTCCTGCCCTTGCACTGGGTGAGTAGGCAGCATTTAATTCACTCCATTTATTAGAGGATGTATCGTAAGAATAGAGATCATTTAATCTTTTCTTGCCGTCCCATCCTCCAAAAATAAAGAGTTTGTTTTCCCAAACTGTAGAACTATGATTGGCTCTTGGAGGGGGTTTATCCTTATCAGGAGTTTGTATGAATTTCCAAATATTGGTATTTGCATCGAAACTGTGTAAGTCGTTGAGATAATCCTTGCCGTCTCCACCCCTGAAGATGTAGATCAATTAACCAATAAGATCAGCACTGTGCATATTACATGGACCAGGAATCTACTTAATAATTGCGATTACTTCTCCGATTGTATTTACTAATGTCCATGTCAGAGTATCGAGGTCTAGAACATAGACTTCTCCACTTGCATAGGTTCCACTTCCTAACCAGCCTCCGATCACAAACATTTTATTGTCGACCACAGTTGCAGAATGACCATTTCTACTTTCAGGGATCTTACCATTAGCCTTGCACTTGGTCCATTGTCCATCCCTGTAGATGTGAATATCATGGTGATTCTTCTTAGAATCATATCCCCCGAAAATTATAATTTAATTCTTGTAATGCACAGAGGTGTGGTTCTTAATTGCAGGACATTGTTGGGCATTTTTCCTGACTACCTTGGCGACTAGTTTCTCCTATTGGCAATAATTAGGAGATTGTCCATTTCCATCGTAGTGATACATAATATTGTAAGATTATTTAAATATGATTTTACATTATTAATGGAATCTATTGAATGCAAGGAAGATTTGCAAGATAATGAAATGCTTATTGTTATTATAAACAATTATAGAATTAATCAACTGTTCTGTTTGCTCTTATTTGATATTATACTGTCTTGATATTATTTATAGGAGAAGAGAGCCTTGTAATTAGAGATAAGTGTATACCTGATCTATATTATTTCTTGGATAATAATCACTGTAGCTATGATTGTTATCGATGGATTGATTAAGATCGTATAAGGGCATATCAAAGGGGTTATTCTAAAATTACTTGGCTGTTTCATTGGTAAATTTAGATGATTATATGCCGTATTTCGAGAATTGTCGATGATCTGAACTTTATAGGATTCCATTGCCATGATCTTCACTAATGATTGATTTTGACTTTTGACTTCTTTTATCCTAAATTGTAGCATATTTTATAATCGACGGACTCAAATCTAGAATATTGAAGATCTCAAACCTCTTTCGACTTTGGTCACATGAGATTACCTTTTCTCCTGATATCTCTTTTGATGCACCATGAAACTATCCTTCGGTGATTTTAATTGTTATGCCTGTTTTAATTCCTTCAGCATATAAGAACTAGCACTACTGCCCACTTAAGGTGCATATTAAACAGGACTCAAGTTTTATACATACTAAGACATCTTATGGTGATCCTCTTCTTCGGAATGATCAGAGTGCTATTAATCTAATTACATTCCTAGACTGGTGATTGTCTTGGGACGTTTGAATGTTTCAGATGAGAGTAACATCAGATGTCTTACGTTGCAGACTACTTATTCAATCATGCTGGTATTCTTCATACAACTGAACTTCCTTGTATGATTTCTCTATTGTATTTTACAATTATTTACCCTTTGAAATGTCTATCTTTTGTTGATCTCATCAAAGTAGATGTAATCCATCAGCATCTATCTTGGAGGCACATAATGGACTTTCTTGCAACTGTCAATCTTGTGATTCCCTCTGCAAATCTAACAAGACACTCCAATTAATTTATATTCCTAATTGAATTGCACTCTATCTAAACACATCTTGATTTTCTCAAGTTCAGTGATACTCCTTCTAACCTCTTTCCAGAACTCGTCTGGATTGATTTCCAATATCTTGCAACAAGTTTCACATTAAACTCCGATTTCAGATTGCTATTCCAAAAAGAACCCATTCTGATTATAAATTCCATTTTCATTGATAGCTATTGGAAATTGTTTATTTTATCTTTGCTAGTAACATCTGACCTTTCCTGATAAGATGAAGTATAAGAACTTATTCTCTTATTAAGCTTCAATCAGAACTTCATTCGGCTCTAGAATTCTTTCCTTGGTTGCATTCTTTAATATACTTGCTATTGAGGCTTTGCTCAAACACTTGTCTATTAGTGGTATTTTCCTCACAATTTTCGAGTACTATTCATGCAACAATTTAGTAGACAATGAATTCGGTAATCTATCATAATCGATCAGGTTCCTTGTTTTCAATCTAGATTGAATTTATTTATTTGATATCAATAGACTTTCGTATCTGAGATCGAATGGCAATTGCTGGATAATTTTTGATAACTCAACTAGCCCTGATATCAAAGTACTTTGATTTTGATATAGATGATTAATCTAATTGCTTATGATGGTGAATTGATAAACCAGGAATATCAGCACCATGATTTTGATTGGGTATATCAGGATGGATTTGTTGTTTGCTATGATGAGGATATTGAATAAACTGCATTGATTTTAGTAGAACTCATTCAAACTCTAATGATTGGTATCATCATTCAAACTCTCAGGATTTTAATTGACTTGTGTGATTACTATAAGGAATCCACAAATAATTTGGAAGAGGTGAATTTAAGATATTCTTAAAGTGAAGAAATAAATGGAGTATTATTTGAAACATATGGAGAGTTAGAACAACTGCTTGAATATTTGATAGAACCTTGTGAATGTCACGATGTGTATGATCTACATGAATATTACTTGCTATCTATGATAATCGCAATGAATACTTGAAATCAATCAAAGTGCAAATAAAGGGAATAAAAGCACCCAATGGCAAATAGTCGATAAATTTAGCAGTCTTCTATCTGTTCAAACTAAACAATAGGAAGTTTAAAAAGAGCAACGGGAGTTAGGTTTACAACTGGTATGTTAGATTATAGTCTGAATAAGCCACTCCATACAGCAGGAGTGGAAATTAATACATGTAATATATATAAAGGAGGACTTAAATTATGATTACTATCGGTTTGATATTTGTTGAGAGTTCGGGTTTGCCGTTTTCTAGAGGAAAAGAGTTGTCACCCAAATATTATCCATACTTATTGCATGAATCATCATCCCTACATGTACCTTAATGAGTAAATATTTGACTCCAATGTACTGGTTCCTTGAAAATAAACTCGTTGATCTGGGGAGGCACCTTCTTATATATTAGAGACTCAAAGGCCTTATTGTCTGAATGTTCATTCACACTCGACTCTTCATTTATAAGATTCAATGGCGTTGCTCTGCCATCCTGTGCTCCTGATGTACAAAGTGGTGATTTCTACACATTATGAGTACCTATTCTATTGTAATGGAGGTTCTAATACTATGTTGAGAGTCGATTGGAGTGAAGGAACTATTTAAATCACTCGGCCTTCGAACTTGCATGATGGGCTAAGAATTCAGCGAGTTTATTTGTTGCAAGACTGGAACATTATTGGCCGTGTCATTTACAGAGATTTCTGATTTTGAGCAATTTTTACGATAAGAACTCATTATTATTTAATTATATTACTCAAAGTCAATGGAACAAATCCATTTAGCTATTACATTTGAGATTGAACCACGTCCTCTTCATTTTCATCAAACATGATAGGCATTGGTTCAGTTTCGTGCATCTTCTTAGGATTCACAAAATTGTTTCGATGACTCAATTTCTTCTCCAGGAATTCCAATATTTTCATTTGCTTATTTAATTGAGTACTACTAGTACTGCCCCCTTATCCTATAGAATCAATCTTCGCATCCAATACCTCCTCACTTCTCTTCACCAAATTTTGGGTGTTGCTTTGCTCTTTTGACAACAACTGTTGGATTATGATTAGGAATATTGAAATGGTCAGATCCAGCACCACACCCCCGCACAAACTCACATAGAAGAGCTAATTTGGATTTAATCTTTACAAGAAATAGTTGCGTGTCATCCTCCAAATAAGATATTATTGCAAATATCCTTACAGATATACACAATAAACATTTTAGTACCAACAACCATATGTTCTTGAAAATGTATCTTTCATTATCATGCATTCAATACTGTAATTAATTGTCATCCAAACATTTGTTCAGAAAAATAGAGTGAAATTTACTATTACAATTCGAGCAAATTTGGCACTCCTTGCACTTGAAATCTTTACTCGCTCTTCCACAACCCAAGCAGGCTTGCTAAAACTTTAGTTGCTTCGTATTAAATATAGTCACTAAATCAGGAATCGTACGTACCTTTCGTGTTCCCCAATAAGAAAAGTAGTATTATAATTATAAATGCACATAATATAACCATGGCAACATACTCTGATATTATAATTGAACTACCTCGTAATGCTCATAAAGTATCGAGTAAACGCAGTCATTTATGAACAAAGTATTCTCAACCATCTGTATACCAATCGCAAGATTCAGAATTACCTTCTATTTCATATCAAACTTAATTTCACTGATATTTATATTATTTATAATCAATTTCCAACACTTCCTCATAAATAATTGATTTTATTTAAGATAAATTATATTCCTCATTTAAAATAGTAAATTCTCTTAAAAGTCGTGAATCCTACACTCAACATTTGCTATCAATAAATGTCGCAAACTAATCATCCATAATTTCCAAAAATCCCTCAACCTTCTAAGTGTTCAAAATGCCAAGAACTCTCTCTACACACTTTGCATCTCAATATTAATAAGAAAATAGATATTATACATACATATATTTTGTTGTTAAATAATCTATTTATTTTTGATTAATAATTGGCTTTTGTGATTAAATAACTACAAAATTCATATTAATTGTACAAATTAAGTATTATCAATAACAATATATTCAGGATAGTATAAAATCTGGGGAGAGCTAAGAACTGAAATTGGAGGAAGGTAGAGAATTGCGAAAAATGAAATAATTTAAATGAAATTCATAAATTAAACAATATAAACAATAATCAATCACAAAATAATTAATTTTGAGTATACTTTATAATATATATGGTAAGTAAAGACTTTTATTAAACATTATTCTTAATTATTAAATTATAAATTGAATGGGTAATCAATAGCAAATATTGAAATTGACAAAGACTAAATAGTTTAAGCGTAAACTAGTTGATTTATAGTATAGCAAACTCTGTAATCGTGATCACAGGAGCATCAAGTGGAATTGGACGTGAATTGGCCTTACAATATGCAACGAGAGGAGTCAAGTATAAATATGGTTAATTGGATTAGATTGATGTTGGCTGCAAGATCAGAAGAGGAATTAAAGGAAGTTTGTGCATTATGCGAATAACTGGGATCGAGAGCTCATTATAAGATCACAGATGTATCTAAAGAAGAGGATTGCAAGTATTGAATGATTTAAGATTGAGAGATAGTTGATAGAGGAGACAGTGAGAATATTCAATAGAATCGATATTTTGGTGTTGAATGCTGGAGTCAATGCACATTCATTTTTTGAAGAATTCAAAGATTTATCAATTTTTAAGAAGATCATGGATATCAATTTTTATGGATATGTATATTGTACTAAGTAAGTGTAATTGAGATTCATTTAGATATGCATTACCACACATAAGAAGGAGTTCAGGTCAGTTTGTTGTAATGTCTTCGATCTCAGGAGAGATTGGACTACCTTACAGAGTACCATATTGCAGTTCAAAGTTTGCAGTTACAGGGTTCTTTGAAGCACTTAGGACAGAGTTGGAAGATTTCAATGTCGCCATAACAATAGTGTGTCCTCCAAGTGTACGTACTCCAATGAGGGATCACGATTTATTAAAGAAGCATTCCCCTAAGGATGAGAGCGAGGATAGAATTACAATATCAGAGTGTGTGTCTATGATTTTGGATGCAGCTGACAGGAGGGCTCGCAAAGTATAGATTTAATTTTGAGTAGATCTTCTTTCCATTTAAAGCTTATTTGAGTGTTTATGTGAGACCTATCTTTCCTGATTTTGTGGATAAGAGATTAAAATAGAAGGCTAAGTTGTGAGAATAAAAACAATTGTCATTATATAATTATCATAGTCTTTTTTTACCACATGAACCACAGTATTTGTGATTGTTGGCGAATTTACTGCCACAATTTGTGCAGAAGATACTGCGTTGAAATTTATTTCCACTATTCATGCGTATGCAGAGAGTGATATGCTTTTCGTATGCTTTTTGTTCAAATGTCTTCTAACATTGGGGACACTTAGCTATGGGCACTGAACGTGATAATATGCTTTCAACTCTCTGTTTTATTTTGGGTAGAAATGATGGTTGACTTGAGGAGAGTTCCTAGATCAAAGTTTCATCTGCCTCTTCTTCTTCATTAATCTAAGCAACCACCTTGTATTTGTCCAATGCTTTTGTTCTCGCTTAACATGTGTGTGCCTTTAGATTTCTGTATTTCTTATGACAATATGGACAGGGCAATAAGGTGGGCTATGTGTGCAATTCTTATGTTTTTTATTTCTTGGATTTTTTTACAAATGGATGTTGAGCTGTACAACTACGTAAGTGTAATGTTAGACGACCCTCGAAGAATTGCCGTTTGCAATGAGGACACTGTTCCTTCGGTATCATTTCGATTTAAGCATCCACAGGTGTGAAGGGTCTTTCAATTTATTCGTCCAATTGTTCTTTGTCGAATGAATTATTCACTGCTTAAATGGTCGACTTTGAAATGGCATCCTCATCAAAGAACTCATTATTCTCGTTATCAGTAGGAAATTTTAATTTGTTCATTAATTAATATATGCTAATCAAGAAATTAAGTAACATCATTGCTAAGTATAGATTCTCCAAAGAAACTCTCGATTTTGCAAAATCTACTCCCCCCAAGTAACAACTCGCTTCACAACCTGTCAATTGTATGGTCTTACATCCAGTCTTCTATCCCAACAAAGGACCAGAATTGGAATTGTATATGGCTGAGGAAGCAATTGGCTTATCAAAATCATTGAATTGGACTCTAGAATAAGGACCTCTCTGGAAACAAGAATATACTCAGGATATCAGAAGAAGTCAAGGCAAAATTGATGAAGACGAAGAAAATTAAGGAGATCAATCAAAAGAGTAAAATAAAGTATAAGACTTTCAAATGAATGAAGATGATCTAGGTCATGAGTGGAGAAATAAAATTATCAGAAATTCAATTGCAAAATCATCACTTGTCAAAATACCTCGAATTCATTCAACCACATTCTTTACAAAAGGTAAGCTAGCCATGTTGGGATAACACATTCAATCCAAAAAAATTAATGCCGTCTTCATAAATCATGAATTAACACCCTTATAAACTAGAAACCTAGAAAAACTATGGACTCAATATTCAAGAGGAGAAATTACATCGGCCATTAAGGAAGATATTAATGAGAATAATGAAAGCACTGAAAATATACCAGATGAAATTGATTCTGATAGTGAATTTGAAGGTCTCTCTGTAAAAGTGTTTGATCGATTCACTATGATTTTATAAATATTTGCCAAAAGATCCACACAAGGTGTTTCCAGATTATAGATTGAATTGTCGTTTCTCAGATTTGCCAAAACTAAATTAGTAAGAAGTGGAAGTGCCTTTGTATCACTCTCATCAATCTTCAAAGGAGATCTCATGATGGCTAAGGAAGTGTATGTTGAAGTTGTATCAGCCAAGCAAAGAAGGGCCTTAGGGAAAATGAGTGGATCAGGAGAGAGCGAACTCTAATTATAAAGAAGACTTATAGACGATAGGATTGCTAAAGTCAAAAAACTTATTGAAGAAGAATGTTAATAACGATCCAAAATTAAACGCAAGAAGCTTATTCACACTGTTCCCAGAATTGCATTGATTGGATACACTAATGCTGGTAAGTCTTAATTATTAAACTGTATATTATAAAAGGATGTAGTCTAGAGTAAAGATTTACTCTTTTAGACTTTAGATACAACCTCAAAATCTATTAGATTAGCCTCTGGGTAGAAAGCTATTATGCTCGATACCATTGGATTCATTACAGATCTACCACATGATTTAGTAGAATCCTTTAAGTGTACCCTTGAAGAAGTAGAAGATGCTGATATTGTTTTACACATTAGAGATATATCTCATCCTTGTACAGAGTAATAAAAATAAGTTGTCCTTGATGTCCTTAAGGAATTAGGGTTTAATCAAGATTTCTACAATAAGAAAATGGTATGTCTAATTATTAATTTAGATTGAAGTATGGAATAAAATCGATTTGATGAGCTATCCTATTGATTATGAGTTCATTGAATCTTAGGATTATCCAATAGTGCCTGTAAGTGCATTAATGAATATCAATATCAAAAAGTTGCTGTAAGTAATGGAGGAAAAATCAAATCAAATTTTGAATAAGAAATTATACAGAATTAGATATAATATAGAATAGCATTTCGAAAGACTTAGATGGTTATATGATAATGGTAACATTTCAGGAGTTAAGAATGAAATGTAAATACCTCCTATCAAGAAAGGGGATCCAACAATAATGGAATACGATGTCATTTTAGATGAAGTCACTTACAATAGATACATAGCAACATTTTAACCTGAAATGAGAGTTAAAAAAAATAAAGGCATGCCTCCTTCAAATTGGAAATGATTTGTTTATGTTTTCTTTAATAAAGAGTTTTCTTTATTTCAAATTAATCAAAAATAATTTATTCTTTTTTATTACCTTTGAATACTCCATCTCAAAAGATCTTAGCTATGAAAAATGATCTCTCATGTGGAAAACTTCATAAAAATGGTATCTTTTATTTCACTTTAAATATTTTAATTGATATAAGCATAAAATTAAATAATAATATTGGATTAGAATCTAAGTTAAAAAACTTATTTTTTATTTAAATTATATTTATTAAATTAAGGTTGTTTCATTATAAATTATATTTAACAAAGGATTACATCGTTTTGATATACAAAAAACAAATAGAGTTAAATAGTTAAATTATTTATATATTTAAAATTCATTACAATTCTCCATTTTATTTTAAATTTTCTTTTTAATAAGTGCCTTTTTTGATTCAATTTTAATTTGGAAATAAATTATTTTTATAGATATAAATTGATATATTTTATTCATCAAAGCTCTGCTAAAACTGTTAAGATGCATAAAATAGGTAGGACAATCACCAAGATCATTAGTAAATTATATTATTTCTATTTGCATTCAATTGGAACTTATTTATCCATAGTAAGTTTCTTCTAGTTCCTTAGAAACTCAGCTATTGTTTCAATTGATCTTTATTATTGTTCTAATTGATCATCTTTAAATATGAAATAGTTTGCATAACTTTCTCTTTTTTGAAGAATCTAGCATTTAATTCCATTTCCATCACTAGAAGGATTTTATTTCTTGAAATCTTTTGGGATTGATTCGTTATACTAGTAGGATTTATATAGTTTCTCGTAAATCGTTTATCTGTATAAGAATTCTTCCTTTGTTTCAGAATTTGTAATACACGAGGTAAATGTTTGTCTTCTTTTTTTATGTAGAAGACTTTTTATCATAGAATCTCGATTTGAATTGTGTAAACATTCAGATTTCATATAAAGCAAGTATTTATTAAAATTTATAATGTAAAACAACTTTATTCACTTTAAATAACTTAAAAAGTATGTATTTGTAATGGTAAATAGCGAGGGAAAGTGTGAATTTTATCTGTTAGTTTGATTTTACAATGGATAAATTAAGGAAACATAATAAAATACATAAATGGCGATTATTGATATTATTTTTAGCAATGGGAATTTTCTAGAACTTTTTATAATGTTCATGAAAATTAATATATTTTAATTAAATATAAATTAGCTCATTTTACTCCCATTAAATTGCAACATTCCCAAGAAATGATTTCATTATATTACTATAAGTAGTTCTTATTAGCATAAATAAACATTCTAAATAAAGTTTTAGATGATTATTGTTCTTTTTGTAATACTCGCCAGGAATAAATATATCAAACCAAGTATTTTAGAATATTGAGGCAGAGGTATTTTCCTCAATCCTTGAACAAGAGCAATTATGGGAAGATAGTTTAAATCAGTCTAAATTTTATATTATTTATTTTATTTATATAATCTCAAATTATCTGAGGGAGTCGTAGAGAAGTTTGATTAAAATATTTATTATGTTCTATTTTTTTTCAGAGAATCCAATTATTTCAAAATTATTTATCTTTCTGTAATGATAATAGAAACATTTATTTTGGAGAGACAAAAATATAACTAAGATTTCCATAAGTTATAACTATAAAGAAGATTTGATTGCATATTTCAGCATTTAATCATTATTTCTTTATTAGTGATTTAAAATGCTAATTCTTACTGAATTTATACACCTCTTAGAGTAACACTAAATCTCATTTATATGAATATTGAATTAAATTAGGACAATTTTAGACCTGCTAAAAATCAAGAAAATCGAATATTGATTATGTAAATGTATGTCATAATATTTATTTGGTTGAAAGCAATTTAGAATCAACAAGTTTGAGTAAACATTAATCATTCAAGAATATTTTAATAGAAATCATTTGTGAGTTTAAAAATAATATTAGTTTTACAAATAATAAGCTAAATAAATAAAATGATATTTCACATGATATTGATTTTTTGAATTATCACTTTACATATAGATTAATAAAAGCCCCATTATATATAATTTCCTGGTTCTCGTATTAATTAAATACTAATATTATGCGGTAATTATCGAAATTATGGTCTGGCGATGCTAGAGAATATGAATTTAGTCAAATATAATTTTCAAAATTACTAATGATAGAAAAAACTATGAAAAATTTACATTTTGATTAAGATATATACCTTAAGTGTATACAAGATACTAAGGGATAATATAGATTACACAATTTACTATAATCTCCCTTTGAAAATAGTCATTTAACATTGATTGATCTAATCTTCTTTTCCTCCTGAAGCATAGAGTAACAGATGTTAAAGATTATAAAAAACCTTTTGATTTTAGTTAGGTCCAGTTAAACCAATATTTAAGATGGATTTGGAATGCTTTTTAGATTCTCTTCTTTGATATATTAAGAATACCATACTCTGAACTGATATTTTTATTAAATGAAAAAAAAAGCTCCTACGAGGAAAAGAATGAATTATGAGGATGCGTTGAAAGTAGCAGCAAAAGAAGAAGTATATGCGATGTAAATTAGCAAAGGTGGCCTTTTTTGGATAATGCTCGAAGTTCAAAGATAGACCATCTGATCCTGCTCCAATTGATAGAGCAATACATTTCCTCTTTTTGAAGGAGAATGTAAGTTACTTCATTCTTCCACAACTTAGAATGTAGACAGAAAGACAGCATTACAATTTGGAATGCGAAGACTGTGTAAAATTGATAGTACTAGAAAATTTGATGGTCCTGCTGATTACAGAATCATGAAGACGAATAAATTGCTATCTGGAGCAATTAACGGATGGTATAACGGAGCAGCTGAGGCTAAGTTTGATTTAGGTTCTGGTTTTACTATCGATATTGCTAATAAACAAGACAATAGTTTTCATTTGAAAAATAACAATCCTGTCGATTTAAGAGTCTAGACTTCAGAAAGAGACAAGCTCACTATGCAAAGGTTTGAATTCTCAAAATTAAATTCAGAGAGGTTGACTTAAGAATTGAGTAAATTAAAAGAGGAAACGTAATAAAAAAGCAATCAGCCCAAATTATATGTTGAAGTAGCTGGATAAAAGTTATTTCACCTTCTCGATTAGGACAACTCCAAACCTTCTCTTTTATAAGAATTCAAAGCTTTTCCCTCCATCGAAGATATTGTGAGACTCCATCAGGTCAAATCACTTGACAAAATTGAATCAATGAGCAATCTTCAAGAATCAAGTACATCAAGATTGAGGTAGAGAGCTATGACTAATTTGCATCATTAAAAATAGACAATCTTTTAGAAGAAGAGACTGTCTGCTCAACCAGATGAAGACCCACAGAAGATATATAAGAAGCTATTAAAACAATTAAGATCTGATGATTAATTTACCGTGTCTTCTTAATAACCAAAAAGGATGTTATATGGTTAAAGTAATCATGCAAATACTTCCAGAAGGAATTCCTAGCAGTCCTTCTTCTTCAATTTAACGAACAAATAGACAGTCCCTTCTAACACTAGCATCAGCAATTCGCAATAAAATTTAGAATCCAATTGTATTAAGAAACAATTTACTCAAAGGTCTTCACAATTGGAATAGGGGACTTGTTTTGAGTAGAAAGTTGAAACCTTTATTAAATAAAAGCTTATGATTTAAAATTCAAAGTCATTATCTCCAGAAATAGATTGCACAAATTTATAATAAAAATAGGATGTAATTAAAATTTTTAGTTTAGTTATTCAAATAATTGAAATTGAAAGAAATATAGAGAATATAGAAAGGAAGAATAAATTCTTAGAGATGAATATTAAGTTATCATTAATTAATCTTAAATTTTATGGGCAACAACTTAGTTGACGTTTCTGCTGTGGAATCCAAAAGAGAAGGTTGGGTTTGATTTCTGTGATGTGATAAATTTCTAGCTTCCAAGAATTGAGACTATTATTATTTCCATTACACTACCTGAAAGTCCTTTTTCAATTGTAATGAATGACTTTCATATCTATGCATTTTCTATTTCAATCTTTTAAGTTCTATTTCTTTTGTAGAACCTGTAATCTAACTAGCTCTCAACATTTCACGCAGAATAGCATTCTCTTGTATCAAATTCTTATTGTCACTCTTCATTTTGATATACTATTAGAAATCGACATTTTCAATCATCACTTTCAACTAATCTAGTTCATCTTAAAGTACTGCAATCTTTAGAATGTGAGCATTTTTACTTCTTTTTATCCATCCAGCTTGACTTGCTTCAATTACTTATCGTGAATCTACTTTTCATACTCAAGATGCTATTTGAGTGCATCAATTTGAGATTACATTTCTTAACGAGTTATACTTTTAAGGTACATTTTTTGTTTAATTACTTATTAATATCATCATAATCATCTTCTGCCCTGAGAAGAAGCTGAACGTACAGACGATCTAACAGAGGGGACTCCAACAGATGAGGGTTATTTACTAGGAACAGTGACATTTTTCTCCTAAAAGACAGCATCTATTATTGCTTGCATTTCTGGAAATTCCTAGACTAAATTGCTAAAGAGGTTGATAGAATAAAAATGTTACAAAATGCAGGTTTTTAGTGTCTTATTTAAATTATTCTAAATGTCTAACTCTAAAGCTGAGATGTGTGCATTTGATTCATCAAGCACAATTCTTTTTTATTAAACTTTTGCTAGTTTTGAACTCATTATATTCTCAGCCCTATTAATCTTCTCTTGCTAATCTTGCAACTCTTTTTCCAACTTTTAGAATTGCATTTCCATTTCCCTCTCTTGATTATCCAGAATTTCAATCTACAATAAATATTATTAATACTCTATTCTGTATTTCAGTCAGCCTTCTCATATCCTCATCTATTTCTTATTACAATCGTTGCAATTCCTTTTTCTTTTTAAATAAGTTCTCAGATGCTGCTCTACATTGTTCCTCCAATCCATCTCTATGAGATACTTCTTTCTAAGAAATACCCTTGTTTAAGAAACTGTCCCTATACTTACTGTTTCTATTCTTAAGGTGAGATAGTGTGTTATCTAAGGCCTTTAATTCTTGATCTCTTTTTATGATTTCAGCATTCAATTCATCACCTTTCCTCTGCAATTCCTCTCTTTCTTAAGATGCCTTAATAATATAATAAGCTTATGAATGCTCCTCGATGTTTTGGGTGTCCTACTCTCCATTCGAGGATTTGTTCTTCTATACCAAAGATTCATATTTGATTCTGAGATTCTTCACTCTGTTTTATCTCTCAGCCAATTCAACAGCAATTTTATGTCTTTCCTCTTCAGCTGCCTTGTGTTCAGCCACCAAAACATCTTTATGTACTTAAATTTCCTATTCCCTTTCTTGCATAGCCATTTCCAATTGATATTTACGATTCTCTAAGTTAAACACTTTATCAACAGCAGTTGTCACTACCTTTTAAATCTTTTGTATTTCTAACTTCATAAAATCGTGTTAAACCAACACTTCTTCTTTTGACTTAACAATCTTGCTCAAGTCCTAATAAGTCATATCATTTTCTAAGGTTAATTCATCAATTGCTTATTTCAATTTAGTTTATGATCCTTTGGTACCAGTCAATTGTCTATCTGTTCCTCTTAAGTCATCATCCAGTCTTTTCAAACTCTACAATAATGTTTTGTATTCCTTCTTTTACAAATTGACCTTCTCCTCAATTTCCTTGATTTCATTTTCCAAATCCTTCTTCTCTTCCAATGTACGTTCTCCTTTGGCTCTTGCTACTCTTCTTTCCATCAATTATATCTAATATTCGGCATTATACAATAATTCTTATTATCTTTAAAATTCTTAAATTAATTTATTGATATGAGCTTAATAATTACGGCAAGCACTCACATTTGCTTGTATTTCTCCATATAAATTAGCTTCGTTTTCTCTCAATTTAAATAAATCTTGCGTAGCTTTGAATAAGACCTCCTTTTGTAATTTGATTTCCTTATCCAGATCAATCCTTTACTTTTCCAAGTTCTTGTATCTATCTGATGCCATACTCCTTTGTTTTTCAAACTCTTAATGTTAGATATCTTCCAACTTCAATTTCTGTTTCTCACTTGCATATTTCTTTTAAGCATTATTCAATCTCTATTTCTTAATTAGGAGTTCTTATGACATCTAAGCCAATCTATTTCTCTTATTAGATAAATCAGTAGCAAAAGCAGATAGTTAATTCTTTTAAATTTCAACATCAGCTTTCAGATTATCTATTGCCAATTCGATGTCTTTGTTAGATTACCTCTATTAAATAATAGTTCTCTCAAGTTGCTAATTTTGAACTTCAACTGATTTATTTTCTTGCTTCTCATTCATCAATTAAGACTTTCGATTCTCTAAATCTTATTGATTTGCTTTGATCTAAGCCTTGATATCAGCATATCTCTCTGATTCATCTCTAATTGCTTGATCTCTTCTGGCTATATTGTCTGTCACTTCTTACCATTGTTGAAATAGTTTATGACGTTCATCATGTTATCTTCTAAATTCTTCTGCTGTCTTATCCAATTCAATTTAGGCTGTCTATGTTTCTGTGATTTCTCTATCCAGTTCATTTTGTCTCCTGCTAACTTCAACAGTCAATTTTTCTATCTGTAGATTGAGTTCTTTAATTTTGGCTTCATCTCCTCTCTTATATTTCTCCATGGTTAAAGAGTCCTCTTCCTTTTATCTTGCAGCCAAAACCCATTGTTCCAATTCTTCTTGATTCCAATTCATCTCAATCTTGTATTTGTCCAATCTCTCATTCCCTCGATAGATGGAATTTTGAACATCATTCAATCTCTCTTGTTACTCGATCATTCTAAAATAGTGTGTGAATACCATACATCTTTTATTGTTTTGTCATTTCATTTTGAAGACGACCAATTTATCTTTCTGTTATTTATTTCAAATGGTCTTCAGTTTCAATTTCTTTGTTTTTTGTGTCGATCTTAAATATTATTCAATTGATACCAAAGCCTAAGTGTGAAGTAATTCCTGCTGGATGTTCTTCAAGTGTTCCGAAAGCACTTTCAACTTATCACTCTTTTCCTCAATCTTGGAATTGATGTCTCGAATGATGCGTCTTTTTAATTTGATCTAAAATTCAAAATACCCATATAAATACCTTCTCATTGAGTTCCTTATTTGCCTCGTTGGCATATTCAGGGAAGTCATCGTCCTCTTCCTCATTGACAAGCTCTTGATTCTCATCATTCTCGTTATTGTTATCCATTGATTATTAAAAAAATATATAATTTATTTATTCAACTGTCTTCCAATTATAAGATATTCCTTAGTATTTGGAATCATCTGATCATTTACAACTTCCAGAATATATTACAATAAAGAAGGGCTCAAAAAGGGATAACAATAAAATCATATTGACTTTACTTTTAATTCGAAAACTGGCAATAATAATTTCTTTTATAAAAGAGTTGAATTTTTATAATTGAGTATATTATAGATATATAATTTATTAAGTTAATCAAACTAATAAGATTGGTTGGTGAAAAACTCTTGAAAGTCAAAATGTGAAACTGATGAAATATGCAATTTTATTTGATGAAGATGTTAACTAGTTTTATTACAATAATGATGTTTAATAATCATTTACTTTTATTATAAATAAAGTTGTCAAATTTAAAGGCTAAATTTAAAGATTTAATCTTAAAATATGACATATTAACAATTACATATACGAAAGAAAATGGTAGAACTAGGTCCTTAAATGGTTGAATGATTGATTATTTTGAGAAGTGTAAAAATCTAATCATAAGATTAACATAGAGTTCATAGGTGCTAATCAGATTTTTATCAGACAAAGAAACAAGCAGAAGTAGTGACATGATATGTAATATTTTAAGCATAAATAAAGGTAGTGATTTTTCATTTTTTGATAAGTAGTGTGTATGAGATGGAGAAATTCGACTTTTTTTGAGTTCTAAAGTGTAGATCTTCACAAAATTGAACAGTGAATGTGTGTTCCAAAAACTTAATTAAAATGAAAGAAACTTTATCATTGATATATGGAAGAAGAGTATATAAATCCTAAAGATTGAATTATTGTTAGCCAGTCTAATTTTAGCAATTAATTATGTATGGATTAATATCAACTAGATTATCACAGAAGATTCGCTTAAGATCAAGAACCAAATCCGTACTGTATCCTCTAGACAATTACAAAAAGTATGAAATATTGATGGTATCAAAGAATAACATTTTAAAATTCAAGAGTATATTATTAGAAATGAATAGATCTTCATAATGCTCATAGGATCCAATAAAAAACATATTAACAAAATAATATATTACAATGGATATAGGATTAAGGGGTATCTTTTAAATTAATAATAAATAAGAAATATTTAGTTAGTAGATGGTTGTTTATAATTATAATTATAATTTGATTTATTCTCCCATTCTAAAATTGATATTTTTGAAATTTGAATGGAGAAAGTTTAAATTGATAAATCATATTTAGAATAATAAGTAATGAAAAAGATCAATAATTTAATTCAACCCCAACCTATTATTTATCAATAAAAGAAAAGTCTAAAAATGAAATAAACATCAATAATAATTACAGTTATTAAATCAAGTATTTAATTAAATGCTTTTCATAGATTTATATTTAATTGTCCCCATTGGAAGTTATATATTCTCTTGAATATAATCTATTTCTTCGTCAAACTACTAAATATTGTTTTTTTGTAAAATGATGCTTCTGTCACTTTTAGTTTTCATGATAGATCCGAATTTAAAGTCCTGACCACTCTTTTTAGTAATAGATTATAAAGATGATTGTTTTCTTTCTTTTTTGGGTATTTATTGTATGATTTATAAGGAATTACCTAATTTTTCATATCTTCTTAATAATAACACCTCATTGAGATCAGAGACCTTTAATTATGGAGGTCTTGATAACAAAGCCTAATAGAAATGTATAAGAATCTTGATTATTGTGACAATCTCGTAAATGATAGTTACAATATCAGTTGATGTAAACATATTGGATACCTATTATTCAATGAAGAAGTTTTTTCTATATTTTGCAAGAATAAGAACATCAACTAATATAGCAAACTCTAAGAATCCATGAATTAACTCAAAGATCTGCTTATAGTTCCACAGTCTTTCTTTAATATATAACCCTGATTAAGGACAGAAATTGCTCAGTACTTATTCGATATTAAGCATACTATCAGCTTGCACTTTGAGCATGCACTATTGGAGTATATTAGCTTAATCTGCATTAGGAGTCTATAAAAAAAGGAAGAGAAACTTGACTGTAATGTACATTTAAAAAATTGTTTTTAGTAACAAAAATGTTGCCATAAAACTAAGAACAATGATTATAAGATTTTTGAGTCCAATTAGGTTATCCTACTTGTTATCCGTAATATAAGAGATAACCTCTAAATTGGATCCTATAATTCTGCATTCCAGAAAGTAATTAAAGGAAATAATGAACTACAATATACAGAGCCACACTTCATTCTTATGAGCAAATTTAAATCGTTGAAATCTAACCATTTCTGTAGTTTGGATGCAATAATCAGGAGTGGCCTTTAATCTGATATTTATAGCTAGCAGTAGACTAGCAAATGTTTAGGATAGAATCAATATAAAGAAAACGCAGACTTCTCCAAAAAATCCTTGATGAAGATCATTTTGAAAACATTAATTAGTCGTATTTTCACAATTAAAAAAGCTAGCTTTTATAGGTGTTCTCATTGAGAGAGCCCCAATACCCAACATAATTTTAATGAATTCCAATGCTGACCCTATCGCCATATATACCTTGATTTTAGTCAACTTTTTCCTTGTATAACTGTGCAACGAACTGCTAAATCTGAAATCGTAACTGAGACCCTAAATTAAATTCAGTGTTTTGTTGATTAAATGTACTAGCCATTTGCCAATTTTACCCCATCTCACCTGTTCAGTCTCATTTACAATATACCCCATCTTCTACAATGATATGTGATTCTTATTCTATAAGAAGACTTTCAAATTGAGTAACCAATATTTAAACAATCCATCATCAAATTGATTAGGCCTAATTCTAAATACTATATTTACAATTCAGCTTAATTCTGATCAAAACATACTTCGATAATGTTGTAATTTACAAAATTTTCATTTATTATGTCTATGTACATGTGCATTTTACTCAAGCTTGTCATATGTTTTGTACTTCCTCGGAAATCAATGACTTCTAAATAAGGAAATTTAAAATATTGACATCCAAACCATATAAAAAATTGATCACTGAGTTTTGTGTTTCTAATTATCAATTGTGTAAGATATTGAGGTACTTCTTTGGTTAAATTAATTTCACTTGCAAATAACACATATTGATTAATGATCTATTAAGCAAAGGCTTCTGTCACATTCATCCAATTATTGTAAATGTAAAGTCTAGGATTCTTTTGTAATAGTAGGGTAATTCCTTAAGCATGTTCTTTGAACTTATTTCCATCTATAATTAATAAACGAAAATTAGTTAATGGTATTATTTTTGCTGGTGTTAAATCCTTGAAATATTACTCATCAATAAAATTTCTAATTTCATATTATTATTTTACTTTGATATATTTAGTTTGATTAAAGAACTCTTATTGTTTAGTATAGGATCAAAGATAAGTTTAAAACCTTTCCAAGTAAACCTGTTTTCTATCAAAGATACTTCTTTTATTATTTTATTATCTTCAATCAATTTAGCTAAAGTTTCGCATTAATCATCCATTATGCCACAATAATTAAGTGTCAAGATTTAAATGTTTTCAATTGTTTTCATTTATATGAAATGATCCAACAATTAAATGATATTCTCATTCTATTTAGAATTCATAGACAGATCCATATGTTTTAGATTCCTTAAAAGATTGTTTACTTGATGTTGATGTTTGATCGTATCCACATCCCAGAAGGTCTATAAATTCTATAATTTTAATGTTTAGATGGAACTTCTATGACCACCTAGTACTTTTTCAATTTGATTCAAAGTACTCAAAGAAAGTTCATTTTGAGAAATATCTATATTTTTAATTGAAGAATGTTAATGTAAACATGGCATTAGTTAAAGTATTGACTCATCAGTCAATTTGCAATTCTTTAAATTGAGAGCTATGAATTATTAAAATAATACTTACTTGTCACACTTGAATTTGAAAATAGTCCATCGCACAACACTTAGAAATCGTTAATATTAATGACATTCCCACTTAGATCTAATTCCATTAATTTTGAAGATATTCTAAGTAATTCAGATACAAAAACATAAAACGAATAACTTAAAGTAGATTTTCTTACACTAAAATGCTTGACATTCCTAAAGCAATTCAAACAACTGTATAATGTGTCCAAGACCTTCTCATCCTTCTCTTTGAATGACTAATAATCTAAAATGATGACAACCAAATTCTTTATCAATTTGATTGAGGAAAATAATTCTATTAGCTATTCCTAAAAGAGCAAGGTATTTGATATTTCTAAAAATCGAATATGCTTGTAGTTTTCTTCAATTGTTTTTATCAAATTCCTGAAACTATCATATCGAAATAAAATTTTGTTTATGGAAAGTGACTCCACCTTGACATCATTTCCATACTTCATTACATTATTCATATAATCTAAGGAATCGTTATCTTACAACTCCAATCTCTTAATCGAATGTGATTCAGAGATAATTTAGGTGATTACGTGTAAATCGTCAGCTGTGAATTGCTGTTTTTACATCTTAATCTGAGGGAATTATCGATATTATTTTAATAATTTTTTGCGTGCCAATTACAGAGTCTATCCTCCAATTTAATTTCTAGATATGTCTAAAAATTATAAATTAATATTTGAAAGCAATTTAGGGAAATCATTAATAAGGTTTTTGGTTTCATAAATTAAATTATTACTGATGTTCAAATATTTTAGATATCTACAATTAGATAATCCAGGGATTAGAGATAATATTTTAATTTTTAATTTGTTGGAAGATATATCCAAATAGGTTATAGAGTTATTTTTGAAGAATCCATCATTCAATGTCTTTAAATTCTTTTCATCCATCTTACCCAAATTGTTTCTTGCCAATAATAGTGTTTGCAAGGTTTAAGTGTTAGATAGAAAAGAAGTAAGTGCATCTACCAAAGGTGTTTAATTAATTTCACATCCATTCAAATTCAAATATTCTATTCTATTGAACTATTTTGATAATGAATTCAGAATGGATGACATCATACAACTATTCTCAGAGAAGTCAAGTTGTCTTAAATTTGTACATTTAATTTCAATCAGTTCTTCCCTTCCACTGCAGATGTCATTTTCATCTTGTCTTAATTTTGATAATACCAGTGTTCTTAATTTGCATTCCTTCATCATCGAAATTAATGCATAAACTAAATCATACCTTAGATAATTGTATGATAAATCTAAATACTACAAATTCAATTGTTCATGATTGAAGATGTAAACCAATATACCTTCGCCACTAATATTATTATTTGCCACTGATAAACTTATTAACCTTTAATTTTCTATTAGGGCATATATCAAAGACACAAAGCCTTAAGTGCAAATTTCATTGTTATTCAAATTCAATTCCATCCACATCACCTTCTTGGAACTCACAACCTAAGAAATTTAATAGGCACCTTGAGTTTTAATGGAATTATTCGATAAATTTAGAGAGAGGACATTCAAAAAGAAATTAGTTGGGATCTCCTCAAATCTATTGTATGATAAGTCCACTCTACTCATCTTTTTGTTTAAGACTTGTTGATTCTGGAATTCAGATATCTTATTTTTTGATAAGTTAATTTCCTCAATATTCAATTTCAACAATATGGTTTCCAAAGATTCTATGCATTCTTATGTCAATTAATTATACTCCAAATTCAGTGATCTAATATTTATTTGTCTCACTGACATGAATAAGGCTACACTCAAGAGTTCAAGACCCTGATTTGTTATCCAATTCCAAGAGACATCCAAGTAGTCTAATGATTTATTACCTGTATAATTGATTATTGCACTACTCAAAGCGAGAATACTCTCTGAGGAATTAAAGTTCACCAAGGAAATGATGAATCGTCTTAAGGAATTAAATGGAAATATACTTTAACGATCTCAAATGCTTCAGGTTTGGTAAAATGAGCGAAAGAGAAGCATTGTCAAGATTACAAAAGCTTAAATTTATTTCAAGTAATGGATTTTTGCCTTTTAAGACATATTTACAAAAATCTTCAACCGATGTCACAGTGAAACCCTTGTTATTTGAGAGATTCAAATGAGTCAGCCCTGTATGATCTATCATCTATATAAAGGTTTAATCTATTACTGATTTGAATATACAACTTAGAGAGAAAGAATTCAAATTGCATCCAGCCAATTACAATACTTATATGTTTGTATTCTTCTGAACCAGATTAGCCAACTCAATGGCATAATAGATGTTAATATTACATCTAGACAAATTGACTTCACTATTCTTAAAAACTTAACTTACGTTATTTTATTATTGCAAGCCAATTCAGTGCAAAGCTCAGTAAAACATGATAGAGCCCCGCGATTGATATTTTAAGAAAATTCACTAACATAATTTTCATTCCATTTATCTTTCTTCTCTTTTTTTCTCGACATCTTATTTACTATTTCCCAGAGTGTCCCAGCCAAATTCTTCCTTTTCATATCCTTTACTTACTTCTAATACAATTGCTAACTTGAAAATCGTTCTAAAGACAATTAAGAAGAAGGAATAAAGTTCATCTTAAAGCAATTAAAACTTAATTTAAAAATAGTACTTATTTTTATATCATTAACAATAACCTAGCCATTCTTTGGTGAACAACATAGAAATATAATCGTTCTTTGGTGAACAACATAGAAATATTTAAATTAATTTAAATGAGAATGCATTCTGTCATAATGATAATTAATCGGATATTTTATAAAAAGATGTGATTCCTGTTGTAGGTTTTTCGTATATGTCTTGAGAGAATTTATGGTAAAACTCCATTATCAACTAAATTATCCATTAATTTCTTCTTATTCCTCTCTGAAATCATTATTTTATGAATAGATATATTTCATTATGTTGTTAGATATTCATCAATATCTAGAATGCCACTTGCATAACTTATTGGAGTTATTAAATTTTGTTCAACTTTTAATTTTATTGGACAACTTAATTTTTGATAGTCTTTCCTTTATTAAGTTATTTCAACACAAAAGAGTAGACAAATTTCTAAATTTTATTTATTATATATTAAATTTATGAGATATCTAATGCATTTCTTAATACTCTAATTTAGATAATAAATGCATAATTACATGGAGTAAAAATATTTTATATAAAATATTAACACCCTTAAAATTAAATTTCAATAATATTATAAAATATTTGAATTCCTTTATCACTTCTAATTAGTTTTAATAATAATTCCAGAGTATCAAAGTATAATTTTTCTGAAATTAGTATAAATTTTATTAATGATTAATGTAAATATTTTATTTTTTTTTACAAATTAATAAAAGTGAATGGTTACTACAATAGTATAATAAATTTGCTAAAATTATTTAATTGCATTGGTTTGTATAAAATTAGTTCCATTGAAATGCAAATCAGAAACAAAACTTTAGCAATAAACTATTTTAATAAAAAAAGTGAAATGTAAATGAAAATAATCCTTTAGATTTAGAGTTCTTTTTAAGAATGAAGTCTCTTTAAGTATTTATAAAATTACAATTAATCATTTTTAAATTATTAAAAGAAACCATATCAACTTTAGATGATTAATGCACTGAATAATTTGTTTATATGGTTCAAACCTAATATGTTTTTTGATAGCGGGAAACAGAAAAATAAATTATGGTTAAATGGAGGCGGATCTTTTATAATATAAAATGCACGACTTATCACTTTAATGCCAACTTAACTGCCTCTACAATGTTGTGTGTTTTAGGGAAACTAAGCTCTTCTAAATTAAATGCATATGGTGTTGGAATATCAGCACCTGTCACTCTTACAACAGGAGCATCCAAGTGGAAGAATGCATTAGCTTAAGATATGATATTTTGATACTTTCATTGATGACACTACATATTTCTGCTCCAATACCACATTGTCCCCATCCTTCTTCAACAGTAACAACTCTGTGAGTCTTCTTGATACTTTCTATAATTGTGTTTCTATCCAAAGGCTTCAAGGTTCTGAGATTGATAACCTCACAGGAAATTCCCTCCCTTTCTAGTTCTGCAGCAGCTAACATAGAAAATCTCAATTATTTCATTCTCATACTTGACCATCTTAGAAAATGCTACAATTGTCACATCTTTTCCTTCCCTCATGATTTTGGCCTTTCCAATTGGTATCAAATAATCCTTATCCATAACATTATCTGGGACTTCAAATGCTTCATTATACATGATTTCATTCTCAAGAAAAACCACTGGATTTGGATCTCTGACGGCTGATTTCAAGAGACCTCTGGCATCATCGCAATCAAAGGGAGATAATACAATCAAGCCTGGCACCTAACTATACCAAGCAGCAAAGCATTGCGAATGTTAAGCAGCCACTGCTGCTGCTGCTCTAAATAAAAATAGATCCACAATCCATACCCATTAATTCCTCTAAATACTATAGATGTTCTCAAACCACCTGCACTCATGTAATGTAGTTTGGCTGCTGAATTGATTACATGATCAATGGCTTACATTGCAAAATTGAATGTCATAAATTCAACTATGGGTTTAAGTCCATACCTATAAAAAGATGAGGTAAATAATACATAGAAGCTCCAACACTCAAACCTGTAAATCCAGCCTCAGTAATTGGAGTATCCCAGATTCTATTCTTTCCAAAACGATCATAGAGACCCTTAGACACTTTATAAGCACCTTGATATTAACCCACTTCCTCTCCTAAAAGACTGTAATTTCTCATAAAGTACCGATCAGAAAAACATTTGGATCTCTTTCAATCTCTTAAGCCATTGCACTGTTAATGGCTTCTCTGACTGTCATCTTTGCAAACCCACTTCTTAATTTATGAACAATTCTCAACATGAATTATTTATATTTATGTATAATTTCAATTTATATAAATATAATACAATTATAAAAAAGTGATAATTTAGAAATCTATTTTCTTAATAACTACTGATACTATATTTAAAAACCCAAACTTTACGAAATATTTTATCAATTGATAAACAAATAGTCTTCTTACATCTCTCTCTCTTTTATTCTTAAACATTTAAGTTTGCTCTTGGATTGATATAGCAGAAAAATCAAAATTTTCCTTTTTTTTAAAGCCCTCATATTTCCTCATCCTGAAGTAATTACTCCCAAAACTATCTCCCTTGGTGGATGTCTAACATATATCACATTTAATATATGAAGATAGTTGGCTTTTTCTAAGAATAAGGCCGTGTGTTAAAAAATTATGAATGAGAAAGTTCTTAAAAACTATTGACTACTATTGTTATTCTTATCGTATGTCGAATACGAAAAGTAATTCGATGCGATTCTTCATTTTGCTCATCCATAGAAGCGGGATTTTTAAGGCACAGGTTTTAGGCACTGTTTCTCTGTCCTTGTTTTAACATGGAGGACTTATAAAGTTGAAGATCGTGATCTGTACACAGTTCTATGCTTGTTGGTTAGGGAAATAATATTGAAAACGAGCTGGGATAATTACTGTAATAATAAAGTATCATTATCGGACAATAATACGAAATTTTCTGAAGATAAATTAATCATTTGACTTTAAAACAAAAATAGTCTTTCATACTTACGGATACAAGCGACTGAACTCATAGAATAAGCTGAAGAGTGGTCTCAAAGCAAGAGCACTTCGATCAAGAAATAATTTCTAATATATAAAGAATAAAAGCAATATATTTAAAGTATAATTATACATCAAATTTCTGTTTTAACCTCATTAGAATACTCTATTTTATAAAATAGTGGGGGAGGTTAATAGCTGTATGGGTAGTAAATCAAACTAACTTAGTTTTAAATTAATACTTTTGACCAAGTTTGGGCAATTACTTCTTAATTAATGTTGCTTAATCTAATTGTTTTTCAACAGTTTTTCTGTTCAACTTTGGTCGTTTTTAGCGCTCTTTCTTTTTGCCAACTCTCCCTTAGGTTTTGTAAGTCTTCAAAATGGCTTTGGCAGTCGATAATTTAATTTCACTAGTTTAAGCAGCCTATTTGACTGAAACCCCTTCCTCTAAGACCTATTTAATGAGGAAATTCCTTTTCTCATCAGTTATAACACTATATTTCTTATGAGGCTCTGTGGCTAAAAATAATACGTACTATGTTATTATTTTGAGATCTCAGGTTCAGTTTAGATATTTCTGGTACTTAGTACTTGCAATGGTGGATGAAAATATAAACTTTAACTTTTCGGCAACATCCCGGAATAATTTAACATGAAGATAATATTTACTTTTTGAAAAATAACCTTTTAATTGTTTTAATTAATGATAAAATAAAGATTCAAACTAAGTAGTTGTATAGAAAGGTTAAGCAAAGTAGTGGCAACGAAACCATAACAAGCATATTGCGAGGACTATATATAATTAGGTGTTCAAATTTTATAATCAAGTTATGATTACTAATAGTTTTATTTAAATTGAAATGTAAATTACGCACGAAGACCCTTCATTTCCTTATTAAATTTTACTGTCAACGTACTAATGGTAATTGATCCTTTTGTTGAGTCTGATGAAAGCATTCCTGCAAAGATCAGTCCTTTTCAACTATTCTAAATAAATAAACTAATATTTATAAGACATTTATAATTCATTCGATAAATTACCATTAAGAACAGAAAAGTCCCCATCATATCAGCTTTATTAAATATAAAACATAATCACACAAAAAAGGCATGGGCTAACTTCTAATCTAGATATTTTAAAAATCTAATTTTCATATTCAATGAATCATATCGAATCGCTAAATGATTTTTGGCGAGTCCTCATTGAAATTATTTACCTTTTCTGGCATCCCTTGTAATTTTCAAAGTTCTTAAATTAAAATGATTTGAATAATATTAAATATATTTAGCTATAGCATTGAAGTTTGAAATAATATTAAGAATCTATTCAATATAAATTAAATTAAGCCACTAATCCGTATTATCTTGTGAAAAATTCTAAGAACTTGAGAAAATGAAGTTCCTCATCTTATACAGGAATTTCTTGTAGTTCTCCTCAATCATTGGATTAGAACAAGAATTTCAGTGCTCCATATATTTGGTTCAGAACTCCATCTTTCAATTCTTAATTTTTCGATACCAAATCCAGTATTTTATTGGAGTCAAACACTGGCTTACTAATTAAAAAGCGCATGATATTTTCTATAGATATGAGAAGGATTAAGTTAAAGAATAAGATTTCTTGGATTGAATCAAACCTGGAGTTAATAGGCAGTTCTCAAATGAGTATCAAATTTTATAATCAAATTAATTGAATACAAACATATATATAAGATTTAAATGGTGTAATTAAAAACAAAAATTGATTTGATTAAATAATATTCCTGAAATCATGAAGTAATCAAATTCCGAAAATAATAATTAAATGAGTTTATTGAGTGTTGAATATTGATTATATAAAATTTTTATATATGAGAGATATATCAATCCATCAATTTAAAACATATTATTAAAATCTCAAATTTGATAGCTTAATTATTGAAATATTAAGCATGATAGCTCAATTACTAGAATCAATTTGTATTCAAGTTGGATATTTTGAAATTCAAATTAAGTTGCCCTTGCTCCCATTTTTTTTTACTGTAGGTCGATTATTTTCATTACTGTTTGTGATCTATCCACATAGCCAAGTTGATGATTTACAGCGTACAACAAATCCATCGAAGGATAATGAGTTTTACTCGCTGTTACAACTACAAATCGAATTGTTAAATGAAGGACTTGGGAATAACAAAATACAACATTATTTTTCATTGATAATTAATTGTGCAATTACGATACTAGTTGGAATAAGTATCATTCTCAATTACGATTAAAAAGAGAGAGCTGATGAGAAGGTGAAATAGTAAAATATTAATACTTTTTTCATGAAAGTCATCTGTCTCGTAAATTCATTTATAAAAGTAACAATCATACAACCCTTATTAATTATTGGCCTGTATAACATAAAGAATTCATTGTAAAATCAACTCTACTTGTGGACTGTAAACGATATTTTATTTTTATGTTACATCCATTTTACTTAAATACTCTACTTTTTACTAACTGAAGGCGCACTGATCATAGAAATGCGCTCCTACAAGAGATTGCAACTATCATTGGTAGACTATATTGAACAACTATTAATTATGTCTTAACCTTATATTTTTACTTTTTGTTCACCCAGTATCACTAATTATGCCCAATCAATTATCTATTTATTAATTACCTTATGTGAAATACATTCTATTTTCATCTCAAAGGTATATTCGCAATAAGCTCAAATATATCTATTGATCATGATTCATTCATGTGGAATATTCATCTCTTTGTGTATTTTTACAAATATTGATAATCCTTTAATTTACATATTTTTACTTACTCCATTTTTAATTTATATTGGATTTTTTGAATATAATAGCACATAATTTGAGATCGAAAATGCAGAGCCCTCGCACTTATCCTAGATAGACCTGAATAATTTAATTTGCAAAAAACTTTCAAATTAGAAGTTCTCATTCCATCAAACTTGTGTACTTAATTCAATTAAATTGGGGAGACATCTTATAAAATGCTCAAAGGTTGAATGTTTCTGCCACAATTAATAACACTATTCAACAGAATCTGAACAATTGGGAATAATCCCGGATATTATTGAGGAAGAAATTAAATTCAATCTGATCAAGAGTTTGAAAAAATCAATTTAATAATAATCATAATCAAAGGATAATATTTATATCTTTTGTCATGTGCTATTTGCTTAATAGTTTCATGGTGAAGTGTATGAGATTTACTCTAAAATTGAAAACAAAGGGATTGTAGAAAATCTGAGCAGAGTACAGAGGATCAAATGGAAAGTATTCGCTATGATTATCAAATAAAATCTATACAATAGTTTTACTGCCAAAGTTGAGAATTACAGCAAAGATTAGTCAAATCTATAAGTCAAAATTAATTAATTTGTTCAATCAGAAAGTTTCAATCAAAGCATAAAGGATGGCTTAATAAATATAATTCAAAGAAAGTTAGAATTCTCAAAGATCCTTCTAGAATAACAAAGGCAAAGTGACTTTTTAACTTAATACTTCGATCTGATTAAGTCTATAGACTAACAGGAAAAGTCGTTGCGAATGATATATGAGAGATTTCCAAGTATTTATATGTTCATATTAAAAAGGTTAAAAGAATTAATCACAACTTATGTTCTTTTATGGGGAAATCAAGTATGATTGGTAGAAGGCCTTTGATTAATTGTAAATAAATGCACTAGATAATTAATTATTGGATCAATCTAATGACATAAATATCAATAGATTAACTAACAAAATGTCATATGTGATATTCTCTTTTGAGGAGAGAAAGTTAAAAATCAGATCATTCTCCAAGAAAGCTCCACAAATCTTTGGATATAAAAATAAAGCTTTTGATAATATAGTTAATTCTGATTTGCTGATTCCCAGAATTATTAGAGACAATCATAATGGTTATATAGAACAATTCTTATGCGATGGAAAGGGGAGTTTCTTTAGGAAGAAAGCTGAAATCATTTGCCAATTAAAATCTGGACTGCTGCAAAATCTTGAATTCTTTTATGACTTGTACTTTGACAGCAATCAGTGTTTTCGTTTCATCGCATTTTTTAATTCCATCGAATAAACTGATCCAACCATTTTGATTGATCAGAACAACAGAATTTAAGGTGTCAATAAGGAATTATTTAAACAAATTAACTTCAATCCAAAAACAATTGAGACATTATAAATTGAAAAACTTTTCTATAACATTTCTGCTACTAATTTTTTTCCAAACAATGTATTAAGCAGTAAGAGCAATACAGCTACTTTTTAATTCAGTTTCCCAAAAGAATCTTTCTTTTTATAATTAGTTCAGTAGAAAGTATCTTTATAGAAGATTGATGCTAATCTAAACACTTATGATGTCAATTGTGATATCCTGTTTAGAAGCAACTATAAAATAGTTAAATTCAAAAAAATGCAAGAAATTGGACAATTCCGATAACTAGTCTCATTGGATGCATAAAGCATAAATGATAAACTATTCATTATCAATGATGAAGAGTCCATTCTATATCCCTATGATGGGAATATGGTCTCTCCAAAAGAGTCCTGCATAAATAATATCATATTTGATACTCAAAGAAAAACAGATATGAAAATATTTAGTGATACTGAAGACAGAAATTAAATGATTAAATACAGTAAACATGAAATCATGCATGAATATAGTGATTCATGTTTTACCGAATAGGAAGATAAAACAGTAAAGGTCTTAGGAAATGTCTATGAAAATGATATAAGAAATTAAGAAAATATGATCGCAGGAGGATCCTAAGCATCCTCAATGGCTGGATTAAGGAAATCTGTTTTTTATAGAAAATATTCTCTCATAAATATACTTAATTAGAACACTGGCAAGAGTCCAATGCTCCTAAAACTAGTAGGATTATTGTTTATAATTCTAATTAGCCAGTTCATCTTTTTATTAATCGTAATTATTTTATTATTCTATGTAGAATATTATCTATTCCAAATAAGATTTCAATTCTCTTAATTACTATTATGAGTCCATCTAGATCAACCATTACTTCATTGAACCCATGTAGAAATTCTTTTTAACTCGATACATGCTACAGGATTATTAGATCACTTCATATTATGGCGAGATGAATTCTACTGAATTGTATTTCTATACATAATTTATAATGCCACTCTTAATAGATTCCTTTGAAGAATTTAAATAAAACTTTTAGGATCATTTTCAAGATGAGAGTTTCTCCACATTCATTAAAGATTAATATGTTGTTGTAAAACAATAAACTTACCATTACTCTCCAATCAAATTAAAAGAATACAATGTCACCTTGTTCAATGCTTTTAGTATTCTATTGGATGCTTTTTATAAGTAATAGCAAATCTACGTCAACTCTTCTCCCACCCGAGGAACAAATCCCCATAACACCTACCAATACATAAATTATATTCTGTTTGTAACTATATTTGATCAGATATCTGATTAAATGTATGAGGAATCAATTGTATAAATTGATCTGATTGTTACTAGATGGCTAATCCTAGTAATTCCCATTTCGATTATAATATCGGCAATCATACTCCTTTTAGCATATTACTATAATCTATTCAACCATTTGTTAGAAAAGTTTTTTGCATTAAATATTTTTGTCGAATAATCAGCTATTGAAAGCGATAATACAAGACAACTCTTTATTTTGTAGACTCTGAAATAAGGATCAGATTTAATTCATAGATATAAGTTTAACCTTATAGGAAAGGAGGAAATGCTAAGAAAAACTCATGCGAAGGAAAAGAACAAAATTTAAAATGAAATGAGAAGAACAAAAAGCAGTGTAAAAATTACTAAGATTCCTTTAATTATATTGATTGTATTCTTTTAACTCCAATATTCCCTTATTGCAGGACCATTAACCTATGTGGGAGCTAAGTATATGAGAAAGTTCCCAGATACAATTCACTTTTTTAAGTCTTTCTCTGACATTGGTGTATATGTTCCAGCTGCATTTTCACAAAAAGAGATGCTATATTATTTTTCATACTTTTCATACTTCACCAAAGATGATAGAGCATTTTTTATTTAATAGATTGAAAAAGCAGTTTTGAAAATTGATACTTTTTTAAGTTTAAAAATAGACGGTGAGGATTTATAGTTCTCTCCTTAATTTTTGGACAATTATGAGTTCTAAGAAAAGAACAACCTCTGTCTTCTTTTAAATAGCAGTAAGTATTTTGATTTTGACTATTTTTGTTATAATTCTTAAAATGGAATTTTGAAGTTAGGATTGATCACAACTTTAAATTCATTCAGTAATATACTCAAGGATTAATTGGAAATCGACTTTCCAGATTCAAGAGAAATACCTCCAAAGGAAGAGTTAGAAGCTGTTTATTTTTGCTCCGACATTGTATCCACGATAACTAAGCAGATGGCCTCGGATATATAGGATCAATCAATTGAGTTGGAAAAGACTTATAATGTAAGATAATTATGTAACAATTTTAGGTTATAAATGGAATTGCTCTGGCTTTCACTCTGTTGCTGATTTTAGTAGCTTACTTTGGAATATATCAGAGTTTTAAATTTAGACTTTGTAAAACGAAGGCCATTTCATTGGTTTTTCCACTGCAAACCATTTTTTTGAATGATCACTATGAAAGGGAACTGCGCAGATTAGTTACAGCAGAATAACTCATTTGAATAATTTAGTACTTATGCATATCTATTTTATTATAATAAATTTATCATATTTTGAAGAACCTTCTAGTTTAGAGTCAACACTTAAATTGTTGATTTCACAAGGAAAATAAATATTTGTTATAGCTTAAAATAATTTACTTTTATGGACCCTTAAATTAGAATCAAAAAAGCGCACTTTATTAATTCCAGCATCAAAAGTAAAGTGTTAAACACATTGTAGCTAATATTAAAAAGGATTATAAGTTTTTGAGAGAGATTGGCGCAGGAGGGTTTGGAGTGGTCTTTGAAACAGAATAGAAGTCGACTGGTATGATTGATAGATTAATTAGGGCTAAAAAGAGCCATCAAAGCAATTGCAAAGGATAGAGTGGTAGATAAAGAAAATTTTAAGAATGAGCTATCTATTTTAAGAAAAATAGTAATATTTATGAGATTACTTTAAAGGATCATCCAAATATACTGAAAATGTATGAAGTTTATGAGACAGAAAAGACATTGTATTTAGTTACTGAGTATAATCAATATTTAAATTCCATAGAATGTGCGAGGGAGGCGAGCTCTTTTATTATATCACAAAAACATAACATTTGACAGAATTACAGGCTGCAAAAATTATGAGATAAATTTTTACGGCAATAGCTTATTTGCATGAACATAAGATTGTGCATAGAGATTTGAAACCTGAAAATTTCTTATTAAAAAATAAGGAAGATGACTCCTCAATAAAACTGATTGATTTTGGGTTGGCCAAGACTTTTAGAGATGATGAAGTTATGACTTAACCTAATGGAAGTTTATTCTATATGGCTCCAGAGATTATAAAGGGACAATATGGATACGAGGTTGATTATTGGTCTTTGGGAGTCATTTTATATGTCATGATGAGTGGGCAACCGCCCTTCCCAGGTAGAAATCCATAAGAAACGTTAAAGAATATTTAGAAAGGAATATTCACATTCTCAAAATAAGGTTTTAAAGGAGCAAGTGAAGAGGTATAAATTTCTTTACTAGATGAGGTTAGGGATTTAATTTAAAAGCTCCTAGTGATGGATCCGAAGAGAAGATTCAGTGCAAAATAGGCATACAACCATCCTTGGATTTAATTGTAGGTTAGTAATGAAGTGATGAATTTAAAATTGCATGATGAAGCAATTAAGGGAATAGATAGGATGATCAGTGCTCAACAAATGAAAAAGACTATGTTGTTGTATTTGGCCACTTTCATTCCAGAGAGTGAAATAACATCATTAAGACAGGTAAGATGAAAATAATTGAAATTAGTTATTCGTATCTTTGGATAAGGATGGGAATGGAATGATTTCATTGGAAGAAATGATTGAGGGCTTATCGGAATTCAAAAAGTTGAAGCATAAAAACATGGATAAGAATTACCTGATCCAATTGTTTAAGGCTATGGATATAGATTAGAGTGGATAAGTAGATTATAGTGAATTTATTGCTGCATTTTTGGCATGTCCCCAATTCCAGAATGAAAGATTCATTGAAGAATCTTTTAAACGTATAGACCAAGACAATAGTGGCAGAATTTCTAAGAACGAGTTGATGGATATTTTCCACACTGATACTATCTCCATTAAAGATATAGATATTGAAGAACTAATTAAGTAGGCTGACCTTAATAAGGATGGAGAGGTACTGCAATTATTCTTATCATAGATTGATTACCAAGAATTTATGATACTGTTAAGAGACAGGTTTGCTGATTAATTAAAGCAATGACTAATTGATTAAGTTATTAATAATTATAATGAATAGACAATTCTAGCTGAACTGTCCGTTTAGATAAACATAAACAGGACAGTACGATTTCTTAACAAAGTCTGAGAGTAATTTTTGTAAGGGGAAAGTGAAACTAATTTAACAATCTCCTTCATTTGCAGATTATGTGAATGCTTTGAAGGAAGGAGGATAAAAAAAGAATCATCGCCATAACACTGAAACAATATAGAAATGTCGCATTCTTCCTAAGATAGACGTAGTTATGCCGGATCTCTAGACAATGAAATCACATTTCGTTTTAAGCCTCAATAAAACCACTACACATTCTTACCATTCGTAAAGCTATATATAGCATTCTACTTCACATACTCCAAGATCAAGAATAGGAATTCCCGTTTCGATTACTCGAAGATCTCTGCCTCCCCAAAAATAAACAAAACTATCTACAATTACTCCAAAGAGTTCTCTATATATCAAATCTAACTTTGAAGAAGATGACGGAATCTTTCTTACTAAAATTGGTGGTGAGGAAGTCATTCAGGAAATAGCTAGATTATTTCATCAGCATTCTCAAATTCATCCCATTATTTAGAGTAATCTATTCCTATATATGTGAGAAATCGACGATCCAGGAATGTACGAATCAAAATTTGGAACATTTCTTGAGTACATCATGGGCAAACCAGTATTTTTCAACATTGAAGCCCTAAAATAAAAACATATCCCCTTAAAAATCGATCATGCATTATACAATCAATTTAAGAGCTACCTAATTGTAAATAATCAATTATAATAAGAAAGAGTAGTTTTATTCAAAGTAATAAGGGACCTCCTGAATTAATATTTGAATTCAGTGCACTTATTGAACAATATAAATACTGTATCATAACTTCAGAATAAACCTTTGCTTAGATTTATAATCAACGAACAGAGAATAAAAAAGATGAGACACCTTAAAGCATTGTCCACTTAGCAGATCTCTCCTATTAAAAAATATTAGAAGATTAGACTCTCTGTGAATACTTTGTAGGCATTTAAATGGATGAATAAGCCAAGAAGTTAGGCATAATCTTGCATTAAATGATGGGCTGGAATTGCGGTGTTGATTATGTATTGAATTATTTAAGAAAATCCCATCAAAGAATGAATTTAACAAATGTCCATTTTACTTTGTTCAAGTAACATTTGGTCGAAGCCATGAAAGAACTTGGGTTAAAAGAAAGACAAATAGAATTGATAACCAAAAGAATGGATGGCTATCGGAGTTGCATTGTAAATCAAGATTGCCTATTGGATTTTTATTTTTAATCTCCAACTCTATTTAAAGTTTAAGTGAAGAAATACGAGGTCTTTTTATAAAGAGACCCTCGCTTTCGAAATTTTCCCAATGTACCCACTCTATTAAGACATGCACATTTTTTATTGAAGTTCATCACTCATCAACATCAACCACTTTTAACTAAAATTGATCTCACAACTTTGCATAAGAATTGCGTTATTCAAAGTGAGTGGATGGACGGATTTAGGGATAACTTTTTTTTATTAATTAAAAATTATAATTTAGATAGACTGATTTTGTAGGATTATGCTGATTTATGGTTTTAATTAAGGTTCATAGTTATGAATTAGCAAAGCATAGAGAGTTTTATTGGAGCTCAAGGGTTGGACCAAGTGCAATTCAAAGTTTAATTGAATCTGCAGGACAATGAAATTTATAGTGATCACTTCAGAAATGCTGAATACTAACTTAAATCTCATGTGAAGAAGATTATTGGGTTTATTTTCAGGAATTCCACAATTTACAAATCAAATGATTTAAGAGTTATTCATAACCCATTAAAAATAAGTGAATAAACTTTTAATTTGTTTGTATAATTAATCAAATAAGTTATGCAAGAGGAAAAATTGGCACCCAATTTAATCCTTTTTGCTGATCAGATTTGTTAGTATTATAGAAGTAGCATTTGCAATTTGTGATTTTTATCTATTAATGTACTAATATGTATATATTATATATGTCTCATTATGCGAATGGGAGAACACCTCTTTGTCTAAGAATAGCCTCCAAAGCTGCAGCACTTTATCCCTTTTATCTCAAATATCCTGCCAAGATGACAGTGTTATTCTTTTTGTTGTAAACTCCGTTCTCATCAACCTTGAATTAGAAATTGAATCAATACTTATCCGACATTGATTTAGACACTGGAATAATCGCTGCTATTGAGGATCATATTTGTATATTGGCATTTTCTTGGTACATAAATATCGACAACTTATTTCTCATCATTGATCATTCCTGCGTTTTCTTAAATTCTGTGAGCCATAATATTAAAAAAAGATTTAAATTTTTTTATATATTTAATTAATTCATAATCTCTTCATCTATACACCACACAACACCTATTCTCTTTCCGTAATATATCACGGAACCAATAACAGAGCTCGCCTCCCTGCATGGAACTATCCAAGTAATATATTAATATCAATAACAAACAATAAGATAATCAATTGCTATCCTCAATAGACTACTGTTTTGCTACAAATGTTAAGACTGTACGTCCAATCTAGGGTTCAAAAACAATATTACTTATACAGCAACCTTCTCTTGCTCAATTTTATATGGCTGGAACAATCTCACAAGTGTACCGAACTTACTGTTGTTGTCAAGAATGATGAAGTCACCATCCTAATATTTTATGTAAGCATGTAATCTAGAAACTGAGATATCTGAGATCTATATATCACATTGATGCCCTCTTCCCTATAGAATTATTGGCATATTTACTATTTTTATTGGTTCACAATTCTAGAATTAGATCACATAAACAGCTTTTCCATGTTTTTTCTCATTTTTGTGTCTTGATTGCATTATCAAGTAGGGCAATGAAGGTCGCTGTACGAGATCCAATGAAAGTTCTCTGTCTTCCATATATATCTTCAAAGGTAATAAGGATTCACAGAGTTCGCATTGTAGCCTAGAATGTCAATATTAATACTATTTCCATCGATATGATTGTGCACTATTTAACTATTTTATTTGGCATCTGCTTTCAATCCATAGTCTCATACAACTAAAATGAACGAACTCACAGCTCCCTTTACAGTTGCATGGAGAGATGAAGGGATCTTCCTTTGACTGTGTCTCCATTAAGCAAAATCGACATATTGCTTAATTATTGGTGACGTACGAAGCAGTTATTTCAACCAAATCCTGAGTTTTTATTAAAGTTATACTTTTAGCATTTCTCCTTTGGCTTTATTAACTAAGTTATCCTGATTTCTGGTTTCTATTATCATATATTCGATCCTCCCCAATTTTATTATGTCTCCAGGTTCCATTTTATATCCCTTTCATTTTAATTATCAACTTATACTTTCTATCCTCCTTAACTATTTTTTAAACTTCTAACTATTAAAAAATTTTCATTTTCATTTTCATCACATCCACTAGGATTGATGTAAAACTCATCGTTCTTCTCTTGAACTGCAGTTAAATATTATTGGCACTCTTGTTGTTAAGTTTCTGGAGAATGCGTACTGATCTCTTAACCTATTAAATATTAATTGTATAACATACCCAATCGATAAACCTTCCGCTCTTTCAATATGATATACTTTTCTATTGTGAGAAGTTGAGTTTCATAATCAAAAAGCCCGTGAGAATCTTTTTGCCAAGTCGCAGCTTTCATTTCGACACTAAATAATTTCAATGGAAGTACAATTATTGCATATGAATTTACTATTTATATATAAAATAATAGAAATTATTAATGAAACAATCAATGGAAACAACCATCAATTTTAGAGTACATGAGATATTGGATCTATGAAAATGAGAATTATGAAAGAAATAGCATAAATTACAATAAATAGATTGAATATCAATCTGAATTATGATTTCAAAATGATTTATAAATAATCATTAATAAAAATTAAAATTAATGTTTTGATATAAATCCTTTTAAAATTTGAATAATGATATTAAAATTATCATAAAATCAATTAAAATTTGATACTATCTTTATTTAATTTTAATTTAAATTTCCCATTTAAATATTTAGTAATTATGATTGATTCGTAAACTATTTATAAAATAATGCATACTGTTCTATACAAAATTACTAATTTATAGAATATTTAGACAACAAATATATATTAATTATCATGAAAACTATTCTCTATACTATCTTACTTTTCAAATTAGTTCACTCAGCATGTCATTTAAGATCTGTACAAACTTGTCTTTAGGATGAATAATGTTAATTAGTTAAATAAGAATGCTAAAGTAGGCCAAGCAAATGCCAGGATATTGATGCTACAAATCCAAATAATTGCTAAGGAATCTAATGCTATTATGATTTCGAATTAAAGATATGTTAAGTAAAAAGTGATCTTAATCTTTAGCCTTATGAGGATGAATGGGATATGTAATCAAGAAGACTTTTAGATAAGGATGATGGCAGGAATTAGAATACGGAAGATTCTGAGGACGATCATTAAAATGAACAATAATTAAACTAAGATCAAAATCAATAATAAAATCAATAACAAAATCAATAATAAAATTAATAACAAAATGGACAATATCCTAATTAACCTTAGGATATACCTACTTATAATATCACTACAAATGGCAGTTAACCAATCCCTCCTGAAACTGTAACCAATTCTACCATCAATTCTAATAACACTGCACCAGCAGCTCCACCAACAAACACTAGTTCCACTGAAATTTTAGCATTTCAAATGATATAATTTGATTTCCATTAAAATGAAATACTCAATAGTAATTTGGATCAAAAAGATTTAGTCATCAACACAAGTTCTTCCATCAGATTGCTGGCAACTGTTCTCTTAGCTAAACTATTTATTTGATTATTATAATTAAATAATATATGCTATTTGCAATTTTTATAATTGGATCAATAAATGCTTCTTGTGTAGAAAGAACAAAGGAACAATGTTTGAGACTTAATTCGAATGATTAAAAGCAATGCCAAATCTCGTAAGGTCAATGTTTGCCAAGATCAGAGTTATGTTTAGAAATAGATGCTTCGTATCCTCTAAATTGTCAAACATCCCGATGTTATTATGATAAGATTTCAAAGAGATGCTCGGTATTTTTTATTCGTCATAACAGACCTACTAATAATCTCGAATTCTAAATGAAATAGGAGAGAGAGGAGGAAATGGAGGAAAAGGGGGAAACGGAGGTAACGGAGGAAAAGGAGGAAACGGAGGAAAAGGAGGTCAAAATGGTTATGAACACAACAATGGTTCAAATCACAACGATGATAATGACAAAAATTCTCATCATCAATAATAAAATCAACCTTCAGTATTATTAACAATTTTAATTCATAGACATAATAATAACCTTAATAGCCATATCAACCGTAACATCCATATTAGCCTTAACATCCATAGTAGCCATAATAGCCTTAATAACCATAGTAGCCATAATAACCATAATAACCTTAATAACCATAATAACCTTAATAACCATAATAGCCTTAATAGCCACAATAGCCTTAATAACCATCTTAGCCTTAATAACCATCGTAGCCTTAACAACCATAATAATCGTAATAACCATAAAAACCAGAAGTACCATAAGAACCTTAATTTGTTGATTCTTCGGAAGAGTGGAAGTAAAATTTATTTTTTGATTTAGTGAAAATAATAATTAAGAGAGTTCTACTTAAAATTCAAATAATCCATAATAAAATGACAATAATACAAAAGGTAACTGTATTATTAATTAAGATAGATCCTTAATATGTACCAAATGAGAATGATACAAATTCAGAAAGTAAATATTTTGATAAAATTGATTCTAGATGCTAGTTTGAACAATGTAATGATCGAAAAGTTTATTGAGGAGGATATACGAAATAAGATTGAGACATCTGAAGTTGAGAAGCAGATAGAGATAAGGAATTCAGGAGCAGATTTAATTTTATCATTTGCTTTAATGATAATTTGGATATGATCATTATTTAATTAAATGAATCACAGTCTCTACGCGGTGCATCCAACTTATGCTCCCATCAACCTTAGACTTGCAGAAGAGTATTTCAATACACTTCCTTCTGGTGATATCAGCAGACAATTCTTCGATGGTCTACAATATAGAGCTGTAAAAGGATTATTTGCTTCCTATGCACTTAATAGATTTTCATAGTATGGAAAGTTGGACTCTCTATACAGGTTCTACCCATATTAGAGAATCGTCAAAGAAACAAAGGAAGAATTATGCGAAGATTGGACTTCAAATATTTGTAATATCGAATTCAATATATTCTTAGAACTTGCTGCAATCGTGACAGGAGCTTCATGGACATTCCTTTATTAATACGCTAAAAGAGGATAAGTCTTGAGTATTTTGAGAGAATACGGATCAGTCCTCAAGACCCACAGATTATTCAGATAATATCTCTACACCCTTGTGCTTCCCTTTGCAATTGCAAACGAGTATACATTCGTTCATTATCATGACCACATTGAATAATTATGGCAAGTGCACGCAAATAGGTAGTAATTAGAATTTAGATCTTAGATTGAACAAGAAGGACTTGTCAGATCCAGAAGGTACCTAATATCCAGAAGAATTAAGAGCACCAAGAAGAGATGTGTTCATCAATAAATGGCATTGATCTACACCATAATAAATCTAATAAAGAATATTATTATTTTTATATTCCATACACTTTCTATCTTGCGGTCTTTTAGATTCTTATTAATGCATATGATATAGGTTTAAATATAAAATTCTGTTAAGTATTGGATTATATAATGGTATTAATTTTAATGACTAAATAAATTTAATTAAGGAATAATCATTAGGTCTAGGGTGGGCGTGTATTATATTTATGAATACTTAGAATTTAACCTTTTTGGTATTGTTGTATTATCGAACTTAAACATAATTGTATTAAAAATGAGTACTTTCTGTATATAGGAATTACTCATCAATATAATAGACAAGTAGAATTTAATATAAATTTATTATTAATATAAGCATATGGAATTTGAATATTAATCTTAGACAATCATTTAAATCTTAAGGATATTCTTGAATAATAAGGATAGTTTGAATTCTTTCCCAAAATTAAGAATATATTTAAAGAACTTAATCAATATTATAGATTATATTAATTGTTGACAACTTATTACAAGATTGAGATTAAAGATTAAGGATGTAATACATTTAATTGAATTACACTCAATAAAGAAGAATAGATTGAGCATAAAGATCTAAGATTAGAGTAATTCTGAGATTATAAATTTAATATTGATAAAATTAATCAATCTACTTATTTAATAAAAGACATTTCATTTATTAAGTGTTGGTAATTAGACTTTTTGCTTTTTGCTATAATTGGTTTGTTCGGCCGTATTCAAATCTAATGACATGATCTTCAAGGCCATAGATTTCTCATAATTTTCTTGAACTTGGTTTGGATTTGGTCTGGTCAACAAATGATTTAAGCTATTAGAAAATTAATAAGTGATTTTACGTGCTCTTGGACCACTTTTCTTAATAGGTGGTTGTCCAATGTTGTGATGTTCCTAAATCAGATTTACGCATCTCGAATAGTGATATAATTTACTTTTAATTCATAGTCTGTTTAGTTGAGTCTCTGAATGAATGATTGATCGTATTTATATTTTTAAGTCTCTATTTTATACTGATATCTTGATGAAATCCAAAATCGATATGGAGATCGTGTCCGAGTCTGGTCAGATCATGAATGGCTTTAATCAACGAAGTGTGAACTGATTACACAACATCTTTGCCTAGATAGCTTAATCACAATTAAAATTTACTAACCTTGATGCTGCAATTGGACCAGCATTACAGAAGTTCATTCCGAATCCTTTCTGATAGATCGAATGCTGACTCAAAGGTTTGGTGATTTCCTCTTTGCCTGGGTAACGAGCCAAGAAGTATTTGAAGGCATTGTCAGGCACAAAGCAAGGTCTATAAATGATATTGAACATGATGTACCTGATTTAATGGACATGTTTTCTGTCTGCTCTTTGGATGGCTAGGTCTTGAGTCATATTGAATCCTGAATGTTGGAGAGGTTTCACATAATCAGAAATGACTTCCATCGTAAATGCTCCCAACTCCTTCATGTTGACTCCCTTAAGATATTATTGGATAGTTACATTTCCGCTGAGCATTTTCTCTTTGATGTATTCTGCAGTGGCTTTGATGATGATGTGAAATTAGGCTTTTGGTTCAAGAGGCTTGTAAGATTGCACTGTTCTTGGTTGTGATTCCTACTGTTTTCCTGGGTAGTTCTAGGGATGTTGGAGAATCCTAATGTTGGATGGATAGTTGATACCAGTTGTAAATGTCATCAAGGTTCATTATGTAAGAAACTGATATTAAAAATATTTTTATTTTTGTTAAAATGAGAGAATACTTAAATAGAGTGGGACGATTACTTAAACATTAAATGGTGATTACTGTCTATATTATATGAATCATAAGAAATAATCTGGTACTCTTTTGGGGACAGATTCATTTTCAGATCTAGGAGCTGGATCAAATTGTATGCTACGAATATTAAATACATAGGTATTTACAAGGTCTAACGTAGATTCTCGTCCACTTCCATTATGCCAGCTTGATTGCCACATCTATAACAATAGTTAGGAGCAGAGAATATAGTGACTACATTTCTCTCGTGAGCCAAGGAATATCCCTGAAAAAACACATAATTCAAAATTATATACATCCATCACCAATTGATGTGCTCTGGCAATCATCTTTTAATTTGTTATTGTGATTGAATTATTCTGAAATATCCTATCCGAAAGTATATCCAGCACCTCTTGGAGAAATACCCCAACCCAGATCTATCATCTGGATCACTCCAAAGCAAATCGCACATAGGGCCTTCATGAGGTACTTCTTAAACTCTATCTAATTGACGAATATGATCCAATGTATCAATAGATGGGGAGATACCTCCGTGGAGACAGAAGAACTTTATAGATTAGAGGAATTAATTTACTTATGATTCAACTACAGCTGTCAATGGCAAGTAATCAAACAACTCAGTGAAGCATTTCCAAACATTACTATTACCGTATTTACGTGAACATTCGTCATAGAAACCATAGACTTATGTGATTTATCTTGATTCGTGGTTACCTCTGAGAATGGTTATTCTGTCTCTATGACGAATCTAAATGATTAGTAGATTTGTATACTTTCAACAAGACAAGAAGAGTTACACACTCGACAGAATGATGTCCTCGATCGACATAATCTCCCATGAATAGATAATTGGTATCCTCAAATTAAAATCACTTCATTACTGGTGCTTTGCCACCTATTTTGAACAGTTCCATCAAATCATGGAATTGACCATGAATATCACCGCAAATTATAACTGGTGCACGAACAGGTTACACATTAGATTCCTCAATCAGAATCTCTTTAGCCTAAACAGGTGTTAATATTAACTCAACATACCTTATCACATATCAGCTTCACATCTTGTTCTGGAAGTGGTTTACATTAATATAAATGTTAGATTTGATGGTCTAGATTGGTTGCCTCGATTGTATTTAATTTGGAAGCCATATTAATTTTTGAATCAATATTTTAGAACTTATCAAATATATATATATAAGGTTTTAATTGATTTTAAATAAATCATTAAGAATTTAGTAGGATCTGCATGAATTAGGGTAGACATTCATAGGCATATTGCTCCAACAACAGTTCTTTGGCTCTTCTCTCCAAGTACCTTCCCAACAATATTCTCTATTCATTTGAATTCAACTCATTCATCCGATAAAACACTTCCCTCTCAGTTGTATCGTACTTCTGGGATCTGATCAACATCAATTTCAATTCAATTTCCCTTACCTTCCATAACTACAAATCACTAAAATATTGAGCATTATTCCTATTCAAATACTCACTGAGATTAGCCAACAAATTGTGTTCTTCACACATCTATGAGAATCTCTTATGTGACATATATTAAATACTGTTCTGTTCTAAATCACATTCACTGATGAACAGATTGATTATCTACTATTCAGTTCTCTATGAATCCAACTCCAATAGCAACAGTCTGAATTATAGAGCTGTGAATCGATCCTGATCAAACAAAGTCAAAATTAACTAATATTTTTGAGTAATCTCATTTGTTTTGAAATCCAACATACCTTGCATATAAGGTGAGATCTCCTGATCATAATCAACCAACTGAATATACTTTGGAATAGTATTCTTTACATATTGTCCGATAGCATCAGAAAGTTATAATTATTGGACAATAATTCCATTCTCTGTAAATTCCTTATTTTGAATGCCATTCAAGATACTCAAATAGATGTTAAAACTCTAATCGCCAATCAACATCTAATGGAACAACTTAGCATATGTGGTCTTCTTCTTATAGTAGATGATGCTCTTAATAATGCGTTGATACTTCTACAACCAGACTTGAGGAGGCTATTGGAAATTCTCAATTTGATAGAATTCGTAGAGTTGTATGTGAAGAGGATAATTGTACTTTCCATATTTCACACACCAACACACAAAACTAGACAGATATCGTTGTAGGGTTTAGCGAGTGACTATATTGTCTATCCGATCTCTTCTAAACTATTGAATCTCTTGCAATAACAGTTGAGTGGCTGTTTGTGTATTTTTGGAAGGACATTTGCTTACAAACAGCTTCTTTTCAATTGATAACAAATTTTTTATGGGAGACAATTGCGCCTCTATATCCACATCTTAATCACTTTCCGATGAAGAGTCATCAGGCGGTGCTATTGCATCTTAGAAAACTAAGCAAATTTAATGCATTCATATTACATATTTAAATTTGGTGATGCTTTTTGGCAGGACTAATCGGAGGTGTTTCTCGTGGCTCTCTGTATAGATCGACCGACTAATCTCTTCTCAATTACTGAGGCTCTGTTGATTCGCTCTAGGCTATATCCAAAGCAGATCTCTGAACCTACGAACTTGTAGATTGATTGATTTGAGGAGGTATCAACAATTAAGGTTAAGAAGAAAAGAAGATTGTGTTTGATTTTTCAGGAGGGAGTAGAAGATTGGGACCAGGAGATTGGATTTTAGGGAATTCCAAGAATATCTTCCTTTTAATCGCTTATCTTTTGATGGTTTCAATTTGGAAGTGCGGTAGATACTTGTGAACTCGAATGATTTGTTTTTGGAGGAATGTCACTTATTTCAATGTTAACTAGTGTTTGGCTATCAATAGATCCAACTTCTTTTCAGCATGAATCTTTTTTCGATATGATTATTTCGAATCTATCTAGGTTTCATAGAGACAAATCTTGTTCTCTACTAAATTTGACTTGCTTTCTACTATCAGATATTCCAAATTACGAACTAGGTTTATGAATGCATTATAACTATTTATCACGTACTAACTCACACATTGGAAATCATCCAAATGGAACTCTTCTTTCATTGTTAATATATTAAACAACTATGTCGCTCTCTGACCAAGTTACTCAACCAAATTGTTTAAGTCCTAATTAAAGGTACTTTTATTATAGGTGATATTTATTTCATGATAGTCATCAATGAAAACTTGAATTGGATATCTGGACATTTCTAAATAGGTTTGTTCCTCTTTGTTTCTAGGAATGCATTCTCTTTTTATCATTGAAAAGTTGGCTTCAACAGATTGATTAAATGTAACAACAGTAGGTGTTTGAGTACTCCAATCAAATACTTTTTTTTTGAATTAAATAGTTTAGACAGTTGCATCTTAAAATTGAAGCAAGTCAAGAGTGTCTGTTTCTTAAGTCTTATAAGTGAGTGAACTACCAACACACTCATCTTTAAATATAGTCTATTAATAATCCTAAAGTATTTGTTCATCCTCCTAATTTTGATTCTATATTTCTCTTCTCTCCAACTCATCTAATTTTTTTTAATACATTTCTTCATAGATCATGGTTCTTTGTTCAAATTGATGTTTAAAATCATCAAACATTTCCTTTTTAGCATGTTACAATTCATCTGCAAACTTCTCTTCAATCTATTAAGCATTCACGAGATTCTGATGAATGTAAATGGAAGGATCCACTTGATGATTAATGAAAACTTTCATTGCATCAATCTCTCTGGTGAGATCAGTGTTCTGCAATTTGAGAAAGTCACCTTCTCTTCTTAGGTTTAGGAGTTCTTACTCTAATTTTTAACATTTCTTTCTCAAATATCTACCTTCTTTAATCATTTTATCATTTTAATCAGAATTCTATTTCAAATATCTCTCAGCCTCTTGCAACTTAGTACCCTTATCATTCAATGTTTTTTAGTACATTTGATGCAATTTCACTGTTTCTGAGAGACAATCCTTCTCCAATTTTCTATTGGTTTCTGATTGTCTTTCGATTATCTCCTTCACTGCATGAGTATAGGATGACCATATCTTGTTCAACATAGTCTAATAATCAATGCATTTAACAGCCAGTTACTACCCTAACTAAGTTATGGAACCAGTGTAGACCAACTCCATTTTTTCATAGAAATCTCGAATGTTGCCATACTATTGTTATTATAATTATTAAACCATTAACTAAATACTAAAGTTAATATACATCTGTCCATTGTTCTAATTGTTTGAGATCCTTGCGTTCGTTTAATTCAAGTGCCCACTTGGTTCTTGTGGTTCGGTTGCTGCTCACATTGTTGGCCCTACTCATAAGGGATCTCATGGCGAAGACCTATGATCTCCTCATTCTCATTCAATACCGTTCCATCCTCCCCTTGAATGGTTCTGCAGATGTTTTGAAGAGAAGGCAAGTTGTCAGGAGAACCGTAACGCTTAGAATTACTCTCGACAGAAGATATCTTGTCTTTGGAGGATAAGTCGATATGCGTCTCAACTCGAAAATGAATACTCTTCAGTGGCTTTTGATTCATTGGTAATTTAATTTATTAACAACATCATCTTTTCAACTTCTTCTCAATACACTGCTACAAACGCACCATCTCATTCACATAATTTCTCGATAACGTCTTTGCCTATTCCGCTCTCAACGTATTGAAGTAATTCGCAATCTCCCCCAATTCCTTCATGGGCAATTTCTCGTCCAATCTCCTCCCAAAAGAACGCGGAGATATAGCACCCACATGGTCAGACACACCTCTTGATGTCTTCACTGTTGCACGAGGACTACCGATCGTCGAAATTCTATTCGTTCATATATACATCTCCATTTACTATTCTCTCAACGTGACTAATTTTGATAACAACGCCGACTCCTTCGACTCTCTCGTTGTAGCCAACACCTACGCATACATCCGGTTATTCGCCTTGCACTCCAAGAACTCCGTTGACTCAGTGGGGTAACTGCGATTACAGAATAAAAATACGATCTCAATTGCTACCGACCAAACATTATTTAAATTAATCGAAAAACTCACTCTCCTCAAATTCAATTCAAAATTGTCACCCCATAAACACATTCACTCTTGTAAGATCACTCACTATCATACTTAAATAAATCATTATTTTTTCATCAATATTCAATTAATTAATTTATCTTATCAGACATACTATCCTCCACACAGCACTTCTTCAAAAAATACAACTGGATCAACACAGAAGGTATATCCTTTAAATAACACTTATTGTCTACCTTCTTGATTTGCTACACAGACTCATAGCTTTGTTGATTGAAAATCATCTGCAGTATTTGGATCCCCATTAATATCAAGTCTTCGTGGTGATACAAACTCAAAATCTACTATAACATGCACATCAAATTTGAATTATAAATCAGGTACTTCAGCTGGTCCTTGTTACTAACTTTTTAGATTAAGTTCGATATCAGAACCCCTATGCATCTATACCCTTAAGCATCAATCTCAGTTCCATGAAGATTTATGATCTCATTAAATATTTTTGATCTTATCAACATTGTTACTGCTTCATCCACATTTAAACAATTAATCTTCGATACGAATGTTATAAAAAAATTCTTATACTCAAAGTTCTCCAATAAAAAATTGTATATATAATCCAGTAAACCTTATTTTAATAAAAAAAGTGTTCCATATTGAGAGATTTCCAAAATCTTCTCACAAATTACAATAGCATTCAATTATTAATTTTATAATGCATAAATTAAGTAATTATACATCTCCTCGCATTCAAAATACTTCAATATACTAATATCATTCAATTAAACTAATTTCAAAAGACAGTTTAAAGTTCTAAAAGGTGAGTCAAACTTTTTATATTAGATTGCTTAAATAATAATTTATTCTAATATTGAAATATTTACAATGATGCTTTAAAAGTCAGATTGCATTATTAACGATTCAATTAATTAAAACCAAAGTGTCAACTATTCATCATTGCATTAAGCTGGAAATTACTTCAAAGAAATTAATAGATTTTTTTCTAAATTAATTAATTTGAAATTATTAATAAATTCAACATTTAATATTTAATGAATCTGCTATTAAATAGTAATCTCTTATTCCTTCTTTTTTGATGTGTTTACTTATATTTCATTAGTATTTTGTGTTTCTCCTAAATATAGATAATTGAATTAATTATTTAAAGAATCATTCCTCGCAATACCTTATTTGTTCCACTCCTATGGTCTTCTCTTGTTTTTGAAGATAGCCTCTCTCTGGTCCCTCCAGATTTTCTATCTGAAGCATTCTCTCATATACTCAATAGTTTCAGTATGTCTTTAAAGCATTATTAATCAAATTCGATTTATAATTAAATACAAATTTAACCATTAAGAAATCAGGATAAAATTCTGGAATAGAAACCTTATATAACACAACCTAAAGTTCAACTTGCTTAAAACAATTAATAATAATAACCATATGAAGAATTTAATAATGTGTAAGAATTTTATCGGATTTTTAAGATATTTATGAGAAACTCAGTTATTTTTAGGAGATTTAAAGTTTAAATATTACATTTCTGATTTATTCCATCATTTAAGAGAGTTTTTACATCTTAAATCTTACCTTTAATGTATTTAAAGATTCTTTGAAAACCACCAATGCTGCTATAATATTTCAAACAGATTTTAGTTTGGATGTAATCTACTTTGATTATACTAGTGACAAAAGGAAATGTGCAAATGAATAAGTATTATAATTTTAATTTCAAAATAATTCACAAACTTCAAGCGGCAAATTATTCTATGATTAATTAATTAATGATTAATAACACAACTTTGAGTTTGTAAAAAAAGCGAGAGCTCTTTGCTTTGAACGTTAAACGTATTGATAGAGAGACTCTATTCTAAAATAATAGGAAAAAAATGATATAGTCAAACAACAATGAGGTTGAGGTTGACAAGACACTTCATCTTTTAAATGGTGCAATTACAATCTACAATAAAAAAGATATCAAAAATTACTTTAAGCAAATCAATGATTTTAATCACTTTAATTAAGAATAAGAAGTTAGATTGGTTTAATTGATTGAAACACTCCTTAAGCTAAAAGTTGAGGATGATAATTCTGCCTTGCACAATGAATGCTTGAATGTTTTAGTCAAATTGAGTTTATTTTAGAATTCAAGTTAAGAATTATTCAACATGCTTACGATTCTCTGCAAATTAATGGATAAGTATAACAATCATATTAATCAAGCACTTTCTTACTAAATTTTAGATAAAATACTAGCATTTATTGGTAATTATTAATCTAAAATAAATAGGTAATATTTCATGTAACAATGGATTTATTAGTGCATTCTCAGCAAATCTGATAGATATCTTACAATATTAGATAATTTACGGATAAAAAAGACTGTTATTTTAGGCAATATGGGCTTTGAATAATATCCTGTATTCCATTCACAATGAAAGCGCATTATTAAATTAGATCTTAGTAAAGATAGGTCAATCTGAAATACCTTAATACTTAATCTAGTATGTGAAGAAAAATGAGAATAAACTTGACAAAAATCAACTGATACAAATATACTGGTTGTATGCCGAATTATCCTAAGCTATTCCATTTGATTTTGCATAACTACAAGTCAAGGAAACAGACAGTTAAGAATTATAACTCATAATACTATTTATCTACTCTAATTTGACAGGATAGTAAATAATCCCTGCAAATTGTAATGTGAATTAACTATTCAATATGTTCCCAGCTTCAAATGCTTTAATCTAAAGACAGCTTTTAGTGATAATAGCTAATTTAGTTCTCTTAACAGAAATCGAATTAGAAGCTTTAAAGAACCTAATCAATTATGCCTTTCCTATATGTCCTGTAAGAATAGTTATTTTATTTTTAGATAGACACTATGTTTGTATTGCATAATTGCTAAATGAAATACAATTTTTAATTAAGTCCAAATGAAAAAGAAAATATTTTGAGAATCATTGATGAACTACAATAAGATTCATTGATACAAGATTTAGTAAAATAATTAAAGTTAAACAATTGAATAATTTAAATAAATCAAGGTTTTCTAATAATTTAAAATATTCCCATTTATTTTATATTGTCTAATTTATTCTAATTTTTCTATTTGTAATAATCATTAGTAATTATTAAGTTAAATTAATTTATTGATAAAACAATTTTATGAATCCTAAATTAATAATTATATATTAGTTAGATCCTCTTCCTTAGAATTTTTAATTATTCTTAATTATTATAATTCACGTTAAATTGCTTTATATTTTCTTTTGATCTTTTAGTTTATTAAGTGATTTTTTTAATAGTTACATTAAATTTGCATACTAATTTCTTTCCTAAATTAGATTCTATTCTCCTATTTAGGCAGAATTTACCTATATTGATAAATAAACACTTTATGTTTAAATTTCATAATGATTTTCTAACCCAAGCTGTTATTTTAAGATTAGTTAATAGTATTTGAATCGTGTTGATATGATTTATTTCTTTTTGGAATTAAGATAATTATTATAAGTTTAATTCATTTTTTTAACAATTTAATTAATGAATCAATTGATTAGATCTTATTCTTCTAATCTCTTGGACTATAAAATTGCAAGCTGGCTTTCATCTTTATTGGATTGATATTATTTTTCTTGAAAATCTACTCAATTTATTTGGGTATATCTTTTAGTTCCTAAACTTCAGGAAAATGTTATGCTGTAGTAGGTTAAGGCATTTTTAAACTATGACTATTCAACAATTCATTAAGTTTTCTGAGACTTAATCTATCTGATTGTTGGATATCGGCACCGTCAGTAAGAATTCGTTTGCTTTATTGATATAAATCCTATTTCTGAGGACTTAAACTCAACTTATCTTGGGAGTGAGTAGGTTTCATAATCCTGCTGTTTTGTTTAAAATAAATAGAAGGTAGTTATCTACAAATAGTTATTTTGCTTTGATCATCTAGTGAATTCTCACTTTTCAATTGTGTCTATCTAGGACTTTGAGCACCGTGTTTGATTGAGTTTCTCTATTTTAATTTATTATTCAAAAGGGGTAATAACTTATTTTTCATATCACTAGTTTGTTGAAACTCGAAATTTGAAATTTGGCTCAGAGATTTTTGGGTTGAAACATTCTTCTATGTTTTATTATTTTACTGTGATTAATTAATTTACAAAACAGGACTTTGTTGTTATGGAAAATCAAAATTATACAGCATATTATTATTAATGAAAAGCCAAATTAAATTGGCTTATGTGTTACTTATATGATTTAATTAGTGATAAATAATAAATATTAATTCATTTGATATTATAGATTTTTATATTTTAGGGTTTTAGGCTTACCTTAACAGGAACGTATTCATTGGCCTGTTTCACATAGGCTTCAAATTCCTTCTCTCTTTTCACTTCCTAAATAAAATTGATCCATTGTGACATTATAAACTTCTTCTTCATCAAATTTATATTCCTCTAAGCATTCAGAAACTTAGATTTGAGTCTTTACTATTAGTAAGTGAAACATTTCCAAGTTTAGTAATATTTTTGAATTGTTGAAAAATAATATTTTGTTAAACTTTTGATATCTTTCGCCTTTTTCTCTCTTTTAACTACATTTAGCCAGCCATTGAATAAAAACTGTTTATACTAAAGATCCATTTGCCTTTTCATTTTTTATTTGTATACTTAAGTCTTCCATCTTATCAGCAAAACCTTCTATTTATGGTTATTCATCAATCGAATCACATTCTATAAAAACTATTACTATGCAATTTTATTTTATCTAATTGCTTAAAATACATATTCTTATAGTAGTTTCTATTTTGAGAAGAGAAATTATCTAGATTTCCTATCCTTTTCATATTTCTCTAATTATCTATCCCTATTTACCTGAAATTACTTCATACACTTTTTTAAAATAACACGATCTTTCTTAAATATGTGATATTATAACTTCTTTAATAATCGAAAATCTTACAATAAATTCTTATTGTTTTATAGAATCATAAGATCAAAATATTTCTCAGTAATAAACAATAATTAGGTTCTATTGATGCTATTCAATAAGTGACTATTTTCCTCAAATTTTTACATATCAATTACTAATTCTTATGAAAGCTTCTTAGATATTATACGATTATTTATTATAATTCCATCTATTGTTGAATCCTTATCTATAAGTTTGGAATTAATTTATTAATTTAAATAACTAGATTACTGCTATGCCTAATCAAATGACTGGCCATAACTGATGTTATTATTAGAAATATCTTGTTTTATTTATTATGAATTGTTTTATTCATATTTGACTTCCGCAGTTGTTGATTACACATTAGGATTAAACTCTGCTGTATTCTATGGAATGCTTTGATACTAATTCCATCTCTATGCTTTCTCGACCAATTATGAATCCTAATCAAAACTTTCGTAAATTGGACTTTAATTTACATGATTTTTCTCCTCTTGATGAGAGGAATGAGTCATACTACTAGATTCATCTTATATTTCTTCTTTTATACTATTTTAAATTCTGGATGATTTCTAATCCAATTTTTATAATTGAGTCCCTGTACTGACTCTGCCTGATTGTTAGAATTGTCCTTACTCCTCAATTGTCTCATAGAACTATTCAGAATCTAGTGATTTTTCTTAAGTTTAACTTAAATTTTAAATGTTGCTACTCTCTTAACTTGTATAGTGACTAGCTTGATTTCTTTCTGAAACTGTCTTTGCATAAGGGTCCAGCATTTATGTTTACGTATAATGCATTACACTTGAACTTTCAAAGGGATTCTTCTGTCCCTCCTAATCAGTTTAAATAATATTTTCTTGAATTTGATTATCAAGTAATTCAACTTCCTTTTATCTGCTGAAAGACATATGCTATTCATCTTGCTTAGTTCTTTGACTGTCTTAAAAAGGATTCTTTGGGGGTTTTGACTGTTGGGAAGAAACACTTTATAGATGTTCTTCAGGTTCCAAATATTTCTTGAGTAATTGAGGATTTGGTTTAGAGACCAATTAAAATTTTGGGATTATTTCAAGTTGTGCCTTGTATTTGTTCAGCAAATCTCTTGTCTTGACAGGCATGCTCTTTACTGAAGGTCTTGAAATACTTTCAAGATCGTTCAATTATTATTCAGATGTTTAAGAGACATACTCTTAATAATTAAGTTCTACACTCTTTTTATAGTCGTGTAAAGATTTTGCTGCTTTCTAATTGTAAGATATCTAATTACATCTTTTTTTTCTTGTAGGTCCCTATTAATTATTGGTCGTTATTACATTTAATATTAAATATATTATAAATTTGATTTTTCACTATAATAATTAAAAAATCTAAATTATTCAGAAGAGTTTGATCCAAAAGTAGTAAAAGTAGTTTCAAAAAATTATATATTTGTATTTTGAAGTTTGGAAATGTCAATTGCATTATTTAGAACTATCTTAAAGGGAGAAAATAATTAACATGAATAATTTTATCATTAGAATTTCTAATTAAATAAAAGCTATAGAACACAAGAATTTCTAATCAACAAATAAATTTATTTAAATGCAAAATAGAGAATCTACTGAATATTAGATTTTAAAAAATTAAGTCCCTACCAATAACCAAGATCAAAAGGTCCCTTATTTTTAACTTTTAAGGTTTGCCTCTAAAAAAGACAAACTACTAATGATAATTGGTGGTCTCATAGTCTTCCTCAATGTGGCTGCATTTCCAAGCTTATTCTACCATTTTAGGAGATATAACAGACTCATTTTCAGAGGCAGGAGTAAACATCTGTAATAGTTCAATTATAATTAGCTCTAGTAGTTACTGCTAGGTCTTTCAGGTGTTTCTATTGCAACAGCAATCTTTGCCGTTATTGTTCAAACTTCAGCGAATGCAACCTAAAAAATCTATTCGGAAGCATGAGCATTAGCTGAATAAGCAAATAAATGCAATTAAAACTATTATCAAAATGCTTGATGGAGAGGATTTTGAGATTGAAAAGTAATAAAAAAAACCTTCTACAAGCAACTGCAACAACTATTATATATTAATTTGGTGTCAGTATAGCCTTCGGTTTTCTATGGGCATCATTCATGAGGGCTTACTCACTTTGATTCTGCCAAACTAATATCTTAATAAGTAATGAAGATATGATATACACTAGACTATCAATCACAACATGGGAGCTCCATATACTGTTGGGAATGTAATGATTATATTTTTTTCTGTGGTTACAGGAGGGTTTTAAATAGAACAGGCCGGGCCATGTGTCTAGCACTTTGCAAAAGGAAGACAGGCTGCAGTTAAGATTTTTGCCATTCTTAATAGAATACCGAAGATTTTGAATCCTTAGAATTCTAAGAAACATGGAGATTTTAATGGGACTATCTTGCTGAAAAATGTCCATTTCAGTTATCCAAATCGCCCTGATCAACAGGTTTTAAAAAGTTAAACTTAATTATTCCATCAGGTATGAGTGATATATTCAGGAGATGAAACTTAAGGAAGCATTGTAAATTGAAATATTCATTATTAATATATTCAATAGCATCCTTACAGTAGCATTATAGTTTCAGAGTATTTTAAGGTATTATAGTTGGAGAAAGTGGTTGTAGTAAATCAACTGTCATGCAACTTATTGAAAGGTTCTATGACTGTCATTAAGGGGAAGACGGAATTAAGGTTAAAGGTTTAAATGTTTTAGAATTGACAAGTAGGATAGGTTTGGTAGGTCAAGAACCAGAATTATTTGCGACTAGTATTAAAGAAAATTTATTATAGGGAAAGATTGATGCCACTGAGGAGGAGATGATAGATGCATTGAAGAAGGCAAATGCTTGGGATTTTGGATCAAAAATGAAATAAGGGTTAAATACCTACTTTGGCATTGGAGGAAGTTAATTAAATAGAGGATAAATATACAATTGCCAGAGCTATTTTAAAAAACCATAAATTCTATTACTAGATAAAGCGACAAGTGCTTTGGATAGAACGAATGAAAGAATAATTTAATAAACCGTGAATCAAATATCTAAAGGAATAACTACTATAGTGATTGCACATATAATTAGTACTATTCAAAATACAGATCTAATTTATGTTATTGATAACGGTTAAGTAGTAGAATCAGGGACAATTGAAGAATTAATAAATCAAATTGGTAAATTTGAGGAATTAGCCAAAAATTTGATATAGACATAGATGAAAGAGGAACTCGAAGGGAATGCATAAGAAGTACATCCAAATAAAGAAGTATCTTAAAGATCCATTCAGATCAAAAATGAATCTAGCAGGCTAATAAATAAAGCAATAATAGTAAAGAAGAAATGAGAAGTTTAAGAAATTAGAGGTTCCTACTTTAATTAAGAAGGTTTCAGGCAAAGTTGCGCAAGGAAAAGGCATAGAAACATAGTAAGATTAGGATAGTCATATGTCCTTAAAGGAAAATAAACTAAAATAGGCTAATGAATGTATATTTCCTATATTTTCATTGTTATTGGGAGATATGATTACTGTTTTGGTCGAATCTAATCCCTCCTTTGCAGATTATTAATCTCACATGACATATGATAATCCTAGAAAAGATTTATGTGATATGCTAAAGAAGGATTTGCAAGATTAAGTGATAGTGAGAATGAATTTTAAAGAGAAGAAAGATTGAAAAAGCTATAGTTAATCATTCCTATTTAAGGAGATATTCAATTTGAGAATATAACATTTCAATATTAAGGCAGAGATGATAAGATCTTTTAAATTTATTTATTAAACAAATTTAAAATGTGGCATTTGTTGGACCCTCTGGATGTGGTAAGTCCCCTCTAATGTAATTTTATCACCCAGATCAAGGATATATTACTATTAATGGTGTCGATATCACTTAATATGATATTCGGTATCTGAGGAGATAATCTTGAATTGTCTCTTAAGAACCGGTGTTTTTAAAGGAACCATTACTGAAAATATTTAACTCAATTTACCATCTGAATAAATAGAAAATGCATCCAAGTTAGCCAAAGCATATGATTTTATAATTTCTAATCAATTTGAAAAGACATAAATAACTTAAAAAGGAACGGATAAGCAAAGAGGATAAGGATTTTAAAGATAGGTTGGTCCCAAAGGTACTTAAATCTCAGGAGGTCAAAAATAAAGAATAATCTTAGCCAGGGCAATACTAAGAAATCATAACATCTTATTATTAGATGAAGCAAAGAGTACTTTAGATACTACCAGCGAACATTTAGTTTAAGATAGCATAAATAAATTAATGCAAAGTAAAACTACCATTGCTATAGCCCATCGCATATCTACAATCTAGGTATTTTGTTTTGAATCTAAATATAGGATTCAGATGTTATTTATGTTTTGACAATGGAAACATAGAAGAGCAGGGTAACTATTAAAATTTAGTTGCTCTTAAAGGATTCTTTTTTAAATTAGAGTAAGGATTGCAAAATGAATCTTCTTAATATTTTATTATGTTTGCTAATAATTTATAAATTAATTTCATTCACAATTATTCCCATCTAGACTAATTAGAGATTCGTCAAAACTTCTAATTGATAATAGAACTAATTAAATTTTGTTTTATACTATTTAACAATAAAAATGGGAAATCTGATGAACCCTATAATTTATATATTTTCATTATTATTCTTTTAATTCAAACATTAAAATGAGTACGCAAATCATAGGGATGGCTATACTTAAAATTAAATATAGGCTCCATTTTTTTGTGGGTTATTTATGGTGACTCTATCTCCAACCAAGGTTAGTTTTTTAATTTCGAAAGATTTATGCAATCAAAGCTATTGAGTTTATTTATTGCTAAATATATCTATTCTCTTTTTTTTATACTATTTATTGAGAGCAAGTTTGATTATCTAAAAATTTTAGTCTTGCTTCTCGAACAGCATTTTTAATTGTAAAAAACTTTGAGTTTTTTTTTTATTTTTATTTTGAACTTATTACCCAATTGGAGTTTAGTGTAACATATACTTTATTAATCTTATCGTATTCAGTTTATCTATCCAAAAGATCTATTGTGATTTCTTTCAAATATGGTCTAGAAGTAGATCCAGTTTAGAAAGGCAAAATCGTTGAATTTGCTTAATGTATCAGTGAGTGACATTCGTTAACCCTTGGAACCATCTTAATTTAATATATATTAATAAAATTAGTTCGAGAAGATATTTTTCATTTAATATTTTTTTGTAATCACAATATTTTATAAAATCCTTATCATTTAATGGTAATTATTTAATTATATAAATTAATAAAGCCAAGTTATTATTCAATCGAAACTTAATACTTTTAAGTATGGGTCATACAAAGACCTGTTTTTTAATATTCAGAAATAATTTTTTTTTTAAAGAATGAATAGAATCTTTAAAAGCATTTATTTACTTTACAAAAAGAGAAGTCAAGGGAACCCTAGTCTATATTCGAATTTTTGAAATCATGGTTAAGTTTCCAGTTATTTGCTAATCTTTCTTTATCGTAAAATACTTAATGAATATTGAATAAAGGAAACGGAAAAAATTCTATATTTAAATACCATTATATTTGAATTGTAATCCTCTCTTAGATTAATTTAGAATAAAACCTACAAAAGCCAGATTTTTATAATATTAGGCCACTCAATAAATAAGTATTTCATTTTTCTTAGGTCAAAAAAATAAATTATTTAACTCAAAATAATGTATTATATCTATAATTATTTTTCTTGAAAATGTTAACGAGCTTTTATTAAAAATACTTCTTTGGAAATATCAAATATATCTACAATTATGAGATCTAAATGCTTTTTATTTAAACACTTATCTTCTTAAAAATCGGAGACATTTTGTTCTTAAAAATAATTGTAGAATTTAATAAAGCTCTATAATTTTTTAATCGTATTTTTTACATACATAAACCTAGGAAATGATCTAAACAGAATTTCTTAATAGGTAAGACTTAATAATTTTACATTTATCTACAACATTTTCCAAAGCACGCATAAAAAATTTAAGCTAGATTTCAATTTGAAAAATTCTTTCACCATTAAAATTTTTTATAGATGCTCCAAAAATTGAGATACTCGGTCGAAATTTTGTTTGCCAACAGTTTAAAATATATAAAATTAAATCCCTAATTTAATTAATATATTAAAACAAGATAACTTTTGAGTTAAAATATAATTTACATCATTATTAACAATTAATTAAATATAAAATATTTTATAAATGTTCATAAAATAATCAAATCCTGTTTTAGTAATTCAACTAACACTACGATTAAATATAGTGTTGGTATGGATAGTGATGAAATCAAATTTATCTTTATTTTCTTGGATATTATTTTTTTTTTAAAGTGACTTTATTTTAGAGCTTGATTTAATTTCTAAACTAATCATCTATTAACTTAATTGAGCCTGCTACTTCTCTAGATTGTATTTTTTTGATTCCTAATTTGAATTAAGATATCTTAATTTAGCAACATCAATGATCATACTAAAAAGGAAATTAGAAATTATTTAAATTAATACCTGAAAAATATTAAATTTGGATGATGTAATCTTAAACGATGTCACTATGAAATTATTACCTAAAATATTAGATTCATCTGAAATTAGGTTAGCATAAATTTATTAGGTTAAAGTTTAAAATACAATTTATTTTTAAAAAATTTTTAAACATGATCTAAAACCTATAATTATTTTTAGCTACTGTAACTTTTAACAATATCAAATTTTTGATGTTTATAAATTAAATTTAAATATTTGTTATCAAGTTTAATAGAAAACTTGATATGTTGCCTTAATACTGATTTCATTTTATCTTCTAAATTATTTTCATCGGACTTTATTTTTAGTTTTTAGATAAAATTTCACATAAGCCTTTTATTACCTATTTCTCAGGGAATTTAAAATTTGCCCTGAATTTGCTAAATTACTTTCTATTATATTGGAATATTTAGAAATATATAGTATTGTTCCAAATATTACTATTAAGAATTTATAATTATTTTTAACTCAATTAGAGTTGACTTTGGAGATTAATAATTAATTAATCACAAATTTTAATTTATAATTCATATAGAGAATTCAGAACTCAATAATATTATTTTTTATGAACCAAAAGCATGTTATTTTATGGAATATATGGGATTTAATGGAACTCTTGAGATTCATAAATTGATTTATCCATTTGGGGTTGAAGAACTTAGAGAGACTATTATTTTAATTCTGATCTGAATATTGACAACTTTTTTATCTTAAAATCTTAAGATTGTTATCTTTAAATAATAATAGAACTGGCTTATGAGCGGTATGATTGGCCTCGTTGTAGTTCAATTCTCTTAGACCAAAGAGGAGATGTCTCTACGAAATCGCCATTCTATTGTTCTTCATCATTATCAATTTCATCTTCGAATAATTTAAATCCATTATTGAGAGTTGAAAATTTCATATCGACATTGTAGCTGCTCAATGAAGGTCCAGAACGTTTCTAATCAGATCTAAAATTATAATTTAAATTTATACTAAGGTTCTAATAAAGTTATGGTTTGATTCTAATGTTCAAATATCTATTCATCAAAGAATTCATGTTTGAGAATTTCAGAAGCAGAAGGCCTCTATTTTGGATTTTGTTTCAACATGAGGGAAATGAGATCTTTACAACTTTATGGAATTTTAATGGAATCATCAAATTTATATTCAACAAGCAAGTTATTCTTAAGCATCTTTTCCTTCTAAACATCTTTGAATGGATGCTAATTATATACCCTAAGAAGATAGGACAATATTATTTACAATTGATATAAAATTACTCCAAGACTAAAAATATCACACTTTTCTGTGTACATCTTAGTACCTTCCTTATATTGCAATATTTCAGGAGCTACATAGCCTGTAGTGCCACATCGATAATAAATGTAAGACTTTGCTTTAATGTATGTGGCAAGACCGAAATCTGCCAATACTACGTCTAATGAATTAGTCTTGCATAAGATGTTCTAAGGTTTTAAGTCCCTGTGCATTACACCTTTCTGATGCATATAATCTACACATTCTGCCAACTATTTAAAAATAATTCTTGCATCCCTAATGCTATACCTTTAATTTTTCAGTAATTCCCCTCCTTCCACAAGTTGTAACACCATGTTTATATGTCCTAAAAGTCAGTTAGCATCATTAAATACTATTAGTTTCGAACACTCGATGTAGCTTTATTATATTTGGATGACAAAGATCATTCATTACTAAGATCTCTTCCATTAGAAATTGAGGATTCAGCTTTGAATTTTTTCGAATTCTTTTTATTGCGTAGTGAGAACCATCGTTTAAAGATTTAGAGATAAAGACCTTGAATATATTATATATTACTTGAGCAGTGGATCCGAAACCTATCTGATTGATGATAGTGTACTGATTGTGAAATCCTATTAAGATGCAGAATTACTCCAACTTCAACTTAATATAAGTGAAATCCTATTCAGAATTTGAATATAAGGTAATCTAATTGTGATTGTGCATAAGTTCAATTTAATACGGGTAGGAAGTCTTCTCAGTTGAAGTTGACATATACACATTTTCTAACTTTCTAAATCCTTTTAAGTCCTATAGGATTATAGATCTTCTTATAATACTTTATCTCCATAAAACAAATAAGTTCCTTAGATAGTGTAATATCTGGGAATGAATTTATTGAAATATTTTCCCTTTTTATATAGGCAAATGCAATTATCGTTGTTTAGTGTGAAATTACTTTCATTTTAAATCAATTTTCTAAAATCTTTGTCCCAAAATGTATTTGATTTATTGTTTTTGTCCAGAAAGAAGTGATTCAAGTGCAAGTTTAGCTTATCCATATAGTTGTCCCTTATCAAAATATCTAATAATAATGAATTAATTAAAAACAAATTCTTAATAAGGTAATTGAAAGCAAATAATCAATTAATCATACAAATTGATGACTCAAAAATAATTAAGTTTGAAACTTAGCGATTGGATTTCTGAAATCGCATAAATGAAATGGACAAAGAAGTATAGCTACAATTCTTTAACTAATAAATTGTTGAATTTATATAGAATTGAGAATCAAAATTCACGATTGCTTTTTTTTATCTAAATTTTATCGGCTTATAACTATAATTATCTAATTTCATCATCCAACTTTCTAATTTCTTGTTTGTGTTTTACAACTACATTTATTTGATTATTGAACTAATCTATACATCAAAATGAGTTACATCTAAAAGACCCTTGAGAGTTCCAATTTCATCCCTCATTAAATCAGTATAATTTTAGAGAATTTCAAGTCCTCTCATTACCTCCTTGTCTCTCTTCTTCAGGAATTAGTATTGCTTTTCATTCTAAGTTTGCATACGTTTGTCATAGAGTAATTTCTATTCCTTATCAAACTCTGTGACATAGGAGTACAATTTGGATTTATAGTTGCTTTACAAGTGGGATTTGAAATTTTGGTATTTTAACCCTCTAAATTCTCTAAACTTCAGAATCTCATTCAAAAACTAAGCATAAGAATCAGGAAAGTTGTCCTTATATTTTTTTTCGATTTTGTCAAATTATTTGCTTAATTCACTAAAGAGATCTAAATAATCATATTAAAATACATATCCATCAATTCAAAATTGTATCTGATGCATTCTAATTCCAATTAATCAATCCTCTATTAAATGACTTGTAAGCATTTTTCAAATTCTGGATTATCATAAAATTACCCCAATTGAATAAAATACAAAGACATGGCTTACTCTCTCATTTAATTCAATTTGTAGGTTAAAGAATCTACTGTGACTTCTTCTGAGATTGAACAAAACTCCCTTACTTCTTTACAATAAATGCTTTCAATATAGTCTTTTTCATATTTAATTTATTTTTGAATGGCTTTAAAGAAACTTAAATTATATATGATATAATATACATATTTTCTTTCACATTGTTTTTCTCTAACTCTGATATCGAACTTTTGGTGATTATCTCTGCAATAGAAAAAAAGGTTAAAAAATCGATTTCATAACACTGATAAGTCTTCTTCTCTAATGACATCTCAAGTTCTAAGGCCCAATTATTTATAGTGTCAGCTGGATTATCATTCAAGGATGTGTTTGAAGCAATTACATAATGATTTTCTTCAATGAGTGTTATTTTAATATTGTCATACACTTAATACCATTTAAATTGGTCAATGCTGGTGCCCTAACTTTCAACAAAATTAAGGACTTGTAATTTATAATAGGGTTGTTAATCATTATTGATGATTTATTGAAAATTTTCTAATATCTCATCATCATTATTGTTTATAAGAAACACTATTTCACTAGCCAAAATAGAGGCCACTGTCATTAGCACTGTATCTGCATTAATGAATACACTACTGTTTTCAATCATGTTCAGGCCTTGTCTCCCCAACTATTTTTCGTTAAACTGTTCACTTAATATGCACAATAGCTGATATAATTAGATGTTCTTGTGTTCGTTGTATATAACATGATTCCAAATGTAGATGCCTTTTTGCAATGTTGTATCTATAAGAGGCAGGCTTTTATCCAAATTCAACTTAGATATTTAATTTATTTCAGAACGTGTAGCGATATAAACAATGAAAGAAGCAGGTCCAGTCCTAAACAGTGAGTTCTAAAAGAAAAATGGTATAGCATACATATTTCTTAAGGTCCAGACATAATTTGATTTATTTTGCATCATCATCCCATTATAAGAATCTTATTGGCTTTGCATCAATATGACTCTTCTTCAATTGATTTGTCTACATAAGGACTGTAGGCTTTTTAACTACTTTTTGATTTATAAAGGGAGATAACTGATTACCCTAGAAAAAATTCATTTTTCCTATATTAAATTTGAACTATTAATTAATTATCTCAATAAAAATATCACTGTTACATCTTTAATTCTGAACGACTCATATTTGCAATGCTTCATCCACTGATATCCCGATTCTATGATCAATAAAGAATATTTATAAATTATATAATTCCATTTACATGATATCCTACAAGTTCTCTATTCTTTTCATCAATTTTAATTTCCAAAATCCTTTTATCTCTTAATATTTTTACAATTCCTTTACTAATCTAATGTTTTACTTATGAATAGAAAACCTTATTACACCAAATCTTTAGCTCTATTAATCTTTATTAGATTTCGCATTAAAGAGGAAGAATGCTTTCATAATAGCCTAAACTTCTTATGATTAAGAGATTGAACACTTAAGTTCCTACTCTTGTTTTGCATTCTTTCAAAAGATTATAAAAATATATAAATTTAGCCAAGTAACGATGTAATTATAGATTAATAGAAATGCAGCTATGTTGTTTTAAATTAATTGAATAATCACAACTTTCTGTTCTCTAATCTCAATCAAATATTTATATTTTCACTTAAAGTCCACACTGATTTTTAGTACTATTAGTTTTATCATTTGGAATTTACTTCTTTTCTAATTAGCTCTAATCATTTATCTTGTATCTTATAATAACATTAATTTTCTATTTTTGTTTTTATTATATATTTGTGATTAAATTATTTCATAGCATTAAATTTAGTTTATATTATATAAATTACGAAGACTCCTTTAGATAAGTTATTTTTAATTTCAAATTTTGATTAAATTTGCCTGATAATTAATTATGAATAATAAGCAATTTTTTAAACTAGTGTTGAAATTTAATTAAGTGCAATAATTTGTACTTCAAACCCAGAAAAAATTTTTCTTCAATTAGCTAAATCTTTAAAGATTTAATAATTTTATCTTTTATTCATGGGCATTTTTATTGAAATAATAATGTAGCCATAGTCCTTTTTAATCTCCTGATTTTAATTTTATTAAATAGTAGGGATTAGGGGCCTGAAAATTTCTATGATTGAAAAAATACAAGATAATTTCGAAATAAAAAAAATGATCACGGCCAGTCTCGAACTGGCGGCCTCGTCCTTGTTAGGGACGCGTGATAACCCCTACACCACGCGATCAATTATAACTTTAAAAGTACTAATTCTTAGATTAATAATATCATTTTTTTTCTTCAATAATTCTCCTGGTTTATTTTAAGTATATATAAAATCCCAAATAAAAATTGACACATATTTGTTTTATTGAATTGTATAATTGCTATCCCAGTTAAAGGATGAAATACTTTATAAACCTTGAGACCAATTCTTGTTTGATATCTCAAATTATAATACTCTTTTAGTTATCTTGCTAGTTTCTTCTCTATATTCATATGTTATGATCCATAAAACCTCCAAATCCATCTAATTAATTATCAAGATTTTAGCAATTTCATTTTTTTAAGGAATTCATCCAAAAAGTAAGCTCTTAAATTATCTCAAATCAATAATGACCTAAAAAAGCATTTTCCTGGAGCAAACACATAATAGTTTGATTTAAATTCTAAATTTCTCATATTAACTTGCATCCCATATACTCATTATGATATTTTACTCCCTTTTCTCACATCGTTAAATTGAAATATCCATTTCTTAATTTTAATATAAATAATTTTAGCTTTAATTATCTTCTAAAAAACTCATTCAGAGATTTTCCTTATAAGTAATGAAAACCCATGATTCATATTATGTCGTAGAGTAGAAATATCACTAAATTTCTTAGGAGAGTAAACAAAAATTATTTTTATTAATTTTCTAATTTTTATAATAATTTCTTTGAAATCTTACCTCAAAAATTAAATTTGAATTCGAGAATCAATGTTCACCTAAAAAGAAAAATCTAAATTTGAAGTCAAAGAATAGTTTATAAATTCAATCCTTAACCTCTATCATAGCATCAAAGTGAAAAAATTTGTATTAAGTGGCTTTTATTTTTTAGGATTACTCCAACCGATGCTCTTCTAAAATTTTCACAACAACTAAAATCCACAATTTAATGAGTAAATACAAACACCAATTAATTAATTTTGGTATTTAGAAGTGATTGCTCGGCCTGATTTAATTATTTCTACAAATACTCCTGAGTTTGAATACTTGATACCTTTGACCTTAACCATAATGTTCAATGTGATTCCTCTGATTCTGTTAGTTGAATAGAAGCGTAGTGATGATTCTAAAAGAAAAAGGAGCAAACTCTTACCTTATATAAATTTAAGTTCGATGGTTTTTTAACTACAACCAATCTACTTATAGATTCCATTTTGTTCCTTATGTTTCAAGTCCTTGGCATTTAATTTTGATTAGAGTCTCAATATCGAGAGTAATTACATAAACATAATATTTGCAATAATCACCTTGATATTGTTATGTTCATTAAATTTTTTGACCTTCCTCCTTTGCAGAGAATCAATAGATTTTGATTTAAACAGTTTTTTAACATTAAAACTGAGCTTTATTGATTTCGTTATTTGGATTACTACCCTTTTTCAAATTATAGTTTATTACCATATACCTAAATTTAATGAATCCATTTAAGCAATACTCTTATTACTAATATCCTTAATGATACTAATTAATATGTTTAGCCTAATAACTTGTTTAAACAACATAATATTCATATCAATTACATTTGCTTCGTACTAATTTATTCAATCTATCCTGATATTAACCAATCTTTAAGTGAATATCTCTTTATATATCAATGTTTTGCTGTATATTTTGGTTCCTTTGCTTAATTATTTATTAGTAAAAGTTCACCACTCATATGATTTTAAGATCTCAACAAATGCAACTTAGTTTTAAAATTGCTCATTGCAAATATGTGCTTTCTAAGTTTTTTAATGAAGAGTTTTCATCATTTCCACAGAAGATTATCATCTATGCTAAAATTATATAATTATATCAATAGAAAAGGAATCTTGAGCCAATTGCCTAATTGCCATTGTAGAGTGTAAATTAAGAATTTATGCCTAAAGAATTGATGAATTTCTATTATAAAACTCTTATCAAGAAGTACTTGAAAGAACTTTAAAGAACAAATAGTAAATCAAGAAACGCCAATCATTACATTCATTATGCAGCTATTTTATTTAAAATTGGATTGAACAATTTGTCACTTAAACAAATTAATGTTTTGTTATTTAATACTAATTTTAATAAACATAGTCGATCCTTTGCAAAAGACAATTAGAGCGACTAAATGAAATCGCTCAATACTCTACATCCTGGAAATAAATCCTCATTTAGTAGATCATCAAAATCTTAGGAAGTATAAGAGGCAGGAAATCACTAGATAAATAAAACTAACAAGATGTTAGCAACGACTGGAAATCACACATTGACATTTTATTAGAATGTTAGGGTTATAATATTAAGGGAAAAAGTAAGAGATAGATTGAAGTAATCATTTCAATACAGAGAAATAAATAGTAATTCTTTTGGATTATAAAATGCCATTGAAATGTTCCTTAAAAGTGAGAAGAGAAATCAAAGTCTGAAAGATCAAGTTTTGAATTTAGTGAATTCTAAATTATAATTTTTCATCTAATTACAATAAGTGAAGCATATTAAGTTGTCTTAATTGTTTAAGGTTTCAAAAGAATTGTGTTTGAAAGTGGAAATATTGGAAAGCAAACTATTAAAGCTTTACAAATATTTTCCAAGTCAGCGAATTCAATCCCTTTATACTTATTGTTAAGGAGAGATATTTGATAACTATTTAGATGCCCATAAGATTACTTGTAATACATCTATTTCAGATGATAAGTTGAATAATTTACACAATAATACAGATGCAGAATATACTTTATTTAATAAAGGTCTAATTTATTTAAATATTAGGTTATTTGAGGAAAACTAAGAGTTATTAATTCAAAATATAACCCCTAGGGTTTGCTAATTTTTCTAAAAAACCTATGATGACTTTAAACTAAATAGTTCAATAGATTATTTGATTCCTTCAGCTATTAAGAATGAGCATTCCCTTTTGGTCTAGCGATTCTTATAAACCTCGGTATCAAGATTTTACTTAAAAAAGAATATGAATTTTTATAGAGTTTAAAATGAGATAATAAAACCATGTGAATTCTTTTTTGAAGTTAATTTCAGTGATATGACCTAAATATCATTTTTAGCATTTTTTTAAGATAATTTTCAAACATCAGCCTTTTTAATGGTTGATGTAAATTATTAATTAGGAGGAATAACCTAAAATCTCTTAGACAAATTAGGATACACAAATTATTATTTAGAAAATATCCAATCTCAATATTTAAATCAAGTAAGTATTGAATTCTTAATTCCTAATTTTAAGTAACTTGTAAATCAGAAAGAATAATTGCATGTAACTGAATTTAAGTTCTTAAATTAATCTATTCTAGTCAATCCTTTAATTGCAGAAGAATAAAGAAATAACGCTAAGAGCAATTTTAACGAATGGAATAACCCAGATAATCTGATTCATTGTGAAATTCTAATATCAATCAATTCCAGAGAATTATTTGGATTTTCATATTACATCATAGAGATTAAAGAAATAAAGACAGATTTCGTGTACAAATAGTAAATTTTAGATTAGAATTGCAATTCCTTTGATTAAGCTTTTTCTTATGTTTCCGATCAGGAAGCAATAATAAACTCACCTGTTGCGCTTAAAATTGATTAGACAAAATTCGAGGCTTTTAATAGGGATGTAAACTAATTTATAGTTTAAGGCGATAATGATAAATGGCAATAGTTTTATCAACCGGATATGGCTCATTATGAAATAAATTTAATGAGCCCAATGGATATAAGTATGAATCCTATTGCTTTAAATTCAGCTAATCCTCTTTTAAAAGTTAGACAACAAGAGTTCTTTAGTTAAGTAGGTGAATAGCAAGTTGGAGCAAACTCTTTTTCTTCAAAAAACAATTTTGGTTAAGCCTTCGATATGTAATAAGAGGAATAAATTCATAAACCATAGCTTAGAGTCAAGGGAGAGGATACTAATTCATCTTCTTATGCAGGTGCTAAAAAATCAAGGTTTTTTAAGAAATATCAAATGTATCAGTAAGTAATAGCACCACATAATCCTAAACAACTAAAATTACTCATAATATTATTGATTTGCTAATTTATAATAGGAAGCATACATTTTATAATAATAGTTACAAAAAATTAAAATGATCTGAATCAATTCATTTCTGAAATTGATATGATAGAATTGCACAGTAGTTTCATGGCTCCACATGATATATTTGTGTCTATGAGAATTGCTATTATATCCTACAATTCTTATGTAAATGAAGGGGCGATCAATTAATCTCAAGCCAACACACTTACAAAACCATTCTATGATAATATTTAGATTGGATACTAGGAAATTAAAGAAATCTTCATCGAATAGTTAACAAATTAAAACTTATAACCCTTTTTCGAAAATAAATCAATCGATATGGTTTTCATGGATGCTGATACAAGTGATATATATACCAAGGCATTAAATATCCGTGAGGCTTTCTAATAGATTATTTAAAATTTATATTAGTATAAGTATAGATATGAAAACAGAATGAGCACATCTGGGAGTGCAATCCAAGTTTTTGGAGTTGCAAATCAATTTTATCTGCATGATTGGTTAGAAATCCTAACATTAGAAATACTAGAATACTCTAAGTATCGAAGTGAATAAATAACTAAAGATTGGAGTATCATATGGATTATTTTTATAATAATAACAATACTTCTAACTCTTAGTGAAATCTATTACTATAGATAATATAACCAAAGGTATGATAAATACTTAGGGATGTTCAAATTTTGTAATTAAAATAAATTGTAATATGAGATTGATAGATACAAGATAATACAGAGATCTTTATAAAAAAATCCAGATTAAATATTTCTTTACAACTTTGACTTAAATCAAAAAGAGTTGTAATTAATTACATAGGCTAAAATTTAAGATGCTTTGAGTAGGAAGAACAAAGATTAATAAAGAAGTATTCAATTCTAATATGAATCAATATCTATTATTCTTGGAACATCCTTAATAATCGGCATTTGGATGATATTCTTTGGTTTAAGCATTATAATTTTCTAAGGATAAATGAACTATTTGAATAAATACTCTGGTACCGTTGATATTTATAAGTTAATCTAAGACATGACATATTCATCAGCTACCTTATATTAAAATAGAGATTATCATTTTATATTTGGTAATTTTACTTATTTGACTTCAAAGGATGAGGAAATTATCTTTAATCTAATATATTCTGGAATTGATAACATAGAGAAGTTTAATATTTTGTGTACTACTTTTGATTAGAATGAATATTAGGTAAATGATGATTTTGTTTCATTTTTCAATATAATACAAAAAGAATCAGTTTGCGATATTCTTACACCAGAGCAATTGTCTTTTTTGGAAGATTTTTGCACTATATCAATTTAAGGGAATTTTTTAAAGGGAGTGATTGCTGCATTGAATTTTATGAAAAATCAAATCAGAACATAGATCATTGTCAACAATTTTACTAAGCGATTGGAGCATCCATTTTATGATAATGAGGCTGGTATTATAATGGTGAGAGTATTTTAGTTAATGACATAAAAACTAAAATCAAGTATGTTGGGTGTAACAACTGACTTGTAAAACATTTCTTCGGTATTTTAAATTATAATAAGTAGGTTTTGTCAACGATCTATCTAATATTTGCAGTTCTCTCAATTTTAGTATTAATCTTCGGATTCAAAAGATATTTAGAAATTGAGTATAACATTGTAAAGAGATTCATCCAATTGTTACCTACTTCTATCACTCTTTTAGAAGATTAATTTGAGCGTTATATGAGAGTGTTATTAGTAGAAGAAAGTGAATGATTTTGTGATATAAATTCTATTTTTATAAATAATTAATTAATCTTAACTATGTACCTCATTCCCAGATTAAGCAAAACCCATAAATCATAGGAAGATATAGCAGCTATTCAAGATTATATGAGTCAATTACCGTAATTTCATGCTCCATATGAGATCCTAAAAGAGGTATAACGAGTTTTATATAGCTATGTTATAGTATGAATTATAAATAATTCAAACATGGTGAGCATGTAAGCAATAAAAGTGAGTATGCTTACTTCATTTTAAAAGGGTAGATTCTAGCCGATAATGGCGATTCATATAGTGTGGATACATGGTACGATTTAGATTACTCGTTCTATGTAGTGGTACAAAATTTGATTTACTAAGGTCGATACGCATTGCATCATAGTGCCCATAAACACATATAAGAATTTTAATCACACTCATGGATCTAATTTTCAATATCGCAAAAATATTTTATTATAAAATATCACATCAATAGACAAAATAAACTCAAGCAAAATTTAAGAAAAACTCATTAGAACTTTTACAGAAACCACACTATCAGCTGGTGCCATCATTTACAAATAGAACGAGCCAGCATAATCTCTTTATGTTCTGTCAGAAGGGGTCTTATAAATTTCTCGATTGTATGAAAAGAAAATGACTCATTACGAAAAACAAGTTCTGCCTAAAAAATATTGGCAAACAGAAGTCAACATTTGCTAACTTACGAATTCAGGTGTAATCGGTGAAGAACTACTTAAATAAGAGTTTGCATTTTATAATGTTAAGGTAATCTCGAAAATTGCAGTTTTGTAAATGATTTCAGTTAAACAGCTGAAGAACTTCTTAAACATCAACGTTGTTATCCAATCCTTATAAGATTTGTTTAATGATAAGCATGCTTAAAGAGAGGAAATCTTTAAGCAATAATGTGAAGAAATGGAAAAGAACTGGTAAACTACCAGTAAATAATAGATTATTAACTCGGAAATTAAGAAAACCATTAGTTTTAAAGTTCTCAAATCTACTTCTGAAAAGTAGCAGTAGACCAATAATACTACAATGAATGTGACCAAAATCAATATTAGTAACACTCCAAATTGTTAAGATGAAGAACTAGGAGATTTTCAAAGAACTAAAAGTCCTTTTAAAAAGATACCTAATTTTATATAGCAATATTTCAAATAAAAATAATTGGAATCTACTAAAAAAACAAATGAAATAACGTTATAATAATTCATACAAAGACAACAACATTACAATAACCCCTATTAATTATTTGAAAAAGTCCATGATCCACTTAACTATATTTAAAAAGGATCTAATTATAAAAGATAGTAATTTTCAGTCTTGATTTAACATGGAATTGTCAAAATTAAAAATCCATAGATTCCTAAATAACCTAAAAGGCCAATAACATCCTATTTAGGAGATGAATCAAGTAATAACAATAATACTAATAATAACAACAACAACAATAACAATAATAATAATGATAATTCTCAATAATAACCAACAAGATTATTGATTAAGAGTGTTCATACTCCTAAACCTATAGTTAGTTCATTAAAAAAGTTTTATAGAAGTTAGTCAGCACATAAAAATAAAGGATTCTCTTTATTAGGAAAATCATATTAATAACAATCAAGTAATATAAAATCGATATATTTAGGTCCAAGAGACAATATGTTTTATTTAAGAAGTAATTCAACTCACAATTTTAAATTAAGTCTTAACAAATCCTCAAATTAAAGTTAATAATTACAAGTATGTTATACGGACAAAAAAATACAATGCGAAGAATCATTATTATGAAGCAAGTTTCTATATAGTTACAAGATCATTTAATTCTTTGTTAACATCTTACATTTAATCGATTATCTCTAGTAGTTTCTATCTCTTTTCTTTTTTAATATTCATGTCTGTTTATTATTAAATCTACTCTTCGATATCTTAGTATTATAAATTGAGTGCAGCTAATTGCTCATCCAAAAACTTAATTCTTTAAATTGCTCTGAGATATTTCTATTGTTTTCTACAAAATTATTAATCAGTCTAAGTAATTTCATCACAAATGATAACTGCATTTTTGTATTCCTAAGATGGATAATTCTCTTCTAAAGTCTTTACTATCAATCGACTGACTCCACTACTTTGTGAATCATACCCTTATTATTTTTAGTTCTAAAAGTTATTATTTTGCATAGATTAAGATTGAGTTAGAAATTAAGGATCATTCAATTTATTTAGACTTCTGCTTTTGATTTATCTTAGATCTCTAATTTTTTATGCCTTTATTGACATTTCTTTGGATGAGACTTATTTAATGTTCTTTTTTTAAGTTATTCTTGGACTTAGAGTGGATAGATTAGATTTTGATGACAAAGTAATTAATTATTATTTTAATTACTCTATTCTTACATTTGATTCGGAAGATTTCTTTACTTTTGTGTACTCCGATTCTTCAAGTTCTTTTTTTGTTAAATCTAAATTTGAATTCAAGTTCTAGATTGATTTTTAAAGTTATTCATTCTCCGTTTTCAAATGCTCTATTTAATATTTTAATTTATTGTTTTCATTCTCCAATTCTACAATATATATTAAGTTACTTCTTAACTTTTTATCATTATAATAAGCTGTATATTATTATATATAAGGTTCTGCTTCAAATAATTTTTCTTTCAAATTTAATATTTCTTACTATAATTTTTCATTATTTTCAAACAAAAATCTTTTCTCATTTTTCTCTTATTCAAAAAGGAATTATAAATTTGAATAATTCTAACATACTTTATATAGTTACTTATTTTTCTTGGAATAGAAATTAATTATAGGAGTTAACCTTGTTTCTGAAATTAATATTATTTTCTTCTTAATTACTCAGCTAATCATTTCTTAATTTAAAACAAAAAAATTACAAATTTTAGATTTCTTCCATGCATTCCTTGTTTCTTTGATCGGCTTGTTATGTAATGCTCAATAAATTATGCTGTAATTGTTCTATTTTGCATTCATAATCCTCGAACCTTAATTTAGATGTAAATTCCTGTTGCATTAACTTGGATTCAAGTTCTTTAATTTATATGTTTTCACTAGTTTTTAAATGCACACTTGATTCCTTAATCTTTCTCTCATTAGATTTAAGGATACTCTTGTAATCATTTGATGACTAATTTATAATCCGTCAATACCACTAGAGTCTATAAACTTAAGTTCTCGAATTCCAGTTATTTGATCTTTTCCTACAATGCTTTCATTGCATTTAAATAACTTTATGAAGCAGTAAGATTGTTAACCATTTTTTATTCATCTGATGTGTTGGAGAGTATATGCTGTTTTTTTAATTAGTCCTTATTTCGAACTTTATAACCTGCAAAAAGCTATGAACATATAAACTAATTATATTTAGCATGCTTATCTGATAATGCTGAGTGAAAACTATCAGCTTTCATTAATTTTATTATTAAATTAAAATTAAGTGAAAATTGTGCGTGCAATTCAAAGTAAATATTTATAAATACCATATGTTTTCATATGTAAATAATTAATTTTTGGTCAAAAAGAGTAGAGATTAGCATATAAGAGCTACTATGAGCAATGCAATATTTAATATACTATTTTAAAGTTAAATAAAAATTAAATTCACTCTTTTCTAGTCCTGAGTAATTCTATCATAATTAAGTGGGTTTATTATCTTATCTCAATTTTTGAATAAGTTAAATAAACTTTAAAAATATAAAGCATTTGAATGTACAATTTTACTATAAAAAAACTTTCAATTTTAATATCATATTAATAATTACAACCTTCTAAATTTTTATCCAACCATATTATTTTCATAACTTTATTTTAAATATTATTGATTTTTCTTATAATTAAGAAATTAGATTGCTTTCATTTATTAATTATTGTGCAGTTATGCTAGATAAAAATACATTATAATGCGTATTATAAATTTTCAATATAATTATTTTCTTAAAACAAGTTCAGTAGCAATTAGGACTAGCAGAATAACAAAAAATGCTTGCGCTAAGTATATACAGACTTTTTGATTAACATCGTCTTCTTTCTAAGTTTATTTTCTAAAAGACGATTTAAATGACTTAACTTTTTTGAGTTAATCATCCCTCTGCTTGACATAAAATGGTACAGTCTAAAGTGAATCAATTAAAATAATACTTATATTTCTTATCCTCTGATTATATAATTAGGAGAAGTTTCAATAAATCTTAATTTTGCCTTATTGACCATTTCTTATAAATTATGAGGTGAAAATCCAACTCGACTTGATTGATCAATTTGCCTGAAGTTGCTATGCTGTAAATGAGAGAAATCATCATTCAATAATCCCTTTAATTTCTTCGCACTTCTATTATACTTATAAATTGGATTCAAAAATATTCCTTTTTTGTTAGAATTGTCAATGTTAATAAATCCAAAAGATCTTTATTCCATTTTGACAAGAGCAAAATATTATTTTAAAATTTAATATTGCCTATTAAAATTAGAAATGGTTTAAAATTAAAAAATATAAAGAAAATAAATTGAGAATTTTATCTTAAGTTATTAATCATTTATTTTCATTATTTATCAGTTGCTTTTCTGTAAATCTTCTTCGACTCTTTGGTTTGAGTCTAACCCTTTAGACTTTAAAGTAGAACATTTTTTTAATTACTCAAGTTTGAGATTCTTTTCATGGTATTTTTTTGAATCTGAAATAAGAAATTTAATGATTTAACTTTCTTATAACTCTTGAGTACAGAACAGAGCATTCAAATAAGTCTCTAAGTCTCCTTTCCTCTTTATTATAGTTTCTTATACAAATTAACTTAAATTTTACCTGGATTTACATTAGTTTATCCAAATAATTTCCGTGTTGGGAATTATGGCAACTTATTTTTGAATCCTTAATCAAGAAGAGCATCATGAATACTTTTGATTTCAGAATACCTTTTTTTGTATATCCATTCATCATTTGAGAAATTATTCTTGAAGCGAAGTACGTATACAACAACTCCATCATATATTACATAGCTTTCAATCTTTACACTAATATTCACCCTAACATTCTTAAACACATTCTTACTATTCATTTTAAATGCTTTCAATAGGTAAATATTATTAGACTGGAGTCAAACTAATTATTTTATCAATACTAAAAAGTTCATTGAAATATGATTCTAAATCATATTTCCTTTTTTCAATTTTTTCTTCATTCTGATTAGTTTTGTTAAAGAGACATCTTCCTGGAAACTGCGGTAATTGCATCTAGAGTTTTAAGAGAGTGACATTTTTGTGCAGCTGCTCATGAAAATTTTTTAACTCTGAATATCGATTTATAGTGGTTTTGGTTTGATTTTCATTATTTACTTTAGTAACTGTGATTTAATAGTAAACTTTATTATCATTCTATAGAAGATGGTTCAGTTGAACTCGATATCTCTTTACTAACATGCAAAAAAAAAATTTATAATTGAAATAAATAATTGTAAACTTAAAACATATAAGTTATTAATAATTCCATATTCAATTATTAAAAATTATTATGATATGATTTAATTTACTTAGTTAATATAAATAACTTCTCATCAAAAATTTATAATTCAAAATGAATTTTAATTAAAAATCATATGAAAATTTCTAAAAATACATTTCATCATTTTTCTAGGATGGTGAAGATTTTGGAAAAAAATGCAATAATGATTAATTTTGATTACATCAGAACCTACTCAACAATTAAAAAGAGAATTAGCTAGATTGACACAAACAACATTTAATAATTGAATTAATTGTAGCGTAAGCATTATTTACATGAATCAACTAATAGTAATTCTTAATAAATGAAGGCACCAAGAGGAAATATGTTGTAAGCCATATAAGAATTAAAAATCAAAAGCATCACCGAGTAAATTAATAGATAATAATATTAATCATCTAATATTAAATAAGGATTTAGAAAGATTATAGAATTAGAAAGAAGAACCAAAAACATCCAATCATCTTTAAAGGACAACAAAATACATCCTAAATCAAATGAAGAAAAATTTTATGAAATTTGCTTGGTTCTCATACTGATATCTTTCATCTTTTCACTTAGTTATACAATTATCCATGAGTTAAAGAATTGAATTTTTTAAATTATTATTCGTCTAATATCATCAATAAGTTTATTCATTGAACTATTTAAATCAACCAAAACAGAATTTGAATAGTTTCAAGTAAAATTTTACAAAATGGTAAATTAACATATAAATGGAAATAATTCAAAATTATATATTCTAATTTAAAATGTATTAAAAATTCCATAAATAATTATAAAAAAATAACTCTAAAAGTATCATATCCATTTTATGTTCAATTTTCATTGATAAATTCATAAATAGAAGCTAATTATCTAAGATTTCTAATGTGAGTGAGAATTTATATCTTTATTTTAATCATCAAACAAGTTTTTATAAATTTCTAAAAATCTATTCACTTTAGTTATTTTTTAATTAAAGTCTGGCATTTAATAATAAAATTCTTTTCTAAAAGAAAGAAAACTGTGTTCGCGGAATATTTAAGTGTTCTCAATAGTTTTTAATTTTAATCAGATTTATATAAAAATGAATGAATAGAAATTGCGAGAAATGATGAAAATATACACTGTCTCCAAGTAAGTCAATAAAAAAGCTGAAAAAAATTTCCTTAAGTTTTCCCATCAGTTCTATAAAATGCATAAGGCTGATATGGCTCCTGAATTGCTGAATGAGATCAATTCTCTAAGACAACAAATCAAAGTCGAAAAACAAAATTTCTCAAAATAAACATCTCCCATCATAAGTCCACGTCATTCTGAAAATCCTAAGTCGATTCTTCCTAATTAAACCCCAATCTCAGATTTAGTTAATGAAAATAAATAAAAATTAGATTCTATTGTTTTAGAGGCTGCCCATGCCTAAATATTTAAACTATACATAGAAGAAATTAAAGATTTAAAGCAATGTACTATTTTTAACTTAATTTTATTAGAACTCAATAAAGCAAACCAAATGATGGAAACCTAAAAAAAGTAATATGACATAAGACTTGAAAGTATTTTAATTATTTATTTCAGCCATCAATAATTAGTTAGTGGATTAGAAAAGAATAAATGAAGATCTAAAAAAAGATGTAATAATATCAATAATATAGGTAAAAGTATTGAAGTAAATGTTAATGGAAAAATTACATACTCGCCAAATAACAGAAATATCAAATAAAACTCAAAATGAAAGTCTAGAAAAATACTAAAGTATCAATACCTCAACATCCAATTCTTGTCATACCAGGAAAAAGAGCTTAGAAGATTTTAAATCCGAGATTGAATAGGCTCTTAATATTTATCGTCTTGACAAATAAACTACTTAGTGTTAGGAGAGTAGGACATAAAAATGATGGTTATTTATATATTGAGAATGAAGAATTATACTCTGTCATTTTTATTTCAGAATTATATTTATCTAGGATTATTTTATTAAGAATTTATTATTCTTTTATATCTAATATCAATAGAGAATGAGGGAGCAGTAGTTTACATTATTTATAAAGAGGTTTTTTAATCGTTGATTAAATTATATATTATAATTGTATGGCATTAAACTCGACATTCGTTACTGTCTAATAAATTTTATGATTCTGAACATTTATATTAAATATCAAATTTAATATGCTATTTGCTATTATATTCGTTTGCTAACATAAAATGTATTTTATATATTAAAGCAAAATATTTATGCAATTATAAATTGAAATGTGAAAGGGAAATGACTTGGGTGGATAAGAATGTATTAGAATGATTTTATATGTTTATATGGTGCAATATTAATTTATAGAGCGCCTTCAACATTTTTCATCATGATAACTCCAAAGAAAGCTCTTGGGTCCTCTTCCTGCTGCTCTTTTCACAAATTCGGCATCATTAGGGGGTTTCATCTGATATTAGAATTATAATAGACCTTTTTTGTTGCACTTGATAGCATTGATTGTATAGACAAGCAAACAGAACTTACAGTGAGGGCGGCTGACCACTCTAAAATTATGATTGATCAGAAATACCATCGAATAATATTGATAAGCAAATAAATCCATTGGAATAAATATGTTCATGCTCAGGAGGTTTGCCAATAAAGATTACCTAATTATTGAGAATTATATTACTTCAGGAGATTCAATAGGCTAATTTCAAAGAAAAAAGGAGCTAAATAAGTATAAGTATTTCTACATATTCGTTTGAAAACTTGAATTGCAATCTAATTTATTTAAATTATTTACTCGAATTTCTCTCCTTGATACAAAGTTCCCTTTGCACCTTCAAATGCTACAATCCAATGTTTAATATCATTATTGGGCATTCTCACATTAAATTGATCTACATAGGACTTTTGCATCTGCTCTAAATCCTTTTGCAGTCTCTTGGCCATTCTACTCTACATTTCTTTAAAATAAATTATATATTTTTTTAATTAATATCAAATCAGGAATAATATATTTTGATTAAATGGCAAGATTCTGAATCATTCAATTTAAATTACTTCGATACATAAATCATCAAGAACACCATCATAAATCATTAAAATAAATTAAATATGTATTTACAAATCAGGTTGAATAAACGATGCCTAAGAAGTAACTAATTTCTACAAGAAATTAGATAGATAGATAAATGGAAAAGTTATAAGGTCTTTAAATAAATTATTTAAAATTTAAAATAATTTATTTTATTATAGAATAATTATTATTTAAGCAAAATACGAGCGTAATGCCGCTTGATTATTAAATTTTAAAGACAAATGCAAATTTCAGAAAATCACTATTTGCTCAAAAGGTAGGATACCTAAGATAAATAGTTCAATTCATAATTTTCTTCTCCAGAAACAGATTTTAGGTAAACCTAAAAGGAAATAATCCCTTTTAAGACACAAGAGGAGTTTGAAAAAGAAACATAATAATTTTAATTCTTTACTCCAAAAAAAACAAGGTATTAAGACAATGAGATTTATTATACTCCTGAGATCAAAAGAAAACAAGAGAATCAATCTACTCAACAACACAGAAAATTTAAATAGATAGGTAATATCTTGTTTGCAATACAAGTTCTAATTATCATACTTTTGGAATTGATGAATTGACTATTATTATTATTTTATATGTAATTACTAACATTATTTTCCTTGTAAATTAGGAAGCTATCAATAATAGCTACTGCGAAAAAACTATTGATGCTTACAATCAACGATAAATAAGTCAATCATTAACAGAGAAGGATTAGAATTAAATAACATTTGTACATGTATAGATTGTTGAAAAAATAATATACTAATCTGAAATTATTTCAATATATCTTATTTTTATAGTTGCCAATATTCTTTGGTCATTTTAGAAGAATTTTTGGTATTTAGTCAAATGAGGTTAATGAGTTATTATTAAATGATTATCTGAGTAATCTATAATATGGATTTAAACATGTATTGTATTATAACACAATTCAAATGAAAATTTAGTAAAATGAAATGGTGTAACAATTTGTTTTGCATATTAAGAGAGTTAATCAGGATAAAAATTTTGATTTTGAATAGTAAAATTAGTTTAAATTAATCATATAAAAATGATAAATTATTTTTGATAACTATTCTAGGAAACTAAATGTTAAATATAATAGAGATGCATTAGTTTAAAGTTGAATGCTGTTTAAAGTTACCATTTCAGTTAAAATATAAATTAATAAGTTAATACTTAGATAAATCAATTATTAAGAAATAAAAATATAAAAATAATTATTAATATTAATCTAAGGATTTATTTAATATATTACATTTTCTAATTTTGTATAAAACTTAAAAGAATTTTGAAGAGGATTGGAGTCTGTATATAAATAAATATAAATGAAACCAGCATGGAGATTTAGATGATATGGAAAATTAAAACCAAAGGTGTTACATAATATTATAATAATGATAATCATGGTAAATCATCCAAATTTTCAATCTTGTATAATGTCCATAGCCTTGTTTTGAGTTTCATAAGTGTATCTCGTAATAGTGCCAATTTTTCATCTTTGTCTTCGTTCTCTTTAAATACTACTTTATAGAAATTATCGCGACTATGTATTTGATAATATTGTACCTTCCTACAGTGTATAAACCTGCTTTGACAGCAGTTCTAATAGTGAAGGAATGATGAGGGGCAAGACTTTCATTATATGCTTCTGAGCAGATGGAACTGAAACTTTTCTTTTAATCAGTTATCAATTGGTTGGTCATATTGCAAATAAAGTCGAAAAACCACATGAGTCTTAATAGAGTACGGGCTGATGATTCGTAATCGAAATAAAAATCTCCTTCTTTGTATCCAAACTTTTCAGTGTTCTAACCATTCAATTTTGCAATGTCTATAATAATGAAGCTCAGATACCCTTCTATTTTTCAAATAATATAAAATCAATTAATGATCCATGTTTATGCATATTCCAATTCCTCTCTAGTAATCTACATTTAGATGTGATATCTTCAAAAGCCTTTTTTAAAATTCCACCCATTTCCATAAAAATCTAAACTTAGTGATAAGTCTCAAATACCTTTGTTAGTTCTCTGCACATGAGAACAAACGTATTGAATTCGTTTAACTTTTCTAAATCACCTTTGATGATTGAAATTTAATCGAGTAATCTACTTAGCTTAAAATCTTGGGAATTATCCATTTTTTCTTTTTTATAATATTGAAATTTTATGTATTATTGTATTCTGTTAATTTGAAAAAAGAGAGAAGAGTTTAATTAGATGATGTTTGATGGGTTTACATAAAAAAAATAACAACTGTATGAAAGTATAATTATTTAACTTCAAACGAACTCTTAAAACATCAGTAATTTAATTATATTTAAGAATATTCTTTGATATAATTAGATTTATTCAAATTTCTTAAAAAGGATCATCATTTTGCTCTACCTAGCCATGTAATCCAATTTAAAGAAGACAATTAAACTTGGATAAATTTAATTATACGCATTAATGCATTATAAAGTGACTTTAAAATTGCAAATCTTTTTTTAATCACTAATTATAAATTTTGCTATTATTTGTAAACATGCATCAGTTTTTACCCAATCAACTCCACTTTGATACACAATACTCAATCAATTACTGGAATGCATATTAGAATCTACAACAATCCTATTATAATAATTACTACACCTCACAATAGATGCCTTATGTCTAATATCTCTATTATCAACAGAAACTTCCATAAAATTTTGAATAAGGTAACACATCCTCCTAAATGATAATTAGTACGTCATCACGAAGACCCAATCTCCGCTTAAGGCACGAGAAGATCAATCGCAGAATAGTAGGATGTGGTACCGTAAATCAAAAGTGAAGCTCTATAAGGATACATAATGATGATTGTCAACGAGGATGAAACTTTTCTCGATAAAATAACAAATCTAAAATATAGCAATTAGACAACTTTATTTAATCTGCTTGATGGGTTGGTCCACAAATAGAAGTGTCAATAGAAGAGTAGAGAAGAACTAGTTAAGTATTGCTTACGTAAAGCTTTGAAATTTATATTCAAAAGAGTTCAAGAGAAATACGATAAAACAAGTAATTAATATGATCATATTTGAAGAGACAAATTTGAAATCCGCTCAACGAATATTCATGAATATTGTGGAGAAGGAAACTTCAGCCATTATTATGCTGCCATTTAGAAAAAATAGCATAAATAAAACAATGAATTCAGATTTTTTGAAATAAATTTTCTCTTCAAAAACATTTGTTACTTACTACAAAGAATTCTTAAGTAAATCTTCTTAGTATTTTAGACTCTTTGGAATAGGAGATACAAAAAGATTCTAACAAAAAAATTGCCATTCTCTGCAATAAAATTATGAATCATATTCAAGATGGAAAAAATGTATAATTACATATCAAATAATTATATAGTTTGAATTTGATATTAAAAGATTACCATGGTCTCGTTCAAATGTAGAAAAAGTAAAACAGGCAGCTTAGGAAATGTTACTTTATTCAAATTTTGAGATTTAGTGAATAATAACATTTTATTTTCACCAATATAATATATTTCTAAATGTCTCAATATAAGGGTATTAAAATATTATTTTTTCTATCAACAGGAATTAGTAAAAATACCAGTAAATTTATTAAAAATAAATTAATTTAAAAACAGAAAATGGCCTCAATGCAATTCCAAAAGCATTCTAATCATTTATAATACTAGATACATCTATAAATAAATGGTGAAAAAAATTCTTTTATAAAACTATGAACAGCCACTGAATTGATTAATATAAATTAATTAATAATTATTAATTTAGAAATATACATTATAATTATATATCACAATGATGTATAATTATTGAAAATTCATCCTTTAGAATAAGGGATACAATAAACGTTATTTAGATGGTTTAACTTAGATCTATTTATTCAAGGTATTCCGAATAACAATGTTGGTTTTCTAATGTAGAGTTGAGTTGGCATCTCATTTTTGAATATTCCATTCTCCTTGTTATCGCTTGATATTACATAGAGCAGGACTTTTTTATTGATAACATCTGTAAAATATTAAGATTAGAATTACTGAGTAATTAATATTGATTTTGGTCCCAAAAGCACAATCCTCTATTTCCTGCACAATATTTATAGGTATATAAGATGAACAAAAAGAACATTCACTTGTAAATATTAATTTAATACTCTGCTCCAAAATAACATTGCACTCTATTAATAAAAGTACATTAATATTATTATTTTTTATGCTTTCATTCTTATACAACATACTCAAAATTACTAGCCGATATTGATTCATTTGATAACACCTCTCCATCCACAATAATTACACATCTAAATAAATATAATAATTAAATATTAGTTCTCCTTAAATCTGCTATTTCTACTCCTTTTATAATCTAGAAATCTACTCATTTTGTAATTTATGCACATTTACCATCCTCCAAATGATTAACAAAAATATTCTGAGAAATCTTAATATCTAGATTAAGTTTAAAATTGAAATGCTTTCTGTCTACACTTTACCCATTTACATAGGATTCCATGCTGTTAACATCATAATTATTTGTACTAGCCCCATCCCATTTACATCCATACGATCTGTAATGACAAGTAATTCATTAAAATTTTTACTAATCCCATTTACAAATAGAGTTTTGATTATTATCCTTAGCTTATTGACATAGTTATCGATTCCTAAAAGATTCTCATGTGATTGCTCTCTCAGGACATGTTTCTGCTGTTAAATTTTATACAAGACCAAAGAGTAAAATAATGTTTAACTTATAAATTTAAATATTATAATCCTAAGATTTTCGCTAAAAATAGAATCAAAAATTAAATAAGTCAATAATTTTTTGTAACACTACTTCTTCTAAATCCACTATCCCTCATCTAATTTACTTTCGAAGTTGTTTTTGTAGTTGAACTTGTTTATGTAATCATTTTTCTTTTCTGAATGCTCTCTATCTAAGCTTCTGTCATTGTTATATCTTCTTCAATGTCATGATACTTTTTATTCAAGTCTTGAAACTTCTTTTTCCACTTTGCTAATTCCCTATTTTATTCTTCCACTTAACTGCTTGCCTACTCTTCCGCATTCTCCAAGTTATATTGAGCCTAATCGACCAAACTTTCTAAATGTTAAATTTCCTCTTCATCCTCATTAAGAATGTTCTTCCTTTGTTCAATTTATTATTCAAGTTCTCTAATCCTAGCTTCGTCTTCAACAATGATTTGTTTAGTCTCAACCTTCCTTTGAGGTCCATGTTTCAACATCAACTACAACTCAATTAATTGTTTCTCCAAAAGGATCTACTTACTCCTCCAAGGTCCTTCAATTTCATCCATTGAAATCACGTTTATTGGCCTATTTACATGATGCACTTCATGGATAATTGGCACTTCTTCTATTTCACGAACTATTAATTTTTGCTAAATATACATACCAATGTTAACTTGAGGTGGTGGTTGTTGAGCTATTACTTGAATAGGTTCATTATACAGTCTATACAATGGTTAGACAGACTATGTGTAATACACTTTTTGTTAAGGTAAAGGAGAAGAGGCTCTAACAATATTAGGTTATCTTATTGATTGAGGAATAGATTATTAAATAACTTAAATTCTTTAGGATGATTGATTTGAGAGTAGAGGTTAGGATAAATTCCTGGCATGAGTGGAATATGTATGTTGGCGAACTGCAATATAAATAAATTGTAATTATTACTATTGCTTCCTTATTGTATTTAAGACTGAGCAATCCCATATGTACTGCTGGATTGATCCATATAAGGATTAAATTCAGATTTTTGATAGCTAAATTTTGGATCATAAGCATATGAATTATTCATTATTTCTGAAATAAAATTTAATTATAATAATTTAATGTTGTTGTTCATCATTCGCATCAACATTTTCATTTATAACCCTTTTTAATATATTTAATATTATTAACCATTAAGTTATTTGAATATTAATTGACTAAGTTTGAATGCCATTATTCAACTAATTTATACAATTTATTGATTGAGCAATAAAATTAGAAAATAATTATAATAATCAATTGTAATTTCGGTAGACATTGATTTGTTTTCCATCCCTCCATCCAAATATCGCATTCCACTACTAATCGTAAACTTAGGTTGATTTATCTGGATATGTAGCATATATATGAACATAGAACATCAATACAACAATCTACAACTTATAAAAATTATGGGTACCTTCACAAATAACAGCAACCAACTCAATATTATTTGATATTTTTGCAATCCATATTCAAAATGATCAAAATGTGCATTAAACTCTCCCAAATAAGGCTATCATCTTATTATGATTTTTACTGTACTATAAATTGCAAGCCATATTATGTCCATCAACAAAGCAACACCTAACATGACCATAATGATCTTAATGTGAAGCAAGGATTGCAGCTTATAATTCTTCTAATAAAACAAAAAGCAATAAAAAATTACTAAGAACTATAATAAATCACACTTATTTACATCAAAATTTAATGTTCGATACATACTATTCAACAATCCGAATACTAAGTACAGAATAATTAATAACAATGAAATCTAAACTAATCTATCGATTTAATTCTCACTAATTAACAATGGACTTGCCTATTGCTATTACTAATTTGGTTATGTTTGATATGTGGATATAGTCAGGTTATTTTAGAATTTGAATGCCTGTTTAAATGGGGAATTTATGATATCCAAATCTACAATGTGATCATTGATCTCTTATTCCAATTAATTGATTTATATCATATTCTCATTAATTAAATCTTACAAGTATTTATTCTACAATCTTAGTTATAATTACTTTCGAATAGATCCATTAGATTTTAAGATGCAACTTGGCTCTTACTATTGAATTGCTTTCATCTGTCAAATTGACAGTAAAGTCATGAAGCATTTAATCTCCAAAAGTATTGATGTCTATGTAAGCAACTCCTCCATTCCCCCTTTTCTGCTACAATTCTGTATCCAGTAAAATAAATTTCAATACTGCTTACTCATTGACATTACTAAATCATAAAGTTAAGTAAATACAAGTCGAAGGTTTCATTCCAAACTGGTTATTGTCTTTTTGCCAACTCTATAATCAAATAACAATTTACATGTATAAACAACCGATGACATACATTCCAAACTTACTTACAACTATCCATTTCCTTAATACATAATCTCAGCATCAAGAATTTCGACATTCAATTTGCTTGATGAATTAACACTGCTTGTTTGTGATTACCTAATTTTATCATTGTAGGCTCTAATTTCACTAATGATAATTCAAATATGAATTTACATATTTTTCTAATCTATGATTTGCTAACTTTTGCTTATTTTATCATTCAAAACATCCTATGCCTTCTTGAAGACATTAATTAACTAATTAATGGAGCATTACTATTGTGATTATGCTTAGGGGATTTAATCAATCAATTATTAAAAAACATCTCTATCAAAATAACCATTAGCACATTTTGAATCCAAAAATGATAGTATTTCCCCTAAATTGTATTTCTGATTGTGTAATTGTGAAAATTCATTGAATACATCCTAGAATTGATTCATTTTTAAAAATATAACGATTATTAATAAATATTTTCAATCTATTATTTATATTTCCATTCATTCTTTGATAGTACTACTTTCTTTGAGTCACGTTCATCTTTCAAATCAACGAATTAATATGTTGTACTCATTATTTTAGGATATAATTTGCCTTATATCTTATGGGAATCTAATCTGATTTGATATATCCAAATATGAGTGAGTTACCACTTAAGCTCATTTAGTGTGTGTTTGAAGAGAGTTGATTAATTTTTGAAAGAAAAATTAATAAATTTATATTCTAAATTTAGTTTTTCTGGTTGTAATATTCATTCAAAGTATCTTAATTAACATTGATGGAAATGGTATTTATAAAGTGAATTTTATAATGAATATTAGATTTCAAATTACAGTAGTTTTTGAGTTTGAAATTGTGCTGTTCATTTGTATTGTCGATATACAAGACCAAATCTTACTCTTTTTTGACTGTTGGTTTTACTTTTTTGTGAATTTGTTATGGATTTTTCAGATCCAATTGATTTTAAAATGGATTTAGGTTCTTGTGATAAAATGACAGCTTCGTCAAGTTAGCAAGATAACCTGTTCATCTTAATCAGCTAATTCGATCTCTAATCAGGACTATGTATTAATAACGCTGTGTTATGCTTCTTTTGATGGCATGAATGTATGACTTTGACAGGACTTAGTTACTTCTCAGTCGATTTTCTTCGAGCAATCTTGCTTTTATCGTCCTTCAACTATTACAAAAACTAAATCTCCTCCTACTTGTAACGACGTTTCGATTTGATAATTTTACAAGGAGATTGAGCTCTAGTGAATTTGCTCTCCCTTACAGGTGATTAATCTTCATCTGGCTTATCCTCATTCGTCATCAATATTTCGAATTCTTCCTCCTCCAATCTAGCAATAGTGGGGTTCTTCGATTCGATGCATGGTTTAGAGGGACTTTGAGATTGAGAATTCAAAAGAGGTAACATACATTAACCATCGCAGGGTTCGAATTATTATTTAAAGTTTCTAGCTACTAAATTTACTTCGTCAATAGAAGGAACTTATTAGTGACATGCACCATTACCCATTTATATATATATAAATTAAAAGTGAATTATTCAATCAATAGCGAACAAACTTAGAAAATCTTAATCAAGTGTTGTTTAAAATTGAACCATGTTCTAATTGCTGCGTGTTGTGTTGCTCGGATTACATGTTATAAGATAGTTGAATTACAACTTTTATTCACTACTTATTTTATGATTTAATACTCTTTATCATCCTCATTCTCGCATTCTAAAATCTCAAATTTGGTGTTAGAGTTTTGAATCCCTTGTTTAACTTGATGTTCAGTCATTTTTTTCCTTCTACTTCCTTGTGAAGTTTATGGCCTTCTCATTTTTTAAAACTCCTCTTCCATTATGAGTATTGAATTATGTTGAGTGATAGCTCTATGCTATTTGAGTGAATTATTCCTTGATTAATGATCCTAACTCCACTCAGGAGGGTATTCTTAACTCTTTCGAGCCCTTAAAATAGTTTAATTGATCTGGGACAATCTTATTGCATTCAACCCCTTCTGTTAATAAGACATTTATAAATATATAAATATAATTTCAAGATCTTAGACGATAACAAATTTGATTTCTACTACAAATTCTTATTTTACTCACACACATTTATAAATCCATAATTTTCATCCTATCCACTCATCTCCAGAACAATTTTTGTATTTCCTTTCTAATTCAAAAAATGTAATTAGCAATATCTCTATAAATCAAAGATATGAAATTAATCCTTATTTTTTGAGATAAAACTATGCTATTCTTTACCATTTAGTCCTTTTTTAATTAATTGTTAGGTTTTGAACTATTATTTTATCAAATATTAAATTTGATAAAAATTAATTATAACTACTTAAATGCATATAAATAATCATATTTTAAAGTATCAATAATAAACTAATTTAACTATGCACATATATATAAATACTATGTATTTAATCAATTCTAGAGAAAATATTTTACTTCAAAATTGCAAATACTTTGAATTTGAGAAATAAAATAATAATCATATTTATTATATTACCCTTTTCAAGTAATTGTATTGCAACTTTATTATTGATATTAGCAAAATATTCTTCAATGAGATTAGTAGATAGTTAAATTCAAAAAGGAACTTTAATGATTATAATTTTAGTACTTTTTGAAGAAGAATGAAAAGGAAATTTGATTATAGAACGATGTCAAATTGTCAAATAAGATATGTATCAATTACTTCTAATAACAGAAAATTAATATTATTTTTAAATGAGACAAGAATTTACTTTAAACGACAATTCAATGTTCAATATTTAGATAATACTCTTAAAGATTTCATAAAATGTAATTTACATTATAAATCTATATTTTCTAAACTTAAATTATAATCATATTTAAAATGACTCACTCAAGCTAATAATATTAATACTTTATCAAAACTGTTTTGATTATTATTAATAATTGCTTGTTAATAAGAATTATAATACTAAAAAGCTAATTATAAAGAAGTATCATACTAAAAAACTAACTCTATAATTTGTTAAGATTTAAATTATAATAAAATTCTATTCTTTTATTGGTATCTGCTTTCTTTTGATGGTCTCAAATTGTTCAGAATTTTCAATTTCTAAATTATAAATTGACATCTCTTTACCCATAATTTGAGAAAATTATTAGAACTATCTAATCAAATATTAGTTTTTATTGAAAGTTAATTACTTATAATTCATTAGTATATGAAATTCTTAATAATTATTACTCTTTCTATAACAAATACCCATCCTTATAAAAGCAATTATTCTATTTTATTAAAATCTAAAAAAAAAGAAAATGAAAGATTCTTTATTTTTATATGTTGTTATTCATTAAACTTATTTAATAAAGTTGTTCATCATTATCCTTATTTAGTAATGAAAACAAGTAAATATTTACATTAATATAAATAAGTTTTATTTTTATTATTCTGGTGGCGAATAAGAACTTCCTATAGATTATTATAATGATTAATAGTTGAATATCATTTTTATCTTCAACTTCCAAATTTGAATCAGAAATTTTTAATAATTAAGAATTGTCTTTTATTAATTATTAATATATATTAAAGGTAGAAGCTAGAGCATAAATTATTTAATATATATAGATTAACATCTAAAATTAAAAATTTTCAATTGAGAAATTAAGGAGTGATGATTCAAAAGAGTTTTAGATATACATTTAATGGATTTTCTTTAGATTAGAGTTGAAATTCTGAATTTTAATTTTTGTTCTAGATTTTCGAAATATTTAAAATGTTACTAATTGAAGGAATAAAAGATATTTTGAGTGTGGCAATTAAAATTATTGGGCACTGATTTTTAATATATTTTTAATGATAATATAATACCAAGTTTAATAAATAAAATTGATTGAGATTTTAATGATTTTATGAAAATGATTGAAAACTATATATTTATAAAAACATATTTATTCCAACAACTTAACAAATACAAAAGCCACTTGGTATAAAACCAAATAGTTTGATAAAATCACAACTGAATTTAATAATGAAGATGAAAAAACGCTAGATTAGTGATAATAATTAATAATAATAGAAAGATTATATTGCACTTTTATTTGAAAAGGAATGATATTTCAATTTTAGTGTATTAGAAAACATCTAATATTTGATAAATAATACTTATTAACCTATGATGGTTCAAGTATATTTATTGGGGAAGTATATATTAAACTATATAAACCAGACAAAAGCAAAACCCAAATACCAATTGGAAGTATCTCTAAGATCTACAATAACATTCCACATCGACGAGGACTTTTATGGTTTTTCTATTCCATACTAAGGCCAATAGAAGCTCTTCAGGGCAAATGCCAACAAAATTAGGGAATTAAAGAAATTAATCGACGCTAAGATAGTTTATCTTGACATAAATCAATTCTACCTTCCGTAATAGGTTTTAGGAGTTGGAGCCTTCTCACAAGTATATATATAAGGAATGACATTAGGTGTAAATGGTGTAAAATTTGTAGACAAAGTAGTTAGTAGCTGCAAAATTTCTGAACAAGATTCGAGAAGGGAAATCAAACACCGAAAGAATGAATGTAATATAAGTTCATAATTTGAATTATAGGATATAATAAATGAAATCTAAATATTGTACCGATTAAATCACCCAAATATTGTGAGAATTAAAGAAATATATGATAAAACTAATTAAATAGTCATCATACATGAATATGTGGATGGTTAAACTTTAGAAAGATTCATCAATGAGCATGGAACTCAATTACATTAAACTGAAATTTAATCAATTATGAGAGTAAAATATATATTATAATATTTTAGCAAATTTTGCTAGCCATTGTCTATATACATGAATAAGGATTGCTACATAGAGACATCAAACCAGACAACATAATGATTGACAAAAACCTGAACATTAAGTTAATTGATTTTGGATTGGCAACAAAACAAGGAAGTCCGTTATGCGTTCTAAAATGTGGAACTCCAGGATATATTGCACCTGAAATTATCAATTCTTAGAAGCCTCAATACAACAACAAGAGTGATATCTTTAGTCTTGGAGTTGTGTTCTACAAACTGTAATCCATTCATTTCACCCTAGAATTACTCAACAGGATTTGTTCTAGTAATCATAATTAGATCATCTGTAATATTGCTATAATGAGAACATACTTTCATTTGAACAATTAGTCGAATATAATATATCAGACTCCTGCTTTGACTTATTGACTAATATGCTCTGTTATGATAAGAACAAAAGAATAAGTGCGAAAGAGTGTTTGCAACATAATTATTTTAAAGAGAGTCTTCGACCTTCTGCCAAGAAAACTTAAGTCTTACTTTAACAATCTACTTAATTCGTTTAACAATAATCAACTATGTTTTAGTCCTAATTGTCAGAAGGAAGTCGAAAACAATCCAGAAAAGTTAGTGATAAAACAAACAATCGATCGTATAATATTTATTTATTCTTTAGTTTATCGCACAAAAAATCGATTAAATCTGATAGTTCAATATGATGAAATTTTCAATATGATATCTACTCGAGTTATATATATAAATTGTAATTAATATTGGAATTTTATTTTGAATCCTTAACAGATTTTCTTATTTATTTTTTATTTATTTAAAATGCTATCAGATAACGAGTACATTTATCAAAAACCAAGTTAACCAAATATGAAACCCATCAATAACAGTTTAAGATATGACAATCGTATCCAAAGTGCTGAACCTGTAACAAGATTCACAAATTAACAAATACCAATCTCATATTAGTCTCATTAAGAACTAACAAATTATTTAAAAGATAACCTATAACTTGTAAACAAAGCTGTGAGATCATTCGATAGCTCTATCTAATAATTATTGACAACCTTTGGGAATAATGTGATTAATGGTTAAAAATAATACTATTACTAGGATTCCGAGTAGATGAGTTTATAAGAAAGTTCTTCTGCGTTCTAGAACGAAGACTCAATAAATTTTTTGATCACTTGGATTACACATTATTTTAACACAAAAATTAGCAATAATTTACGATCCCTGAAGACTACAATGTTTCAGAACTACGTAATTATATAAAAATGAAAGCAAACTAAATACCCACAGATCTTTTAAATCATTTTTAATAAAAATTGAACAATGAAGAAATAGATAAAGAAATATTGAGAAAAGTTGATTAAATTTTGAGAGTATATGAATTATTTAGGTCTGATCAAGGATGGAATTTTTTGATTAATATCACAAAATTCAATTTAGAATAATTACTCGAAACAACCTGTAATAATTAGCTCTAGGATATTTAATCAATTGATGAGTTAATGGAATCTTAGTTCATCATTTCAATTCAATTAATATAATCTGCTATACTAAAAAATAATACTAACTTCTTAAACATATTTAATAAAGAGGATATCATTAGCAAGTATATCTATAAAGTTATTTAGATTTAATTAAATACTCAACGATGGCGATGACAATTAAATAACAATAGATGATATATGCTACATTTGCCAAATTGTTTGTCAAAGAGATCGAAGAATCATCTATAATGACTTTCATTAATAAATTACTCATAATCTAAATGAATTGGCTCCAGAATATTTTTAGATGCTCCCTAATAAAAAATCATATCATCAACTCAAAAAAGATGAACTTTAAACTAAATTAGTAAATGTGCAAAAATAATTTGAATTAATCAAATTAGATGAAAATTATTATTTGATTCTCGAAAATCGAATAAACGAGGCTAATCTAAATATAAATTAAAAGGTTCCCAATTCATAGCAAATATTTCAACTTCAAAGATTGAGTGTATTTTTCAATAAAGTCTAAAATTTATAATCTGATTAAATATCCTTATAAAAAGACTTAAACAATCATTTAGATTAAACCAAAAAAGATGTGTAAGGTAAACTTACTGATGCTCTTGTTAAAGCAAGACAGTTTTACTCTAAAGCAATCCCTGGAAAAAATCCATCTAATTAAATCAAAACATTTGTTGATACTCTTTATGAAGAATTGATTGATTTATTGGAGAAAAGTTAATAATAGTCAAACTAATTTAATTCTTCATTCTCACACACTTAAAAATCCTAATTAGGAAAAAATTCACTGGGCTCCTCATTTTAGAAATCTTCTAATTTAGAAAGAAGCCTACAAAATTCTACACTTAGTCGACCCTTTTCTAACATTTAATATAATGGATTGAATAATCCTTAGGCTAAACTAGATAATATGCTTAACTGGTAAGAAAAAACTTAAGATTAAAAATAAAAATTGGATAGAGATGTTTATGCACTACCTAAAACAGAGTATTATAATGATTCATTTTAAGGAAAAATAAAATATCCTGAATATCAAAGAATTAATTAAAATTCCCAAAATAAATCTACTTTATCAAATGAAAAAGATTTCGATAACTCTAAAGTCTTTAACCAAAACTAATCGATCAAATTAGATGTATAATATTAATAAAATCAATCAATTTAAAACAATGATTATAGAAATAAAAATATATAAAACTAAAATAGTACATAAAAGTAAGAATTTTCATAAGATCGCTAAAAATAATAATTATAATCATAGGAAAGATAGAAATAAACTGAACCAGCAAAAATATCAGAAATATAAAAATAATAAAACTATTCTCAAGAACCACCAAAAAGACCTTAAAATACTAATTAATAAGAAGCATAAAAAAAACCAGAGCCACCGAAATAAACAAAATAACCAGAGCAGCCTAAAAAAACTGAACTTCCAACCCCTTAACAGAAATAACCAGATCCACCAAAAAAACCAGAGCCTCCAAAAGAACCATTAAAATAATTAGAACCTCCTAAAAAGCCAGAATAACCAAAATAAGCTGATCCACCTAAAAAACCTGATCATCCAAAAGAATAGCCAAAATAGCCTGAACCACCTAAAAAGACCGAACCTCCTAAAGAACAACCAAAATAACCAGAACCACAGAAAAAGCCTGAATCACTCAAGGAATAATCAAAACAACCAGAACCTCCTAAGAAACCTGAAACTCCTAAACAATAACCAAAATTGCCTGATCCTCCTAAAAAACAAGAGCCACCAAAATAGCCAGAGCCTCCTAAAGTTTAACCAAAGTAGCCGGAACCCCCAAAGAAACCAGAACTTCCTAAAGAATAACCGAAATAACCAGAACCTCCTAAATAACCAGAACTACCTAAATAATAGCCAAAACAACCAGAGCCACCAAAATAGCCAGAGCCTCTTAAAGAATAACCAAAGTAACCAGGTCCTCCTAAGAACCCAGAACCGCCAAAGGAATAACCAAAATAACCAGAACCACCTAAGGAGTAGCCAAAATAGCCTTAACCTCCGAAATAGCCTGAACCACCTAAAGAATATCCAAAATAACCAGAGCCACCTAAATAACCTGAACCTTCTAAGGTATAACCAAAATAGCCAGAGCCTCCTAAATATCCTGAGGCACCAAAAGAATAACCAAAATAACCAGAACCTCCTAAATAACCTGAACCACCTAAAGACTAGCCAAAATAACCAGAGCCACCTAAATAACCTGAAACACATAAAGAATAGCCAAAATAGGCAGAGCCTCCTAAATAACCTGAATCCCTTATGGAATAGCCAAAATAACCAGAACCTCCTAAATAGCCTGAACAACTTAAGGAATAGCCAAAATAACCAGAACCTCCTAAATAGCCTGAACCACCTAAGGAATAACCAAAGCAGCCAGAACCTCTTAAAGAACAGCCAAAATAACCAGAGCCACCTAAAGAATAGCCAAAATAGCCAGAGCCACCTAAAGAATAGCCAAAATAGCCAGAACCTCTTAAAGAACAGCCAAAATAACCAGAGCCACCTAAAGAATAGCCAAAATAGCCAGAGCCACCTAAAGAATAGCCAAAATAGCCAGAGCCACCTAAAGAACAGCCAAAATAACCAGAGCCACCTAAAGAATAGCCAAAATAGCCAGAGCCACCTAAAGAATAGCCAAAATAGCCAGAGCCACCTAAAGAACAGCCAAAATAACCAGAGCCACCTAAAGAATAGCCAAAATAACCAGAGCCACCTAAAGAATAACCAAAATAGCCAGAGCCACCTAAAGAATAACCAAAATAACCAGAGCCACCTAAAGAATAGCCAAAATAGCCAGAGCCACCTAAAGAATAACCAAAATAACCAGAGCCACCTAAAGAATAACCAAAATAACCAGAGCCACCTAAAGAATAACCAAAACAACAAGAGCCTCCAAAGTAGCCTGAACAACCTAAGGAATAACCAAAGCAGCCAGAATCTCCTAAACAACCTTTACCTTCAAAAGAATAGCCAAAATAACCAGAGCCTACTAAAGAACCTCTTAAAAAACCTGAATAAGAAATCAAAAAACCTGATCATCTGATAGATTAAAAGTCAAAATAATAGTAATAAGATCAAAGTAAGAAGTAGATGGTAAAAATGTTTATTTATTCAGCACCTTGATGAGTTTGATATTAATTCAGACGACATTGATGATGAGGATGAGGATGGTCTTAATTTTATGACGAGTTATGTGCCATCAAACAACAACAACAAAAACTAGGTTCAATAAAAATAAAATGAATAAGATAAGAAAATAAATTAGATGAAGTAGCCTGAATTATCTGAAGGAGAGGATGCTGAGATTCAAATTAACAAAATAATAACAGATAAAACATTACCTTTGATTAATAAATTCGCTAAAAGTTTCCGATATGGATCCGAATTTTAAGTTAAGGATTTCATTTACGAATTTAATTCATTTGAATATTTAATTTAGCTGTTTTAATCATTCATACTTTAAGATGAATTATACTTCTTTGATTTTGATGAGACTGAGATAATTTTATTGATTTTTGACAAAATGTTAGCTGATGAAGACCCAAAATAAGAGTTGGAACAGTTTTAAGCAATAACCATGTAAAACTTTTAAAATAGAACATAAAAATAAACCTTTAGTGAAAATTAAAGACTTTTTTATCTTTTTGATAAAACAGAAATGTTTCCTTTTGACTTTTTTTTAATTGAAAAAGATCCCACTTAAAATCTTTTAAGAATCTATTTCGAAGAGGAACCAACTGAGGAATCAATGAGTGAACAATTTGAACAATTTTTAGGTATGTTTTAATAGATTCTTGACTGTGAAGAATACTAAATAGATTAAATTGTTCTCTAACCTAAAGCATTAAAAACTCTAAAAAGTCTTAATAAGAAAGATAATCAATATTTAAAAACATTACTCACATTATTTGCTCATCTATATGAATAGGACGATTAAGAAGTTATAAATTTTGATGAAGACACTATAGCTAGATTAGTTTGGGCTTTACATTAAAACAATGAATTTTTTACTCTCTTTGAAGAACAGGAGGAAGATGTTAAATAACTATTTTTAGATATACTAAATTAGGGGTAGTAATAAAATCCAGCAGTTGAATTTGGTGTAATCGAGCAACCTTTCAATGAAGAAGGTTTAGAGAATTTATAATAAGTAATTAACAATTTTATTGTAGGAAATTCAAATGGTATATTCTGAATTTTTGTAAAACAAAAAAATAACTCAAAACCTGCTCTCTGTAAATGCTATACTACAAGAATAGCAAATAAGAATTAGTATATACTGTCACCTCTAAAAAATTAATAACAAAAATATCCTAAAAGTAAAGTTATTAATTAAGCTAGATTTTTACTCTGAATCATTATTCTGATATAGGAGCTTAAATAATAGAATTAATTAGAGCTGATGAACTTTTTGAACAACATATATATAGTGACTTTGCTAGACACAATATTTTCCATGAATGCAATGAAATTACATTAGGAGCTTGGTATTTCATGCAGACTCAAAGTAAAATGCAACCTGAGGAAGCAATGGCAAATTTATTATTCTCTTTAATACCATACAACCTCATAATGACATAGGAAGAATGAAAATTTAGTACCCTATAACTTAAGATTTATAGATAAAATATATATTTTCAATAAAATTGATTGGTTTCTTTTTAAATGAATTGATAATTCTTCAAATATTTTTTCGTTAATGTAATCAAAAGTTCGTTAACTTACTAAATATTTTTAATGCTTCTAATTTCTCCAAATATAGTCAATTCAGTAGCCATCAAATAAGTTAAATCATTTGGATAGGCATGATCTAATCCTTTTATACGATGGTGTTGAACATCTTTTCTATTTTCTAGAAAATCCTCTAGTAGCTTTGGTTAAAACACTTCTTATTTAATTCTATTTATATCTTTGCTCAAGATTAATATTCTTCCTTTAAGTTATTTTTTAAATTCTTCTTAATTGAATGGAAATAACCATGGATCATATGAAATCACATTATCTAATTTAATTTCTTAAGCAATTTTGAGAACAGTAGCTCCTCCAAAAGAATGCCCGATCAAACTAATACTTAAAGGCTTTAAATTCTTGAAAGTATCTTATAATTATCCATTTTACAATTACTAAATTAAAAACTTTACCTAATCACATCTCCAATCTAAATGAGTTGCTCTTAAACTTTAATATTTCTCCATCACTTCAGCCTTATTTCCAGAATGCAAGATCTTAGTTTATTTTTAATCCCAAGGATAAACCATTTCTGTATGTTGGGGTGAAAATACAATGTAGCCTTCGCTTGCTAATTCTTAGCACAAAAAAGTATAAGCATTTCTATGTTAAGTAAACCCATGACTAAAAATAATGACATCAAGTTTGGAATCGAGTAAAGGTTACTCTACACTAGCCTTAAATGTGATATAACTATTATTTGAACTAAAAATTTACTTTAAGAAGTTTAGTCCAAAATCAAATATCAATTAATGAGGAACCCATTTCAACTGTAATTAAATTCTTTCATATATTTATTTGAAATATTTTAAATTTGGTAGCCATTTAATGTCAACATCTTTCTACTTTTAATCATGACAAGGATAATAAACTGAAACACTTGTCTAATATTTATCTTTCATATGTATTTCCTTATAACAAGTTCTAAAATTGCCTTTTGGAGGTGGCAATGAGTAATACTTCCATTTGATCAAGGACCATAAATATAAAATTGCAAAAATAGCTGAGATATTGGATAATATACTTGATAATTAAAGCGCCTAATTTAAAATTGTTTAGGTACTTTATCTAAATAGAAAAAAAACAAGGCAAAAATTATTAAAATTGAATTGAAACGAAAGCCTTCTAAATAATAATTTAAAAGCAACCACACACTGAATGCCAATGCTGAAAAATAATTAGCATATTAATCATTAATTGTACTAAATATACTAATTTATTTTACCTTCCTATGATTTTCCAATCTACCAGTGTTATTGAGAAAGATGGAAAAGCATTCAAAATTTGACAAAATATTATATTGATTGCCAATATAAAACCTAAGGCGAATATAATTTTTTTCATTTTTTTTAAAATAATTATTTGCTCTCAATTTTATATTCTAATAATCCAATAGATCATTTTTGGATAGTATTTTATATAATCATACTTATCGTAATTTATAGTATAAATAGTATTCTTATTTTGGTTATTAGAATATATTAATATTTAAAATTATAGAATGATGTCGGATACAAACATAGTGAGCTAAATAAACTACTCAAGGAAAGAAAAGGAGATCAGAAAATCACCTGAGTACTCCGAACTGTTGGCTTAATTGTAACCTGGAGGAAAAGTAATTAAATATAAAAGTGATGAATTGGATATTTGTTTAACATCTGGTGAGAAAAAAATTAGATAAATCAAAGTGCCAGTAATATGTTTAATTATATTTAAGATATGTATAGAAGATTGTAATCATGAGATTTTTGATTTATATGACATTTTCTTAAACAAAGGTGAAATTACTTGCAAAAAATGCCATAAGAAGGGCACCAAGAAAAACATCAAAAAGGAAGAGTATTATACTTTCTTAATCAAAAACATGAGTGAGAAATCTTTTAGTTGCTCAATTGTGGGATAATTATGCTTCCACTCTTTTTCATAAGAAATTTAGCCAATAGCTAGAGAATTGCTTAAAAAAAATCAATACTTATAATTATTTACAGCAGTTGTTTAGAACTCTAGATCCAAAGCAGATGCATTAAAAGAGAACTTACTTAATTTAATTGAATAAAAATCGAGAGAGCTTAATTAAAACAACCCCATACACACTAATAGAATTCTGGAATTTCCATTTTAGTGTTTAATAAATTATTAAAAAATTATCATACCAGTTTAATTAAGCGAATGTAAGCATTTGGATTGTTATGAATATACGAACATACTAAAATTGATTGATGATGAAAAAAAGTTACCTGAATAATTTTAAAGACCATTTGTAAGATGTTACTATTAAGGCTGCGAAACTTTAATTCCATTAGATTTAAATTAATTAAAGCAGAAACTTATATTTCCTTATGATTTTGGTCGTGCAATTTCAAAAAATTACCCATTCTCATTAAATTTAATATGGGATTTTTAGAAAAGTGGATTTGAATATTAAAAGATAAAAATTTAGGAGTTTCTAAAAAATATTGACCTAAGAAGTTGTTTCTCAAAAGAAAATGGCCTTGATTATGTAATCTTAAGTTAATTAAAGAAAATTATTAATAAAGAGTTAAGTAGTTAGTTATAAAATAAACTACATTTTTCGAAATATAAAGTAAATTTAGAATATATTTAATTTCCCAGTAGATGCAATTATTGCGAATTATAAAATGTGAAAGACATTGAGGACTTTTTATTAAGCTATTATATACAAGATAAACATGAAAAAAAGAACTATTTTATTTGTCCAGCTTGTAATTACAAACATGATAATTTTAAAACATTGGAATAAATTATTTATTTTGATGGCTATCTATATAATGCATTATAAAAAGCCAACAATCGTTAATAATTTGAATATAATAAAAGTGAAGATAAATTTACAAAATTTTTTTAAAGCCATCAAATCATCGATTTTAAACAGATAAAAACACTCTATTAGTAGACTAGAATATATCCATATGCTAAATAATTTTGTACATTATCAAACAAAAAACTTAAGCTACCACTAATATTGATATATTGCGAAGCAAAACGCGCAGTTGAATTAAAAGGCCTTAAAAAATTTTGGAGAAAAATAATTTTAGTTTTAGTGAATTTCCTAAATGCGATTGCCAATTTTGCAAGGCCAAACCACAACTATTAATTACAGACTTTTACTGGGATCCTGTCTTTTATCTTATATCATCTCTTAGCTCAGAAACAAGTACATTTGAACATTTCAGGAATTAACTAACTAATAATTACTTCGAAAATACTTAAACTAACGAAATTCCAAATATTCAAAGAATATTGTAAAGGCATAATGATAATAAATAACGCTAAGATCAAGAATAGTAATAATAAAGATAATAATAATAATAATAATAATTATAATAATTATAATAATTATAATAATAATAATATTAATAATAACAACAATAATAATAATTATAATAATAATCGCAATAACTAATGGATTAACAATCAGAAATATTTTAATTAAGATAGTAATTATAATAATAGTAATATCAACCGTAAGTAATGATGCAACCATAATATAACTAGACTCATTTTATGCATATGGCATAAAGCACATAATAGCATACTTAACCGGATATCTAATAGACTTAATAATTCATTTTTGAAAATGGTTAATTAATACCTTTGTAACTTTATTAGTAGAGATTTAAATGAATGATATTATTTTTAATGCAATATTATACTATTTATAATGTTGAAAAATAAAGCGATCTTCTAGAGAAATTTATTTAAATTCTATAGTTCCAAAATCTTTCTTTGTTATTATGCCGGATGAAAGATTTGTTGTTTATTTTTCCAGAATTTTTGGAATAATCATAATCTTTTATAAAAATTCAAGAAAATGTAATAATTAATTAATGAATGCCAATAATTTAGAGTGTCATTATCAATCAAAGATCAATGATCCTAAAACCCTAATAAACGATAAAAATTATAAAATTAATTAACGATACTAATTATTCAAAGCACAATTTGAGTAATGACGTTGAATAATTTTCAATTAATTATCATCAATGGTTACTTATTTTTTGGGGAAGATATTAAGTAAAAAATGTAAGAATTATTTATTACAAAGAAATTCTTCAAAATAATTAACTTTGAAAAATGTACAAATTCTTTACATATTTTATTAATTCTAAATTATCTAAGACTATGAATTTATTTGAAAATATAATTTGTAATCAGTTTCAATAATTTTTTATTATTTGTTTTTTAGAATACTACAATTTTATATTGTAGATCAAAATAAGAATATAATTTAACAAAGCTTCAAAGTACAGTAACATATATAGTAAAATCATCTGCAGATGATTTTGGGAACCTATTTGGGATATAAATAAATGTAAAAAAAAGATGGGAAAAGTGATTAATGTATAAACAGAAATAATAAGTTATAAAAATTAAAAGTAATTAATACTAAGAATAAATTAAGAATACAGAGTTAAAGAACTGCTGTTATTATCAACCATGAAGTACAATCTTCATAATTTATATAGTGAGAATCATATATATATTAAAATGACTAAATAAATTTTAATTTTAAGTTTGTTAATCATCCTTTAAGATCTAAATTTTGAACAATAGGATTATTATTAAGTTCTAGTTTCATTTCCTTAATTACAAAATTGTATTATTTTAAGGTTTGATCATTCTTTAAATTGGCGTTCATTTATTCCTTTCTCTCTACTATATTACTATCAATCCCATCCTTATTATATGTTATAGCTATTCCATCAAAGACATCTGTTTATGTGATACTTAGGATCTAAAAAGTTTTTCCTTCCAATTTTTTTTCACCAAATATCTTCTGGTATTCCTCTTCATTCAGCATATCCAAGAACCCCATTTTCTTAGGAACTTAAGCATTTTTTAATGCTGCAGTATCTGCTAAAGCTCCACTATTAGTTAAAGTATCTTTTTAAAAATCATAAGAAAACGACATTGATTTGCTGTTAGATGAATAGTACTTTTTAAGTGCATAATCAAAGGCCTCGTGATAAAATATTGAGCCTGATAGACTTTTAATCGGAGTAGTATTACAGGTTTAGCATTTACATAAAATCAACCCTGAAGAGAGGTCAAAGTTACATTTTTCTAATTGAAGATAGAAGGTATCAAAATCAATCACTGTTGAAATTGGACAGTTAAATAAAACTAATGGAATATCTAATTTTTAATTTTTATTAAAGGAACAGAAAATTGATTTGAATTCTACTTTTTAACTTGGATTTTTTGGTGTTAATGCATTAATATACTCCGTCTTTGTTAATACTTATCTCTCTTAGAATTCTTATATCATATATTGTCGACCCAAATATTAAAATTTTGTTGTATTTACGTATGACAAATCTTTAAACATTCTGAATAATAAATTTTAATCCAAGTAGATGTAATTCTATAACATAGATTAAACCATATTGCCTTGAAAAGGAGTTTAACAAATAGGACATTTGAATAAATCAGTTTATTTGATTAATTTCCTTTTAATGAATTCACAAGCATAACTTTTCAAATCCAAACAAGTTGAAAAATTGGTGCAATTTTTGCATCTAACAGGCTACTCAATTATCATATCTGTTTGTTTATCTTTCATATTAATTTCTAAATTGCGAAACTTGTGTTGAGCTAATAATTTTTCTAAGTTAGGTTAATCTTTAAAAAGATCATTTTAACATACTTGTGCTACTAAGGATAACACTTATTTTTAAAATTCTGCAAATGCTACCTTAATTTCTTTGCTATTTTTTAAAAAATACTTCTAAATAACTGGATCAATGATCTGTCCCTGTTCTCTATAAACATCCTCTTCAAATTTTTATGTTTAATAGTTAAAGACAAATTTCATAGAACTCAGACTACTTTGCTTTATAATTTTCAATAAATCTTCATCAATTGTGATTGATGAGAATAAGTTTTCAATAGTAGAAATATCAATTTTCTTTCTTGGGTTATCACAACCTGGATATGAACAAACATAAAATTATTCTTGCTTTTGAGATTGTACTTATAAAAGACTTGTTAATTCATAACATTCAGGATGATTACATCCTATAATTCTGACTGGAATAGTAATTTTAACTTTATCTTATAAGCAAAATGCCCAATATTATATTCGCTAATTTGTTCCTGTTTTTATCTTTTAACTTTTTTTTAACTCATTAATTATTATTTAATTTATCGAGCCTTCTGTGGCTACATACCTTTGATATAATCCTCTCATGTGAATCTTAACTTATGGATTAGTAAAATGATTTAAATATCTAGCCTTTCTAGAAGATTTATTAAATAATTTTCCTTCTATAATCATGATATTGGTAACAAATTCATTAAATTCATTTTAAACTTTATATCTAAAGTCTTTACACAAATCCTCTTTTACAAAGGATTTTCTGCATTCTTCACATTTCCAAAAACTTTTCTCTGCTATTTCACCAAGTATAAATTCAAGTTCATAACATGTTTTTGGATGTAAGCAAAGATTGGAAACAGTCTAATTTAAAAACAATCATTACTGGATATTTAAATTGTTTGTTACTTGTGTTCGTAATTTTTAAATCTCCTTCGTATGCGATTGTCTTTAACACATCATTCTCAGGTAGTTGTTAATAAAATGATTCCAAATCCAAATTAGCTTAAATCATAATTATATTAATCAATTAATCAATAAAACAAAAAGTTTATGAATTCAGGTTATTCTATCATTTTAAAGTCTTTAATTTTATGGCAAGAATTTTGAATTTTATTTAGTTTAGATCAGTCTATGTTATTTAACCTATTGATCCATTTATAAAGGTGTGTAAGTAAAATTGATTTAAAATCATTACTTAGACTTCTCTATAATTAATATGATCTAGTGCTCTTTATAATGATGGACATTACATATTTATCATTTGAATAGAAATTCTAATTTAGCGTGCAAAGTTATCGTGGATTCCCAATAAGACATCACTATATATATTTATAATTTATATTCTAAAAATATGAGTAAATTAAGAGATATGTATATAAAATGGCAATTCATTTTAACTTAACTTCAAATTAAGTTATACATAGTGCAAAAGCTTATAAAATTGAAAGCGGATGGCAAATGTCTAAATTGAAATATTTATCACCACATTTGCCAAATTACATTAAAAATTCTTCATCATTCTATTGATTACTTGATATGAGAATAAAATTTTTATTTGATGCTGATCGTACTCTTTATGTGAATTTTAATTGGTATGCATTCTTTTCTTCACAGAATACAGGAGGCCTTGAGATTAACTACAATACATTTTCATTCTTTTATTGAGAAAATGCTTTTTAGATGCCTTCACTTTGAGTAATAGGTTTAAAATTTTATTGCTATCCATTTATAACAGAGGGAATTAAAACATTAATTTATTTGAGACCTAGACTTGATTTTTTAAAAGAATAAATTCCATATTCCTTCCTGGTTGTTTCTAGTTGATTGGTTTTATTGGGGTCATTGCCATTGTCATATAAATTGAACTAGTTCTCTTATGTTCCATGTTTCAAATTCCCTAAACTAACTGGTTTGTTGTTGGAATTAAATATATCAATTTTGCTCGATATAATATAATTTGATTTCTTCTTTGTGGATTGTCTCTTTGCAGCACAGAGAAATTTTAAACTTTCTGAGAAGTATAATTCAAATTTTGGATAGAAATTGCAAAACCCCTTTTTATTTTTTATGAAAGTGCACTATACTATTTTGCCTAACATTATATAACAAATATAATGATACCAATAGGAATAGGGGATGCTAAGAATTGCTGAATATCAGGAATATATTGAGGAGCATAGAATATTAAGTTTTGATTATTTAATCTCTCAGTCATTACGTTAACTTGTTATAGAGAGGTTTCTATTTTTTACTTTGAATTCAGTGTATCAAGCAAAGAATCCGATTTGTTTTGCTAGTCATTAGTTCTTGTTTCATTGATGTCATATATTTTATTATTCCCAAATGTTTCAACACATTTCAGATTTAAATTTATGTTCACAGGAGAAAACAATTTACTTTTTGGTATCAAATCCTCATCAAATTAATCAAATTGTATCAATTCTTCCTTTTTTTTATTATTGCAAACTGATACTTGCGTATGCTTAATTTACAAAATAGAAATGCCATTTGTTGTTTACATATTTTAAATATAAATTAATTGAAAAATACCATATAATTATAAAATATAATCACTTCCCAGTCAAAATACTTATTAGAATTAGTAACAATCAAATCATTCTTATAGTTAAAAAAACAATAATAGATGACCTTGTCAGTTATCTGAATTTTATGATAATACTTAATTTTATCATTTTTGAGAAAAAGCTTTGTAAATTTCAAGTATTCTTAGAAATACAAATTTGCTTAGATCAGAACCAACGCTTACAGAATCTGGTATCATCAGTTTTCTCAAAATATTTTGAGTTTTATAATTATATAAGGCAGATCAGTATCTATATATGCATGGATTTACTAAACATATAGAATTATGTATTGACTATACTTTTCTTCAAGCATTTATAAAATAAATCACCTTCAACAATAAATCTAAACTTGATTGAGATTTGAAACTGAATAAATCATATAAATCTATCACAAAATTTAGATATGATATCGTAACTAATCAGATACATGAATTTGTTAACCAGGAAGATCACTTTGATCATAGGGATCTCAAGATAATCCAATCTACTGTGTTTTATAATTGTAATAAAAATTATTATTTATTAATTCTTTTTAATATACTTGTGATGCTTTTTTCATTTATAATTTAATCAATAAATTATGTAATGATTAAATATTTAATATAATTAACTTTTAAGAATTCTGCTATTAAATCATTTGTAAATCAAAGTCTTACAATTATTTAATCACAAAATTCTAGGTTGTTTCTATTTCTATGATTAACTGACTCTATTTTAGTTCTTCTATTGTCATCAATAAAACAATTGGATTATGACCACTATATGAATATTTTAAGCCTATAATTTAATGAATACCCCTTGAATTCTTATTCTATAACCATTTCAAGGTCATAATCGATGCCTCTAAAGAAGGAAAACTTTGTTTTTGAAAGTAAAGAGCCAACATCTAAAAATATATATATGATTTAATGAAAACCAATTTTTAATTTTAGTATCTTGAAGTTTGAGTGAATCACGTTAAATTTTGGATATGGTATTCTTTAGTATTAATTAATCTATAAATTTCAAATTTAAATGAGTTTTGCTGTATAATTATTTTTTTTAATTTGTACAGCCATGTTTTCGTTTGCTGAATTAAGAGATTTAATGACTAGAGACAAAGTATCATTTTCTATTGATTTCTTAGCCCAAGACATTCAACAAGCACAATCCATACTACTCATACGATTCTGTGAGTCCTTCTAGAAGGGATATTCTAATCTAATGGATTATTGCAGTAATTATTCAATATTATAATTAGCAATCATCTCAATTCCAACATTCAATAAAAACCTTAGAACTGGCTGTGCTTATTATCGATACATACTTAAATTATTTTAATATCTCTCAGGAATACCTTTAACTGTTGGGGATTTCGGCATATTCGATTGCCTCGAAGGTATTCATAATTTTTATCATCCTAGTTTTATGAGACAGAAATCTCATGTCAAATCAAGTTATATGATTAAGAAGGCTAGCCATTATACAAAGATGAAGAATACAACGAAATGGAGGAGTAAATTGTGAAAGCCATGGGATATCAATTGAATCTTACCACATCATCGGATTATCTATTAGCAATGAATGTTGAAATAGATGAAAAAGTGTAGAATTTGTTAATGTTCATGCTCATAGGTAAATAATGTAATTATATGTAAATAGACTATGAAATATATCAATATTCTCATTTCGAATTGGCTTTGGCAATCTTACATTACCTAAATGATACAAGACTTGTTGTTTCAAAGAAAATTCTCATCGTATCTTAATTAATTCATAAAAAATTAATTAAAGCTCAAGAAATCTCATGTGATAAATATGAAGAGGACACTAAATCCGTTGGAAGGAGTCCCTCTGTTTAAAAAAGGATTTCAAAAAAAAGAGACTTTAAAAGGTAAAGATTAATAAAACAACAAAATTGAACTTGTTTGTTATATTATGTTTCAATATTGATCAAAAAATGAACAAATTTTATATTTTGTTTATCATTAATATGATCTAACAAAGCTTCTTTAAATTTCAACCTTAATCCTTCTATCCTTGAATTTAATTTTATCATAATTTAAAATATATATTCATGACTGTTTTTTAATGAGATTTATATTATTTGACTCAAGAATAATTTGTATGCCATTTAAATTGTTGATATTTTGAATTCCCTGCTCATATCGAATTACCTTGTGGCAGAAGACTATATTTATCTCTAATAAATAATTACTGAAATTTATTGATTCTATTAATAAGGCTAACCCCCCTCGATTAATTGTAAATTAATTAAGTATTACATCATAAGCTACTCTCAACCATAATCTAATTTGAATCTATAAGTCAAATTAGAATACTTCAAAATGATGGTAATGTCCTCATTTATTTCATTGAACATTCATTTAGAATATTCTATGGTTACAAGTTCATCATTTTATTCAAATATTTTTAATTTATTTGCTTGATCTGTAGATCTCAATTATCTTATCGACGATTAATGTGGAATTAATTCAAAACCTATTGTTTTTTCATATTTTCACTAGTTCTAGAATAAAAAAGACATACAAAGTATTTATAAAAATCAATGTTTGTTTACATGAAGAATTATAAAATAAATTATATTTATGTTCAGATTTCTTGGGAAACTAATTAAACAGACTCCTAAAGAATGTTTGTTGCATGACCACTAAAAATTCCCAAATATATTGGCTAATGAATATTGCCAAAGTTGTGAACAAAAGTTTTGTTACATGTGTGGCAATGAACATATTCGTAAACATCATCCAGTGAGAGGTAAATATAATTTATATTCTTTTAGTTAGCCTTCATTCTCATGCCAATATGAATATGGAACATAATGAATACTTGACAGAGAAGGACAAATTAAATTTAGAGACATTAAGAGCATTTAACACAGGATCATTAATTTAATTGGACATAAACAAATTGCAATGTATATGTGGCAAGCCAGCTGATGAAAATACAGCCATTTGTGCAGCTTGCGGCAGTGCCACATGTTCATAAAAATGCCATCAAGAGTTGGAGCATTAAGATAAATGCAAATTTCATCATAATTTCACAGAGAAAGCAGAGTTAGTATCTCTTAGATCAATTTTGCTAAAGTACATGTTTGTAATAGATTTAGGAATGCTTATTTTCTCTTTGATAGAGGATATGCATAAGGCACTGTGTTTGGCAGAACTTCCTAAAATTTCATATCTGCAATGCTCACAAACCAAAGGTCATCAATATTTTTACAAAGAGGATTTAGGCAGTATGGAAATCCTGAGGTATTATTTATTAATAACTTAGATAAGATTTAAACACTAAATGCAATGGATATTGTAAAAGGGGCTGATCTCGATAAGGAAGTACATTTAATGAGGGCTTGTCAATGCAAATGTTCAACTTGTAAAAGTCTTGGTTATCACCCTATGCATGTTTGCTAATTGGTTTGTAAATCGAGGGATTTATTTGTATGATTTTCATTGATCCTTAGATCTATCGATCCTATGATGAAGAAAATCCTATTGAAAAAAAGGAAACATGTGAATGCTAATGTAAATTTTGTTCATCTGGCCAAACTGTTTTATCACACAAGAAAATAGATTGTTGTTTAAAGTGTGAATTTAAATAAAATGTTGATTTTTGAATAAAATTGTATATCCAATAGTAAATAATAATTTAATATCTTATAATATAGTTGATGTGTTGAATAGGTTAATTATTTACTAAATATTATTATAAAATCGATTTAACAAAAAGATATATATTCAATATTATCATTTGAGTATCAAATATTTTGACTAGAATGACTAGATTGAAAGGAAGTACCATGAATTTTATCATACAAGCTTGATTCTAATCTGCTGAATTCTTTTTTTGTATCACCTAACATATTTTCTAGAGTGTGCAATTAACTGATTAGAAACATCATTTTTGAATCAATTTTGTGATTTTGTATAATGAAATTAGCAATATCATTTTTATCATCATTACTTTCAAATTGAATAAATCTGTTTAGAAATGTATTCATGACTTATTAATTTAATTAAACCTCCTCTTCTTTCACTTCTATAAGTTTACTAATTTCCCTTTTTGAGTTCTAAGTCTTTAATTATTTAGTTATTTATTATTATTAGTCATCTTCAATTACTTTTTATTAAATTGTATTATCCATTTCAGTTTATACTTTCGTCATAATTTAATCCAATTATGAATTAAAGAAGCCTAATAGCTTATCTTAAAATTAATTCAACTTATCTGAATCCTAATTTTAATTTTGTTATTCCAATTTACACTCTTAAAAATTCAAAAGATATTGTTCTAGGTTCTATTTTAAATTTAACTCTGATTATTCAGCTAATGACTTCTAAATATCTTTTTTCATTATAATCTTTCTAAGTCTCTCAACTTTCTCAGATTATTACTTATCCTTCTTCCTTTAATTATATCTCTTTTTATATTTCTTATAGATAGTTGAATAATCCTTCATACATGAAGTTCTCTTGATAGGACCTCCCTATGACTATAATAACCGATAAAGTAAGTTCTATTCTTAATAACTGTCAGTATAAATCTTCCTTTTGGACACACTGTCATCTTCTGATTTGATAGCCAACTCTTCCAACTTTTGGTCCTAACCTGGTTTTTCCTCTTCCATTTAGATTGACAATTATTATTCAAATTTCTAAAGATGAGCTTTCACAAAAGTTTACAATGCTGATGTCCCATTTTCTTATTTAACTTCCAACATCTAGTCTAAATAATGTTGCATACTTAAAGGGATATTCCATTTTTTTCTTGATCAGCTAATAATTTTCTGACTGTTGAATAAAAGCGATTTTTGACAGAATTTTCAGTTCTTCCTGAGAGATTCTTGGCAATTTTCGACCAAGAGGATGAATATGCTAAATAACCCTTGAAAATTTCATGATCTTCATCTAAATTGATTATATGGGTAATTACCTGATGTCCATCCTCCCTTTTTGACATTTGGATTTAGATTATTGAACCACCTTTCTCTACATTACTTTCCTGAGCGTCCTGTGATATTCTCGGCACATAATGACCATTTATTGGGTCCATTATTCTTAACCCATTCTAAAAGTCTCTCATCTTCATTGTCCTGCCATGGGCCTTGGTGTTTATATAATAATCTCTACCTTTCTTGAGACCAGGCCTAAGGATCTTTGTCCATCTATGTAAGCATTAGATTGCACTTCTGCCTTCCATTACATTACTTATCAATCTCCAACTCTTTTCCCCGTATTCTACACATAAATTCAAATTGAGTACCTTCAATCAATTTTTAAAGCTTGTCATCTTCTTAAGGAGTCCATCGTCCTACTTTTTTTTTGTCGTTTGCATAATCATCTGGATGTGATTGGATGGGTTATTCGTGCTTTTGATTGTTTCTGTTTGATTTGGCATCATATGAATCATCCTCATTTTTTATAATTTGACTTCGTGCCATCGATGATAGGTTTGTTTTAGCTTTCGTTTTTATTTAAATTATCCGTTTTTGCCATTCTCCAAAACGATAAGACATGCCCTAATTTACGTCATATCATGTTGCTATTAATTATTATATTAGAGTATGTTAGTTTAGAAATGATAATATATTATATTGAATTGATTTTAGTTTATTTATTTTTTCATCAAGTTTGCTATAATTAATTAGATAATCGTTAAAAATGGAAAGTGAATAAATGTGTAAAAATCATCCAAAACAATCCCTTAGTTGGATTTGCTTAGAAAGGAATTGCTAATAAAGAGTTATGTGTTCAACTTGTGCAGTAAAATTGCATGATCGCAATCACAAAGTAGAGGAATTATACCACATATATGAGAATGGGTGTTTGGCTACTTATTTTAGCAATAAGAAGAACTCCACTGCTGGGTTGTTATAGTTAGTAAATGGGGAGTAAAGCAATACTTTTGAGAATGAGTAATACGACGACTATTTGTAAGAAGGAATTGAGAGATGCTTAAGAAATGTTTCGAAAAAGATAGAGGAAACCAAGGCTTAACTAATATAATAGCATGAACAATGGAGAGAAGGGAAGGAGAATGAGAGAATCAATTTTATTGCTTAATTAAGTGATGTCGATGCATAATTGAAGGCCTCTTAAAATTTGGAAGCAGACATCGAAAATGCATTTTAATAAATAGAATTATTCGCTCAAAAAAGAGAGTTAGAGATGGCTAATAATAAAGAAAGTGCGATTCTTTTAAAGAAGATTCGTTTATTGGAATTGATGAAGGATAACTTTTTAAAAATGATAAAGTCCTATTTCCATAATCAATTCACCGCTGAATTTTGTCATTTATTTGATATGCAGATTGAGACCTTGAATGCTAGAGAAGTGGATGACGTTTAAGGGTTCTTAGAGTATGTGGATTCGAAATGGAAACAAGATTATCGCAACATTCAATTATCCATCGAAAAATTTGTTAGTCGTCTCAATGAAGGCCTGAAATATTGTATAGGAATGCCTTTGGAAAATCAGAAGAAATAACTAGTTGTCAGATCTCCAATGAGACAATTTCCTATGAACATCCAGTCTCAAACGTACCTTCAATTTACGTCGCCAAAACAACTAGAATTCACAAAATCCTAAGTGATATATGAGGAACCAAGTTAGAGGAAGAACATCAAAATAGAACCCGTTAGTTAGAGTCTTTAATAGTACTAGTGAGATATGGCGGCATATCAAATAATGAGTATATAAAATATTAAAGTACTATTTGTCGCATAACCATGTAAAGACATGCAGAGATCTAAATCACAAAACACGAGTATCTTCCAAGAATCGCAAATCAACGGAATCATCTAAGGACCACGCTACGATAAAAGAGGTGATGTCATAAAGAGATCCATAGTTGGATCAGTTGATCAATTCTAGAGAGAGGGCAAAGTCTAATAAGACAGCAGAGTAACTGATGATGATTCTTCAATGCTAAGATCTTTTGTTATTACCTCATTCAATAAGAAAAAGAACTTAAAGAAGAAAAGAGAGCCTGTTCATCTGAGCAAGATTTCCAAGGAGGATATTCAATTGCATATCGATAAAATTCAAAAAAATATTAAACTAACTGAAATCTCACTCAGATCTAAGGAAGAGACATTGCCTATCATAGAGAGAAATCTATTAACCAGATAAAGAAGAATCTTAGAATCATGTGAAGAGAAGAAAGAAAAATGGAATTAATTGGAATAGGAATTAGCAAGTCGTTGTGAGCGTTCCTTTAGCAATACTTTACTTAACAAGAGTCAAGGGTATCGAGAGAAGAAGCAATTATTGGACACTCTAAATGCTGTATAGAGAGAACCCAATGTGAAGGAATGGTATGGCAATCTCAGAAAATACGAATAGACAAATGATCCAACCATCGAGATTATTAAGAGTGGAAATACCGTTAAAATTTGCAGTGATAAATTCAAGAATATGATCAATCAGAGGTTGAGTAAAAAGTATTATGACTCTGATTATATAATTGTCAATGGGAATAGTAAATTGACACTGGAATCCAAAGAAGCCAGGGATCTGATGATACTACCTCAGGATCTAGTGTAACAGCCAACCAAAGATTTCAATTACTCTAATTATAATAAAAGAGATCTCAGTCGTCGATCATCCTATAGAATTGTTTAATTATAGTGAAATAAATATATTTTAATGCAAGATCATCTCCAATAATCAAAAACTTTGTTCTTGATGCATAAAATAAAGAGTTACAAGTTAAAACCACAACTCTCTAACAACATATTCGAAGAACATAATCCTTATTATGGTCCATAATATGATATTAACAATAAAATTATTGCTCGAAGTGTTGTTGGAAAACCTGATGTTATTGAAAAAATTAAAAAGAAAATTGAAGAATCCAAACTATCCAATTCTCCAAAAATGAAGAACTCAGTTATGTACTAAAAAATGAAACAATCCTATTCGAATCTCTCCAATATGAAGAAATCACAATCATCCAATAAGATCCCTCTTTTTCATGATCCCATCCCATCAAATATCCTATCTCGACAAGTTTCTCATAATAAGTCTACAATGGCCACTTTGGTAAATCATAATGCAAATGTTAATGTGGAATAATATTTATAAGAAACAAAGTACAGAATACAAAGAAATGAAATGGAAGAATTACAATTAGAGAAGTAATTGGATTTATTTGAAAGAAATGCAAATACGAGACAATAAAGAGTTATCACTTCATTCCAAGAACGAGAATAATCTTGGGAATTAGTCAACATGACTATCCAAAGCAAGTGTTAGGCAAGAAGCAGAGACAAACTCACTTTATTGCAGAAGAGTTCAGGTAATCAGACAAAAAAATATTAGTTCAACAGCTTATAGACTAAAAAAGTAACTTCTTAACGAATTGCCGTCTCCACCAAAAAATTGGTACCAGCAGTTAAGAGGATCGAGTTACATGGTGGAAAAGGAAGAAGATTAATCTAACAATTCATTGAGAGTGACTTTAAACTCAAAGACTTTATTGTTGAAGCAAGCAGATCTTGAGAGCAGTCTGAAGGTGAGGGGAGAGAGCAAATTGAAAAAGGAATTCGAGAAACCCAAATGTTCTTTGATCACTATGGTTGGGTAAGATAAGGTAGAAGAAAGTGAGATCTTGCCAAAACTAAAATATTGAATACTTTTTATTTAATCAACAGAGATGTTATAAACAAATATATCTATGAAAATAAGCATAAAATCATTATATTAATAAATAATGGGTAATTACAATATTACAGATAAGAGTGACTTTCCAGATTCATCAAGTACTTAGAATTCTATAAAAGTTCTATCTGTGCATAACTTTGAATTTATTGAGGTTCTGTGGTATAGAACATATGGGAAGGTTTTGGAAAGCGAGGTGTAGAAAAAACAAAGACTATTTGCCCTAAAAGTGATGTGAAAAGCAAAGTAATGAATTTAAGTTCTAAATTAAAGATTATCAAAAAAAAGAATGTTATTTCAAATTTGAATGAGATATTGTTATTTAGTGGACTAAGGCATCCCTTAATAATGAAATGATAACCGCATTTTAAGATAAAAGAAGATTTATGCCTGGTTAAGGATTTATTAAGTGGAGGAGATTTCCGTTTTCATTTTGAGAAGAATTAAAAGTTCTCAGAAAAAGAATCAAGTATTAACTGCAATTTTATTGCTTAGAGTTCTTTAGTGAAGGTATTATAATTGCACTAGAATATTTGCATTATTAAGGTGATATCCATAGAGATTTGAAATCTGAAAACTTTATGTTCGATTCTGAAGGCTACTTCATATTGAAAGTTTTCACAATCACATCCATCTGGAGTCCTAATAACTCATCAGATACAAGTGGAACTGCAAAATAAGTGTAAATTAAAAGATCTGAAATTCCTGTTTCTTGGTCTTTAGAGCCTGCAGATTTGGAGAATCAAGTAGAGTTAATTAATTTCAATTTATAAGTTGATCCAACGAAAGCCATCCCAAAGATTTGGATCAAATAATCCAGAAGCTATAAAAAATCATCCAAGGTTGAGAGGATTCGAGTGGAATAAATTATTCCATAAGGAATTGCAACCACCTTACATTCATCTTAGTTCAAGCAATTGAAGAGCAATTTATAGTCAGGATACAGAGTAGGATTAAAATGAAAATAATACGATGCTAAAAAGAGACTCTATCTAAGGTATGCATTTATTAGTAATATTTATTCTTAGCTCAATTCAAAGAATATTTTTATGATCCCAATTAAGCTATGAATGCTGAATCACCAAACTCTGATTTACTTTTTATATTAGTAACTATTATAAAACTCATAAAATTTTAATCTTATAATTGATTATTGTTGCCAGACTCATCAAAGTTTCCAAGTAATCAGGAGTATTCTGCAGTACTGAGTCTGAAAATTCCATTATTGAACTTACATTTGCTTTATTTACTTTATAGTATTGTTTTTTATCTTGTTAACTATTGAAATTCCATAGTGATTTGAAGCCATTATCTGATAATCTGACAGTCAAGAGGAGTCCATTAATTCAACTATTTAATTATTAATTAAGTTATAAATAAATAAGAATACTCATACTTAATTAATTTTACCCACTCTTAAGCATTTTCTCACAAATCTTAATGCCTCCTCCTGATTGTAATTTTATCTAACTACTATTCTGTATAAATCTTAAACTAGTATCTATTAAGCTGGATCATTCTTTGAAAGCTTGAGTTATAACTCCAAAAATTTTGAATAAAAAGTTCTCTTGAATTCAGATACTTTACTAATGTTGCTCTCTGATTAGAATTCTTTTTATGAGTATTCTGCTTCACTACCTTACTGATACTGCGATTCAGTTTTTATTCTTGTGTCAGCCCCTTTCGGAAATGAATTTTGAGAAACTAGCCTTTTCTGATTCTGCACTACTAATTTCTCTTTTATTAAGCATAATAACCTACTCAACAACATCATGATGGTCATTGATGTTTAGGGGTATGATATCAGTACATTTACTTCACTTTCTATATCCTTTAGTTTTTTGATACTATGGCTATTGTAGCATCTTATAGAATCAATTTGAGATCTTAGCTCCTGGATTCTAATCATGAACTTGTATTTTTCACTACTCTCATCTAGTTTTTCTTATCCTTTATAAGCTATGGTCTTGATATGTTGTAATTGTGAGGAGATTTAATCAATTTAGCTATTGAATTTATTGGTGTTTTCCATGCAGTTTAGACAGTGAAGATCAGCTTAAGCAATTGGAATGAAGTTTGAGCATTAAACACAGAATCCCATCTATTCAGATGGTTATTTAGTTATTTTTACTATTTAAGCATTGCTCATTCGAGTAAAGATTTAATTACAATGTATTATAAATATAATGGTTAAACTAACTCAAATAATGTGTTGTTTAATAAAAATGCATAATGCGGTAATCGATATCATCTGATCATTTTTTATGTACATTTTATGTTAATAAAATTATTTTGTTTTGGTTTATCCAAATATATGTTTCTAATTTCAAGTGTTTTTCTGGTCAATTTTAATTTCGGTTTGATGCTTCTCGATGGCAATACGAAACATGAAGGCTGAGGCTTCTTCTTAGAGGAAGGCGAATATGATAAATTTAGTGAATGAGATTCTGCACTATTTATAATTAGTTCATCTGAATTCTTTATTGCCACATAAGCATTGTTAATATTATTTTCTTTATTCTAATTCATGCTTCTATTTTTTATTGGTGAATGTATTTGAGTCTAATAGAGATTGATATTTGTTTTAGGCTATTAAGTAAGTTTTGTAACTATGAAACTAGCATTCTCCTTTCTTGACTTTTGTGACCTTATTCTTACATTACTCTGATTCTACTATTATTTGATTCTTGCATTCCCAGCTATGCAACTAATATTCTAGAGTAACCTTTATCTTGTATTCATTTTTGAATTTAATTAAATTCAACAACTAAATTTTCTTTTTAGTATAGAATTTGTAGTTTACAAAGAAAATTAGTATGCAAAGAATAAAATCTTATTTAATACATATATATTGAATGCTTTTAGGAACATCAAAATTAAGATCAGAATTTTTAAGGGCTCTCTGGTCATCTGAGATTAGTTTAATTAATTAGTATGGTAAGTTGATTATTATTTTATATTTAAAATAAAGTGTAAAAATGAATACAAATTCTAACATGGAAGTATTGAATTATGAAATTAGGTTAGTTCAGGAATAGTTCCTTTGAATGTGAAAATGCTTAATTAAATAACTTTGGAAGGGAACTAAGTGTATTATGATAATGTGAATTTAACAATTGTTTGTGTTCATGGGAGATTTCAGAAAGTAGTCAAGGAATAAAATCAGGTCAGGTACAGTATTTCAATTAATGATGACACTGGGATTCTGAAGGTTACTTACTTTGCAAATAAACAAAATGAAGATCCAATTTTGAAATTGATAGATGATGGCAAGTATGTTAATATGATGTAATTTGTAGAGATGACCCCTCATTCTATTATAAATTCACAATTTAAATCAAAGTATTTAAGGACGCCCCTTATTTTGTGTTGCAACATTACTTAGCTTCAAATGTCTCGGATTGGATGTATCACACCATGAAGGTAATTGAGGTGGAAGTGCAATCTCGACCTCCAATCGACTGGAAATCATTAAAGGATGAACCCTTAGAGATATAGATCGAAGGATACATCAGACACAATAAACGAGCAAACATTGGGCAATTGCTAAAGAAATTCAATTGTTCTTTATAATAATTGAAAGTGCTAATCGATCAACTTAAAAAGCGATCAGCCATAGCTGAATGTTTAAACAAGGAGACATTTAGAATAGTTAATTGAATTAAAATTTATATAATTATAAATGGGCAATAACTAAATACATTAGTTAGACAACATCTATGATATTTACAAAAATCATTAAGTAATATCTCTCTTCTTATATCTAGAATCACTGGTACCTCGGAGTAGAAAGAGAAGTGTAAAAATTAGGATATCATATCAATATTAGATCAGATCGTTTTCATAAAAACAACTTCCTTTCTCTCTACTAAACAGTTAAACCTTAGTATGAATAAAACAACACGGTGAGTACCAATGAATCTCTATTCGCAACTGAACTAGAGAACATCAGAAGATCCAAAAACACTTTTCATCCTTCTCAAGAATTCTAAGTCACGACATTGCTTTAAGATTGTGACCCCTGCTTCTCGGATTATGAGAAACAAGTCATTAATTTACTATCCACCCTCTCTGGCAGTTTGTTGGACATCTTTTAGGCTTTTCGAAGAACCAAACTGCCCAAAACTAGTCATGACTTAGATACATTATTAATTAAATTTCGAGATTCTTATGTTTAAGTAATTATTTATTAAATTTAGATTTTAATTCATTATTATAATCTTAAGCAATATGCTACGATTAATCAGTGTCAATTTTTAAATTTTAAATCGCTTCAGTGTCTTGTCACTAACATGATATTCGATGATGAGATTTCCACTTATGTTTACCAGATCAAAAAATAAGAATAACTACAATAAAATCAAAAGATTCATTTCAAATTAATCCAATCCCAAAAAAAAACCCTTTCAGATTTCGGAATTTCAAGTAAGTTTTGTTTAGATTACACAACCAGAGATTACATTTAAATCAAAAGATCAACCAAGATTAATACAAATACTTCGATTAGCAATAAGATTACACAAAGTGCCTACCAGACTCTTATCATTGAGGATGTTGATATTACGTAGTTACCCTCAAGACCCTAGACTCGATTGCTTTCAGGTACCTTTTTTCACCAATAATCTCCTTTTGAAAAAGCAATAGAAGCCTTATAACTTATATAATTTAGATAAACACCTCATCATAAAATCAAGTAGCTAGTAATTTGTTTTCAATGTATATATTCTACCATCATGGATTATTATTAATAATTTGCGTAACAACCATCTAATTTGAGTACTGATGAATTGATATCTGTGTTTAATTATGTGCTATGCAAGTCAAAGCTTTAAAACCCATATACTCACTTTGATATCATGCAGAAATACATAGGAAATTTGGATGGTGTAGAAGGCATTTATCTAACCATTATGGAGGCAACCTTTTATATTGATTGAATGTTATAAATATCTTTATTTCTCTTTATATCTTATTCATTAATACGCAATATTATTTTTTATTTATAACTAAAACCCTTAAATGTGTTTAAAATTATTATATTGTTAGTTTTAAAGTGGAAAACCTAAAGAAATGAATGAGTAAGACATTCTGTCTTTTTTTAGTAAAGAATACTTAAAATTAATGTTCTAAACTTAAAACATTATGTAGACAATTCTACTATAGAAAATCTAAAAATATTTTGAAAATCCTTCCTTCAACAATATATTGAATATATATTTAATGCATTAATACCCTAAATCTAAAAATAAAATACTACTCTCAAATAATCTTTGATTATGAATTGCAAATATAAGATACATTTTTAATTAATATAATATATTTTTATTAGTACAATAACAATTAATATAATATTTAGTATTTCTAAAAGTGAAATGGATGGTTACAGATAAAATTGATAAATATGAAAAATAATGTATACTTATAATACAGTCCTTTGATTAATTATTAATATTCAGATGTGATTTACAACTGTTACCTGAAAAAACATTATATAAAGTTTTATAATATTAATTAAAAAATGACAACTCCCTACATTTATTGGTTAAAAGAATCAGCCGTAATTTAAGAATATAGTGTTGTTGGTATAATTGATGGTTCAGGATCAATGTGTGAGGCTTGGGGTGACTTATGTAAAGCGTGGAATTACTTTGTGACTGGATTCAAAAGTATATATTGTATTCAGTATGACGACACTGCAATACTGCAAGAAAGCCCACAATTATCTATATAAAAAGGGGAAGGGACAAACATAGAACTAGGATTCAGAGAGTTGATGAAGTTGATTAAATCTGGTAACTTATTGCAAAATATTCTCATCGTCTTTGTGACCGATGGAATAGAAGAAAATGATGGAATAGGCTAGTACTTAGAGGAGATGACTAAGGACTTTGAGTAATTACATTCTCAAGGATACCAATTTAAATTTCATACATTAGCTGTGGGAGATAAATTTTCGCATACTGTGGCTGCTGAATTGAAAATGATTATTCACAACTCAGGAATACTGTCATCTTAAATTGATTTAATTCAAAACACTAAAATTGATTTTACCAAAATATTGTAAGATATTAAGGATGAGTTGTTCTATTAAATGATACGTGTTGATCCTCAATGCTAGTTGACCACATTTACAGGTCCAGTACACAGAGTGACTCCTAATCAAGTAGTTTATACTACTAGTAATTCAATCAGAGTCGGAGGAAAATAAATCAATTTAGATAAAGAAGGCACAACACCTGAGGCTTTGGATAAATTCATTAGATAAATCATGTCTAAGTTAATGGAGTATAATTCAATAGGTAAGGATGTTAAATAGGAGGCGATATAGGCATTGTAAATTATTGAAAAATTAAAAGCCAAAGTAACATTCAAAGAAGATGATGATGAAATTTAAAAGTTTATCGATTAGAACATTTAGAAAATTGAAGAATTTGCAAGTGGAAATCTGAATCTAAAGGAATTTGAACCCTTAAAGGCTGCTAAGTTTATGCATGATGTATAAGACCTCATCATAAGAGATAAAAAGAAAATGTAACGAATTAAGAGAAAGTCAGCAGTTCATGCCTAATTAACTATGCATCCTTAATAACCGAAAGTAATCAATATATTTAATAAAATAGCAACAAGTCAAAGACTATTATAAAGAATTGGCTTTAAAGAGATTAGAACAATACGAAATGCAATTAAACAATTAAGAACTTTTCGAAGACTTAAAGGAATTTGCAAAATAAAACAAGGTTAAGACTTTAGATTAAATCGTGTACTTAACGAAAACTCACGATTTCCAATTGAAAAATATCAAAGAATTTATATAATCTGATGAAGATACAGCCATAGACATGATAGATTTATTTCTAATATCTTTGGATTGAGATTATTCAAGATTAAATTATCTACATATAAATAATTATAAACTGATTTAACCAATTATATATAATGAAACATTCTAGATTAAATTTAATCAGATCATTGAAGAGATTACTAAAATATCAATGATTTTGAAATTGATATTTTAATTAATTCATGTTTATACCTTTATTATCGGAAATAAGTTAAGCAGCTCTAATAAATGAAAAAGGCTTTGAGTAATAATATTAGGTTTTATTGAATATTTTTTATAAAGTTAGAATTTTAATATTATATTAAGCTGATAATATGATTTAAATATCTTATATTCCATTTGATATGTTTATGATACATAATAAAACTAAAATATATATATGATTTTGAATTAATTGATATCTTATATGTTTAATTTACATTCAATTGTTATTTGAACAAGTGTAATTTTATAGACATTTCTAATAATTAAATAACCAATTATATAAAAATGAACATCAAATCTAGTTAAAAAGAGTTGTCTTAATAAATAAAATGTATTATTGCATTGATAGAATACTCAATATTTAGTTAAATATTTTTGGAATAAAATTAGTTAAATTTTCAGTTTACAAACAGAAATTATTAAAAATCAATGTCTATTCAAAGAGATTAATTGCTTAATTGTTTAACAAGTGATCTCTTTGTCTTGCAGGTACTCTTATATTAAATTATTCTTATCTCTAAATTTATACTATATTTATAAACCTCAAAATAATTAAGGCCAATAATTAGAGGCATGCCTTATTCGAATTGCAATTGCTGAGAAGACAATCAATAATTCCATAGTTTAATCTACATAGACGTCATTAATACGTTTTTTCAGTCAATTTTTGATTGCTGTAGAGTAAATCGATAATCAAGCTTTTATCCTGTATGATTTCATCCAGAACTTATTGAATTGGATATTGGAATTTTCTCTTTAACTACAAAGCATATGTTTTATGTTGTTACCTAAAACTTGTCTTCTCTTTGTCTTTTTTACAATTGCTCCATCTTTAGCCAAACTTTTTCCCTTATCATAATTTATTAATATAATTATTATATTTTATTCGCAAGAGAAAATCTCAAAATCAGTTGATTAAAAATGTAATATACCAACTTATCAGAATTTCAGTTTAATTTAGGAATTGAATTTCTACTTGTTGGATTTATTTACTTAAAATTTATTTATTTAATTATCAAATTAAAGTTATACGAATATATAAAAGGATATGATTGATATCGAATTTATTGATAGTGATGATGAGTAGCAAAAACCAGCTCAAAATCAATAACCTATAAATAATCAGGTGATGCAACAGGAAGAAACTCCCTCCCCCAATATTTTCGCTGTCGTTATAATCAACTAATATAGCAATAAAATTCAGCATATTATATCAAGAAGAGATGTGATCACAGTAATAGAACATATAGTCATCAATATGCTTAAAGGATCGATGGTAATTAGAAATTTATAATGATTAGAAATAAATACGGCCTACTGATGTCAAAATAGAACCTATATTATCAACTTCTGTTTAAAAAGCTTGTTGTTTGTTAGAAGTGAATGAAAACATGGTTTAATAGTTACTAGATTCTTAATTGAATTTATCTTGTAATGATAAAGACCCATAGAAGGGATTAATAGTAAGTTATGAGTTTAAATTTTTTCGATTTAATGAATTCAATCAATGCAATTTGTTAAGCAACGGAAAATTTGTAAAGGAATTCTGTGTTATCAGACCTTATTAAGAGACTTAGAGATTAACATCTATAATTTTGGCCATTAATAAAATGGATTAATAAATTTATGCGGTTAAAAAAGTGAGATTAACAGGGGAGTTCAGTTGGCAGAGGTTGTTTTATAATCAGATCACATAGATAAGAGAAGTCAAAGCAATGCTACGACTCTAACATCCAAATGTAATTAGATTGTACAGTTGGTGGGTAGAGCAGGAGATTAACGAGAAAAATTAAAAATTTTTTTATCTTTATTTACAATAAGAATATGATTCCTATTTGGGTTGCAATGACTTATTACAATTCAGCGTGAATTATCTATCAATAGTACCAGTGGAATAAAAGAGGAAGACCCTGAAATCTTTGATTAGTTAATTAATTAATGGCTTGGAGTACATTCATGGTTAAGGGTTCTTTCATAGAGATTTAAAATTAGAGAATGTTCTCGTTACAAAAGATAATAGTGGAGAGGTTGCTTTAAGAATTTGTGACTTTGATTGGAGCAAAACACATTTGAATGATGATGGATAAAAGATTAATTGGTTAATACTTAGTAAAGAATGTGGGACTGTAGAAATTAATAATGTGATGTAGAGGAGAGGAATTGTATATGATGCAAAAGCAGAATTGTTTTAGGTTGGAATTATAATATTAGATCTGTGCGATCCAATATGTGGTAAAGAGGAAAGAATTTAAAATCATAAGAATGCGAAAAATAAGTAATTAATTTATGACAACTTCTTAGCTAATTTAGACCTCACATTTCCGAATAATATAAACCAGAGTTACAACTTATCCAAGCGTTATTTAATATGGAATTTAAATCAGTTTAAGAGTTTAAAAACTCCCCTCTTTATAATAAGTACATGCAAGGGTGATCAATAAATAAATATAATCATTAAAGAATCATAAATCTTATAAATTCTCTAGAATTCTATTTTAATAAAGCTTAAAATATTGATTTGTACTTAAATATTAATAAGTTTCTTGATGTACATATATAAGTATCACTAATATAAAGCCCAATAAAGAGCAGATATGTGGCTTAATGTCTTGCTTTATAAAGTTTTGATTATAACTTCTCTTTAGTAGCCATATTATTCAATCTAAATGAGTTTAAATCAATAATATACCTAACAAATAATTCTTAAATCTAAATTTGTATTAGGTTATTATTTAATTTATTTAAAATCGATTTCTTTCATCCAAGTATGTTTCATGATTTCCATTAATGTAAATCTCAATTTTGGATTGATATTTAGAATTGATTTCATCAAATCCACTGCTTCATTTGAGAGATTGGCTTTTTTAATTTCCATAAAATTCAAGAGTCCACTCTAAATCTACTGATTGAGTTCATTCATGTTATTGCCCTTGAATGGCGTTTTGCCAACCAATAAAATATACAGAAGGACTCCCGAACTCCAGATATCACTAGCGAAACCCTCATATCCAGTCTTTTATGTCATTATTTCTGGGGCCAAATAAGCAGGAGTTCCACATTATTCTAGTATTTTTTGTCCCTTTACAATCTATCTGCTTACACCGAAATCACACAGTTTAATTTATTCCCCTTACAATAAAATATTATCTAATTTAATATCTCTATGTAGTATATTATGATTTTGCAATGTTTAAAGTGCTAACACCAATTATCCAAATATATTCTTGGCCATCTATTCAGATAATGGTTTTTCTTTGGTAAACTTGATTAAGTCTCCTCCTTCAACATATTCCATAATTAAATAGATTTATCTTTTGGTTTCGAAGACTTCATATAATCGAATACAACATTTGTATGGCTATAAGAGTTTCATTAAAGTGATTTCTTGCATCAACCTTTTTTTGGCACTTTCATTTTTGAGACTTGATTTCTCAATAATCTTCATTGCCACTTTTACTCCTGTCAAAATCTGAATTCCTAAGCAAACCTTAGCAAAAGCGCCTTTCCCTATAACAGAACACAGCTGCCTATTTTAAGCCAATATATTAAACCTTATAATAATCTGCTGTGGTTGTCGGTATTCTTTTTTTCACCTTAATTGTATTTGCTATCCTATTAGCCAAAATCACACGTTCCTTCATTAAGTCTTCATCCATCTTAAATTGTGGCTCATTCAATTACAATAAGAAATCCTAGCAATCTGCCAAATCAACTTCAGGACCTAATAAGTCTCCTAAAATTCTTGGGATTTTTTCCTCTTTGGGTCCATTAGAAGCAGATCTTGTACGAGCAGAAGAAGTAGATCTAGTCACGCTAATATTTGTTATTTGCTTTTTCTATTTGACCAAATCTATTTTCACAGCCTCCACTCTATTAGTATTCCTAGTAATCGCAGTTACAGGACGGGATGCTATTGGTTTTGGTAGAGTTTTCACTGATGACTGATGAGAATGATGAGATTAATTAGCGGATAGTGTTATGCATTTCACTTATTTAACCTGCTGATTTAATTTCTTCAGTTAACTCATTATAAACAGTTAATTTATTAAAAATATATTTAATCATAAATAAAATCCATTTCATATAATACATTTCAATATTAGGTATTACTAAATATTATAGCAATTAAAATGTAATACTTACTTGTTAATCTTTCAATCAAATTATCAATTTTCATTATTGACATCCAATACTATTATCATAAATTAAAGTTATTAAGTATTTATAAACTTTAATAAGCATGCTGAGAATCATAATAATGAGATTCTTATTGGTTCTATAATGCAATTATATCATATATTTAATTAAAAAGAATTACTCAGATTTATGATGATTATATGAAAATAAATTCAACATCATATTTACTCCAATCACTCCCTTGAATTTCTAAATTTATATGTTTATTGGATTATCTGAAATTATTAGTTATTATGATAGAATTTGTTTATTACTTTTTGTACTTATACAAATATAACACTATATCAATCTTAACATTTATTTTATATGTATAACATTTAATTAATTCATCAATCAATACTTATATGTTATTTCTATCGAATGTAATTCTTTGAGTGAGAATAAAAATATGACCAATTATAAATATTTAATCGATACTCGGAAGGACTAACTTAGAGTGTAATCAATATAATTTGATGTTGGAAGTAAAAAGAAGGAAATCTGAGATTTTGATTAATTTAGCGTATTAATTGTAAATGTCTAATTATTTATAATTTAATTAATGAGTTGGAATAGTACACCATTAATCTGATTTTAAAGTCCTTGTGCTTTTGTATCTAAATTATTTCGTGTATTTTACTATAATATATTTTGAAAACAAATTGATCCAAATAAATTAATATCTTCAAATTCTTAAGTATTTATAATGAACAAAATCGTTATTAAGAAAAAAGAAGATATGAATTAAAAGGTGTTTTAATAAGCAAGTGATCATGGTCCTGCTTAGAATAAGAATGAATTGTATTATATTGGACGAGTTATTAGGTTATGTTATATTGACTCTCAGTGGAGCTAAGGAAACAACAATTAAAAGAAAAGTGAAAAGTATAAAATCATTAATTTTCAAAGGGACTTTCAAATAATTGAATAATGTTTAGGTTCTGGAGCATATGGGTCAGTTTCACTAGTGAGAGATATTAACAGTCGAATATATTATGCACGAAAGACTGTAAAATTTTGATCAAATATTGTAGATTAGTAAATCAAAACTTAAGGGCTAGGAATCTATAGAAAACTTAAAAAGAGAAATATTGATATAAAAAAAGCTTTGTCATCCAAATATTTTAAAATTATGCTACTGTTACGAAGATTAGATGAAGTACTGTTATGTAACTTAAAACAATATAGTGTCTTCTTAATCTTGGAATATGCAGAATAGGGCTCTCTTTTTTAATTGATAAAACGTAAATAACGCTTGTAAGAGAAAGAAGCATAATAATACTTTTCCCAACTGCTAGCTGGTTTGGAATATATGCATAAAATGAAGATTGTACACAGAGATTTAAAAGTACAAATAGAAAATTAAAAATAGCCTGAAAACATATTAATAACTAAATCTGGAGATTTAAAAATAGGTGATTTTGGATGGGCTACATAAATGCCAAATTATCACAAAGCTTTCTGTGGTACTACTGAATATATGTCGCCTGAGATGATACAATCATAAACAACTGATTACAAATCGGATCTATGGAGTCTAGGTGTGTTGTTATATGAAATGGTTTAAGGAAAAACACCATTTTAAGGAATGACATTTTTAGAAAAGAGCTAAAAAATACTATCAAGAAGACAATTGGAATACGAATACGATGTTTCTGATGAATGCAAGTCCTTAATCAACAGTCTACTTTAATATAGAATAACTTGTAGGCCTTCCATTGATCAGATCAAAAATCATCAATGGATGTTGTCATAAGGATAAGACAGAAAAGGGTCGATAAGAAGCTCTTCAATGATATCTCTCAAATCAACTCATTATACTTCTGAAGTTCTTGAATGCTAATCCAAAATTTTCGACGGTCATTTTGTTTAAAAATCATCAATCTAAGAATGGGAAGCTATGAAATTTAGAAGTTTATAATTTTAGTTCTAACGCTAATAAGATCAAAAACAATCATAAGGTAGTTGTTGTTAAAACGAAGGATTTTTAACTAAAGCTTTAATTGCTTTAGGATGTATTAATCGATGATAATATTGATTTCATATTCAACCTTATTTTTTCTTCTTCTTAAATTTTTCTCTTATAGTTTTATCCTTTCTTTGATCCACTTCCATTTGTTCTTTTACATCCTATCCTCTAGAGATATCCTTCATCTTCATAAATAACAAATCCAATCTATAGAGACAATCGGATGGCAATGGAGACGACTCCAACTCGAGAACATAAGGTCTAGAATTAGATATATTATACCTGTGTAGATCAATATCCCAATATTTAACATTATCAAATTATATATAAGATGTCCATCTACCTTTGATACTAGTAATTGTAAGTGTCTAGAATCTCTTATGGTAGAATTTTCAACTTGATTCCTGAATTTTGTTTTATGAGCCTTTAAACATTTTTCAATGCATCCTGGAGTTACTTTACAAACTTTGCCAACTAAAGCATCTATCTTTTGTTATGAGGAGCTAAAAAAGCTTGAGGACTTGTCCTTGGGGTTAAATATGATTTCCATTAACAATTAATGTTCAGGTTAGAAACAAAAACTCCTCTTATGACAATTGACACTTCTTTAGCCAAGCAAAACTCCATAGAGCATAAATGGTTGAGCCAGATAATAAAATTTGAGATTAGTGTTTTGATACAGAATTTGTGAATGACCTTATTGCTCACCTGCCAAACTATTAGTTCCCATGTTAACAACAGGACAAAATGCTCCGAATAGCTTATATCCCCTTCCATACATGATATAATTTGATATCGGTGGATGATGGGAGGTCTGTTCCAAATATATTGGACATCCCTTAATTCTACCTTCAAAGGTTTCTCCAATAATAGGATTGAATGGTTTTTCTTGCTAGATTCCCATCATAAAACTCGACATCTAAAAGGCAACTGTTAATTTCATCTACTCCATAACATCCATTGTTTAGGCTGCTTTTTCAAGAAAGATGGGAGCATGGCCTTATGCTCTTGCCATTCTCTCTAAAAATGACCTAGATTCAAAGACCTGAATAGGCAAGGAGACAGACATCAAAGATTTGCCACTTAACAAATTGGAACCCATCCTCTTAATGATGTCTAATAGGACACTTCTTTAATCGCTGACTAATTTTTTGTTAGTATAAATTAAGCCTCCCTTCTTGGGGTCAAGTTCGTAATATTTAGTTAGTAAGAAATGGCCGTCTTCCTTGGAGGTTTCCAATTATTTATCCAATCCGGGTAAAATATTTTGATTAAATTATCTATTGATGGATAGTTGGATGTAATATCCACTTTAGATTAAATTCAATATTTCTTGATATTCTTAGATAGATTATTGTTGATGCTCTTCAGAGGTAATTCTATGTATTTACTCCTCTATTTGAATAAATGAAATTTGAAAGTTCTCAATATCATCCTCATTCTTGATAAGCACATGTTCTGTCTTCTATTTGATGTAGTGATCAGCTTCTAATATTTGATCATCAATGTTTGAGAATGACAGAAGGAATCGTTTCATAACCTCCTCACCCTTTTCTCCGTTTTAGCATTACAAATACATGTCTTCAATAATTTAGGTTTTGTAATCGCCATCTTATTATGCTTATATTAGAACACATGATCTGGTGATTTTATATTCATCAGTCCCATCGATTCTGTCTTTATCAAATTGATTGTGATGTATTTCATTACCAATATATTTTTTCAGAATGCAATAAGCACTTTCATCAATTTGAAAGTGTTTCTATGTGTAGATCAATCTTATCTTTTCGTTTTGTATGTTTTGCTTTTGTTTTTACTGAAAATTGTAAGTTCCTGCAAATTCTATTTCATCGATCTTCTCTTATGTATTTCTGCTTAGATCAAATTCAGTATAGATTATAGCACAGTCTTTTTTAGTCGGATACACTTAGTAGATGGATACTTGAGGACTCCAATTATCTATGAAATTATGTGTTGATAGTTCCTATTAAAATATATTAATTTGGGGTACATCAAATATTTTGGTTGGAGACATTTCAGATTTCAGAAAGAATCGCATATGCAAAGGATCCTTAGAATCTTGATAGAGTACTTTATTTTGAGATTGATGCAACACTTTAAAGGAATGGATGTCTGAAAAACCTTATAAATTTTCAAATGTATTTTCTAATATAATTTCAATATCATTCTAATTTTAATAATATTATTATACTTATAAAAATTGTGGTAATAATGGTATGAGTTGTCTCATTCTTGAAATTTAACTTGGTTTAATATCCATCGTAGGCACTATTTGATTCACCACTCGTTCAGATTCAGGCATAAATTTATCCCATTCTTAGAGATTCCTCTCCATGTTCTCTTTTTTGATTTTCTAAGTCAAATATTTTCCGTTGAAGTAATCGTACCACTGGAGGGCTTCCGATTGATTAGTCCAACCAAACCTTGCCACTCTCGGTTCAATTTCCTATTGAGTCTTAAATTTAATTGACCACTTTCCTTAATGAAAACCAACAGGATGGATAATGTAATTTTCAATTAACAACTACTTTTGAGTTTACCCCTTCACGTCTATGTATCTCAATACCTCTCTATCTATCATAAATTTTACTTGTTTCAATAAATCATAAATCAGCAATCTTTCGCACCATCCCTTCAAAACACCACTCTCTTTAAATGCGCTACAACTAATTAGGGCATTCTTATTATCAATCATTTCTAAATTAATTGTATGTAATATATTTATATATATTTTAACAAGACAGATAGTTATATTTTAAATATGCTGTTTTTCCTAAAATTTTTATAAAATGAATATAACAATCAGACTATCATATATGCGATGGCTTCCTTGTTAACATTAATCAGATATTGTAAAAAGTATTCTTGACACTACACCATCTTAAACAATTCTTTGCACTTTTCAAAATTCAAATTGCAAACCACACAAATCTAAGCCAGAATTATTGCAAACTCCTTTTGACTCAAAAATGGTTTCACCTTATTTAACAACTCTAGTCTTTATCCCTCATTGCTAAAATAGTAAAACACTATATTCCTCTCAAAATTAGGATCGAAACTCAATTCAAAGACATTGATCAATTAATCCAGATTTCCTCTGAATATCAATTATTCTACAACCTTATTGAGTTATGCATAAGGAGTATAATGGACACAGACATAATGTTAAATCTCCTTGTATTTCTTAAATTTTATTATCTGCTCTTAGTTTACTATCCTGATGTTTGTTGGCGATGCTGAATCAATTTCAGATCTATCATTAATGGTGCTGGGATTCTTAAATTGCTCGTAATTCTAATCACTCAACTTGCAAATTAATTATTTTGAATAAGGCAATTGGTCTTACCTGCTCTATAATTCCATCTGATGCAACAATATTTTGATATAATCCAATTACATCTTCACTGCCCGATCCACATTCTTAAACTTTAAAGTGAATAACAACATCTCCAAATTGACGATATACTCAAACAACAAAGTAAAAGCCTATTCCATATTATTTAAAAATTCAATACCTTAATTTTAGATTCTTGTCTCAATAGAAAACTGAAGTATTGAAGTATCTTCTCCCCTTTATTCAAGTTTAGACATTTCTCACGAGAATATTGAAGCAGCAATTCCGCAATTTGATCAGTAGTTCTTGCATCTATCATATTTTGTAATTAAACTTACTTAGTTAGCATTTAAATAACTGATTGCTCTCAATCATTAACGATAGTTGCTCATTTATTTAATTCGTTTCATTCATATTCAAAATTTAAAACAAAAGTTGATATTGCTCTTATTTAATAGCAAAACTTATCAATTTCTTTAATAGTACCTCCTGTTTATCATCTCTGTAAGAGTCCTGTTGTTCTTGCAGATAAAAAGAGATTTTCAATTTTAATTCTTGATAATGATCCTCGTTTTCATTTATAAATTCAGTAATCTTATGTTATTGTAATCCAATCTATTCACTTATTTTGTAATGCCTAATAAGTTCTTTGGCATTATTTTATTGTATCAGAGATCTTTTCTAATTATCTACGAAAGCCTCACATAATAACTCCTCTGGAATGGCAAAATCCCTGTACATTTCCTTATAGATTATGTTAATAAATTTATAGACGACATTTTGGATGCCATTTAATTTCTGCAACGAAATATCATTGGACACTTATTAGAATTTTCTCTTAACTAGATCTTGGAAGGATACGTAGACCTTGTCTTATAATAAAGTTAAGAGAAGCATAGTATCATAAAATAACTTATGATCATTTTGGAGATCTAATTGAAAGTTGGATATATTGGCAAGGACAGCCAGACCAATGTAGATTTCCAAATACATATTGTAATAGTCTTTGAGTTGATTGATTACTAAGGATCTTAGCAATGACAATTTTACAGGTTGTTCTTATCGAGCTTCTTAGTTGTTTTAGAGTTCATCATAAAAGACATGCATCAAGAATTAATCCAAGCACATAAGTTATTAACTCAATAGGTTGTAGGTTTGATTGAAATCCAAGTCTAACATTTGAATGGTTGGTTTCAAATAATAGTAAATATCTTCCAACTAATCCATTACTTCATTCATAAAGTCCTCAATGCAAAAGTTGTTATATTGTTATCTCATCAATTGGATCATTCTTCTTTGGTCTAAATTTCGATGCATAAACTTGATGAGGGTTTGAAATTGATCAAGCTTATTCTCCACAAAAGAATCAATCGAGATCGATTGAAGGATTAACTCTTCATCTTTTAGTTTATATTGATTCTCCACATCCTTTTTGAACTTCTTGATCTCTTGTCTTAACTAATATTATCTCTTACTAATCTGATCTTAAACTTAATTAATAAAGGAAATATGATTTCTATAGAACAACAGCAATTAATCATCTTGGTTGATGAAACCTAAAACTGGAGTTTTATTTGAGTTAACCAATTCAAAAGAGTTGCTCTCTATGACTAATTGATAGATTTCGCATCCTTAAATCAAAATTATAGTATTGGAGACACTACTGATGCTGAAAGTTATGTTTTATAAGAAATCCAATTATGAAATGACACAATTTATTCGTAATTAATTTCCTATTAGTGAATAGACTTTCAATTGATTTTAATGTAGATAACATAAAGTAGTCTACCCATTGGGTCTATGTTAGAACACTTCTATTTATTTAACTTTGACATTGTCTTCAACCTATAATTGCCTGGCTGAGAAATCGGTTCCCTTAATTTCCAACAGATGAAATTAAGTTTAGAAGGAGTAGTAGATTATTTGTTTGTCATTAATTTAATAGGCAGTCTTCCAATCATTAGTTTGTGTACCAAAAAATTTACTTAAAAATTTGGTACCAAAACTTAGTTATTATTTGTTTTTCATAATTTCACTTTTGCGCACATCTATTATTATAGAATATAATTAATTAGTTTCAGTCAACACATAAAATTTGAGTTAATTATTATTATTTGTTACTGATTTAGCCAGACACACAATTCTTTGATTATTCACCATTAAATTCTTAATTATGCTAGAAGCATTAGAAATTAAATTCTTATAAAATATTTATCCTGTTTGTGTCACCACCAATAAATAGGGGATATCGTTTTCCTTCATTATAACACATCCATTTTAAGTAATTAAATGAGAAAAATTGAGGTACTCACTTGTCGATGATATTTGCTTACAAAATAAATCTTTCATTTCATATTTATGAATCGATACAGTCTACCCATTCGTAACCTTTCTATCGTTATATACACAATTAAACATACACAACATAAATTATATCTTCTATTAATTAAGTAATTGATGAGTCCGTGCATTTGTAATGCTCTTCAACCTAGTTTCCTATTAAGGTAATATTGGAATGACAAGCTATCTCTTTGACTGCGATTCCACTCAGCAATATTTCTTCAAGCATAATTAATTCTTAAAAATTAAAAATAATTGAAATTAGTGTTTAGGTGATTGTTAGAATTATTATTATTATCCCTTTTTTAGATAAAAAGAAAATTAATTATATAATAAATTACATCTACTTCAATCTTTCTTCTCATTTTGTACCTCCTTATCACTAATCAGGTTTTCATCTTCTTTCACTTCATTGTTTTCTGAATCCAAATGCTGTTGCTGAGAAATCTCCTTCTCCAAAACATTCATCAATTCACTACCCAACAGTATTATGAGTCTCTAATTAAATCGGACTTATTCTTGAGTTTAATTCTCGTAATCCTCACCCATAATCTTATAATACGAAGTCACTAAATTATTAAACTACCGAAGCAATCCCTATTCTTCTGCTGAAACAGACTCATTAGCTATATATCTAGGTTTAAATATCATTTTTACTTTGTAGATCTTCGTTTCTTCCCTTCTTGTATTAAGGCAATTTTAGGTTTTCTACTGAAATTAAATAATGTGATCTATTCTTCAGTGAACAAAACCTTCTTTAGTTTTGCAAGCTCATGAAGTTATTTTATGATATATTCTATATCTAATTCCTTATTCACTTAATCACTAAGATACTCTATAAATAGTACATGGCGCTTTGAAGTACCACGCAATCATTATTTTTTATGGATTCTAGAGGAATAATCGAACTCAGAATAACTCGAAATCCTAGACCGATTACATACTTTTTTTTTATAAATTCCCTAAAGTCATCAAAATACTCAAAAGCCTTTACTTTGAGAATACTCAATCTAGTTTATGCTGGCTGATTATATCCCAATGAATGTTTTTATTCAAATCTCTCTGAATCATCTTTCGCTGGAGTAGTATTTTGTAACATATCAGGTTTGTTTTAGAAAGTAGTCATCACTTCAATCTTTGGCAAGGCCTAATGATTGCTCTTTGTCTTTTGTTTTTGTGTCTCCCTTCTCTCCTTCTTCTCTAGAAGGGTATTAAAATTCATTTAAGTAGTAGTTCTGTTCAAACTCATGTCATATTCGTAAAGATCATTGGCTATGGAAACTATTAGGTGTTGTCTGTTATAAAATCTAACTAGAATTCCAACTACAACCATCATAAACTAAGTGAATCCTCCTAGATAACTCAACAATTCGTCCAAACGCAAGAACTTCCTATTGATCTGATATGAATAGGGACTTCTCTAAAAGTAGAAGGCTCCATAATAATTTGGAGTTATCCTGGATATTTCAAATTGTTCTCTTTAATCCCCGTAATCCCTAAAAGCAAAGGCATCATATAATTTATCTGGATACATGAGAATTCCTTAATCGGTTGTCACTTTCTTTGTCCGAAAAAATATGTCAGATTAAACAAACATTTTATCTGGTACGAATGTGTAGAATTAATCAGTCGCTAAAAAGGGTTAAACAAAATCTTTTGGTCTATTTGGATTGATTAACTATATAGTTAAGTATATTAACATACAAAGTTGGTTGTAAAAACCTGAAATCGAAAACTCCCTTGATAATTTAAGGTACTTGCTATTTCATCTGAAGTTTTGCATGTTGGTTTCCAAGTGAAATTATTGTTTGATGAATTTATGCAATTAGTAACAGAGAATTTTAAGAAGTAATAATCAGTGCTTGCCCAAACTCCTCCCACAGTCAGATTCTAACTATGAATAAAGTTTAAATTTGGACAAAGGAAATTTTTTAGATTTTACTACTCAAACTAATCTGTAAAATTGACACTGTACAATTCGAAGAGGTATGAAAAATGGTCGATCGTACAGGGTACCAAGTCAATATATATATTTGGATATCGATATTGAGTGCCATTGGGATATCGATGATAATGACGCTGCTCAACTGTGATATTGAAAAAAGGATTAGTAGTGAAATTATCTTATTCAATCTAAACAGCAAACATAAAATGATCTTTATCCAATTTCAAATTGTCTGGATCATTGGCAAATGTGAATTTCTGATGTAGAAGTTACGTTTAATTTTGCAAAAAAGTTTATGATGTTGGAATAAAAGAAACTTATGATTGTAGCTATCATACAAATTGATAGAAATCCTCCGATACTTGTTTTGTATTGCTCTTCCTATCTAAAACTCAGATTAATAGTTTATCCAAATATATCAATTTATCTAAGACCCTCCTTACACTTTTATATCATTATTTATAAAATATTATTGCATCAAATTAATTATCAATTAATGACATAATAATATTGTTAATTAGCCATTTCATAAAATATATCATTTAAATGATTTTATAAATAATAAACAACATTCCATACTATCCTCATTCAAAGGAACTAATTTGATTCTTTAAAGATGAAACAATATCAGAAATGCAAAAGAAGATAAGTCTAAATTTTATAGATAATAATAATAATAATAATCAAATGCTTGAATATTGGAATCATCATTCCATGAAGTATTTTTAATCTTCCAATTCCTCATTATTAACACTCTCCTCCTATTAGACTATGACTCTATCAAATGGCTTAGATCGAAACATTGGTTATCTTCCAGTTTTCTTCTTGCTTGGTTACATTATCTTTTCTTAATTGGCTTTGATTCTTCTCTCTTCTTCCTGCTTTAATTTTAAGTTGTTTGAATCCCTTTATTTAACCTTCCAATCTCTTTCACATTCTTATCTCTACATTTATCATTCATTTATTTACAAAGCTCTCAACTCTATCTGGTCGAAATGATCGAATCTACTTCAACTGTCTCTCTAGATGCAATTCAATCTGAACCAAGATATCCAAAGTCTCTTTGTTTTACAAATCATGCACTCCTTAAATTTCATTCGGGAAATTTTCACAAACTTCAATTATTTATTTCCTCAGTTCTTTATGATCTTTCTTAGCATTCTTCTCTGTTCCTTTTAATTACAATGTCTTAATTTATTAACACACATTCTAATATTGCTTATATATCATTTACTTCATAATTCTTTTTCAATTGCTCCTTGTTCTATTGTAGTGTAAATACTTTATCATCAAGGGACTTTTTTATTTTATTGAATTTAGTTTTCAATTCTTCCAAGTTTTATTCTGCATCTTAAGTAGTTTATATTAAAAATAAATTTCTTTCTTCCAAATCATTAAATATCTCCACCAATTAAGATGGTTATTTAAAATACATTTCATATTCGTCTTCAAATTCTTCCAATTCATCTCTAATAAATATCAATTTGTATTTTATTACAGCTTTTTATTATCTACCATTTATTAAAATTGTTTATCCGATAGACCCTTAATTTTGATTAATTCCTCCTTCAATCTATTCACTAATTATTATCGTTTCTTCTCCTTTGCGTCATGCCACTCCTTTGGAGCCAACTTGTCCAAGAATTTCTTATGATCCATATAATTATTAACAGCTTCCTCATTCCTTGTTTTCTCTGCCCTCAAACTTGTTATCTTTATGTTGATAGACTTGATCTCAGATTCCTTTGCTTTCTTCTCCTTTACTTCTTAATCGGCTTTCTGTTCTGCATCCAATTTTTGTTATTTATTAGTATCCAAGTACTTTTAGAAATTCTCATTATCAGTTTCCAACATTTTCAAACTCTATTCCAAAGCCTCCTTCTTCTCCTTTGACATTAACTTTAACTTATCGATCTCCTCCTCAATTATCCCGTGAGCCTTTGATACTAAAAACATTTCCTTCTTCTATTCCAAGAGGGTAACAATAGGTTCCTTTGATACTCCCTTCGCTCTTTGTTTCTTTCGTTCTTGAATTATTTGCAATGCCTCATTTATTACTTTCTTATCCTTATCATTATACGCAGTTTTTGATTTAAATTTATCATCAATTTAAGTCTCATATGACTAAAAATGATGTAACAATTATACTTTGAAATGCTTTAATTAAGTTCTATTCGTAGCAGTTTTCTTGTCCCATATATGCATCTCTCCATTGTTTTGAGCCTCTTGCTTTTTACGATCTTGTTCTCTAAACAAAAACACCTCTTCGTCTGACGGATATCGAAATGGACTTTGAATGTCACTTTTATTCACTTTATGAATCTAAGGCAATTTCTCTGACATTTAATATTATATTATTTATTTTATTCATTTGAATCTAATAATTTATCAACATATACATATTTATATAAATATTATACCACTAAATAAGAAGGTAATAGGGTTTATAAATGAATACCCTAATGAAAATATAGGCATCGCATTTTCATCATTTCCTATATGAAAAGAATTATAAAATGTGTTTAATTAATAGAAAATCTTTATACAAACAATCATTAGTCTGATAGTAATTTATTGTAATGCGTATTGAAACTATTGATTTTCCAATTACTGGAGTCAACTTAATACTTGCCAACTCCAGGGGTGAATTGTCTTCTAATGTATGCCAGACGAGGTTATTGTGATTTAAATGGAGCAGTTACTTATTTGGCTGATCCAACTGGTTGTTGATTGGCTTCAGTAAAAGAAATATTATAGACCATTTCTTAATTCTCTCTAAATCTAGGTTCAGCACAATCAAACCCAGGTTTTTAAACATCAATCTTTTATAGATTTTTTAAAAATTTTATCTATTTTTACATTCTATATCCAATAGTTTCTTGATCCAATTTATATTATCCAATTTCAGGACCAAAACTCTTATTCACAGCATCTCTTTTCGAAGAAGATTTAAAACAAGAACTCACAGCTCTCTTTTTCTCACCTTTATTAATTTCATAACTCCCTGGTCCAGCCTTACAAAGTGGAGGTTTATCATAAAATCTTTTCTCCTTACCACCCAAGTACCCACTAATCCCTCTATCTTATTTACGAATTAAATCTGTGTAAAGATCGTTTTAAACATAATATGCTCCTGGACCAGGCAATTATTCATCTGAGTTCACTAGATCACCTTTGCCAGTAGAACTCAAAAAAGTAGCGTTGGTATAATTTTTCTTCTTTACCAATTAATCAAATGAAGAGTCTTCAATTCTGTAATCTCCAGGACCAACGGATTATTCATTGTTCTGTCTAAATCTTTCCAAGGAGGAACCAAAAAATTGAAATTCCTTGGCCTTTTTTTGAACTTTGATTGACACTCTGCCATCGTTGTATTAACCAGGTCCTGGAGAGTATTGATCTTTGTAATTAATTTGTTTCCTTAAGCCAGCATTAATTTCTCTGTTGGTTTTGTAAATTAATTTGTCGTAGTAAGATCTAACAGTTTCAGATAGAAAAGCTGGAGATTTGTTTTTCTTCTTTTTTTCATCAGGAACACTATACTTACCAGGTCCAAGATCTGTAGATTATTCTTACTGAAATCGAGGCTTTGTGCTTTTGTCCCAAGAAATACCTTTTGCTTGTTTTGTCTATGGCATTTCATATGTGGTTGGGCCTACAACTTTTTATTTCTTTTACTCTTAAAGTACTTTTTGATGCTGGGCCAAAGTTTCAATATCCTCATAAACCATTCCTATTTATGATTTTGGTTCAGGTATAGAGTTAATTCGCCTCCTGAGATTTTGATTTCTAATATCGTCTAATTTTTAATTTTGAATCGAAGGAGCTTATTTATTTTGAGAGTTATTTTTAACAGGGTCGTAATGTCCTGGACCTGGAATCTGAATTTATAGTTATAACTTACTTCCTTCACTTTTTTATCCTGTTAAAATCTCTCTATTCCACTCTTAAAGGAACTACTCCCATTACCTTAAACTTTGACTATGATGGTGCTTTTATTCATGTATGCTTGCACTCCTGAATCCCCCATGTTTTACTAAACTTCATATTACCCCGGGCCTGGGAATTATGTTTTCTATTTGTTTGTCATCTCAACTTATCTCTTCCCAGTTGAAAGGAATGGAGCATAAGCAGTTTTTGTTTGCTGCTCCGGAACTTGATACACTCCAGGACCCAAATGTGGGTAAGGATCTTTTACCTATGTCAACCCTCGATCTTCTTCAAATAAAAAAGCCATTTGTATTATAATTAATTAGTATAATTCAGTTGAAAGTATATAATAAATTTTCAAAAGAAATCTAAAGAAAATCCAAAAATCCATGATTATTAGGTTCCATCTAACCAAAGCAGAGTACATAGAAAGTGACATTTTGATTGTTAAAGTTTGGTAAATGTACTAATTTTTGTATCATGAATCTATTTAATATTTTAAGATGGAGAACCAATATCCATATTTTTATTATTGAATCCTCAAAACAACAAAATCCTATAAATATATTGAATAAGAATTACATTATGAAGTAAAAAAAATTTTAATAAAATGGCATTTCACATTTTGGTGATGTTGGTTGTTCTATATTTAGATTTCACTCCAAAATCATTTAGTAATGTATATTAATGTTGTTGAACTGATATGAAAAATTTCTATTTTGAATGTGCTGAAGAACATCCTAAACCAGAATATTGTAATTTAAATTTTTGATTCACTAAAATTGAATATTTGTAAATTTAGGAAGATAAATTATAAAATTAATGAGTTCCATATTTTAATGAATATTTTGTATTGCAGAATAGAGTGGTTTCTTGATATGAAAAACTTTGGACGGATAATCGATAGAGTAAGTATAATCAGTAAGGGTATTTTATGAAAATGCAAATTAAAATGCTTTTGGGCAGAGAAAGAAATGGAACGAGATATTAGGGATGAGAAATAAAAGTTTACAAGATAGAATCTCAATAGTATTATTCCAAATGTCTGTTACTCTTGTTCATACAGTGATTAAGCTCAAACTTAAATAACTTGTGGATACTGCTTGATACTTACTATAAAGATGATAAAGGTGCATGTTAATTATGTTCCTTTCAACAAGTTGTTAAAGTGTAGCTACAATAGTTAAAATAATCCAAGTGTAATTTGCTCATCATGTTCAACAAATTTTAAACTTATTAACGATTCATTAAAGTGTGTGTCACCTCTAGCTAATTGTCTTGATTACAGGTTCAACAAATACAGTTCAAATAAGGCTGATTGTAAGATTGGAACAAATCCTATCGTCACATGTTAACCTAATCCAACTTGTCTACTGGGCTTTTACCTTAATGGATAATCTTGTCTTCCATGTAAATAAGATGCAGGTAATATTACAGGATCCGAAACCTGTTGTGGTCTTGGATTGATTTTTACAGCTGGAACTCCTAATAGCTGTGTTACATAAACTGGAGCAACTGGAAAGTAATAAATATTGGCATCAAATGGAAATGGTGAAACTTGTAATATTGGATATTATTATAACACTAACAGCAAAGTTTTGTGAGGCTTGCATAAGTAATTGCGATAATTGTACTGATGCTACCACTTGCAAAACATGTTCTCTCGACTATGCATTACTCAAAACTAAAAGTGGTGTAGAATGTGTGTTGATCAAATGTCTTGTAGTTGATTCTACTAAAGGATGCACTTCTTGTTAATATGGATTCTATTTATCAACCATCAATGGCATTGGCTATTGCTTATAATGCTTATCTCCATTAACTAATGTAATATCTACAATTTATTTTCTATTATTCTAAGCCTATTCCAATTAAGCTCCTAATGTGACAGTTTCACCTGCCGCTCCAGTAGCAGTTATATTCTTAGTTCCTATGTTCAAATCCTGTAGACAACCTTTTCACATCAGCAACAACAACACAATAATAATGATAAAAATTAATACAAAATTAAAATAATTATATTTTATTTCCAATACAGATATAGAAATATCTCAGAACCTCTCCTCAAAGATCACACGTGAAGGCTTAGGATTCTAGATCCAATTGTGTCTGTATAAGGTCATTCTCTATTTGCCTGCGATTTAACTAAATCAACTTTCTTTTGATCATTACCTTTCTGCGCATACATACCAAATTGCTGCAACAGTCAATATATTCAACTTTCCAATCCTATTAGTCCAGTACCATCCTCTCTATGCATAATAAACAACTGCGCTGTTCTAAAATCGTGCAATTAAACTCGAATCCATTAAAATTATTATATTAATAATAATAATATTTATTTCTATTCATAATACTAACATTTATTAATTCAAATTCTTTTTTTTATTCATTTTTTCAATATCAAGTTGATTTAATAAATTATATTCTATCACTAAGCTATGAAAACTTAGTCACTCTAGACCAACTTCACTTTTTCGAGAATATGTAAATATCATTTTCTAATTTTAATTCAAAAATTGTTAATCTATTTCTAGCGTCAATGATCTTAAATATATATAAAATTAACTTAACAACTAAAGATCTAGTCTTTATATAATTTGACTGGTTTAGGCTATTTGTTTCTAAATTTTGTAAATTATAACTAGTATATTAACCATAACACCAATCCAGCATTGATCCTAAAGAAGAATCTTATAATAGACAATCTAAGACATCTCATGTTTGTTTTATTTGAACATAATCAATTATAAAAGAAGATTAAATTACCGCCTTTTTAAGTTCAATACTTTAATCCTTTTGATTAAAATCAAATTCACTTCTGCTTTCAAAATATGTCTTCCTATATATTATTTTTTAAAATATTTACGTCATTTTAATGTATTTTTAAATATATGGTTGTATTATTATTTTTGAAAGATGCTTTCAATCAATTAATAATGTATCTAAATGCCAAAAAGCACTAAACAAAAACTCCTTATTGTTTAGACTCCTCAAAATTCTAACAAATAAAATTATAATAATTCATTCATAAAAAAAAGAATATTCGAATCAAGCATCATTTATGAAAATTTAAAATCCACTATTAAAATATTTAGTGGTTGTTAAGGAGAAACAAAGGAGAAGATGGAATCTCATTTTCTGAGCGATCCTTGCTTGTTTTGTTGACTGAAAATATCCCTAATAAAGTATTTAATATGATATTTTTTAAAAAGAAGTATTACTGATCAGAATAATTAATTGAGAAATTTAAACATGCTTTAAAGTAGCCCTACATGAATGATTAAAGGAATTTCGAATCGAGAAAGTGATGAAGGTTTAGTTTTAAGTAAGTTATTGGCGATAATTTTGTTAGGTATTTAATAAAAATAGGAAAAATCATGATTCTTTTCATTTATTAGATTTTTTGATAATCTTTTTGGCCAAGGCATGCTTGAATCTTAAAAGGTTGTGTTAGCTCATAGCATTAGGCTTAAATTCCAAAACAAAAATGTTTTAAGTCTATAATATGTTAAAAGGTGGGTTAATCAAGACTGTATGTGGTTCTTCAATAATTTACTCTTTCTCTTCGGTTTTATTCAAAAGTTTGGGGTATTCTTGTTCTTTTTTCATAAGCTTATAGATTTAACAAAAAGGTAAAGTTAACAAATAATTAAAATAAATAATATAATAATTATGTTAATACAAGAAACTTATAAATTTGGATTACGATAATAGAAATTCATATAATTATTTTTAATAAGAAAAATTTTAAATTTGTTTGAAGAATAGGATATAATATTTATCTCTATTAGGGAATAATTAAATAGATTCTATATTGAGTAGCTAAATTTAATATTTTCTAAAAATATATTACTACATCTTAAAAAAGTTAACAATAAGAAATTATTTAAAATTCTCAAAAAGATTTAGACTTTATTCGTCTATTTTCTATGAATTTTATTGAAATTCTCTGAGAAATTTAAAATAGTTTAGGAGTACCTTCCTTTCGAAATTTTCTATTTGATGTGTCACACAATGAATATCGAACAGTTTTACTAATTTATTCTCCATATTCTCATAAGATCTCTTCTCTGACTGGAAGTTCGAGTAATAATTTTAACTTTATTTTTAGTGGTTCATTATTAATGATAATAATAATAATTAATTTTTGAAACAACACAACTAGTTACAAAGACGAATATGATATGATTATTATATCATTATGAGGCAGGTTCTTGCCCTTTGACTAGTTTGAAGAGCTTAGATACTTCGCCAACTTTGGAGAATTCAATGCAGAATGCTAATAACTAAATGTTATTTATTCTTACATCAGTCAGAATATCTTTGGTGATGAATGCTTTCTATTTAAGCATCTACTAGATGAAAACGGAGACAAACCTAACTAATTTGTTCTATTGTTGTTTTTCCTATAAACTAAGATATTTGAATTACTTTGATATTATTGCAAAAGTCTATACAATAATTAATATACTGTGTGATATATTCTTATGGTAATTTGAGTTCCCCAAATAATTGAGCAAACAATTCAAGTGTATTCTAAGTGACATCGGTTTAGATGAAGACTTCTAAGAATCTAAAATATGGATGAGTTAATACTCTTCGAAGCCATCTAAATTGCATATTTAAATCAAGAGAAAATGTGCAATCTCTTTATTCTTTTCAATGATGATAGGTAGTCTTTGACAAGTGAATCCGCAATTTTTGAGCAACTCCTTTTCGCTTGAGAGATAATCAAATAGTAGCTATTTAAATGTGTTGATTGCATTTACTCTTTATTCTTCATCGCTGATTTCAGTTGTACAGGTTTTTTGGATGATCTCTTTGACTTGACTCAATTTATCATAGTTAATTTCCAGAGTATAATTCCATTGGACATTCATTAGAAGAATATTGTCATTCCACAATGTATCCGATGTCACAATATTGGGGATTGGTCTAAGGTAATCTGTCTGATATTAAGCAATATCAATATTAAGAGATTTTATTTTATCCATGTGAGTATATGAATTAATAATAAATAATCATGTTGGTACAAATGACTATTGAACAGTTAGATTGGAAAATGCATTGACTGAGACATTCATGATGGGCAAGAAATTCCAACCTTCCAGATTAATCTTATGAGGTAATTGTGATTCCTGAATATTAATAGGGATTTGGCAAACTACTGGGACTGACAACCAAGTTAAGAAGGCATCCTAAGAGTGATTAAGATCATTATATTACAGCAATAGCTTCCATTTAGAGAAAGTATTAATTTCTGATTACACTAGTTTTGATAGTCGCTCTGAGACTTTTGGGGATTTCTAGGGAAGCATTTTGTCGTTCCAATTTTTATCCAGAATTGACTCCTCCTAGATTCTATTGGAATACTTTAACATTTTCAACAACCCTTTCGATTTCATCATCATCAATAAAAGTGAGTTTATTGATCAATCTGGCTTCTACTCTGCTGATTGATCTTTGTGAACGAGTATTGTCTAATGTGTATTCTATTTGCATTTGCTCTCCTGGAATGAAATTATTTTTGTTTAATTTCAAAGAAAGTTCTACAGTTCCTCGATTCAAACATAAATATTAAACTATATTGCCTTCGCATTGCCTAAATTGCTCACCTTCCGAGGTTACTCTTCCATTAATAAAGACATCCGTACTCTCCATCATTAAAGTTCGAGCCTCATCAGGTAAATCTATTCTCAATGTCACTTTATATCCACATTTTGCTTATTTCAATCCTAATTCAAGTTAAATATTTACCATCCTCGCTTTTGTATGAGAAACTCGAAGACATATTATATTAGGTTGGAATGCTAAATTAAAACTTATAATCTCCAGGTTTCACTTGTCCAGTATATAACTCCTAAGTGTAAACAAAAGATTCTAGAGTTCCATAATTTCTAATCACTCTATACATAATTTCACCATTTAACTCATATTTCTTTTGAGTTTGTTTGGGTTATCTGAGAGGAGAATCCATAGTGACTTAGATTCTCTGAGTTTTCTCTACAAGTTTCTCAGGAATCATCTAAGGATTGCTTTGATCATATGGTATCTTAATTTCAAAAACTAAATAATTACCTATCGTTTTTCAATGATCTTCGAATACATCTTGGTTTAAAAGGTCAAAACGATTTAAGCCTTCGGGATTTCCTCAGTAATCCTGATGAAGCATTCTCCTCGAATTTGATCACCTGCTAAAGTAACTGGATCGAAAAACTTAAACAAAACATTCCTATTCATTTAACTAATTAAAGATTTAATTTAATCATTATTCAGAATCATAAAACTCTATAAGGAATTCATAAGCTAAGTAGCCAACCCTTTCTCCTTTGGAATCCTAACTCAGAACCTCGATTTTCCTCTTTGCCCTCGTGTTTTCTAAGTATTGTAAAATAATGCATTCATATTCAGTTTGTTGAAATTATTTCATTATAATGGTCAACGCTAACTTAATTAATATACCTATTACTTTCCAAAGACAACACCACTATCTTATTGTCACTAGCATCCAAACCTAAGACTTCATAATCCAGCAACCCAGAATCCATCACCATTAATAACTATTTCTTCGAACTAATAACTAAGAAGTTTTTGAATGCCTAATAGAGTTCCCTTCTGACATCTACAACATCCTTTTCCATAAGGTCAAAGACGGCAACCATCACCTATTTATTTGAGATTATTGAATCCAAATTTAATTGACAAGAAGCCATCAAATTATTAAATATCATACTTCCATACATCCGATAATGTGAATATTAGGTATTCTTCAATAATTTATAAAGGGTTTCCACTATTCCTAAATCCTACAACTTTGCGCATTCATCCAATTCCGATGTGAATGACAAATTCAGCAAAATAGATAGAGATAACTTTTAGATATTTCTATCCTTGTGATAAATCAGATTCATAATAGACTGCATAATCCTCATTGTTAACACAAATTATATATTCTAGATGTTTTTACTGGCATTCTCTACAATCATTAATCCCTTTTCCTTTACTAATTAAAATCAAAGATATCAATTACAGTTGATGTCAGCATTTTCTATTAGTTTTGAGGCTATTCTCAAAATAGCGATCACTTAGTTATCATCGTCTATGCTGTTTGTGATTGTTGCCAATATTCTAAGTGCCTAATCATTATTTCTATTAACTTGAAGAGATTTTAACACAGTTTCAACTATATCGTATTTCGAGAATTTCGGCGAATGCAATTCTACTAATTAATTCAATCCTCTCATTCCCTATTAACAAATATTTTGATTAATTTATACATTCTCTTTCAGCAAACTTGAATCAGAGTCCATCCAAGATTTGTAAATCCCACAAACTTTATCGAAATGTTCATTTACATAGAATCTTGGCTTTTTTTATTTAACCAATTATCTGAAACAATTTGCTGCTTTTGTTGCCATGATAGAATATTTGGGATTGGATCCTAAACACATGGAGTCAACCAAAGTCTTTATTATTCTTAGGTGTTCTGCCCATTCACAAAATAGAGCTGGATCATTTATTGCAGTCTATTGAATATCATCTAAAATTGATATCATTATTTAATGTTCTTCGTCGTTCAATTCCTCATACCTCTTCAATTTGTCCACTATGTCAATTAATTATTCAATTGGATAATGTTTTACTGAGGTAGTAACCAATCTCTTCAATTTAAATGTCTATTCTAAACTTTTCTTTCTCATCTCTGAATGGAAGTTCTCTCTCATCTCTCGAAGTCTATGTTAACTCATTTTTGAAGAAAATTATTAAAAATTCTAAATTAGAAGGTTCTATAATTTACTATTAAAATTAAATATATGCTCCTAAATATTTGATTTCTAATTATTATCCATAATATGATTAAAAAATCAAAATCTAAGCAGAGCATCTCTCTAGAAGAATCAATCGATGAAGACAGAAGGAAGGACAACATTATCCAATCTTTGCTACAACAAAGCACCAATCTAAAAATAAACTAATTGCCAACAATAAAATTCGATTTGAATGAAAATTAGATATAAGCAAATGATATTATTTACAACTCAAAGAAAAAACCCTAAATTGAATACATAACACCATAAATTGTTTAGAACAATCTTGAAATGGTTAAAGAAAATCTAAAAATAGTAATTCAAGAAAAATTTGAAGAATCCAAATGTCTCAATTGGTTATAGTTGGTTGTCGAATTCATTAAGGTTATGGCGTATTGCAATGTCTTGATTTCAGACGGATGTTCAAATTAAAAGACACTTTGGTTTTTCCTTATGTTCATTCATGATGTAAGCTTGAACTCTAAATTTATAAGATTGCCTAAATTGCAATTATCATTAAAATTGTCAACACTATACCTGCCAAATTCGATAGCAAATTGAAAACCAAAAGATTAACTAAGATCAAGAGAGAATCCAAGTATCCCATGGCTGGCAGAATCTCTTATTACGGGTAATTGATGTCCGATATAGATTAAGTCGAAAGTCAAATGGATTATTACAATGACTAAGCATCAAGATCCATTAAATATCACTCTCTCTAACAATTCAACCAAATGTAGAAAAATCATATTACTTTTATAGTTTTTATCTTATCTTGGTGATTTGGGGAATACTACAATTAGGGTAGCTTTGTTAATCCTTTATTGTAGTTTACACTTTCCAAGGCGTAAAATTTTATATCATATAAATTAAGGAAATAATTTAGAATTTAACTAAATAAACAAAAAGCAACTATGAGTTTGAAATTTGCTATCTATGTTCAATGTAGATTAAACACTTAACCTAGTATATTGATTTACCTTGTAACTAATTGTAAATTTATTGATCTCAATGATGTAGACATAGATTCCATGAAAAATGCATTTAAAAATGGTTATCATCGCATTTATGTTGTCCTGTTTGTCTAGAACCAATTGACTTGATGAATTTGCAGATGAAAGTACTAGCTTGACTTATTTTACAAAATATGTGTAGAGAAAATAGTAAGAGTAGAATGAAACACTTTTTAATTTCATTAATATTATATTATTGTTATATGAATATTATTTTAATGTTTTTCACATTTGATGTCCCTCTAGAGATGACATTAACGAATACATAGCTTCTTCTAATTGAGCCATAGCTTATTGGAGGCCTTGATCGTTAAATAAGGCTTAGATAATAAATATATTTCTTACCTTAATTCTAAAACATCTTCATCATATCTTCTTCTTCAATTTAAAATTTCTCATAGACTAAGTCACCTAAAATAGTATTAATTGCTAATGGGATTAATTGTTATGTTTCTTGATTGCCCTAAATAAATATCGATATAAGGTATTACAGATAAGTTATTGATTATTTCTCTTAATTCTTATGGTTACTAGTTCAACACTTGGATTTGGTAATTTATAATTTTCTTTAATTATTCGTAAGTAATCTCTTTGGTTGATGATATTGAATCTTTAATTTTTTATCTAATTGAGGCTTAAATCATGAAAAATTATTAATAGAATCCTCTTTCCATCAATGACATCACGCTTTCTTAAAATACATCTTCTCTGATCTATAAGAACTCACAGATTTCCATTTACTTCTTCTCCAACAAGTTTTCGACCTACTCATTATAATCCAAGACCATTTTTTGATATTCACCCTATCTGGACCTCCTAATAGCTCTTCTCCCTAAAATATGTTGAATTAATAGTTAATACTTTATCTATTTTCTGTAGTGATTACAGCGTATTCATCCTTTGCTAAATCCAATGATTTGTCTAGTATTTGTGTAATTGTTGCTATTGAAATCAATGAACCCTATTTTTCGACCTAAATTGATCTAACAACTTGTTAGAATAGTTGATCGTAGCCTTAAACTATATGTCCTTAGGGATTAATGGCGTTTATAGTTATGTTTTGAACTTCTTCCTGTTTTGAATTAGTATTGGTATGGACTTATACCTCAGTTGGTTTAGATTTTCTAAATGAATGTAAAAAAAATACAAATATAGCATCGCTCCTATCAATGCTACTGTTCCCAAACCGCCAATAATAATAGCTTTATCTTATTTTTTGGATAATGTAGAACCCATAATTAAAATAATTTAATACTAAATTTATTTATTTTCAATATTTAATTCTCACCTTTTCTTTTTATCTGAAACAATGGGCATTTGTTGCTGACTTTATGACAATTCGATCTTCTCAATCTTTACAACTAAATCATTTAGAATCTGCATAATAGTTTGCTGTTTCTCTAATACCCATTACACATAATATAAATACAATTGTAATTCCTCTAGTAAGATTTTAGCTGCTCCTCCAATTCTAACTTCAAGGCTTCTTAATCCTTCTTAATAGTACTTTCCAACTCTTTCTTTCACTAATATTAAATAGAATACTGTCATTGCCTGTGGCTTCCGATCTCATTTATTTCAATTAAGCTCTACAATATAGAATAGAATCAAATTACTGATGTTCCAATAGCATATTTATCTAAACATCATGTTTATTCAGAGTCCTTTGCACTTGATCTTCCACTTTCTCCTTGTCTACTGCTGAATAGGTTCTCTGATGAGTCGATCGTATGGTTTCCCTCAATTTCAATATCTCGTTCTCCACTTGCTTTTTCATCTATGACAATTGTATCATTTGATTATACATTAGTTATGAAACGCTCTGTCAATTTTGTAATCAATTCTACAATTAATCTTTGCACTTGATCGATCAATTACTCCCTTTCCAAGACATTTTAAATCTACTCAGCCATCAACGATTGTTTGTCCTTCCTTCCCAAATACTAGAAATTTCGAATAAAATTATACAGAATCCACTGCTACTTGTACTTTCTTTTAAAATTCCTTGTCTTCGTTCATAAATTAATATTAAAATATTTTAATATTAAAAGATGGGAGTCTGTTCAGGCAAACAACCGCAGAAAAAACAGGTTTCTCAACCTAAACAGATTGTGTAAGTTCAATCGTCAAAGTAAAATATTCTTGCCATTTGGAATGATCTCAATTAGTGTCTTAATCTTGTTGACAAAAATGTCGATAATGAAAAAACTATCGCCAAAATCAAAACTCTATTGCAAACCAAAGGAACTATAGAAGAAATGATTGTAAGTCAGAGTAAAAGGGGAGGCAGGAATCTCAGTTATGATCCCTTATAAGACACTGCCTTCCAATATAACCTATATTTACAAGTAGACAAAATAAATAGAATTCTTTCCGATTATCTTCTTATTGACAGAGCATTCGAAGATAAAAACAGCCAATTCTTCGATAATTTGCAACAAAGCATCGACAATATCGAGCAATATCGACAATCGATCAAGACGAAGCAAGGGATCTGGAAATAAAACCAAAGTACCAATTTTAGCAATACAAATGTGTATTGAACAACAAGGTATTTAATTAATTGACGATTACAAAATTAGATTTTATTATATTACTTAATTATATATTAAAATTGGATTAAATCAATATGCTTTATCACAAGACCGTGTCAATTACGTCTCAAAAGAATCAAACTTTTCGATGATTCGATATTCTGTAGAATTTTCTTATCCCCCCTCTAGAAGAATCCTTCTAAGAAAAACTTACTTATTTATAAATCTAATTTATTGTAATATTGAATTTATTTTAAAAAAGGGTGGATTTTATATAAATATTTTGAATTTATTTATTGATTTCAACTCATTTCATTAAGCAATCCAATATTAAAATGACTAAAGTAAGAGGAATAACATCGATGATACGTTACATATCTCTAATTACGTAAGTTAAAAATGACAAGTATTAATTCTTAATTAAATGGAATGAAAGTAAAATAGTTTTTCCATCTTCCTCTATTTATTAATTAATTATTTTAATCTGATAAATGTCGCAACTCCGTGCTTTTGAAAGTAAGTTTTAAAAGTTTTATGTAATTCGAATCATTTAAATTTGTGAATCGAAAACTTTGAAAGTCGGATTCAAAGAAATTAGGGCTTATTCGAATAAACAATCTACAATAACGAAATACAGAAACAGAAAATCTATGGAGTAGGTATATCAAGGGGAAACCTATATATCCACAAAGTAATATCTGCAAATTCTGGCCCAATTTCCAAAACTAACACAAAATATTAAATTGTCTGATCATTTCAAAAAAAAGCTGGGATCAAATCCATAAATATAGGCTACTGTTAAAGAGACGGTATCACTTATAATGGAAAAGCAGAGACAACAAGAGCAAGAAATAAGGACAAAACAAGTAATATAAAATTTTTTAAATCATCGATCTATAAGAGGCATAGAGTAATAGACGAATAAAAGTGCTTCATCAATCGTCATCAAATAATCGAATACTGATATGAAATTCTCAATCAACATGGTTTTGACAATTCTTCTTGTTCTTTTTTTCTTATATTAAGCAAGTGGATGTGAAAGTTTTCTACTTTGAAAGATATCAAATTATTTGCAAATAAAATAATCATTAGTTTCGAAAATTATAAATTAAATAAAATCACCTTATAAGTTTCTATCCATTAGATTCATTTCAATAATGACTTATTAATAATTAATAATGCCTTTTTTAATGATTTGGAATAAGTAAATATAAATTGCATATTTCAATAAGTCAATCTAAAAAAGATAAATCACAAATATTTATATTAGCTAAAGGAAAATCTGCCTATTATTAGTCATTTTTCTCTTGTTGTTCCTGCAAATTAACATTTTGAAATTGATTGGTTATATCTTTGAATACTTCTTATTCTTGAGGCTCTTATTATTATTCTTATTCTTATTATTCTTACTATGAATTATCACCTTCAGATTCTGGATTTTCATCATTATCTAGATATTAGATATTTTAGGGATCCTCAATCACTTTCTCTAAAAATGTGTTTTAATTATCAAATTCATTTGGAATACAAGATTAGGTTTTATGAATTTTAACTAATACAACAAATTTATTTAAATCAGTAGGATAATCATGTTCTGCTTCTAATTTGTCTGATTGATCAAAAATATAACATTTTTGGCTATCCTTATATGTCAGTAAATCTTTGAGTTCTTCAGTAGTAAATTAGTTTTATAATGATTTTTCGTCAACGATGTTTTAGGATAAATTTTCTTTAGTTAATTGTCTTTGCATAATTTTTTCTTCATAGGTTCCACATGTTATTAATCGATAAATATGAACTTATTTTTATTAACCATCTCTCCAGATTCTACCCATAACTTAAGAATCATTTGCAGGATTCCAATCAACTTCAACACATATCATTTTATTTGCTCCCACTAAATTTAATCCAGTGCCTCCTGATTTTCCATTCAATAAAAATACAGTAATATCTTTATCCTTATTAAATTCGTCAACCAAAGTAAGTCTTTGTTTTTACACTACTTTTCCATCTAATCGCAAGAATTTCAAATTCCATTAAATGAGATTGTGTTCAATCTAATCCAAAGTTTATCGATAATAACTATTGATTACTACTTTTTCATTTTGTTCTTTACATTGATCAACTAGTATTTTTAAACAATTGAACTTAACAGATTAATAATCTTGAACTACCAATTTTTCTGCAGCTTGACTTTCATCATCTTCAATAAGTTTAGGATGGGTAGTGACTTTTCTCAATAAATTTAATTACATCATAACAGAATTTGGACACAATTGCAAACTTCTCTTATATAACACTTATTATTATGGAGTCATTGTGCAAAATATCAAATATTCAAACTTGCTAGGTAAAAACTAGTATTAAACTAAAAGATCTTACTTTGCTCAAAATTTCAGGTTTCCTTCTCAAAATAAATTAACTTGTTAATGAACTTAATTCTTAAGATCTTAATTTGCCCAATTCAACGGTTTCAGCACTTGATCCCTTTTCCATAGACATTTCTATTGGATCTTAGAAGACCAACTTAAAAGTCTTATAAGACGAGAATATTCCGGGGTTGACGAAATCACAACATGCATAAAACTCCTTCATGTTGTTTTAGATTGGAGTTCCGCTTAGGACTATTCTTCTTTTACACTTCAATTAATTCATGGCTTGAACTGTTTTAATATTACTATTTTTCAATCGATGCCCTTCATCACAAATTAGTAAATCAATAACCTTATCAATTTCATTACAAATATTTCTGAAGGTTTCATATGAAGTCAATAATAGATTATATGGAGAATATAAAAAATATTTGACTTACTTATTTACTTCATCTTTAGTGCCAATGGCAGATAATGGTTGCAATCTCATTGGACCCAGCCATTTTTTTATCTCCTTCTCCCAATTACCAATCAATGAAACTGGACAAGTGATAACTATTTTGGATATCTCATGTGATTATATCAAAATCCACATTAATGTAATTGCTTACAATGTTTTTCCCAACCCCATACTATCTGCTAAAATGCATCCTCTTATGGATTTCCCTTTTTTGCCTGTTACACACTCCAACATGAATCTAACACCCTCAATTTGATGTGCTCTCAATTATTTATAGAGAAATTAATCAACATCAAAACCTTCCAAAATAGTAAATTTAGGCTCAACATCTGGCTATTACTTAGATTTGAAGGGTTTCTTGGGTTTAACTATAACCTTCTATTCTGGTTCTGGTTAAGCCATGAAAATTTTGCCAGATTTGAATTCATCGATAGGTATTTGATTCATGAGTTCAACTATTATTTTGGTTATATATTTAGTATACCATAGAATTATCCCATATAATATTGTGAAATATTGTCATAAATTTGATCACTGCCTGCAAACAATTATTTAGATTCCATATCAAATAATTTCATTCTTTAATTCTCAATTACCAAAACTCCATCAAACATTTACTTCTTCTTCTTTCGGATGTCTCTTGAATATACAACCTAATAGGCAGTGGAAGGTCTCTGTTCTTCAACTACAGGTTTCTCAATTGAAGTGACTTGCTTTTTGGGTTATTTGAATGGCGGCATGAAAAAATTTAAAATTATAATAATAGCTTCAATCACTTCAAGCTGGTTTTTTTCTTTCCAATTTCTATTTATCTCTCTCCATCTCTAATTGCGAACTTATTCTTATTGCTCTCAATCCCTGGAAATAGTAATGTCCCAATATGCAGAGTAATGCACTCAGAGCACTTACGATCCCGAATACCATTGCAAATATATCAACTGGAAGGTAAGAATCCACCTAATCGGAATCTGTCAAAATCTGGCTTTTCTTTGGTGATGCCGTGAAGATTATGATCAATATTATTGGAATTAACATCGTTAACAGGCAAACTAATCTTTTAATTGCCTTATTGATTACTCTGGAGATCGTGTAGACCTTCCGAAAAAGAAAGTGATGAGTAGGGCCAATACAAACCCAGCTAATATTGCTATAGTACCATAACCCAAACCTAAGGCTGTAGCCATCTAATTTATTATTAATTAAAATTCATTCACACCTTATTTATTATTGCTTATTAACACTATGCAAATAATTATAATTATATTTCTCTTTTTATTTTACCAATTAAACCTATGCAATTCAATCGACGCTCCAAAGACGATTACCTTAATGTCTATGCCAACAAACTCCTAGCAAAGGCATCCAATATTCATATGAAACCCAGCGAATTTTAGGCTCCAGCCAGGAGAAAGAGCTTGATTGATTCTTATGTACATTCCTTAAATAATGAAACAGATCAAGGGACTGATAGAATTAAAAAATCAATCATCGAAAAAAATAGATCATGCAGCAATTTGCAAGATTATTAAGATGAATACAATGGATCACCTCAATAATTACAATCTTCATAATAATTCACCATAATGAATCAGAACTCCAAACTTATGATGCATAAGATTGAAAAGAAGTTAAAAAACTTTAAGTTTGCCAAAGAAAATAATCACAACTCTTGTACCTCTACAGTGGCCAAAATGAAATGTTTCTGCTTAGATAACCAATGCTTTGATTTCTATCGTTGTACCGATCTCCTACTACTTAAATACTTAATTTATGTACTGCTTCAAGAAATCAATTCAAAAAATGAAAACTCTTCTTCTTTCTAAGATTAAATTTTACCATCTCAAAAAAATGAAATCAAAGATACAATTGCAGCCATGCAAAATACTGTTGATGTCCTAAAGAACCAAAAACTTTTTGATAAGAATAACGGCAACCCTATTGAAGATCTAAGTAGGCAAATTAAAAAGATCCAAAATTCAATAGGGTCACAACAAATATCATCCTCTAATTATGATGTGTTCACCACTCCTTAATCGAGTATTAAATAAAGGGAATTTGTCTTTTAATCATCAAGTGCCACATAAAAAAGAGAATAATAATATTAGAATTCACCATCTATTAGTTCCTAAAAAATTATCCAATTTTAAATCGATGAATTGCAAATGAAAAATGAGGCCATTACCAAATTAACCTCTAAAAATAATGATCTAGAACTAGAACTTAAAATGGTTAATAATTAACTGACTGAAGCCTTAATGAATCTATCAATCTCACAAAAGTAGTTATCAAATAAAGATTAAGAAGTAATTATATATTTTAATTAATGTAGCTCAAAGGTCTAATAAGGAAAACTGAAAAGTTGTTAGAAACAACCAGTATAGCCGTTAAAGAGAAAGATCAACTCTAAGATTATTATAAATCTGTCAGGAATGATCATGAACAACTAAAAACCAAGTTTGATGATTTGTAAATAATTGGATTTAATCTAGATAAAAGTCCAATTAAAGTGTTTTAAATGAATGCACAATTTTGAAAAAATCACTAAATGACTCAGTTGAATCATCCCAATAGAAAATAAAAAACGAGGAATAAAAATTATAACAGGATTTGATTCAAAAAAACAAACAAATAGTAATTATTTATTTAATAAAGATAGAGATAATTGTCTGAAGATGGCAAAATATTGGGTCAATACTTGAAAGATATTTCGTCTAAAATTTAGTAGGTTCCTTCTGATTAAATCCCATAAAATCTCTAAATTTTGTAGAGGGAATTATAATAAAAGGAAAGTTTTATCAATTCCAAATTAAACAATATGCATCTTGCCTAAATTGATCTCGCAAAATCAAACAATGCTAATAATAAGGATAAAAAATCCAGAAAATTCATGAGTTCCCACAATTAACTAATAGATTAATTATAGTCATTTTAAGTAAATTCTGATATGATAGCAATGATGATAGTGTAAAGTGAGGTTATTGAGAAGTTTATAAATTGAATATTTTATACAGATCTTATCTAATGTATATTTAGTCAAATCTATTTCTTAGTTGTGAGAATATTAGAAAATCTTAAAAAAAGAGCGTTTTACTCTTATTATATAATAGTAATTCAATATATATATCGAATTTACAAAATTAATATTTTTTTTTAATTAAATTTTTATGAATGTTATAGACAATATTAATATGAAGTTGAAATTTTACTCATCAATAATTCATTCAAATGCATCATATGTACAATATTTCATTAAATATCCTTTGGGGACGACAAATTTATTTATTTAATCTTGGTATTGTATATAAAAAATACCCAAAGCTGATAATGTTGTTATGTCTAATATATAAATAATGCATTTATAATCAGGAAAGGTATTAATTTACCTTGTTTTTCTCCTACTATACGATTATAATAGAGTACATTCTAAGGTGTTGTAATTATTACTTAAACTTTGCCTAAACTTACCTATTCTGCAACAAAACAATTTTAAATTGAAATTTTAAAATTTATTTCTAGAAACTAAAGAATTGAGAATTTCAATTCTAAGCATTCCAAATTGTCTTAATTCAATTCTTTTCATTATCATTATTGAAGTTTAATGATTATTTTGAAAAATCTCATTTTTGTGTTACATTTGTTGTTGCAATTAATTAGAGTTAAAGACTTTAGAAAATGAATGCCAGGATCAATTCTAAGAATTTAATTGTATCTCTTAAATAATAAGAATATATATATTCTTGTACCTAAGTTTCTGTTAGATTCAATTCATTTCATAAACTTACCAATAAAGCGTTCAATTTGGAGAAAGTATATGAAATATAATTGAAATTTTCATATTCATGTACATCAATATTTCACATTGACAAGTCTTTCTTATAAAGCTACATCAATTCATCTATAAATATATTATTTGATGAAAAGTATAAATCAAATAGTTATCACTAACTTTCAGTTGGACAGTTATTATTGATAGAAATCTTAAATCATATACTTATCTACTATTTCATGCAATATTATCATGGTAGCAGAAAGGAATTATGGATACCATTTTGTAAAATATAATTTTTAGAAGTTCATATACACTAATAAATCACATGAATTTCTTTAAGTAACATTGCCTACAACAATACAGTTGTTGTTATCCTTTTTTTGTTCCGCATTCTCCTTTTGTTTCATTAGATTTGAAGAGTAGGCCCTTTTGAACATAGAAATTAGTAAAGCACCCATTATACGAGCACTGAAAATGGGGTGTTTTAATATCATTCTTTGATGGAGCATGGTGAATTTTTGTGAGAGTCGCCAATAAGGTTACTGATTATTGCATTAAATATATTTTTTTTATTGAATTGGTTTAGTTGTGAATAACAATTTACATGCTGTCTTTGATGAAATACAGATTTTACTGTTGTAAGTTACTGAGCCAGCTTAGACACCTATATTAAAACCAAAATCATAAGAATATTATATCTAGGACATCCTTACTTTAAAATATAATCTTTTATTTTTAAGGTAGAAAATGAAATTCTATATCGAAAAAAATAATAAAGAACAAAATAAAATAGGGTAGTGCATTGATGTATTAAACTTTACTCAGCTATTGGAGTGTTTTTCAACTCTATAACTATGAATAATGCGATTTTGATAAAATATTTTGAGAAAATTTTAGTAGCAATTAATAATATTAATTAGATCATAATTTAGAGATTTATAAGAAATTTAATGATAATAAAGAAATTGTAATTTTTATTTTATAAAATGAATTAACATGATAATCAAATCTTTAATTCCAAAAATAAGGATTCAATGTATGGTAACGAATTTTGAAATATAATATATTAATTCAATATAATTAAAATATTTTTTTAATTTTTAGTCGTTATTTAGTATTAAGTAAAAATAATATAATATAAAAAATATATTTATTTAGCTATTCAATTAGAGTTAAAAAATAATTGGTGTTTCATCCCTTAGATGAAAAGGCAGATCAACGCAAAATTAACTTGTTATAAATGTCCATTAAATTTCCATGGTGATATTATATGTAAAAGGATATTTGTTGATGAATTTATATCAATTATGTAGTAATTTATTTAAAGATAATTTAATAAATTTTCATTTATTTTTAGATGAAGAACTTGATTATTAGATAATTGAAGTTATCATATTTATATAATCATCTAAATCATATACTTTTATGAAGGTCCTAACAACTTAATATAAAAGTGGATATTAGTTATTAATAATACAAGTGAAATTCAGATAAAAATTATTGATTTGCATTAATAACAATTTGAAGAAGTAGCTTTTAACTTCTGTTTATATTAAAATTAAAGGATTAAATATTTTCTTAAACCGATAAAGATGCTTGAAATATTGTTGTAATAATGTTAAAAAAATGACAATAAAATAATCTTTACATTTTACTCTAATATAATTCTTTTTAGTTTCAAAGTCAAATTATTATACAGTGAAAAATCATAATTTTTACAGAGATTCAATAAATCTAATATATTTATTTTAAATATTGATAAATTACTTTCATTGCTATTTTAGATATTTGATATAGGGTTGTGGCTTGCTTCCAATCTTTTGGATCTGAATAAACTTGTTTCGGTCATAATAAATAAAATTTATACATACTAGGGTCTTTATGATTAACTCTGTAATTAAAAGTGTAAAACCTTATTTAAATTCCATTGAAAATGTTTTATATTTAGAGGGTATTCATTCGTTACATTCTAAAAAGATGACTAAGATTGAATTAATGATTGATAAAAAATGAGAGAATAGATTATAAGAATGATAGAGTTTAATTTTAATTTATTCAAATACATTTCTTAGTTCTAGGATAGTAGTTGAAATCTAATATTTGCCCAAATTTAATTTTGCAATAATAAATACAAAGGTGATATCAATATTATAAATTTCATACCATGCATTTTTCATCTAAAGTTGTTAATTTAATATTGACTATTTTTATAATATATGGTATTACTATAGTTCAATTAAATCAATACTTGTTTCTAGAAATAATTAATACCAGTTTTCAGCTAAAGGAAAATAAATCAATATATAATTTTATATCAACAGCATGTCAGCATCCCATTTTATGTATTATTAAACCAATATTTTACAGATGAGAATGGGTTCTCATATTTGGAATATGCAAACCAAGGTTTTCTTTAAATATAAAACTTCTATGATAAAATAACCCTAATGTTTATCTTTAAAATAAATAACAATATTTTAATATTAATTTATATGTATTTTTTTGATACATCCAAATGAAGCCCTAGATCAAAATGGTTTTATAAATTTTCGGTTTGTAGGATAATGATGCATTTTTAATAGTAAACTAATTCTAAAAAATTGTTATCATATTCTAATTGTTAGATGAAATTAAATTCTAATAAAAATATCCAATAACTTACTTGTTTGAGTGTCTAAAAATTATTGCGAATGTTTATTTCATTTGATAACAGTTATGTAATTTTATCAACATGAGAAGTATAGGTTAAATACCATGACATTTAATTTTACTGAATATATTATTTATTGATATTCCTTGCATTTGGATTAATGAAGTACTTTGTGAATACAATTAGACATTTATATTTGACTGAATTCTTAGCTTAATACTTATAGAAGAGCAGTACTTTAATATTTTTAATAAAAATAAATAATTAATCTACATGGGATGTTCTTAAAGCTTAACAGCAGATGATGATCAATCTGTGATCCTTATTAAACCAAAAACCTTGAAATTCAAGTCTCACAATTCCAATATGGAATCTATTTTAAAGAAACAATATACGGATGGAAGTGGGTAGGCTTTTTACATTGTCCCAACTGAAAGAGCTTCTTTCTCCAAAGTTCCAGTTTTGAAAGGGCCTGATACCAATTAGCTAGTTTAGAGAAGACGATAATCGAAATTATCAAGTAGTCCTTCAAATATAGAGAAAGCCCAGACTTTGCCAATATATTTCTGAGAATAATTGATAATAAATGAATATATGTTGTCTATAATTAAATACAATTGCAAAATAAATAATTTACAATTCATAAAGGAGAATCCCAAGGACCAAAAGAATTAGTTTTATTCAACACATGAATGGGTGATTTAAAATTTAATCTAATTTTCTGAGTTAGAGCATCTGGCTAAATTTTCGGCATATCAGTCACGAATCGTTTATGAGTGCTCGGTTGAATCTAAACATTTTTTGAGACTCTAGTTTATAATTCCTTCTTTTTCGGTTTAATTACGTCATGTACTGAAATTAATCTTAAAATTGTTCTTTGTTCATCTAAAGGAGAGTTCCATGGTTTCGGAGTTAAAGTGTTTTGAGATTTATAATATAACCTCAATCTTTAATAAAACGTCATTTGATGCAATGCTTTTTAAGGGGGCGATTAACTTACTGGTGAACCGACGTATAGTTTTGGTTCTACTGGAGGAATGGGAGATTATCGCTATCTTGTTAAGGACTTACTTATCCTCAATTTGTTAGTATTCATAAATTATTATAAATTAAAATGCTTAGATAATTGTGTTTGAGATTTAGGTTTTGCTAAGTCATCAACAAGGAGAGTGTTTAAATATACAATACAATCTCGTAAAAAATAGAATAGCAACCCTTCAAGGCATCAATAGTCGACATTTGGAAATTGTCATCCATCAACCTAATGGATAATCAGCTTTGGGAAAAGACGGAAGTACAATTTTCAAAGTGGTTGAACCATATTGATAATGAAGATTTAACAAAAATGGGATTTCTCATATCTAAGCATCATCAATTGTTATCTTTAAGAGCAAAATTGCAATATGAAAACAGAATTAGAAAATTATCAAAAACTTTGACTGAAAAACAAATATCCTCGCTTATAGAAAAGATATTCCACATATGCACAGAAAATACTAAGACTTTGTTGATTCAATTGTTCTTAAATTAGTAAAATTTGGATAATCTAAATCAGATGAAGTCTCTATTAATTATTTTAGAAAATAGCAAGATCATGCTTCAACCTATATTGGAGAGGTTGAAATCCCTTTCATCCATTACAGAGTTCAACAATTACGATGAAATCATTGTTTATCTGCAATTATTTTATAGCAATCTGATTCATAATTGGATTTAATAAATCTCTCATAGATAGGAAACCAAAACCAAATTGAATGAGATTATTTATGGTAACAAAAGCAATGCATCATCATCCAAAATTGATCCCTAATTAAATTACCTAAACTTAGATGACATTTACAAAGAAATCAACAGGTAATCAACTGAGGAATCTTTGGAATTTAAACGATTTTTAGCATTTATTTAATTCATCAGAGCCTGCAAATATAAGAATGTTTCAGTCAAGAATAAGCTTGATATTTCCCAGTTATATTAAAAAATTATCCTTAAACTTACACCTCTTGAAATTATTTAAGTAAACAATGATCTTGTAATATTTTAGATGATTAGCGAATTGGATCAACTTATACCTATTGATATTTAGATTAATTGCTTAAAATAATATGTCAAAAGCAATGAACTACAAATGAATAATAATTATTATATAATGTTTTAAACTGCTAATCTTAAATATTTATAAAGTTACCATTCATTTTAACTTTAGGTCAAGAACTAAGCGAACTTTTTATTTCCAATATAAAATACACTATTGAAAGTTTCAACATTAATAATCTGTCAGAACTATACTCCTTGTTATTGAAAACTGAGAGTACTTTCAAAGATTTGCAGCCAATGGTTTTAGAAATGAGACAAAAAACGAAAGATATTACCATTAAAACAATTTAGATTAATAATAGTATTAAAATTAATTGCGCTTTATAAATCACAAAATTATATAATCTGTCGAATGAAGCTTTATAAGTAAAATAATATTATATAATTAGATTCTTTGGGAGAAAGTTATAATTGAAGATCTTCCATAGGTTTAGTAGATTTTGGTGGTGTTGAGATCGTATGTCAGTCATAATAAGATGTCAGAGGATTAATTGAATCTTATTTAAAGGATCTTGAGGAATAAGTTCTAGATAACATAAAAATGAATAAGAATTATCATATCAAAATATTATACAACAGTTTGATTCATTTACAGTGAGTGGGGAGGTTTGTTGACAGTTTTTTCCTTTTAAATTTAGAAAGGGTTTCTTATGTAAGGTAGAGTTACTTTCATTAATGTCTTAATCAGATTCAGAAGACTCACTCTAGATTCGAATATTGCTGGAAGTGACAACATTGGGAGATTGTTCATTCGAGGTCGGTAGGAAGGAAATCTTGTGATTCCCTCCTTTAATAATTTGATTGCCAGCTGCATCTGTCCTGTTGTGAGTGGTTAAATAGGTGTTTTTGTTATGTTTTAAGATTGGCTTGAGTTTGTTTTAAACTTTCGTGGATTCGTGTAGTTCCATGAGTTCTGTTTATGACATTATTAATTAAATTATGTTCGCATAAATTTTAGCATGGCTCTGCTAATTCATTGATAAGACTTTTACGCTTATACGTAAAAGGTTGAGACCGAAAACGAGGTTGGAACTCAGACGTTATCACTAAATTCCGAGATCAAATTCTTTTTACACAGGGAAATTGAGATTATTGATAGGGTTGGAAGGGACTCTCGTTTGTACTAGCTATACCGCAATTCCAGGATGGGATAAAATCAATATCAAGTAACATTCTCACGATATATCTCTATAGGTATCTTTCAGGACTCACCCAGGATTTTTACATTAAACATAGACCGTATCTGGATCAATTTTTATTGAGTGTGTCCTAGATTTATGATGTGAGCATCTATACGACTCAAATCTAAGACTTTGCTGTTCCAATAATAGATCGATTTTGCATCAAATTAAAGCATAATTTTTACAGATAAAAGTAAATTTTATTTTTCACATAGTCATGTGTATTATCTCGCAATAAAATCACAAAGGAAATTAATATGACAACCTCTAATCCTCACAATGTGATATTCGTGGATTCTGATGAGGATTAATGTCTAGGTATAAATTTTAGAAATTCATTCAAGCCAATTCTGAGAATGCCTATCCAATAGCATTATACACTGGTTAAGACAATGATACAGAATTGCTGAAATTGAAGGATTTCTTAATACAAGCAGAAGCATAGATGAAAGTTCGCAAAGAGCAGGACCCTGGAGTTACGATTTAGGACATACTTTAGGAAATGACAGCTGAAGACTGAAGGGGATGAAATATATAATATGAATAAAAAAACACAATATAATTAAGTTCCTATAGGTTTGATAGCCAATATTGAAGATTTCTACATTATAAAGAAATCGAATTCTTTGAATCTAAATTACGGAATAATGAAACTGGGGTTTTATTACACTCTTAAATACAAACTTATGAATTGATTTTAGAATAATGAATGCCTATTCTAAAATATTCTTAATAAATTATTTATATAAAGACATTTCTGCTTTAGTGGATGTGATTAAGTCTAAATAAATAATATATTTAATATTAATTTTTAATGAAAAGGTTATCTTCTCAAAATAAAACTACTCGTTCCTCTTAGGTAATTTCGAATGGGATTTACTTTGGGTAATTTTAAAATCCGTAACCTCTTCTTACTGCCATTTCAAATACTTAATAAAAACCAAGTTAAGATTTAAGAAGGAGAAATTTCATACCAAAAAAGAGATTATAATCACCAAAAATTTTATCCCCAAGATAATAAAACACGAAGCCTTTAAAAAGTTTTTTCCAAACCAAACCCTCCCCCAAAGCATCCTACAAACCACCAACAATAATCGTAACACAACCAACTAATAGATCAACAGTAATTCGAATCAGAAGTCCCATCAAGAGAAATTAATAACCATTAATCAGTTAAGAAATGGATAATAAATCAATCGAGTTGCTACAAGAATTGGCTAATAGTTAATTAAATAGAACATCAAGGAAAAAAAGAAGACCATAAACTGCAGGTGGATATACAATACCTTCACAGCATTTCTCAAATAACATACAAAACTACCTTATACAAGAACAGATTGGATAAGGCAGTTACGGGATTGTTAAGATGGGCTTAAATTTATTAAATGGGTAGCAAGTAGCAATAAAGATTTACGAAAGGATAAAAATTATTTCAAAAAAAGAATACATAAGGAAGGAAATTTAAATTCTGTAATCATTGTAACATCCCAATATTGTTCAATTGCTTGACGTAATTTACACTGATGTATATCTTTTAATATTCAGACCCAAGTGCAATTAGTTATGGAATATGTTGGTCCATTGTCATTAAGAGCATATCTTAAATAACAACCAAATAAGTTGATCCCAGAAACCGAGGCCAAGAATATCTTTCTCTAAGTTGTTAAAGCTATTGACTATTGCCATTCCAAAAACATCGTACATATTATATATCCAAGGTTAGATACATCGGGATATCAAATTGGAAAATATTTTGATTAAAGACAACAAAATTAAACTGATTGACTTTGGTTTCAGCTCGTTCATCGAACATAAAACTACTTCATTTTGTGGAACTCCTTCGTAATCACTTTCATAAAATTACTAGATACATGGCCCCAGAGATTATATTAAAAATTGATTATGGAAAACCTGCTGATATCTGGTCATTAGGAATCTTACTATATGTGATGTTACATGGGAAGTTTCCTTTTCAAGGGAAAGAACAAAAAGAGCTGTTCTCAAAAATCAAAACAGGCATCTTCTCATCCAATGGAATATCTTAATAGGCCTAGAGACTAATTAATAATATGTTGAGAGTTAGGTCGTATGAGAGATGCAATACAAAGGAAGTACTGATATCATCTGTAACATTAGATAATAAAAGATTAATGGTTTCAATAATGATTTTATACATATTCGATTTGTAATCTGATATTATATATTCGATTGATAATAAATATTAACATCTGACTCTATCTCTACATAGTGTATCCATATTATTACGGTTGTGTTTAAAATATTTTGTATTTTTTCAAGATATAAAAATAAGTTACATGGTCAAATACGTATTATTTTGTGTTAAAACCATCTCTTTTATTAATATACTATCTTTTCTCATTAAGTTCATTATTTACAAGATAAGGTTGATAAGTTATATCTCTAATTGAAGTTTGTAAATTCGAAATTTGCAATTATCCTCTAATACATACAAAATTATAGTTTCTTTCTTTGTATTATTTTGGTGTCAATTTCAAATATTTGCAACCTAGTTTGATTCACAAAATGTAGAAAAGTTGAACAAGAATGTGTAATTTTAACAATATCTTGAATTAGCTAGTTTTATGATAAATATTTTTCCACTTAAATTTGTTTTGGTTATTGTTAAATTTAGTCGGCAAAGTAATTAAGATAGAGAATTCTATTATTATAATAATAAAAATGGTATAATTATCTAATGATTTATATTTTTATTGGAATAAATTATTTTCTAAATATTTTAATAATTATACGTCATTCCTTGGTTTATAAGCACAGTGAATAATAAAGAATCTAATAAAATATAATATTTATGTAAATATTTGAGACCATTGTCAAGTACTGCGAGAAAAAAGATATCAAACTAATTGAGTCTGGATGGTTGTTGTACTGTCACGTTTTAGGTGTAATCGGTATAATTTGGAGCTTCTTTTTGGAGTCAGAATTGTTTTATAAATACTACCTTGTAACTAATTTTCATTAAATTTAGGCATTCTTAATCTGGCATTGCCTTACAGGATTAGGAATCACAGGTGGAGCTCACAGATTATGGGCACATAAATCATATAAAGCATCATGGCCAATTAGAGTTTTCTTGATGTTTATGAATTCGAATTGTTTCTAAGGAAGTATTTGGCATTGGAGTAGAGATCACAGACTTCACCACAAGTTTAGTGTATGAACTTAATTTAATTAAAGGATACCCCATTGGATCCACACAATTCATAATCAGGCATATTTTTCTCTCATTGCGGATGGTTATTGAAGAATAAGAGCAAGGAATTGGTTGATGAGGGAATGAAGCTTGATTTATCTGATTTGAAAGCTGATTCCGTTGTAATGTTCTAAAAGAGACATTATTATAAAATGGCTTTCCTTTGGGCATTTATCATTCCAACCTTGACTGGTTTGATAATAAGTGACAAGTGGTTCTTCAGTCTTTTGTTCTTAGGCTTCGGAAAATACATCTTCACATTGAATGCAACATGGTATTCCATAATTTAATAATTTAGGTGCGTTAATTCAATCTGTCATTTTTATGGAAGTAGAAAGTGGAATCCAAGAATTGAACCAAGAGATAACATCTTTGTCTCTTTGATTACCTTGGGTGAAGGATGGCATAACTGGCATCACGAATATCCAAGAGATTGGAGAGCCTCTAAAAATGAGTGGTGGATGATTAACCCAACATGCTCATTTATTTAGATGTGTGAATATATTGGATTAGTAAATACCAAAAGAGCAAAATTGGAAGAAAAGGTGAAATATGATTATTGATTTTATTATTCATTTGAAACACAAATAAATTCTTAATCCTTACATTTCCCATCACTTGGAGATCACTTTGGTTATAAATATATTTATTAATTAATTAAAAACTAATTTATATTCTGGGTTATCTAACTTTCATTCTTTTTATGGATCTATTATTATCCATAATTTGAAATGCCAAATTTAATATAATTAAAATTAAAAAGTGATTAATAACAATAAGCTCTACAAAAATATAAAGAAATTTCATAATTTTATAACAATTTTTTATAACAATTTATTCATGCTTCCTAATTAACTCTTAAACAATAATTGATGAAAAATCTTTTAGATTTGTCTGACAATGTTGACCAATTTTGATATATAGATTAACATCCCCACACTTCTTGGATGGTCTAGATATATAATTATTTATACTCCAGAAAACTCTAAAAACTGTTTTACAATGACCGATTTCTTAGAAACACTATTTGATTTTACAACAAAGTTTGTTGGTTAATTCAAATTTACTTGTCCTTCCAAAGCCTTGGATATCTTTTTTGATATGCTGTAATTCTCATCTGTTTACTGTTTTATTTATATATATTGAATACTAATGAAAATCTTAAATCTATATCTTCTAAAGGTGATAGAACCTAATGACCAAAACATTTTTTCAATAATTCCGATGTCAACTCATTGTAATCTCCCTTCTACACTTAATAGTGTTTCCAAATATAATTTTTCATGTCCTTTAATTTTATCTAATTCTTAATTAGTTGTTTAATAAGCATCCTAATAACGATTAATTCAGATTCATTAAATCTAATATTATTAGAAATCTGTGGTAAAATTGAAATTCTTGAACTAATCTATTAATTTAAACTCTGTATCAGCTTATCACATCCTCTATCATGAAAACTATAAGAAGCCTAAATTTCAAATAGAATTTAAAATACCCCAAAAACAGAGAAAAAGTTATTCATAACAGATTATACTTATTTTTAAGGACCATTAATTTCTTCTTCAACTCTCCTCTGATATTCTTTCAATACGCACTTTTCTAATTCACCTGCAACCAATATCAACGCTTCTTCATTTTTTATCTAACATAATTCATTAATCTTTACTGTAAAGTAATATTATCTAGATATTCCAGGACCAGACACTTTCCAAGCCAACCAATTTTCTGTAGCAGGAACTCTACCCAAACATTTAACAAACTAATCTGTTAAAATATTTTTATACAATTATCATTAAGCAGTCATATAGAGATCTAAATATATATCTTAAGTGTCCAAATAAAACCATAAATATGCTGCTTATAGGTAGAATGATAAAACAAATAAGTAAATTCCATATCAAATTTAGGACTCCTTTAACAATAAAATCAAAAGTATTCAAAAATAAAGGGAACCAAATTGGTGTTGATAAAAGATTCCAATCTTATCTCTCTGAACAATCAAAATCAAAAATCAATAGTTAAAATAGATAACTAATTTAATTAATAATATGATACGAACCTTATTATTAATACAAATGGTATCCAAGCCCAAGCTGTTAAGGCTAAAACTAATGAGATGACGAAATTAGCAATGATCAATGCAGGGATAACTATTAAAACTCCAACAATTCCAACTATTAAAAAACGGAAAAAGTAAACTTCAACGTAATTACAAATACGAGCACAGTTCTTACCAAAGAAACCTGTATCAGGTGAGCCTTCAAATTCTCTTCTTGATCGACTCATGCCTTTACACACATTACCCATATGAACCACTACTGGAGTGACCGAATAATTTGATCTGCTCACTACCCCAGTTCTCTCATTTATTTACACATCTGGATAGAAAACACTGAATGATATAATATTATACTTGCATTAAACTAACGCTCTAATTCCCAAAGGTCCAGAGATGCCATTTGCGAATAACCAAAAGGTAACATTGGCTGTCCAAGCAAAGTATCTCACTATCATCAGATAGAACTTCCACAAGGGAAAACTTGAATCAACAAAGTAAGTCCTCGTTCGTTCTAAGCTATAGTAATCTCCAGTTTTAATAATATTATAAGGAGGGAAACATCTACGAGTTCTAATTAAAGTATTTTGATATAATTACACGTCGATACTAATATTAATTCTTTTGGATTCCTTTTCAATCTTTTCAATTGATAATTGCAATTCCTATTTTAGTTGAGCCTTCTATTGGAGGTAGTTCAAATATAATTCTACTTCTTTAATGTTTTATTTTTTTAAATCCTCAATCAATAGGATTCTATATTTCTCTTTAAGTTATGTCTTCATCTACTTTCTATATTGAGCCCTTTACTCAGCAAGAAAATGATAAGACTTTATACGTATAGGATGGTCTTGTATTAATTTCTTTTCAAATTCATCCATCTATTGTTGTAATTCATTCTAACCATAAATAAATGAGCTTACGTCTAATAATTGTTGGTAATACCTTAAGGCTCGACCACATTCATTCAACTCATTAATGTTACTAACTAAAGGCAATTCATTTCCCAACTTACTTTGCCAAAACTTGAGTTGAGCAAGACTGGTTGCATTATTTATTTATTCGTTAACATCCTATTATATATCTACTTAAATTTCGTATTCTTTTAGATAATCCCTTTCTAATAGCTTAATTTATTCGTTAATATTTTCTAAGTATTCCTTCTACTCCTCATGGTCATCGAATTTTTGATTATGCCCAAATTACTCAACTAAATAGTCGAATTAATTTTGAATTGATAATTTCAAACCTTGTTGATGGTCTCTGAATTCAGTTTAAATGAGCATTAATTTGGTCAACTAATTGTCTGCCGCAGCTTTGGATTGTTCATTGTTCTCAAAATACAAATATTCATATATTTATCTTTTGTAATAATCCGATTATTTCAATTCAATCTATCTTTTAGCTTCAATTTAGTTTTTTAATTAAGGAATATCAATATCTATATAGGTTTCTCGAAATCCAATTAGTAAACTTAGATATAATGTTAATTTCTATTTTAAATGCATATCTTACAGAGAAGATATTGTAAATAGAACAACGAATAGTACATTCCCTACCCTTGCTATCTCTCTCATTGTAGATTGAGTTTTTCTCAAATTTGTAAATGTGATATGCCATCCCAATGTCTGAAAAATAACTTTTCGTAATATTTTATCGTCCTATATTTAAAAGATTCAAATTACCTTTGACTATGAATGAGGATATTTGCCAAACATACGGGATTTGAAATTGCATCGATTGTATTTCAAATGTACCAGACTGGAAAATTTAGGAAATTTATGTATTGCTCAGATCCTACACTTAATGGTATTCGTTCTAATCATAAATTCTTGATCAACCTATAATAAGTCAGGTCTATGAGGAAATATTTGGCAGTTCCCGATAAACGAGGACGGAGGAAGCTAAAATGGATAGAAGTAATCAATCTATTGATGATCGACATCCCAAATTTTGAGATACTACGACAACGCTATTGCACTTTAATATGTGGAGTCTTGAACATCTTGAGGCAATTACTTTACTTTTGAATCAATCTAAAGTTAATTAGACATTACATTTAAATTGGTTTTTAAACCTTGAAAATTACATTAAATTTAATTCGGCAATTTGTAGAAATCCTAGTTCTAATCCAAAGAATATGACAGATTGAAATTCAACTCAAATTAATCTTGTTGATTTTACATAATGAATTTTTTTGATAATAAAATTAATTTAAATTTATTTTTGAAGAATAATACTCATTAGCACTATATGCAATATAGATAATTACTATTTGATTATGACACCCAAACAGTGGATTTACTATCCATTTTCTAATTTCACTCTCTATTAGCATAATCAATGCAACATGTGAACCACATTTTCAAGATATTATATAACGTAATCTGTACACATAAAGATCTCAAACTGTAGGCCGAAACAAATACCAGATGAAAATAGCCAGATATTTGTTTATTTTATATTCCTAAGTTTAGATCCAATCAATCTTTATGTGTACTTCATTTCTGCAATCTATTATTTTAAAAAGGATAATCTAGAGGGGCTCTGAAATTGACACTCTATTTGGCTAAAGTAGATAGCTTTTCAATTACAATCATGATATCAATAGCAAATAGAGCTCTAGTAAATGTAACAAAAATGATATATATATGATTTATGATATTACAATAAATTTCGAGCTGAATTGATTCATTAGTCATCAATTGATCGATTCATTTACCATCCCTTTCCATTATTGATGATCAAACAATTTTTTAAGCCTGCATACATTTATTGGTCATCTCAATTCGATATTATTTTTCATTAATCTTTTTGATATACAATATAGTCGTTTAATTTAATAGATTTTTTTCATATTATATTGACAACATCATAAGTATAAATTTCAATCTTTAAATGTATAATCATATATCACTTATTTATTGAATTCGCATTTCTCCAAATAAGAAAGCAATTTCTTCTTTATCATCTCTTTACCGGTTTTCATAAACATGAATAACAATTGTAATTTCTCTTATTAAATATTTATTATAGATGTGAATTTCATTTGTATATAATTCTTGATAAAAGTGAACTAATATGCAGGATATATATCTTGTAAAATTTAGACTTGCTTTAAATGAATGAATTTCAATTTATAATCATTGATGATATCAATAATTAAAACTAGTCATATTTTTGATCTAAATTATTATTTCATACAAGAAATTCAAATTAATCTGAGTTGGAATTAAAAATGAAATAGCAAATATTCAGAAATTAGAAAAATTACGGATTCTTGGTTTTGGTGTTGATTTGTGAATTGAATTTATATAAAATTAAATTAGATTATAAAGTTATTAGCTAAACCAAATTTAGGACATGAAGCAATTTAAATAATTGAAAAACTTTAACTATTATGTTGCAAGTTACCACATTTTACTTGAAATACATTTTATTAAGTTTAGCAAATTGTGGTTGTATTTGATTCATTTGATTTCAGAATTTTAGATTTTTGGAGTTGTTGTGTTAAATTTAAACCAAGAATTACTTCAATTACCATTGATGAATATTGATTACGGTTTGAATTTTCTTTCGATGATTTCAAGGCCTTATAAATTAATTTTTGAAGATAACTTTTTTTACTATTCCTACATAATTCCATTAGCATTGATCTCCTTATACATATTCCACTAATTGATTACATTTTTTCTATTTTCCAACCAGTCATCCAAAAGCATAATGGAATACGTGATGAAGAGCAATAATATTAAACTTATTTTTCATAGTTTTAGTTTAGTGTTTTTATCGATTTTTGACAAACTACTATGCATACCCTGCATTCAGTTGGCGTGTTATTCAATTCAAACAAACATTAGCAAGGGCTTCTTTGGAGCTACAGAGTTTATTAACACGCTGTTTTCACTGTTGACCCTTATCCTCATCTTGTGGATTCAATTATTATATTTAATGTTTGTGAAGGAGGCAATTACCTTACATTTGTTCAATTTTAAAGTGCTTATATTTCAGGGACTAGATTACTTTTACACATTTCTAATTTACTTTATGGTGATAATTGACTGCTTGACTTTAGAAAAAGAGGTCAAGAATTATCTAATTGTTATTTTATTTGTATTTTAATCAGTTTTTAAATTAAATTAATTATTAAAAAAATATCAATACGTTAGCAACATACAAGATTACTTAATCAATTTGAATGTAGCATTTATATCCATCTCAACAATTTTAATTGGGAATAATTTTATTGAAGAAAAGCAAAATTTAATAATCATAATAATTATAATACCTAGCCTAACCATAGCATTAAGTTAATCAATAATCAAAAAGAAAGATTTCCATCTCCTTGTTAGGCTCCCAGAAAATCAAACCACTCAAACACAACAATATTTAATCACTGTATTTTCATCCAAGAATCAATTGAATCGAGTTTAATAATTCACTCTCTCCTTATTTTTATTTCATCATAAGAATAATTGCATAGATAAGTCATGTGCATGTAAAAAATAAGGATCGGAAAATGAAATAAAATTAAAACAACTATACTTGAGGCAATTAATCTTAGATTTTGGCAAATCTATCAATAAATTAACAGATTAAGGACTTAAGGGATTCTTCTGTCTATTTTATATCTAGAGTCTCATAGCAATAAACTAATCAGTCAAGGCGTATCAGCAAACTAATATCTTATTACTCAAGCAAAGCGTTCATTCAATGAGTGACCAGTAAAATATCTTTAGTGAACAAACTACTTATTCATTGACGGTTGAAGAGAATTAGAATGTCTATAAGAAGAAGAGCAACTCTGATATGATCCATAGACTTGAAAAGATCTCCTTAAATCATATCTCCTACATTAATCAAATTAAAATCAGTATTATATTAGAGATAGCCAAATAAAATTTAATTTCGAGTTTTAGTTTTGGGAATGTAATCTAAAAGACTCAATTAAGTCAAAGTGTTCAATTATTTATGAAAGTCGAGGAGCAACATCAACAATTGAAGCAGAATATCACAAATATTATAAACAGAAAGAAAGATATATTTATGATAATGTCTTCAACTAAAAGATTGAATCCAGAAAGATTCTTGCATCAATGCCTAGATCTGATCAGAAGAATAAACTTTATGGAAAATGAATTACAGCATTTGTTTTAAGAGTTCCCAAGCAAGAAAATGCAATCTATATATTCATTTTACTGTGCTGAAATCTTAAATAATTTTATGTAAGCTTACAGGATTATTAACTATAATGCAATATCAGATAATGCTTTAATAAAGATTTAAAGAAATTACTAAGTTGATTTACTAACTACTTAATTACATTACATGATCTTAATTATGGATCATTAAGGGACAGGTTTGTAGATAGTGGAAAGATCACATTAAATGCATAAGATATTTGATTATGATTAATAAGAACTGAAGGAAATCAAATCTATTCTATCATTATTGCCAAGAGGATTTTAATCCATACACAAACACTTGATTGAAGATTTCTTAATCTCTGGGAGATCAAAATTCTTCAGAGAATAAAATGTGAATTTAATTTTATAAAGAGATTCCTTTTTATGCCCAGTAGATTTTTTCTTTGATTTTGATCTAACAAAATTATAAGAATTGACTTTCTAAGTGTTTTTCTCTGAGAACAATGGAGTCAACTCATATCTTATCTTAAATAATAAACATCTAATATTAGGTGTAACCAGGGAATTCTGTAAGCAATTAAAACTTTAGGAGATTGAGTAGTCAAAATTGCCAGATTTGTTATATTTAACGGATATTCAATTAATAATACCGGAATTCTTCAATTTAATTGATAACAATAAAATTGGTAAAAGTCAATCTTTCTCCAATGTTTAAATTGTATACAATGATAAAAACCAAACTGTTTAAAAATCTTTATAAAATGAGAGTGCTTAGATTAAGAAAAATAATGATTAAATTAGATTTTATTATGCAAACATAGTTGTTACTAATAAACTAACACATTCAATTATTGAAATCAAAAATGTTGTAGAATCGAAAAAGTCGATATAATAGGAATCCAATGATTTCGATAATTTTGAATAAGAACACTACGAATTTATTGAAGAATTTCATATACAATAGCCTAATTTGTATAATAATGATTTATTTCCTAAATTAAAAAAGGAAATAGAAGTCCAAAATGATTGTTATATTTAGGAAGAAATAAATGAAAATACTGATTAAATAGATACTAATAGAATTGTATCACTGCAATAACGGCAACTAATTTCGGAATCCATATAATAATATGACTTAATTAGTCCTGGCAGAAGTAATAGGTAATTGATTGATAAAACGAATAGTTTTGCAACTCACTAAATGAATCTGAGTTGTTAACAAAGATTCTTTTAAAATTAAAATGAGGAGAAAGAAAAGGAATAATCACAATCCAACCAATCGCATGTTGAGAGAGGATTTGCAAAATATAATAATGAATAAAACTAATTAAATGCTGAAATCAGAGAAAATTTAAGATAATAATTAAATGAAGAAAATTAGACATCTTTACAAGCTAAGAAAATTAATTTGGATAATGCAGCATCAAGCACTTTGGGAACGTTTTCATAAAACTTTTAGCTGTTTAAAAAGTATGATTTGCTGCAATAGATTGTCTCATCTGTTAAATTCTCTATTATGTTCGATTTAATGATTTTCTCACTTTTAATTGTGTCATTGATATCAATTATCTTTGCGATCATCTTAATTAATAATTCGAGTACAGACATCTATAGTGCCTTGAGTTAAATGTAAATGTTAGAATTCTACACTTCGTTTATGAACCCTTGCTATTTATTTTTATCCTCATTTGCTTCTACGTATAATTACATGAATGGATCATTTGAACATAATTAGCAATAGAGCATATCATCATTAATACAATATCATTAATTTACTATAAACCAATCATTCGTAAATATTAAACAAAGTTACTCCTTATAATCTAAAGGTAATTTGCTTCAGTAAGACCTTTCAACTACTCTAATGGACTTTAAATACATTGAAGGCAATGAATTTACAAGTGAATAAATTTCATTAAGAGAAGCAATTTTTCAAATCATCCAATACTAATATAATTTTTAATCCATTTTTACATAGGAGAATGGTCTAGATCAAATGATATAATAGTTAATATCATATTTAGTAAATTTGGATGATGTCAATAAAGAAATTCTTAACTTAAACACTGAAATAGTAACGTATATTAGTGATAATAATTTGTTATTATAAGAAAAGTGGATTTTACTTTGTCTTAGGTGCACTTATTTAATTCTATTATTTCAACTGTCAGCATGGCTATTGTACATTAAACACATACGGAAATACTCCAAAGTCCTGAAGTTGTTTCAGAAAGTAGATGTAGTTTGGGTGTTAAGAGACTTGGAAAGATGCAAGGAGTTGTTGGGTTTACTTAATAAAGATTCCAATTTAATGTTCAGATACAAGTTTAACATATTTTTGAAGGAAAGATTCTTTAGAAGTGAATTATCAAAGAAACACATAATACAAGACAAGATCAAGAGAACAGGATTCATGAAATTGGATTCGAAATAAAAGCTATTATTAAGTAGACTGGGCAGTTTTATTTTATACTCAACTCTATTTTGCGTTTTCTTTATTTATTCGTTCATAATGAACTTTTAAGGAATTCAGTTTATGGATTACTATCAAGAGAAGAGTTTGCAATACAACCAAATTGGAGAACTTGGATTGTCTATTCCTAAAGCTTATAGTTTAAGAGAAATATTGTATTTTAAAAGTAATAACTTTAATGGATATGAATATATATCTTAAAATCTAACTGACCAATATTTACAAATCATACAAGGTAGTTTGGATAGTTTGAGCAATTTTCTATAAACCTACACAATTGCTGATAGTAATTACAATGACTAAAACTTGTTGGACTTGAACAATCAAACACTGTGTGAGGTTGAAAGTATTTAGAAAACATTTGATTTGAAATAACAATTTTTATGCAAACAACTCTATGACAATGTTATGGATAGAGGTCTATCCATAACTATAAACAAAGTGAGAAACATATTACTGACAGAAATGAATAATTCCTAATTATTTACTTAAAGAGCGAGTACACCATTTAATGAGATAGAGATTGGAATTTATTTGAGTGTGATCATTATGGGTGTGTTGGACACCATTAAAACAGGACTTTCAGAAGAAGCAGATTAATTAAATATGACTATTTAAGTAATTCTAGAATCATATATCATAGATTGTATCCATTTTTTATTTAGTGTTTACCTGCCTTAAGATATTGTTTGTTCTTATATTTGTTCGAAACCAGTATTTTATCGAATATTAAAACATTAAGAAATTAACAATCTTGTTACCATAGGCTGCATTATTTATTGATGATTTATTTGAAAGACAGCTCAGATAGCTAATTGCTAAAGAAAATCTCGTTTGATCTTTGTGTAAAATTATTAGATAATTATGATTATTTTTATATAACCTTTGGTTTCAATTCTTCATAAATAAATGTATTCAAAATTGCTTAATTATTTAAAAATAAAAGTATATCATTATTAATGCATAGTTGAATCGTATGACATATCACAATTTGCTATATTTTGCAATTTATTTAATTTGATTGGCTCAACATCAACTATCATAATTGGATGCAATTTGTGGACTATTTAATATCGATACATCAATAATATTAGAAGCATCAAAATTATGATTGCGCCTGATTGTATTATGATAATAGCAAAACACTCAGTTGGTATTTAAGAACACAGCTCCACTCCCATCAAATATCTAAGACTAATTTTGTAAATTTAAAAATATTATTTACTATTTATTAATATAACTTCTACTAAATTCCAGTTATTAATAAATTGTTTAAAAACAAATAAGCAATAATTGTAATACCTATACTATTAGCTTATCACAACCTTTTATTCATGATCTTTATAATCTTGTTTATGATCAATAAATTAATGTATTGAGTTAATATATGCTGTATTAAAATATCAGCTAATTTTTAAATGTAAAACATAATTAGAAACTACTTCAAATACAAGATATGCACTATAATTGAGCATGAAATCAACCAATTAAATCATCTGTATTGAAATTTCAATCAGAATAGATTTTTTGGAGAAAATTAAAGTTCAACATAAACTTTATAAGTTTGAGACTTTAAGAGTGAGTGAACTTCAAATTGAATTCCAGATGAATCATTAATCAAATTTTAGAAGTGATATGACCTATATTAATTCATATTGAAATGTACAATAAAATGTTCATTTCTTGGTAAGTGGAAATACATCCAAAAATTCTCAGATATTGCTACCTAGCTCACTCTATGACTCATTAAGCTAAAAAAGGATCCACAGTAAATATTGTAAAATTAACAGGTTTGATTTTTATATTTTTTTCTCCAAATGAAATCAATTACCATGCAGTTATCAATAACCTTATCAGAAAAATTTATTTGTGATTTTAACTAATAAGTGAAGTCGTTGCTCTCAGAATGGTTTGATTCTTTAAGCTACATCATTTTAAAGAAAAAAATTAAAAAGGATTTTCATATCTATAGAAATTTAACAGTCTTAAGTAGAAATGTGAAGTCAATAATTTTCGCCTAACCAATTTGAATTTAGATCAAAAAACATTGATTACTTTACTAGATTATTGTAATAAATAAAGAAAATTATATAATATGAAATTGATTTTATCGCTACTACACATTTTATAACTAGCTTATTCAGGAAACAATTCCTAATGATGGTTAGAAAAGCACCTTTTTAGGGATCAATAACTCTTCGAGTGTTATGGTTTTTTTTTCATGAGATTGAAATCTAAAGTAAATCACATATTCATTGTTATAATGTGTCTTATTAGCAAAGCAGTGTAATGCAAAGAGTCAAGAGAAATTAGTATGAATGGTTAAACAATATTAATTTATAAATATCAATATATTAAAATATATAATTTAAATATACAAGAATATATTACAAATATCAGCCTAAAATCTAACTTTTTGAAAATTAAATGGGTAGGATTATTCAAGACTGGAGGGTAGTGAATTTTGGATAAACACCTGTTGGGACGAGAAGTTTATGATAGCAATATTATATGGGAGCTTAGGTTGGCAGTTTTATTATAATATCTATTAGGTTGTTATTTCTTGATTTGTATTGAATTTTGATAATGTCTTTGGATTGTTGTTTATTTTAAAAAATAAGGTAAGGATAACAAATACATGTATAATTGTAGTAAGAAATAACTGATATTAGTAAAGTTGAGTATAGGATGGTAAAAATAATTTTTGGAATATATTATATTTTTGGATAGTTAAAAATTCCACTTAAATTTTGAAAAACTGAAAGCAACTTTAAATTAGTGGGTTGTTTAGTACATAACTTACCGTTTTATTCTGATTTATACTTATATACCTTCTTTGGGGTTTAAATATAACTTAACAACATAAATAAATAATTAATTTATTTTTTAGATGATCAAGAAAAGGATAAGTAAAGATTAAAATAATTGTAAAAAATACTAAAATTCAAATAAAATCAGAAAATATTGGACTGATGAAGAAGATAACATATTAAAATCAACAGTTTCTGTACATGGGTCAGATTGGAAACTTATAGCAGAGTATTTGAATGGACGAAATGCCAGTTAATGTGCGTAAAGATGGAAAAGAGTCAAGCCTAATACAGTATTATTAGATTTTAATGATTACTAGGAAGAAAAAAATTAAAAATGGACACCTGAAGAAGATGAATAAGTTAAGAGGTTAACTAAAGAATATAAGTTCGACTGGAAGGTGATTGCTCGTTTTCTCCCAAATAGAACTGGAAGGCAAATTAGGGAACGATATATTAATCATTTAGATCCAAATATAAGTACTAAGGCATGGAGTTAATAAGAAGATTTAAAAATTTGGAACTTATTCAAAAAGATAGGCTCAAGATGGTCTGAGATGGCTAAAAAACTAAAAGGAAGACCAGTAAAATTTTAGTATTAATATCGTTTTAGGAGAACATGATTAAGAATAGATTTTATGGATATATTAGAAAAAATTACGCCAAGCAAGAAAATCCTTACTATATTGTACCAAATCAAAAGAGATAGTTAATTAAGGATGATGACCAAGTCGAAATTTTAAATAACTAAAATACTCTTGAAACTGGAAGAGAAGATATTGAGCCACAAATCATGGAACAAATTTAATAAAATTAATCAATATAATAATAAGAAGAATAAGCTTAATCAGGAATTAGTTCGATATTGTAATCGCTCTAATCTGATAAGCTAAATGTTAGTATTATAAGCAATCATCAGGATATTTAACAACTACAATTATTTCATAAAATGTTCATTGAATCATCAGATAATGACTTTCTCAAAGTTGATCATCACCTCGTTAACTTTTTGTCAAATGATAGCAATATTCATAGCTATGCTAACAGTCATAATTTATTAACATTCACTTCTCAGAAGGAAGAAGAGAATGATAACTTTATCAATCAATTTTTATAATTTGACGGTTCCTCTGTACCTGTGCGAATGAGAGCCGATATATTTGAAGAATTTTCAAAATTCTCCTAAATGGAGTATTGAATTTCTCAACTAATAAGTTTGATTATATGTCGAGTCATTTAAATTATATTTATAAATAAATATTTAACTGAGTGATAACATTATTTTAGCAATTAGACATGTACTTATAACATTATTGTGTTATTTTTTTAATTGCAAATGGATTTTGCTTTCTAGAATTGCATCTACTCTATGAAAATTACTGAATTTAATAAAAATTATTAACACTTATTGCAATATATTAATGAGCTAATTTTGAATTAATAGGTGTATAATTAATTTTTGTGCAAAATTACTAATTATAATTATGTAATGTTTCAATAAGAACAACCATGATGAGTTTCTGAGTTAAGAGAAATCCAATATGAAAATTGTAAAAAATGAAAAAAATCTCAATTATTATTCTAAATACTTGATATGCATAAAATTATTATTGTTTTATATTATTTATCTGATACACAGAAGAATGATACGAAATATTGATATCTAAAACAAGAAATCTTAAACATATTTTAGTATTCTGCTAATAAAATAAACTTTAATAGAAAGTTGATATTATCAAATTTAAAAAAGGACAAATCATAAATGTCCTTATTAGATTATTTGAGTTGTTCCTTTTAATTTCTGTTCAAAACTTAACATTCTACGGATTATTTGAATCCAGAAGTAATAGAGATTGTCAATAAAGATGAGAGGTGACAAATGTATCTAAAATTAACCTATGAAATAAATTACAGCAGCTAAGCATATATCATAAAAATTAATTAGAAATATATAAGTTAAACTTTTCTCTTAGAGAAAGGAATAGAATTGAGAATTGAATTCCTGGTCGAAAGGATGACTGTGCAGATGGAATACATCTAATAATTTCTCTTAGAAATTAAGGTAATATAAAATTATTGGCATTGGAAGATTAGTTTCATTATTTTCTTAATGCTTGATATATTTTTTCATTATTTTTTACTTTTTTTTATTTCTTGGTATTAATTTTAATATTTCTAAAACATCATTGAATAATTAAATAAATATATTATTGATGAAATAATTCAGTAATTTATTATCCTCATTTGTTTCAAAGTAACCCACACTCTTTTCGTAAAAATTGAATAATTGCTCCTTATTGTAGAATAACCCTATCATTTTAATGCCAGATATATTATATTTGATAGAGTGCTTTGAAGGATTTGGTCCACAATGCAAAGGAATTTAATTGACTGGGAAAGAATACTTGCAATAGTTTTTCAGAGTGATTACTAATAAACACTTAGAGGGTTTCATTGCAATTAAAATCATACTAACCATTCATTTGATTCTCTATGAATTCCAATTAGGAGATTCTATTGCAGAATAGATGATAAAAGAAGGATCAGCACTTCATGTCTAATAAAATTAAGAATTCAGTTTATTTGTTTAAAATTATCTGATGTATTTATTGAAATTAGCCTAAAATTTAAAATTGTTTTATGCTTGTAAAATAGGTTAGTATCCAATTTTTGATCAAGACTAAATATCAACTGATGGTTAAGGATCTACAAGAGATCAGCAATATTAATAATTTAAGATTCCAAAAAGAAACAGTAATTTTCGTGGTACATAATTGCAATATAGGGATTATCAACAGAGAAAATTAGAATTGAATAAGCAAAAATAGATGGGAAGCATTACGATAGAATAAAAAATATTATATTTATTTAAGCTGCACAATTTGCTAAATTAATGCATACAGGTATTGGATTTATGCATAAATTCATTGAAACAAATAGAAAATAAAGATTCCAAAAATATTTTCATTGAAACTAGTTGTGTTCTTTGGAATGATTGCATGGTGATGTACAAGTTTTCTACATAAGAAGTACTATTTAAATGATAATTTTAGATTTGCCAATTAATTGATTCATTTAGAACCTTACCACCATAATTGTTACTTTAAATTCAATAAATATATTTGGTAACTATAAACTCTTCAACTTAACTAAAATAATTATATAACAATAGAAATTATTTCGATTCGCAAAACATTATAAAATAACCATATTGGTTTGAGGAAAATAAGAATCTTTCTTAAGAAATCTAAAATAGGATAATTGATAATAAAATGCTTAGAATACCAGATTCAACTAAGAGTCTAAATTATGCGCAGACTCCTTAAACATAATAAAACTAAAAATCACCAACTAATATTCCTTAACCATTCACTTCAAGAATAGGGAATTCTTACAACTCAACAACAACTACTATACCCTCACAACCATATTTCAAAGCAAATTAAAAATTGTAATAACAATAAACAAAATATTTTGAAACTTAATAATCTATCAGCACGAGAACAAAAAGCCACTTTGGAAGCATATTCTCTGATGAATAATTAACTATTTCTTCAAAAGAATCTTCAAAACTATAATAACAATTTTGATTATTAAATAATACTTTATCTGTATTTTAATCAATCTGATAATTATTTCTTAAAAAGTTATTAGCATCTTTATATTGTCTTAATTTCCATCATATTTGTTTGTCTCATTCAAACCAAATACATCTTTTCAAATTAGTTTGTTATGAATTTTATACTATATCAGACTATCCTGAATTATTAAACCCATAGATATCCACCTTCTTTATAAATTGTTCCAATTACTTTTGTTTATCATTTTATTAATAGTCATTGATTTACTTTTCACTTCATTACTTTATATTATGTATATACATTTCCTTTAAAAGTAATGATGATAGTATATGAAGAGAATTAGTATTGTAATAAGTAAGAGAAGGATTCATTAATATATTAAGCTTTCACTTTTGATTATATCTTATTGAACAACAATTCTCTTTTTATTTCTTGCTTACTTTTTGAGAGTATTTTTTGAAATCTGCAATCAACACTCCCGCATATATTAGGCTTATTTAATATTTTTATTTATTGTTTTCGATTCTGTCTTTTAAGTCTTCTCATAAATTAACATATTTTTAGGTTGTAAATAAAAGTTCATTTATTATTAATTCAAAATGTATTTCAATATTATAATTATATTAAATAATCATAATTCCTCTAATTAATTTCAGTAACCTAAATCAATTCCATCCTTTATAGAAAAAGTATGATTTTGAAGAATACAAATCTTTGATGCACAACTTACATAGTTGAAAAATGTCATTGATTATGAACGGAGTTTATCTAAATAATTTTAAGGTTTGGAAATCAATTCTGACAAAATTATCTAATTAGAATAAATTATAAATGAAATATTATTCTAATTAATTATTCTAAATATTTAATATGTAAGAAATTATTATAAAAAATTAAATATCTTGTTAAAGAGAAGAGGTTCAATTTTTAGTCGAATTTTTGATGTTATTGTTATGTAATTCATAGTAGATTTCTTAATCTACACAACAGTATAAATCTTAAGAATTAGACTCATGATAATAATTATGATGTTTAATTTTTATTAGGTGACTCGAAAACAGGGAAATGATAATGTAATATCATGGCGACCTTATTTTAATGAGTTATCTGAGATCAATGAATTAATAACAGGTCAATATTCTTTTCTTAATTCAGATAGAATTTATGATAAATTAATAATATTTAAGTTAAATCTTAGTCGAGGAATCAAGTATCAGATAGATTTATGAAAGTGAGTTTATATTACATTTGGCATCCACTCTCTGAGTCAATATTAATTATATTGAATATGTAAGAATCTTCTCTCAATTTCGAAGATCATTCATATAATGCCCCCTCAGAAACTTTGCCACAAGTTAATTCATTTCAGGAATTAAAACCAAAGCAAAAGAATCCTAGTGAGGCAAAAAATATTCCAAAAAATATAGGAGGACTGTTAAAAAATCATTTCGGTATTATTTTAATTTAATATTTGTAGCTAATCGATGTTCTCCACAAGTAAAGGAAAACAAAGTTATCAAGCATTTCATTTCGTTATAGGCCAAGAAGAAAAATTACTCAAGAGAGGACATCAAAAAGGTTTTGGAGAATAAAGAGGCAGCTGCAATTGCTAAGAAATACTTCGCCAGCTTCGAAATTATAGAAGACATACTTCATTCAGAGAAGGTGCCAGAAATAACAACTTTGTTAAAATATATCAGAAAATTTTTTATCGCTTCTCACTTCCCAGAAACTCTATCCACTCTAAAATTACCAGAATGATCTTTTATTTATATATTTTCTATGTTTTCGCTCCAAAATTTATTCATAAAATCGATATAATAATTTTTGTTCAAATAGAATAATGAGTATTTATTTTTAAATCTTTATTAAAATATTTTAATTAAAATAACTAATAGTAATCTAATATTTGATAGATTCATTATAAAATCTTTCTAAATTTTGAAAAATGGTTTTCAAATTCCTCCTTATTTCATAACTATTAATAATAGCATTCTCATCAAATTAAGTTTTCCATTTTATTACATTTTTTAAAATAATTTAACCCTTTTAAAAATTGATAGAAATATTGACCCCGAAACCATTAAGAATAAGAATACACCCATTCATATTATAAAAATACTATGATTATAATAATAAAATAAATAGCCAATTTACACCTTGAAATAATAAACTATTGATTCTTAACAAATGAATATCTCTTATATTTAATTAATACTATAATAATCACTATATGTTATGACTTCCTAATAGATCTTTCAGATTGGCTCAAACACTTATCCATATTCATTTACCATACTAATATAGATATCTTTTTTTATTGTATCCTTTCTATTCTTCAAACCTTTTTTGGCAGTCATTTTCAATATTTTTTATTCAATTATTGCCACCTCTGAGATGCAATACAAATTGATTAGTAAAGAAATCAGATCATCTAAGAATATATACCCTTGCTGATTAGAATCTTAGAGTAAATAAGCTATTTCAAGTTTGTCGTGTTTTCTACAGTTAGTTTAACCTAGCAAAGTAAGAAGAGTGTTTTTTAAAGTGACAGTTTAATCAACAATGACATTATCCGAACTTTTCACATATTCTTCTCTTACTGGATTTTCATTCATTGAATTAAACAGCAATTTTGATTGGTGATCTTTAATATTGTTTTATTATTACTATCTAGAATGTCGAGATAATGTATGAAATCCTCGTAAGTACAAGATTCCATAATATCAAGTTTATTAATTTTTTCAAAGACATCTAATATATAAGCTTGATCGATTTTCTTCTCCTTCACAAATCTTATTGCGTTGTTTTTTCTTTACAGCATGATTTCCCTTTGACTTAGAGATGATTTTTATTTGGTTTATTACGTTATTTAACCTTCATCAGATCGAATTACCTTGAGATTCTACCCTATAACTTGTCGCTATTTCTTTTAGGATGCTATGTTGTTAATTGACTAGAACATAAGTTTGGATTATTCATCTTGGCCAAATCTTGGACTGGTTAATTCATTTTTTCTAATATGTTCAACCATCTGAGGTGTTATTTTACCTTTTCTGGCAACTTCTTGGACCTCCTTTTCCATCATGGTTTGATTGATTTAAGAACGCTTTTCCACTAATTCTTTTGTTGGTGGATGAGCTTAACCTAAGATTGGCAAAGACCATCCTCCAGCTAGATTTTTAAAATCTTCAAATTTTACTTCTCCACTTCCATCTTTGTCACACATTCTTATCATTTCTTCGATTTCCTCAATAGTTGCCTTTTCTCCAATGAAATCCAAGAAGAATGAGAGATCCTCAGATGTAATACCTCCATCTTTATTCATGTCTAAGAAATTGAATGCCTCTTTGATTTCATCCTCAGTGAACATGCCCCTCACATAATCATATTGTTAATTAGAGTCTTCAATCATGTATTTGGTGTAGCCAGGTGTTATTTTGGATTGATCACTGGGTCCAGTCTTAATTTTTTAGGATTGCTAATCCTCTTGATATCTGAATTGAGAACTCATAGGAATTGATTGTTAGCTGCTTGCATTAACCATGACTTTGGGTAATTGATTGATTTAAGGAGCCTTGAATTATTTCAAATCGACTGAGTTTTGTGGACTACCACCTCCAGCTTCAAGATATTCGTTCGATACATAGGAACTCTTTAATTTTTACTCAGTGTCATTGGACTCTTATTGTTGAAACATCTCCTGTTCTTCATTTTATTATATAATCATATTAATAATATGATATAGAAATAGATCATGTTTCGATTTTTAATTGAATAGCTTATTTAGAAATCCTCTGTCTGGGAAACTTGGGAATTAATTTAGGAAAGGTGCCTTGACTTTGAAATGATTTAGGCAATTTACTTAATGTATTAGATAGTATGTTTGGAGGGATCTACGGCAAATCAAATGTAAGAGTTGGCACAGATTTCGAGGGTTTCACATCTAATTCTGTCTTCTTTCTTTTCAGAAACAAAGGGTGTTCCTTTTGATCCTTATTCCCTTCAGTTTAGGGAACAAGCAATTCCTCAATTTATTATTCACTTAAAATGGATATGGAACCATTCAACCTTTGCAAGATCGAGGAGGAGATAGAATGATTCATCGTAGTTAGATTTTTGGGGACTCTCTAACTTAAGAGACTGTCATTCATATTTAATAAATTGTCATTTTATTGCTAAGATCTATTTGTAAGTTAGTGTTGTTGTTACTATTAATAACTTGAAAGACTCATAGTTTTATTTTAGAATGTATTATTATTAGATGAAGTGCTAGTAATTTATTAGTATTCTAATTTAGTCATTTGTACATTTTATTTTTACAATGTTTACTGTAATTAGAGCGGGTCTTTGATATCCATCAAGGGAAGCACTCTATCTTTTTTCTTCTCTTGTTTGCCATCATAGAAGGTAACACCTTCCTTCATGATAATTAAATCAATTTGTGGGACTGATGTTTTGATGGCAAATTGGTTATTTTAGCCAATATTCTGGTTGTTCTTACTAGTTAATTGTATGAGTTCCGATTGCATCTTGTGATTTGGGATGAGATCTCTGACTTCGACTAAACTTCGTTTTTCACTGATATTTTAGAATGATTTTGGATATCTATCAATATCTGGGGGTTTCTGGACAACAACCTTGCCTTCGTAATCGAAGGTGTATTTGGATTTGGAATCCACATTCAATCGCTTCAATTGTTTGACTTACTCTTGGACTTCGAGGATTTTAATTTTGTCATTCTATTCTTTTTATTATTGAATTGAGATTTATCTTAGTTTAGCCTATCTAATGCTTTCAATATTGGGATCAAATTCTTGATCTTCTTCCAATTCGCCCATTTTGATGAGCTGGGAATTGAAGCACTCACTTTGTCTGGAGGTTTTCATGGTTACCAATTTAGACATTCTTTTTGTATCACTTCTCTTAATCGTAGGAGATTTGGAGTTTTCCCTCGATGTAACTTATTTGACTTGACCTTGACATCTTCTCCAATGTTCTGTGTTGACAGCTATAGGTTCAGAGTCCTCGATTACGTTTTCTTCAAAATCGTCATTTCTCAAATTATACTCATCCATCAGTACGATAACCTATTCTCTGAACCAATTGTATCCTAGTAAAGGCAAGATAGAGTTTATGTGTTTGTTGACAATGATGGTCTGACTTCCATGCAGAATTTACTTAATAATGCTTTTGGTTATCGTCTATGATTCAACAATTGAAATACAAAGTTCCTCATAACACTTCTCTTGTTCCTCCATGAGTAATTTAGAATATTATTATTATATTGATATTAAATATAAAACAAATAAATTAAACATCAATTGTTATTTTTCGAGTATTTTTCTTCTAAGTATGCATACCTTCTAAGTTCCTTCTCCACCCAATAAGGACAATCAGGAATTGAAACATCAAGAATGTATTTAATAAGCAACAAGACATGTTCAATAGCAGCAAGGAAGAAAGCACTAACAAGGGCATTCTAATTCCCGATAATCCCCTTAAATTATTCCTTATTAACAGTCCCAATAACAATGCAATTCATAAATGTGGCGCAATAATTCATTATTTCAAAAATCTACAGCCAAATCCCAATTGAATCTGCAGCCTACGCCCGTTCCCTCTTCAGAATGTGTTGATAATTATAAATTGACCATCTCAAATTGATGTAACAATTGATCATAAAAAATAAGGGCGCAGCTGGGAAAGTGGGTGCAAACATAGTTGTGTATCCAAACTGAATTGCAATACTTGTGTACTCATCATAAAGAACCTTCTAAGGTTGCTTAATCCGACCTACTTCTAACTCCTACAGAAAGCGCAGTTGTACTTCTGAATTCAGTCTATCAGTGCTGAACTTGGAATTGCAAATATTATGAACCTGTTTCTTTTCTGCTGATTTCAATTAGAATATTCTCTTGAATTCGAAGAACTTATCCGAAAACATCTTCTTCTCTTGTTTAAAAAAGAAGTAAGGCAAAAAGTTACTCGTCACATTTGAGATCACTCCCCTCGTTATGATAATACTAGCGACTGACACACTCAATTGAGAAGCATCACTCTCAAATATTGCCACGTACACCACAGACACATATGATATTAGAAATTCAAATAGGAACACCTTCAAAATGTACGAGTATTCCTGTTCAGACTCGTACATGTGATTCTCCCATGTTACCAAAGATGTGCACAGTCTTTTGTACAAATCACAAAACACTGTCATTGACACTCCATTTAAAGAATTAATCACTATCGGCATTATAGTAGTACCCTTCCATAATCGTAACCAAAGATTAAACGCGTAAAAACTTACCACAATTATTGCTATTCCTATCAAAATTACAGGTCCCTCTGCAATCAATCTTCTCTTAAAAGTTGTAAAGTAGTCGTATATCTAAATCTTATTCGTTGCCTCATTTATGATGTACTACCCTGTGTACATCACTCTCTAGGGTTGAGTTTGTCTAAATTTGTGCATGTCCCAACAAAACTTCAATTCAGATTCTCTGTTCTTCCACTTCTCCATGAATAATGTAGACCAGAGTGTCATTAGTAATGCATAAAAAGGAACTATTGAAGAACTAACATATTCCCTTAATATTCATACTTCACTTCCTTGGTTATGATGATGTAAATCCCCAAAGCTGCTCCAAACACTGAGGGAATCATCAGCCACCCTATAATTTGTACATTTAAGGCTATGTACCATGCAACAACTGGGCCAAAATAAGAGGCAATAGCATGCAATGGTCTCAATGCAATTTATTGTGTTTCATATCGAATCGAATCTTGGATGCAATTATTTTACTATTCATCCCAGAACTAAGTGATCTTCTCGCACTTTTAAATATCCTCCAAAGGATAATGAGCAATTATCAATTTCTCTAAGACAAATTTATCTACATCGAATTCATCATTGAGTGTATTTAGAATGAGCATTTGCACTTGTAGATCTTTTGGGAATTCAAAAAACCCCCTATTATCATAATCAAATTGACAGATATACTTAAATTATAGATGTAATTTACTTTTGTTTAGAAATTGTAACATGATATCTAATATAAATCTGCTAATTTATAGATTGAATCAGGAGGCAATTTCAACACATAATAATGATAAAGAGACTTAACCTTTTTGGCTTAAGCGCTGTCATTGTACATTTCAAGTTTATCCAGATCAGGAGCATGAAATATCATAAACTCAAAACTCCACCCTCTATCTCTAAAGGTTTGTCGAATATTTTGTAATTGCAGATATACAATATCCTATTCAACACTTAAGGTGCCCTTTGTTTAAATCACGTACTGGTATCCCAACTCAGTCAAACTACTCATTTGCTATTTGGTCTGAATGTTTTCCTTGTAATATTCCATGATATCTTGGTTGAAAGTCAATTCGAAAGGTTTGAGACATCTGCTATTCACAGTGTCGACAGATACTCCATGCAAGATCAATGTTTTCATGCATTTATACTTCTCCTATTCAATTGCCAAATGTAGAGCATTAGATGGGTTTTAATCTGTCAGGATATTGATGCATTCTTTCTAAGAAGTAATTATAATTTATATACCTTATTGAAGATTTGATCCTTTAGTTACTTTTTATTTTTGTGATTGCTCTCTCCAGAATAATCATAATATTCATATTCTGCTTGGAGTATGATTTTTAATATTTTAAGTTTCCCCTTGAAAGCAGCTATGTGAAGACAGTTGAAACCCTAATAGACATTGAGAAAAGGATTGCATCTCCTTTTTAGGAAATAAATAAGAAACTCTGTGTTACCCTGTCTGGCAGACCAATACTGTAACCGACATTCATAAGTCTCATTTTTAGTTAGATTGGCATTGCTATGATAAATGAAGTACTTGTCCTAGTCTTTCAGATGAATTTTTTCCATGTCTTCTTCATTTTAAGACTTAAATTTATTGCTTTTATGTCGTTTTTTGTGATCAAAATTTTTTTAAGGCGAGGTCTCTTAATTAAATAGTATGGTAGGAGGTTAGCTTATGATTATGTTGCATTGGTCTGCTTTGAATTGACTTTCTTGGTTTTTTTCTGGAATGAGTTTTTAAGAATTGGGGTTTCTTGGATTTTGATTGAATATTTTTATTTCTGGTATTTTCTCTTCTTCGGGTTCCTTCATTTCAATTCGAGAGTCATCATAGAGAGGAACATCAGCTATCTCATCTAGGTTTTTTGATTATATCTTCTAGCCGCAATTTCTTTGTTGAAACTTATTTAGAATTTATTAATTCTGAGTTGATTTTTGACTACTTTTGGGGAGAGTATTTTTCGAAATGAAAGAGTTTGAGGTTTGGCTTCTATGATAATTCGATATATTGGAATATGGTATCCCATTCTTAGAAGGTTCAGATTCAGGGGAGGATTCATCATCTTTTCCCTATGTTTAAATGAATGGAAGTTAACTCATGACGATTGTACCTTAATGTGGTTTTTCCTCCTTAAATTATCTATTCTTTTTCCGATTAGGTTGTCTAACCTTTTTCTTCTTCAGTTTTCGGTTCAAGGTTTACTTGGTTGTTACCTAAGCATAATTAATTATGACATTTTCAAATATGTCACTAACATCTTTTCTTTTAGTTAATAAATATAATTATACTTGTATTAATCGGGTCTGTTCTCCAAAAATAAGTAATCTATGGGATAGTTCCCTTATTAATCCGTTTCTAATTGGAGTTGAAATTTTTTTGAGATTAGAAAATCTACAAGTTCTTTGTTTCCGTAATAAAAAGCCCAATGCAAAGGATTTGGTTTGGAGGTGTTAGACTATGGTATTTGGGCCCCATGATCCAGCAATAATCTGATCGTATTTTCCTGTTATTCTGGATTATACTCTCCAGAATACCTTTAGAATAAATGAAATAGAAACATACCCTTTGATGCTTGCTAATTCTAAGGGAGTGTAAGAATGCATATCCCCTTTGTTCAAGTCAATCATCAATTTGTATTTCTTGCACCACCACTTTAACAATTTATACTATCCTAAATAGGCAGCCCAATGCACAACATTTCTTCTTTAATCATCAACCATTGCAAAAAAGTCGTGCAACTTATTCTGAGAAAACTTCAACTCATCCTCGAAATGTTTCTTCAAAGTCACCTTGTTTCCATCCTTTACCCATTCCAATAATTAAGTTTGAGTAATTTGCATCTTTATTTAATAATGGAATAAATATTATAAATAACTCTATTGATACTCACATTTACATAAGAACTTATTTCACATCGGGGATGTTGTTTAAATGAATTTAGTTTTTCAGTATAAGAGAGTTAATAATTTGAATAAGACATTTTGTTTGGAATTAATATAACTTCATTATATATTTGATATATATTTATATTAAAAATCATTGATTTGTAAATATAATAATTAAAAATAACAAAAATGCTCACAAAGTTGGTTAGTTTGGGTAAGGTCAACTCAATGTGCTTCAGATCAGTCTATCAATACAATGTCTTTGGTGCTCCTTTTGAAGGATTGGATCCAGCAAAACACATCTACATGAATAAGGGACTCCAAAATTGTATTATTTTCAACTCACTTTTCTAGAATACGATGATCTCTTCAGATTGGGAGATTATCCATATGTGAATGATTACCCTATTATGATCGATTCCCAATAGTATGTCCCACAAATTGCTTAATTGGTGGAATCTCACGTCAAATAGTAATTCGTAAGACTTGTTATCTATTACAGCAAAATGCAACTTTTACTGCTGGTGAATACAATAATGGCGATGTCTGGGCAGCAACTTGGGAGGAGCTTGGAGTCAACAATTTCAAAGTCTTGGTTCCAAATCTTTTATTGAGACTCTCTGAAAGTAATCCCAATGAAATGATATCATTTTAGCCATCGTTGTCAAAGAATCAAAATGGACATGGACAAAAGAATAGAGATATAGATTACATGTGACTCAAACTGTACTTGGACCATAAAATTATACTCAAATGCCTACTTACTATTTCATTAATGATTACAACACTGTTCTTTGGATGCTAGCAAGGTAATCTAACCATTGGACCTCCCCAGCAATCAGAGGAGTCCAAACACCATTAGAGAAATAATTGGCCTAAGATTTATAACCAAAACCCAAGATTCAGTCATTATTCAGAGACAGACCTGAAAATAATACATTCTTAAATAAGTTGTTAAAAGCAGTTCATCAATGAATATCAATAAAATAAAGCATAATACAGCATCATTTTACAATATTTCTCATTAATATCTTCTCATTTTTAAATTAAATTAAAAATAACAATATATTTGTATTTAATACCCTCTCAAATTGAAACTATTATAATAAGCAGTTCAATATAAAATTTCTCTTCTTCTTCTTTAGAATATTAATGAACTTATCATACTTTTATTGTAATCCTTAAATACTATGACTAAGAAACAAATCAAAATATATTTAATTATTTACATTTATTAAATTTAATCTATTAAGAATATTTAACTATTTAATTTTGTTTAATATAAGATAAGATAGACATAAATATTCAAAATTCAAAATTAGTTTGTAAATCTTGGATTACATTTTAGTATTCAAAATCATTTTTTACATTTCTTAGATAATTACAATTAATTTAGCAATAAAATATATCCAAGTTCTCAATTCTAAATAATTTGATTTAAAAACTAAATTCAGATAGGTTGAAATTAAAACCATATTGTTAGCTCTATTTTTAAGTTAATTATTATATTTACTTATATTGCACTAAACTACAGCTGATATCTTTCTTAAATGTATTTTTACAACCCTTTTATAAACAATTTAGGATGTTTAGCAGTAATAAAGGATACATTATATGGACCTGAAATGGATTCGATTCCATTGCTATCATTATATCCTTGTTTTTGACTTTATTTTGTTATTGCTTAACCTTTATAGCTATTGAGTCTGAGGGTAAAGTTATCTATAATTGTTTTTTAATCCTCAAATTAAACCATATTATTTTCTTCTATCGAGGATTATTACATTAAAAGCGATTATTATCCTTCAATTTATATACTTACTGTCTATCTTTAATTGTGGTTCTTTTTGATCGAAGATATTTGATTAGTTCCTTATTTTGTTGAACTTTTAATTTAGGTTTATGTTTTATTTAGGGATTATTGTTATTCTAATTGTTACTTATAGGAATTAGGTTATGTTTTTAATGAATGAGACTTTTCTTTATTTTCTTTAAATTACTCTTATATGGCACTCAATTTTGGAGGAGGATTTGAATTCTTTTTTGGTATTTCAGTCTTCATTTAATGACTTATATGAAAGGAGTTGTTGTTAGAATTAGTTGTATTGGTTGATCTCATATTTGATGTATTAGTTTGTTTCATGAATTTATTTTCAAAACTCGGAGGTTCATGTAAAGATTTTGATGGGCCTGTTTTGGCAATCGGTTTCTTTTAGGGGATAGCTGCTTATTGTTGTTATTAAGTAAGTAATGGTTTTTTTGCAATTGGTTTTGTCCCTTTGTTCTGAGATGTTTGAGTTGGCTATTTATTTGGTTATAAAATAATTGGTTTTTGAGGGGATTCTATTTAAGTTTAAAGACGTGTAATGGATTATATTGATCTGCTTGATTTTTGCCTTGTCAGAGATCTAACTGATTATTGATAGTCATAAATGTCCTATTATTCTTATTATTCTGAGACTGCTTGCTATTTATCTAAGTCATTTACTAGGTAGTCGTTATAATCAATCTCTTATTCTTATTAAGAATCCTCTTAAATCTTTAATTGATTGCTAGAATCTTATTTTTCATTGAATGGAGTTTGATTTGATTCTTAAACGGTATCACAACACGTTTTTTCATCTTCTGTTACATTTTCAGAGAGACTCGGTTTGTATATACTGTTGGGCAAGAGAGTGTAAGAGATTTTATTGAAAGATGCTTTAAATGGTGAAACTTAGACATACTAAACAATATAAAGAATTAGAATTACATCTGATTTCCATAATTACCACCACTTATGCGCTTTAATTTAGTCTATATTATATCTTTTGTTAGGGTCCACTGTAAGGATATTCTTGATTAGATCTTTTCCATCTAATGAAACATATCGAGGGATATGGAAGTCAGCTGTCAGTATCTTTTTATATAACACCTAAGTATTGTTGTCTTCAAAGGGTAAATATCCACAAACCATAGCATACAGTATGACCCCACAACTCCAAAGATCAGTCTATAATCCATGATATGGTTTCCCTTGTATCATTTCGGGTGCTGCATAACAGGGACTTCCGCATGCAGTTTTCAGAGTGTCTTCATAGATGTTGCTTAATCCAAAATCCACTACTAGGATGTTCTTTTTTGCAGTTAACAATAAATTCTCTGGCTTTAGATCCCTGTGAACTATTCTCAATTAATGGATGTATTATATTGCTGATATTATTTCATGCAAGAATTTGCAGGCTTCAACTTCATTTATTCTAAAATACAGTTTCTATTAAGTTTATACCTTTTCTTTAAATCTATATAATCAAATAACTCTCCTCCCTCTGCATATTCCATAAACAAATAAATGTGTGTTTCAGTTTCAATCATCTAATTATCATTATATCAGTAACCTCATACAGTTGGACAACATTGGGGTGATGTAACATTTATAGGATCTTGATTTCTCTTTTGACTCTCTCAACATCCAATTCATCATGAATTCTGTTTTTTTCTAAAATTTTCACTGCAACCTCATGCCCTAAAATTTAATGTTTAGCATGGCAAACTTTTCCAAAGGTTCCCTCTCCTATTGTCTTTCCTAAAATTATAATCGTATTTTTATTTTATACCTATCAGATAATTTCCTAATTCTGTCATAATAAAATAATAATGTCTAATTTAAATTCAAATATGATAGACACCTATTCTGTGCATTTATGACTTCTTTCATTTTTGATATATATGAAATTTAAATTATTATCGAGATATATCAATATTTATAGTTAAAGCCTTCTTTTTCCTTTTATGTATATTTCAGCATAAATTAATCAATGAATCACTAATATATTATCAAATAAAATTAAATAAGTTTATAATAGGTGTTTTTTTTAGGCAATGTTGCGATTCAATATAGTAAATCCAAATTTGATAGGAAATGTTTGCAGTATTCTTTTATATTTGATTAATAGAATTTGAATCAAAATATTCAACCAAATAGATTATGGTAATTTGAGATAAGTTAAATGTCTCCTCTTCTGAATATCTCTTATTAAGTATATTAATTTAGGAGGAAAAAATAATTGAAAAGAGGTTTCAAAGTTTGAATTAAACAGATATTATTTAAATGATTTTAAGCATAATATTTATATTATCGGAGAGCAGTTACAAAAATAATATCTGGTCTAAGGATATATTGTTCATATATATTTTTAAATTATTAAAAACTGAAGAGAGAAGCATCTTAAAGATATAAGGAATTATAAATATATTATACAATATAATACAAGTCACACAATTTTTTCAATATTCATCTTGAATTTCCATTTCATCATCTATTTAAGAGGTTTTGGCCACAATTATACCATGTCTTCTTTTTTAATTTCTTCGAGTATATACACCTGTGTTGTTTGAAGAAAAACGTTGCGATTGATTTGTAAAGTATTCAGTTGGAGACATGGTCAATTTATCTGAATCGATGTTTTCAGAATTGAGTATCACAATCTAATTTTCGATTGAATTTATATGTATTGTTCCCAAAAGACTTCTTGAAGGCTTAACAACTGAATTTCCCATAGTTGAAATGATAATTTAATTATGAAATTTATCATTCTACATGGCATTTTTAAATTGAAAATTTGTAACCTTCTAAATTTCATTTAAAAAGAAGTTAATGTATTCACTTTGATATTAAATGAAACTGATAATAATAACATAGAATTTAAAAATATAAGTTAAAGTAATGATTTATATACAATATAACTCAATGCTGCAATCGATTTGTCATTTTCTAATTAGTCCAATTAAAGTTTGCTAATATTAGTATTGTTCATCAGAATTCAGCAGAGCAGTTTGTTTAGAGGTTATTTTTTTGTTAAAAATGATCTCTTGAATCTTTATTTACTGCTTTTAAGATAACTATTTGGAATTAGTAAAAGGAGATTGAGGCTTAGAAAAAGCTGGAGGCGATTTGGTAATTTATTATTTGGATAGATCGTCGTCAAATGTTTGGTTAAATAAAGACTTTTCTTTTAACTTTTTGGTTTGTAGTTGGATTGATTGGTGTTTTTGAATAGAGCATCCCATTTTGTTGTTTAAAAAAATTAATTTTGTAAAATTATGCGATGAATTTATATTCTTAAATTAAACCTTTAATTCTATAATTATAAGTATGATCCAAAAATAGAGTTTGTGATATTAAATAAACTTACGACATGTAAATAATAAATTTAATATAATTTATTTTATACAATTAAAACTCAATACTAGTTGAAAATGTTAGTATCTTTAACTTGTGTTTTCCTCTATGTTTTAATATTGCTAATTTACTCTTTGATTTCCATAGGATTGTACTAAATCAATAAATAAATAATATACTCTCTTCTTTTTCAACTTCTTAATCTTCTTGTGTATTTATACTCTGAACTATTATTTTTCTTATTTATTTTAGGTTTACTCTTTGTTTTGTGTGTTACTTCTTGGTTTCCTTCCTTTTTATGAGATCTATTATTTTTTTTGGATCCTCTAAAATGCATTTTTGGCATTATTTAATTCCTTAGCCTCTCTTTTAGTTGTCTCAGCTGCTTTCTTGATTCTAACTTCTCTTCCTTTGATTTCTATAGATTATGCTTAAAGAGCTTTCTTTAGTGATTGAAACTCATTAAAACAAACATATCCAAATCCTTTTCCGACATGTCTTTAGGGATCCTTGATAACTCTAACATAATTGATTTCTCCAAAGGCTTCCTCGAATGCTTTTCTGACTTCTTCTTCTTCAATATCAAATGGGAGATTACCAACAAAGGCTGTTTTAATGTGATCTTTCTATTGATTGTTTAGTTAATTACTTTCTTTTGTCCTTCTAAGGTGCATCTCAGATGTAGATTCATAAATAATTGACCATCTTATTATGTTGCTGATTTTGCAGATTTCACATCCTTAAATAGTATATAGCAATTCTAAGATTAGGCTCCTTCTTATATCTTGCCCATCAGGACTGCAGCTCTCACTGGTAGTTTGACATTTTCCTTCTTTGTTTTTCTATCCACAGGTATTGATCTAAACCAAACTTTTTCAATCTAATTATTATACATTTATATATATACCTCGCCATATTAGGTGAATAGTTTTCTCATATCGTTTTTTTTAGCATTGATACTCACATTGCCTACAAATAAAGTTCTCTTTATTCTATCCGCATCCATTTATTCTTTATCTTCTTGAGTTTATTGGACTCCTTATTCATTGTCCTCTTCTTAATCAACCTTATTTTTGGATTTCGATTCTACTTACTTTTCTACGATCTCTATTTGCTTTGAAAATAGGTCATTGATTTAATTCTTAGTCTATTTTCCAGAAGTTAAAATGGATGATAGCATATAATTAATTATGGTAATTAATAAGAATTTTAGAGTAAACAAAAACTTTATAATTAAAAGGAAAATAAATAACGCTTTCAATTTTTTTATATCTACCTAAGAATCACTTCTAACAAGGTGGAATGTGGGTTAAATTGTAACTTAAAGCAATTGTAAATATATATATAAATGAATCACAGTTATAGGATGTTCTTTTGGAACTCCTATGTTTTCACTTCCTCTTATCTACTATAATTGGAATTCCATGTGTTTAGTAATTGAGTGGATTGGATTTTAACAATGTCACATACATTCTCAACAGGTTAGTTTGAAATGTTATGAGCTATCTTATCCATTGTATAAGCCAAGAATAAATCCTTTATTGTTACTCCTTAACAATCTGGAGTTGTCATTTCTACTCTTAAAACACTTCCTTTTTGAGTCCATTTTGGAAAATCTACAACATTAACAATTAAATATACGTTTAATCTAATCGGCTATTTATGAAACAGAACCCATAAAGACGAATGTTTCTTTGAAGCTATTGAATTTATATTCTCTAATTAATTTGGAAGTATCGACACTCTGTGACCAAGTTAATTGGTGGATATCGATAGCATGACTGACTTCATCTTGATTCAGTTTGGAAACAGAAATTGCTGGAATGTCTGTTAAATCCCTGGCAACAATCTTTAATGAGCTCATCAAGGTTGTTGTTGTTTTGAATCCAATTTCGTTTGATAGGTATCTGTACATTGTGAAGACAAGTTGATTAGTTATTTTAATAATGACTCAAATAACTTACAAACTCGATTTATATATAATGAGAAATAAACCGATTAAAATTTCAGTTATTTTAATCAATTTATCAATTTTGCTGTTATTTTCTAAAACACTGATTATTTTCTTAATTGATATCCTAGTTTATGATTAAATATTTGTTGTTTAAGTCATATTATGAAATTATTGGAACAATTTGAGAGTAGATAACTTAGAAAATAAGAATTATCTAAATTATCATGAAGACAATTAGAATTCTAATTCTAAAGTGTTGTTACTATGCTGGATTCAGTAGTTTGATGGAAGGGTTTCAAATCGAGAGAATAAAAACAAAAAAAAACATTGACTATTTTATATGTTTTTGAAATACATTATAATATTTATATAATGACAGCCAAAGACTAGTATTACAAACTCGAGGAAATAGAGGAAGAAGGAAATCAATCAAAATCGAGTGACGATTCATCAGAATCAGATAATCTGTTCTCATCATAGAGGTAGGTAAAGACTGTAAGGGCACAAAAGAAAAAGACTCTGTATGCAGAGAAATTAATGGCGACTTATAATTCTTATTTGCACTTTCTTGGTGGTTAATAATTATCTGATAAGGAATAAGATGACTTGAAAATGTTTCTTGGCAATTTAACTCAGACAAGATTGAATTAGCTTTCAGACAAGTACTAATATTTAACAGAATATGACTATCATATGGGAGATGTAGTTATTGCGTAAATAGTTAAATCAATATTAGCTTTCCAAATCCTGATAGTCCCAAAAGTGAAGACTTAGGAACAATGACTTAATTAGAAGCAATTTAATTATGTTTGAATTGTTTTGCATCTAATAAGTATGCTACAGAGTTTGAAGTGATGGATAACCTCATTTTAATTAAGGCTATTGAATAGAACTTATATCATTTGCAATCTGATGATGAGTTTTTGTTAAAACAATATGAAGAAGAGGATAGAATGAGAGAAGAATAAGAGTAAATACTAAGTGACGAGTCAAGCCATAGGAAGAATGTCCAAGAGTAATCTAACCGTTTGGATACAGAAGAGAAAAATGAAGGTAAGAAAAATGTAAAGAGAGAAAGGTTTCAGAACTTAAAAAGATTTGGGGGAGTATAAAAGTTGTTTAGTGATGAAATTGAGAAATTGGAACTTAAATTACTAAAGATCTACAATTTAGACAGAAAGACAAGACAAACAGCCATCAAAGAAGCATTTAATTTAGACAATTATAAGTTGGACAGATTTATTAGAATTAAATTAAGTGGTGGTAAGTTTCTAGAATACAATGAAAAAGACAAATGTTGGGTTCGTACAGAAAATCAAACCAAAGATTTAAGTACTCTTATAAGATTAGCTGTGATCTTGTAAATGAGTAAGTTGGGATTCTTAATGAGATAGTTTATCTCCAAAGATGGTTCAACCATCTTTCTAGTCTTGTACTAAGCAGATTCAAATCTAAAGAATTTGGCTAATAAATATGAGATCACCAAACAATTGAACTTTTAATTCTAAGATATTTTCTCTTATGAACCTGTAGATGACAACCTAAGACCTTTAAGACTAAACAACAGACTATGGAAATCCAATAATGATTATAAAGGTGAATTAACAAAAATGTTTATTTATTTAAAACCAAAAATTGTGGAGTTGCTGGAAAAAATTAACTTTAAATAAGTCTCAAGGGAGATCAATCAATCTATGATTAATCAATAGATTTTTTCTTAAGGAGATGAAGAGGTTATTGACGATTATGCACCTTCTGATGAAGTTTGGAAAGCCTATTATGCTTATTTAATGTACTTAGAGGAGAAGATTACTCATCTTAGAAGTCAATCTGTTATTCAAGATGAATTTGCTTAATTTTTCAATAAAAATACCAAAAGCAAAAAGCCTTATGAGATATATATGGAAAAAAACCCAGACAAACTCTAATTTTAAGACTAGATCAACAGCCAGGATATTCAAATTCTAGAATAAATTTAAAAGGAATCAGAAATTGAACAGCAGATAGATTTAAATGGAAGGAATATCTAACTCATCGAGGTTTTTCATGGTATTTTTCAAATCATACAGGAACATAGAAAATAATAGAAATATTATGATTAAATTAAGGGCATTTGTAATATCAATTCAAATAAATTTATTTCTTCTAAAGATGTAAAGGTTTTGAAGAAAGAACAATTAGCTAAGTCATATTTAGATTTGTTTTAAGATGCATTATACATCACAAATTTAGGAAGTATTAAACAACTAAAGACTATTTGGGATCTAGCTGAAATAGCTCCTTTTGAGCCATTTATTACTTATAAGATTACTTCGGATAAGTTGGCCAAGAGTCAATAATGTAAATTAAATGCTATTTGGAAATAGTATTGTGTTACAGAGACGGGTAAGATCTCATTATTTTCAAATATGGAGAGAATAAAAATTAATAATTTAGCTCTGGATGAAAAGATTAATTTTACAATCTTGATTTCAGATAAATTTGTTTCGGCAAAGTATTGTTTACATGATAATTATGAAATATAAGGGAAGAGTAAGCGAAAATTCTTTGTGCCTATTTTCAAATCAGATTACAATATTGAAATCTTAAAGAATAAATCCTTATTTCTGTATTTCTATAAAGAAATGGCTGAAAGGAATTATCTAGGTGTTATCGGTTAAAACAAATATTAGAATCAAGAATACTAATTTGCTGAAAGAAAACTTGAAAATTTATCATTCCAATGGAGATTTCAATGGAATCACCCTTGGTTTGTACCTACCAAATAAATTCGAGAATATTACGGTGAAAAGTTAGCCATATATTTCCATTTTGTTGGTTACAATGCATCAATGCTATTTCCAATTGGTATTCTAGGATTAACTATCAGTATAATATAGTTTATTTTTAGTGATACTAAAAGTTCACTTTATGTTTATTTATATATAATTTTTGGGTTTATTTAGATCTAGTGGAGTAATTTAATTCACGATATGTGGTAAACGAAGGAGAAGGTGTTTGCCATGTAATTTGGTCAATTTAATTAATCTGGAGAAGATACAACTTAATAAAGATCATAATTTTACGGTTACTATTCACGTTCAATTGAAACTGATAATTTAAATGTTCTATTCTTTTCAGATTTATAAAGAGTTATGAAAAAAATCGTGTCTTTTGCCTTTTTATTTCTAATGGTTATATTATACGTTGGAATAATAGTTTCTATTTTTATAATATCTGATGCATTGTAAGACGTAGATACCTTTACAGAACCTGGATATTCGACTGCTCTATTTGAAGTCACTGTGCCAGCTTTGATAAATTTGATACTTGTGCTTTTGCTGGACACAGTATTTGATAGATTAGCAATTGCCTTAACAGATTATGAGAATCACAAAACAATAAAAATGTACGAGGCCAATTTCATATACAAGAAGTTCTTTTTGTGCTTTTTTGCTTTATGTGTTCCCATTCTAGAGATACAATTCCTTCATACTGTAAAAATTATTTATATTGCTAATTTTAGAAATTTGGCTTACATTGTGCTCATAGTGATTGCTTGAAACATTCATGTTATCATTTTGCAACTATGTTTATACTCCAGTTCTTGATCAATGTTTTTTTGAAAACCAGGATATTTGTATTTAATTTTCTCAAAGATTTGTATCTTAAAATAAAAAATCCAAAAAGGAGTGATACAAAATATACTCATCTAAATCTCAATGTAAATTCGCATCAATCAAAATCACAAAACACCCATACAAATAAGGCCTCTGGATCAAATAAAATTTCTCTAAAACCAAGTATAGATCCTTTGAAATCAAATTAAATGAAAAAACAGTTTTCACACTCATCAAATCCATCAAACCAATTTAAATCAAGCGAGAAAAGTCCACAAGTTGAATCAATCTCCCAACCTCCTGAGAAGAAGCTCTAATTCTTTCAAGATAATTAAATAAATCTTTAGATTTAAGATTAAATTCTGGATGATTAAGATAGTGAGTAGGCAAAGAAATAGGAAGATCCATTTCATTTAATAAATGATTTCATTGAAGAATGTAATTTGATGTGTAAATAAATCTTTTAGAGTTTTTCGACAAAGAATCCTATGTGATCAGTCCTGAGAGATATGGAACAGTAGATGATTTTATGGAAATAGCTATTCAACACTCAATGCTTGTTTTATTTGGAACAACATTCCCGCTTAGTTATTTAATAGCCTTCCTCAGAAGTTTGTTAGAATTGTAATGTGATAAGTTAAAATTGCTAAATGAAATGCAGAGGCCTATTCCAATTAGTGAGAGTACTATTGGAGTCTGGAATAGAGTCTTAGATGGATTAGCTTATTTGTCATTAGTTGTAAATAGTGGTTAGATAACTGCTAAGAGAGATGATATTACTTCTGCTGATGCCTTGATTTAAATGTCAGGGTTCTTTTTGATTTGCCTTTTGGCTAACTTCTTTTTGAGATTCGTGGAAATGACATTATTTAGCGAATTACCATTTTAAATTTAGGATTTATTGCAAAGACAAGCATACTTAATTAAGAATACAGTTGAGAAATTCAGAGGATCGGCAGAACGATCGTCAAACAAAGCCATAAATCCGAGAAGCTTAAAACGGTATCCGATTCTAAAAGTTTATGGAACAAAGGTGAAGGATGTAAAAATAAAGGAAATAGTGGAATTGAGTTCAGATTCAGATGTTGAAGATTATGTGAAAAGAATGGAAGAAGTAAAGGGTGTTAAACATGAAAAGAAAAAGGTAAAGCCTAAGGTTGAGAAGAAGGCTAAATCAAAAAATTAGTAAGAAAATGAAGATGTGGAAGAAAATGAAGAATAAGAAGAAAATTAAAATTTAAAGTTACTGCAAGATGCAAGTAATAAGGAGTCATCCATAGAGGAATTGTAATATTACTTCAATGCCAGAATATCAAATTGGGCGATGAAATTTAAGATGAAAGATACTTAGGATAAAGAATAATAATTGCTGTAAAAAATCTTCTTTTAGAAGACACTGAGCTATCTGAAAATGAAAGATTAGCTCAACCCTCATTAGAAACAATGGACACTTGATAGATATACATATAGAAAGTTCTTTTTACCTAGATCCTTGGTTCTAATTAGGAATTTGGATTGGAGAAGGTACCTGATATTCTAAGAAGGAGATAAAAGACTCAAGAAATCCCTGAAATAATAACAAAATAAGAAGTATGAGAAATAATTAGATTTTCTTAATAAGCATTAAGATATTTAATAAAATGTTGTTGAAAAGATGGAAATTTTAAAGAAGAAAAAAGAGTTTGTGAAAAAACATGTATGGATTGATGGTCGTAGTACAGTATTTTTAAGATCAGGTGGAGTGTGGTTTGGGCAATTTAGGAAAAGTACGAGCAAGGTATCAGGTGTGAAAGTTGCTGAAAGTTATTATCGAATTTTGGAAAAGTACAAGAAAGTTTGTGAGAATGAGAATAAGGCTATGGAAGAGAATATCTAGGATTAGTAAAAAGAGCATGCAGAAGATTCAAATAAAACCAAAAAGGATACCAAATTCAAACCTATAGATGAATAATTTTTTAATTTGACTTGCAATCTATCACAAACCTAACTTAAGAAATTTTCATCCACATCCTTAATCTCGCTTCTAGACTCCATGTAAATAAGACATAAAGAACATTACATTTATATGTTGTCATCCAAAGGAGTTAGTTAAGTTGAATATTAATTAGATAATTATATCACAAATGAATTGAGAAAGCAAAATAGGATTATGAACTTCTCATATATTCCATTTAGGGTTCAAGCTCCATTCCTAAAACTCAATTAGATGTAGATTTGGGAGTTGTTTGTTGAAGAATAGATAAGGTAAACTCAACCCAAAATCAATCTACTCTATAGGATAGATAAAAAGAAGGATTAATTTTCTTCCAATATTCATACAAATATATTTGGTCTATAACCTCAGATTAAAAGGTGGCTAATGTCTTATGTCGACGTTCCTTAAAGAGATGATATCATGCTCTATTACACAACTGATATAGCATATAATAGGAACATTTTTAAGGATTTCATAAATAGGGTCTATCGATTTTATGATATTGTAGAGGGACCTGATTATTCAAGCTTGAATTTACCTATAGGAATTGCCAAACTTAGCTATATGAAAATTTAAAAACAACCCCAATTCTTTAATGTACGGGATCCATTAGTTAAAGGTTATTTATGCAGAGCCTATAATCCTCCTAAAAATTTTAAGTTTTGTAATGGGAAAACTCTCAAGGATGTCATAAAGGAAAGGAAAACAAAATATACAGACAATGAAATTTCGAACTTTATCACTTCAACAATTAAATTATTGGATTTTTTAGAAACCAATATGGGTATGTTTCATGGTTAGCTAAATTTGGATAGTTTCATTCTAATTGAGAGAACTGATAAGTCAAAATCCTTATAATATGTAGTCCTCGATTTTGGAATGTTCTTTTGGTATGATCTCAATACTGAAAGAACCTATTTCATTAGATCTATATAATAAAATGATGAATTATGGTATATGAGTCCAGAATTGTTGACTAACTATCTCAAACCAAATAATTAATTACCAATAAATCCATAGAAATGTGACATCTACTCATTAGGAATGGTAAGTCTTTAGATGGTCACACTTGGATAAATGAAGTTGGATGCGGAAAAGTCACTATAAGAATATGATGGAGATGTTGGCTTTACAGTCAGAAAATGGATGATGAATAACAAGAATCAATTGATACATGATTATCCCAATTCGAGTTAATTAATAATGTAGCTGTTGCATCCAGATTATAAATTAAGATTGTACCCTTCAGTAATGGCAGCTAAATTTTAAGGTAGAAGTTTATTTCATGAGAATGGCCTAAGTAACTAAAACTTCGATGAGGAATTAGAACTATTGAAATAAAAACGATTTTGCCCAACTTTCTATGAAAATATATTAGATGAATTAAATGGAGGACAATCTACAACTCAAGTTTTTATATGCATCAAGTCATTTTTAAAGTAGGCTATTTTTTCATTTGAATAATATCTGATTTTGGGACAACTCGAAAAATTTGATGAAATGTCATAGGATTTTGAGGAAATTCTCATTCAAAAGTACTTCCTTACTTCTATTGAATAATCTTAAGAAGAAATGTCTGACTTTTATAGTCATTTTCAAGTTTATTTTAAATCCAACATTGTGAAATTAATTTAGAATAATTTAGATGAATTCAAGTATTTTATCTTCTATTTTCAATACAAAATTATGTTTTTTGTTTATATGAATCGATTGGATTTTGGTATGAAATAGTGTACATTATTAACCAACCTCTTAAATGATTTTGAAGAAATAATAAATGAAGTTGTTCAGCTCAGCTAATCTGAAAAAAACCCTGTGATTTAGGAAAAGTTTAAAAATGATTAAAATCATATTCTCAATCTTTTACAATTACAAAAGGAAGATTATAAGTCATCAAAATTTATGAAATCATTTTCTCATCATATCAGAGTCTATATTTTTCAAATGCAAATTTTATCTTCTTTGATATGCAATCTTCACAGTGTGTATTAAATTGATATTGAATCAACCACAAAATTAGTAGCAGATCAATGGAATGAAATCAAATACGACCTTAAATATTTAGAAAAGGATGGCAATTACTTTCTGTTAACTAATTCAATCTATATTAAACTATTGAATAGATTATACATTTAATTTATTTAATTATAATTGCAGTTTGATAGTTTTGACAATAATGCTCTTAATACAGCAAATGAGCTATTGATTGATATCTAATTGATGCAACAATTTATTTCGAATGAAAAAATCACTGAAAAGCAGAGCGTAATCAAATCAATAGTGAAGTGTTCAAAACATAAATAATTAAATGAAGATCTAATGAAGTCATCTTTGGCTTATTTGAATTATTATGAAAATCAAGTTAAGTTTATTTTACTCTTAATTTATAATAGAAATAAGGAGTTTTCACAGACAGAAATCATCGCTTATTAATTGGTAAGGCAAATTATGTAATCTAATTGTGCATTGGAGCAATTAAATTTCATTCCTATGATTGGCTGGATCGGGGAACACTACTCTGAAACTGATCAGCAAGAAAACATGTAAAATGTGTATAGATTTATAATTTAATTGATGGAAGAGCAGTTTATGATCTATGAAAGCTTCTAAAAAGAGTCTACAATTTACTTCAACCATCTAAAAGTTGCCATAACTTAGACTATATTTTATTGTTCTTAATTGCTTTATTATAATGTTTTAGCAATGAGTAACGGAATCTATTAGGGATTTATGCAATTGATCTAGTCTCATAATCTGTATGGAAATGACAATCTATTGAGTCACATAATTTAAATCAAGTTGGTTCATGTGCTAATTGAGAATCAATAACATCAATATCCTTATTACTTCCGATAAAATGAAGATCAGTTGGATTACAATTATGATGTTCCAAACTCTGTATTTAGTCAATCTCTAATTTCCTGTTTACTTAAGCTGTACAAATTTACTGAAAAATATCTAATAGATAATGAAGAGTAGGAGACTATTGAAATAACTTGGTTCTAGGATGAGAAAATTAGTTAATTAAAATTAGAGTTATTGTATGGTTATACTTTCATCTTAAGTAAACAGAATGTGGAATCTGAAAATCATCATCATTTTACCGATTTGTAAATGGCCATTAAAAAATACATTTTAATTATTCAAGAAAAATTATAAAACTAAAACATTTTTGTAATTATTGAAAATAAGGTTCTCTATACAAGAGTATTATAATTGACCTATGATTATTAAGAGGCCTTTGATCATATTAAAATAGTTGAACTTTTGTAATAAATTCAATTAAAAGAAGAAGAGATATCAGATCAATAAACAGCCTCTTTATAACAAATCTTTTTTTCTATACTTGATGTCCATGTTAATAATCATTTTTTCTCTAATAATTAATAATCATATAAATAGATGATGCTATTAGATGAAATGTAATTTATAAAGAATCATAAGGTATTTTACATACGATTTTTGTTGATTAAATTGATGGATTTCTACTTAAAATGTTAGCAATTAGAATTAAATAACGAACTTATTAAGTTTTTGTTTACATTGTATTAAAACAAAGCCAAGATGTTGAAAAAGGAGAAATACACATTAAAATTAGCAATGGAAATTAGTAGATTGAGAACATATGTTCTATCTGAAGAATTACGGCAATTAGTCGAAAAATAGGATAAAAAAGATAACATCAAAATTTAAGATTTATTTGAGAAAATACAGACGGCGTATAATGTATTGGTGGAAAGTAAAGAAAAGAAATAAAAGAAAAAGAAAGGCAAGCAACCAAGATTGAATACAAATTCTGATATCAATCGATATTTGTTGGCCCAATAATTAGAACAATAAGACATGGATAAAATTTAAACAGGATTCATACATATTGATGATAAGGATCAAGGATTTGATAATTAAATCGCCTTGTGTCAATTGGGAGTGAAGTTGATTGTTTATCAATTGCATGTGGGATAATTTAGAGATGCTGATTCTATGGCCTATAATATTAAAAGAAAGTTATTTGATTTGATTTATTATGAAATTTGTAGAATGGCTTTGAATTGGCAAAGCGAAAAGATTTTCTTGAAATCAAATGCTACGGAAATATCGGTTAATCAATTATTCAAAGCGTTAAACATTCATAATTTAAATTTTGAAAATTATGAACACAATTTATTGCACAACATTGAGCCTATAAAACAAATTGCTTTAAATGTTAGAAATTTCTTAGTGTTGAAATAAGTTTTATTTATGCGATTGCTTTATTCTTATGTAGAAGGATTGCAAGCATTGTGTATAATAATGAAAGGAGATTTCAAATTATCAAAATAAAACTTAAATTTGTAAATAAATTGATTATTTTTAGCGTTTAAACCTTTGGTGAATCAAATATAGATGAGATTTCAGCATTAATCACTGATGTTTTAATGTTATTTGAGATCACAACAGCAGATTACACTTCTGCATCTAGTAAAGCAATTAAATTGCTAAAATTGCTTTAAAAAAGAATAAAGTAAACTAATATCTAATTATAAACTCATTGGATTTACAGTGAGTTTGATGATACGAGAGTTCAAAAGCAAAGAGTATTCATATTTATAATTCTGATAGATTTATCATCCTATTTAAGTTGAATAAATTATTTCATTTGAGGAGTCCGATGAATTGCAGTAATTTGCAGAAACCAAGTTCTCTTATGAGGAAACATTAACGAAAACAGCATTGAGGCCTTATTTCGAAATAGCCAAGCTAACAACGGAGGCTTATTTCGCCTATATAGAGTCTTTGATCTAGCAACCTAAAATATTAATATAGTCTGTGGATCCAATATTCTATGCTTAGAAATATGTTCAGCAATAGTATGGTTTGTAACATATTTTCAATGGCCATTTATAAAGATTGATAGCAACAATGTATTCAGAGTTTCTGATCAACAAAAGAGTGAAGGATTTAGAGGTTGCATTGTAATAAGATTCAGATAAGAAGATCAAGTTCCTCAAACAAGAGATTACAGCAAAAACCAGAGTATACTTGGAGTCTAGAGTGAAAAACAAATGCACACAATAAATGGAGAAGGTATTGAGTTTCATAATGTTAATGATAGAAATTTCAAGAGACTAAACAATTTTTAAAGAGTAAGATAAAGACTTTAAAAACAATAAGAGATGGAATTTCATATGATGTAGTTTGCAGATGGTCTTTATAAGCAGCGAATGAATCTCTTGCAATTTATTAGAAATATTGCATAGAATTCAAATATGAATCAAATCCATACTTAGGTAGCTTATATTCAACCTTTGCAAACATTTTCTTTGTAAATATTTTAATAACTTCCAGGTATAAAATAAGATTGTTTCCACTTAATAATATTTAGAAAAGGTCAAAAATACTTTGGAGTACTGTTATACATCTATTTCAAATCCAGATTATTGCAGATATTTCTACCAGTTGGGATATTTGAGATTACATGTTTTTTCGATAATAAAAATGTATATAGAGGCATTAATTGGTCTTGCAAGACTCAGTAATAGATATTTTATATTTGAATAGACCCTTCTGAAAAGTTTGAGGTTCTTCTTGCAATAATAACAGAAAATGAGAAATTCTTGTACCACTTTGATTAGTATTGTTCTCATGGGTTTTTCCTATTTTTGGAAATTAACATTCTGAAGCAGTTGGCACAAGAACGCGTAATCAGAGATAGATTGACATAATCATATCGCAAAGATGAATAAGATTTGATTAGATATTTATAAATAGAAGGAGATAAACTAGCATTTTAGAAAACGATAGATGCAAATTCAAAACCATATGTTCATGTTGTTGAAAATGTATATAAAGATGCTGTCCATCTCATTGAAAAGTAAACTCATAAATTCAACCCTGATTATACAGGATTAGATTTGTTCATTAAAGTAAAAATCCATTCAAATTATTAGGCATTCTAAATATGCAAATTACTATTAACTAGTGATAACACCATCTATTAGAAGATCCTAACACTAGTTAATAAGTTATCAAATAGAAAGAATAGCTTAATTTGATATCATAATTATTCTTAAATAATATGTAAATGTATAACTATTTTATTCTAATATTGAATGTGAAGAAGGTTAATAAAGATAATCCAATTAGATTTCGATATATAAACTTAATATCTCTAAATAAATTATCAAAATAGACATTATAAGGTATCATTTTTTCTTTTTTGACTTCTATTCTCTCAATTTTCTGTCTTATCGTTAAAGAATCTCCAATTTCTCCTTCCATTACTAGGATTAATCGAAGTTTCTCAACTTCCACCATAAAAGATCCATTCTGAAAGTAGCGTCTGATGGTATTGGGAATTAAGCCAATTAAATTTTAACTGGATAATCATTTTGAATAGATATTAATTTTTGATTATCAACCTAAAGATAGATTACTAATTCCATACTTTCAATTCATTAATCCAAATACCCTTAATCTTGTGTTTGACCTATTTAATATCATTTTTTAAATCCAATCCTTTGTATTTTCTAAAACCTTCCTTTTAATATCTCAAAATAGCTGAATCATTCACATCACAAATAGCTCCACATAAATAATCCAGTTGATTCACATATTCAACTTCAAAATATTGGCAATATTTTTTATCAGGATTGAATGTAGTTTCCAATATAATTTTATTTTTCAAATCTATTATGAATTATTTTTCAAGATAATTAAGGACTTTATCACCATATGTTGTCCCATTCAGACTACCTGGAGCGAATGTCAATAAAATCTCTTAATGTGGATTTTCAAAAGTAATCTTAAAGGTTCCAACATTTCTACCAACAACAGAATTAGAATGAAAATTAGCCACCAATTCCAATTGTCCATCAATTCTAGATATCTTAAACATAAACTTACTTATATGATCTGCCATACATTTGAATAGCGCATATTGGAGGATGATGGCTGATCTATTCACAATAGATTGGACAATTGTCATAAAACCCTTGGAAAGTTTCACCCAAGATTGGATTAAAAGGCTAAGATTAAGAAATAATAGTTACTTTCTCACAAGATATATACATAAATATGAATCCAAATTGAAATGCTGCACATTATTTGATTCTGTAATAAATATCTTAGGACTGAGCAGCATCCTCTAAATATATTGGCGCAAATCCCAAACTACTACAAACTCTTTCAGTATTAGAACGAGCTTCGAAAATTGAGACTGGCATTGATATACCAGTAATAGATTTTCCCATCAACAATGATGCTCCAATTCTGGTAATGAGAAATTTAATTACTGCCTTTTAAGCAGCTAATTTCTCTTCATTGATGACTTTCAAACCCCCGTTCTTATCTTCTCTAATGAAATCTTTCCTAAATATATAGTGTCCTCCTTCTTATTAAGTCAAAAACTATCTATTCTACCCTTTTTCTTTAGGCAACAATTGATGTTTCACATTTATTGAGAGTGAGCAATAACCTCCTGATAATACTAATTTCATTTTCTTATCTACCCATTCTTATTCATTATTATCTTAAGTATCAATTTAGACTGGCAATATAGATTGTCTTCTTGCATTTTATTCGTAAACATCTTTTACAACTTCATCTTGAATCAATTATTTATTATCCACGGTTTCAACAATAAATAACTTGTCATTCATCTCATCTATTGCATCTTCTTCTTCACAATCAAAAAATTAATCATCCTCTTCTTAATTCTATTTTTCACTTTGTTAAACAACTTTAATTTGGGAAGGTAATTATTGTTGATCAGGTTGCTATTTTTATATTTAAGGTTCTCCTCCTTACAATTGCTACTCCTATATAATGGCTTTATTGATTTGAGGAATCTCAACTGAATTTTGAGGTGGGTCTTATTTAATTGTCTTTTAAATGTACTACTTGTTTATATTTTAAATTTATTGTAAAAACACCTAAATGAGATAAGAATCTTCATCTGGATAGGATAAACCCTATACTGATTGCTCTGTCACATAACACACTTTAGTCACATTATTTCTGAAAATAGAGATAATTCAATTACTTGTATTGAATACTCCATAAACCGTATTTCAAACTTCCTTGATAACATTTAGTTTTTGGTCTTTAATCAATCTGCTTTTAAACAATAAAATCAATATTGTCTATTTTCAGATGATGTCTTAAATATTGAAATTCTCGCTTAAATACAAAGAGATTTGTCAATTAACGAATCTCACATATTTAAAAGGATTTGTCTTCAGCTAATTCTTTCACTACCATAGACTCGGCTTGAGACACGTATGGATTCCATTAATTTATTTTGTTGTTATCTGATAAATTCTGAACTATCAAATCACAGCCTAATTATAAATTTTCATTATACAATCCCCCATGAATTCTATAAAAGTTACAAATTGATGATGGTTATCAACATTTTTGTAAATTGTGAATGCTTGCTCCTTCTAAACCACTTAAAACTTCTCTAATCGTTATTGTCCCCTCCTTATTTAGGAAATACTTATCAATTACTATACAAATTATACTTTTCTCTAATTTCACTTGTATCGAAAAAAGAAGGTATTTCATAATCTATTTTCTCATAAGCCAAATCTTAATATGAAATCATTCATACTTTAAGTATTTTCCACGGGTTATTCAATTTATGACTTTAATAATTATTCTTCTTATGCTTATTTCTAAATAGAATCTTCCTTCGATATCAATTTTTACAACAAATTGATTATCAAATTAGCTTATTATTCATTTTGGATTCCCAATGTCACACTTTTGCCTCCTGCCTTAGAAATCAAATCAAATGAAATCTTATCTTTTTTTTTCTCTCGTACCTCTAACTAAATAAATTGTAAACCTCCTTACTTTGTAATATTATAAGTAGAAAGGCTTTAACTTCTTTTTTGCTTACGAGCTTTTTAATGCAAAGATTCTTTGATCTTCATCAATAATAAACTTCTTTGTTTTCCATCTCCCTAAGGTTTTTCCCTTAACTTATATTTCTCCTTCACTTATTTACTTCGATGGAAGATAAACTGTTGAGCGTAAATCCATATTTTAACTAATTTAAATAAATTGTAAAATGAATAACACTATGTATATTAAAATAATCAAAGTCTCCTCTCAAAATCTAAATAGTATGATGGGCTTCAATAATTTTTAGAATTCACACACTCACAGCTTAAAGAGTACCAATGATAATATTAGATTTTGTACTATTGAAAACCAAGAGTGTTCCATTCTGAAAAATTACTTGATAATTGATTATTGCAATTCTTGCACTTACTTAAATTAGGCAATTAGTTTATTTAATATTAAATTTGTATGAAATAAGAGTTAACATTATGAAAGTATTCTAACTTATTTATATTCATTTTATATTAGTTAATTCAAAACCGAATTATCGAAATTACTCTAAGTATTATAGTATTATTTTTGCAAATACATTTTAATTCAATTTTGATGGTATATTCATCTCAATCAAATTTGATGTTTCATCAAAACAAAACATCAATTAATTTTTGATTCTTTCAAATTCTTAATGAAGTACATTTTAACATTAACACTTTAGAATATATTCAACTAGGAAAGTTAATATATCTTGGTTTAAATCTAAAAGCTATTCACATTTTTTTTTATTACAAATTTATAAAAGAAATAGCACTATTTGAAAAATTTGGATCCAGTCTAAGAAAAGCCTACTCAATTTTCTAATCAATCTTACTGATCTAGTTCTCGTATTACTAACAAATCACTCAAACAAAAACTATGAATTACTAATTTATTTTATTTAATTTATCAATTTAGAGTGGATGATTAAAATTATTTTACTAGGATTCATTTTACTTTTTCTAGGATTTTTAATTGATATAAAAATTATGATCTAACAGAAACAATAATTTCTTCAAGAATATTTTTGAAATATGATCAAAGAGCAGTAAAATTATAAAAAAAAATTGACTCAAACTTGTTTTTCTATCTTTAATTATGAAAAAAAATCATTCTTTACTAATATAAAATGCTGAATATTATTATTTAGATTAAAATAGATGAATACCTCATAAATTAAATGCTATATAAGAGAATTAATAATTGATTCATCTCAAGAAAAGACTTTCATGCTAATTATTAAATTCCTAAATACAATAATGCTTTAAATATACCTGTAAAATAATTATAATTTTTCTATATCAAATTAAGATCCTTGCTTTAATACGAGAGAAATTTAATTTCATAAACAATCATTATATAAATAATATAAAAATAGTGGTATGTAAAATTAATTATAACATTTAATATAAATATATAAATAAAAAATAATATCTAAATGGATATTTAAAAGTTGATTGACTTAATTTTGAACACAGCCAACTCTCAACAGAAATAATAAGATTTCGAAATAGTACAATAGGTCCTAAATCTGACCAATTAGGAATTTGAAGATAGGATTATCAAATTAAAAGGGACAGGATGTAAAAGTGTTTGTTCTGCTCCTCTTCCTAAAAATGCTTTATTTTACAAATGTTTTGATTGCAGTAAAGAGCCTACTCATGTGTATTGCTAATAATGTTACACTCCACAAAGGCATTAGAGTATTATTATTATTTTACATTAGATCATGTTGTGACATATCATTACTCAAATGGGGGATGTTGCGATTGTGGAGATACATTGGTGATGAAGAAGAGGTCCTTTTGTAATCAACATTCGTAATCACAAATAGAAACACCAATTCCTGAATAATTATTGGGAGGTACTAAATTATTTAATCTAAATAGAGAATTTGGTAGAGAGATTTAGATATTTTATTATGGTGTCATTTGCACTGTTGTTTGAGCAAACCTAGAAAATTGCTGATTATAACAATAAAACGATGAATTAGATCTAGGATGCTATTTAAATTTTGAAAATCGAAAATTCTGTAAATATTATGAATGAGAATATGTCCGAGTTCCTATTACATGAAAAAGCCCTCAAAGAAGGCTAAAAATTGTATACACTTATTTTCAAAGTCCTTAAATATTTAACCTTAAATAACATCCCTTGGAGTTATACAACAAGCAAATTTATTTAAATACCTATCGATTAAAAGATTTAATAATTCATAAAACTATATCATGCCCATTCCAAGGATCCATTTGCAAACTTTAAATTAGAAAAGCAATAATAAATTTGCTAATGTACTATCTTAAATTTATTTGTCAAACATAATGTGTTTTTTTCACGATTTCTTCATGATGAAACAAATTTCATTTCAGAGTTATTTTATGAATTGCATGTTGATGAAAATTTCAAACCTAATTTATGCAAAGAAATCTTAATCCACTATAATCACTTGTATAATCCAACTTAAGTTTACAGATTAATAACAGCTGATAATTAAAAAATAAAGTTTGAAATCAATACAATAAATTACTCTGCACATTCAAAATTAAATGAGATTCTTCCAAAGGTGCTTTAAGATTAAAAAATACTGAAAATCTTTTGTAAAAATAAAGTAGAAAGGGCTTCTTTATTTGGATATTTCTATCAATTTATGGGGCACGTCGTTATAAGTCTTTTAGGCTTATATAAGGAATTTAAATCACCATAGGTTTATTCTTTGTTTGATATTTTCTCAAATCAACTGCTATAATTGTAATTTATTAATTTGCTAATTTAGACCTTTATGCAACTAAGAAACGCAGATTTTCTGCTCATAATTTGATGACATGATTCTAACATAGTTTTATGATGATGTCGTTAAGAGGCTATTTGAATAAATTTCAGAGATTCTCACATATGAAGAGGAAAGATTTAATTTCACTCCAATATACCCCAATCATCTTAAATTCAAAGAACTTTAAAATAACTCCTTGTTAATACACACTTTAAACAAAATATATCCTTGTCGATAAACTGAGACAAGTACCTTTCATTTCCTCAAGCCATAAGAATAAAGTAAATTCCAGATCTCAGAGATTATTCAAATATTTCTGCTTTAAGGATATCGAAGGTTATTGTCAGTTATAGTTGAAACTTGGAAAGATTCGAATAGATAAAATATGGTTGGGTTATAAAACATTTTTAGATTGTCAATTAACTATTTTTTAAATAACTACGTTACATCTTTTTAATTAAAAGCAGAATCCACATTAAAAAATTACTTATAAAATATAGTTATTTGTGATAGGAACTTTATAACTTTACTTTCATTATTTTTGATGGATTTTAATGACCCACAAGAGGCCTATGAAGATTTATTAAAGACTAGTAACCTAACCCCAGAGAAATTTAGATAAATTCTGTTGAGCCTGTTAAAAAGAACTTTACTTAATCACATTATACTGTTAAAGAATGGAAATCCATAATTATATAAGGGTTAAGTGAAGTTGTATAAGGAACAAATGAAACTAAAAGAGGTCTCACTTGAACAAGTAGATGTAGCTTACATTTAACTATATGCCTTTTTATTTGGCCCTCTGGGAATTAATGATATTGTCTCCAGTTATAAAGAAATTGCAAATTTCTTCGATTACAAATCAGATCCTTAATTTCTTATATGTAGGATTGCTTAAACAGATTATGATCTGATTTAATGCGTAGGAGACATGTTTGGAAATGAACTACCAAAAGAATTTTAAAAAGGCTTAAACAAATTGTTCCAAACAATCTTTTTCGCTTAGTCATTTTACCAAGAGAATGATCTTCGAGAACTTCTTAAAAAGTTTAGTTATGATAGCAGTTTGGATTTATAAAATATTATTTTAAGCTCTTGTGAATTAAATTAGGATAATGAATAGTTGTAATTAAAAAGATAGCTTTTACCTGTTTAATATGAACCCATTTTTGCTTCATTGGTATTAGAACTAAAAGAATAAATAACAGACAAATTGAAAACATAAAATGACAAATAATCTGAGTTATTTGGAACTTCTCTAGCTAATGAATTAGCCCAATTAAACGAACATAAATCAACTTTAACATATAAGAGGCTAGCCATACTTAAAGCTATTGTTTTAGACTAAGAATAAAAAGTACTCCAAAATATTATAGAATAAATATAAGGTTAACAGGAGTTGGGACTAGTTAAAAATATTTCTTAATTATTGGAGGATTATTCTGTATACATTAACTTAGTTTATTTATGTAATAAACATTTTAAAAATTAAAATAAGAATCTCTAAGATTATTTGATTACTATTTCTTCGATCTGCTTTTAAATCCTATAAGATGTTAATTTAACTTAAACATCAAACAGTATCTATGAAATATTTGCCAGATAACTTGACGAAACCTTGAGTTAATATCCCTTATAAGTTGAAAGTGATGCTTAAAGAGCCTGTAGATCACAAATATCAAAGAAAAAGTTCTAGAAAAAATTTGAAAATATGGGATCAGCATTTAGTAATCAAATTTTAGAGACTCCAACTTAAATGAGTAGCGACAATTGCTCTTTATGTTAATTGCAATTTGAAAAAGAAGAAATTTAATATAGGGCTATATTGATTTCTTATAACAATGTTAATAAACACATTAAAACGATGCCTTAACAAATGCAACAAAACTAATAAATAGACATTTTCTAAATTGTAGCATCAAGCTGTTAACACACTTTTCATAAATAATGCTTATTCTAGAATGAATAAAAATATACCATAGGTGAGTTTTAATATTTGAGATGTCCAATTTGCTTATCTCCATATAACTTTCCATTTGTAAGTCCAATTCATATTACAAGTGCAACTGATAAGATTCTTAATGAAAATTTGGACTTCTTTTTATGTACCCTTACAGATAAAAAAATGATGGAATATTATAAAAGATTTGAGGTTGAAGGAGGAGGATTAGAAATTCCAAAACTTCTGGATGAAATTTTTTCACAAGTTCTTTGCAACTTATTATTTTAATTGCTGAGTGATTTAAACAAATTTACATTGAAAACCACCCATTTATTATTATAAGATGTCTTGGCTCTATTAAGAATACTGTTTTAAAACAATTAAACTACTGTTTTAGAAGAAGTAGTTCAAAATGATTAACAGATCCTTTTTAGAATCTTAAATATAATAGTGTAATATATGATAAAGTAAAATAATATTAATGATTTTAAATCAGGATTGCGATAAATATTTGATAAAAACACTAATCAATCTGCAATAATTCAAGCTTTGACTGAAAACTGTGTCATTTCATAAATTGATTAACAATCACTGCCATATGATCTAGAAAGAATAAGTAAGGACTAAAAATAATTTTATATAAACCAATTTCAATTGAACTTCAAAGATTTTTTATTAAGGTATTATCTATCACCTTGCCAAAAAAAATAATGTCAATTTTTGCCATTGTGGAGAATGGAGAATCAGGAGCAGAATCAATACCTTTGTTTAATTTGTCTGAAGAAGATGTGCGCTCATTATTGTGGAAGACCATAAAAAGTAAATATTTCGTCTTTATGTAGAAAAAAATTGGAAATTTGTCCAGACATTGTTATAAAAGGCATTTAGGTAAAACTTTGTATCTTAACTTAAATAATAGTTAAATTATCATCATGCAATCACCATACATCACTATTAACGTTAATCCCTTATATAAAAATTTAATAGGAGAAATACCTTACATAGGATATTATCAATCAAATCATTATGAAAGATTCAAGTTAAATTTAAAAGCCATAGATTAGATTATTGAAATTATCCTTACAGATAAATTTGTCCATAAATTATTTTAAAATCTCAAGAAAGTTAAACGAACCAATTTGTGAATTTATTAATTACATTCATAGATATAAAAAATAAGGTTTTTTTAATTCTTCTCACTTTCTCACTGTAATAAAAAATATAAAACTCAAATTAAGATATTGCAAATGACATATTATGTTCAATTTCTCTCCTGTGTAAATTCATAAGAATATTTTAATTATTTAAATATCACATATTTTATTGCTGACTGCATCTGATGCAAATAATATCTGTAAATAATATGAATACTATTTTGAAGTCTAAACTTAATATGAATAATCAATTAGATTAAAATGTAACCTTCGTTAGTATTAAAAGCATATTTATTTTCAATAAAATGTGTCTAACAATGTAAAATGTTCTTCAGATATATTATTAGATTCAATTTGCTCCATCCGTAATCTCTTATTTGTAAGGCATTATTTAAGATTTTTTACTAGATTAGCTTCAAATATTTAAATTGGTATAATTACCAGTTGCAAATGTTAGTATTAGATTAATATTAATTAAGTATTTTGCATTTCTGTTGAATCTTAATAAGAACAAACTTATTTATAATCTTAATCTCATTCGTTATTGAAAATAAAGTAATTATTGAGAGAAATATAAATTATTTAAAATAGAAGATTCGTGGTTTTTCTCTCAAATTATAGCATTGTTAATTTACTGTATGTTAACCGCTAAATATATTTTTCATTTAGTTTAAAGTTTTTTTTGTTTAAGTATCATTGAAGTATTACAAATGAGATTGAAAAATAATATATATATCATATTATTAAAAGTAAAAATGGCCATAAGAAACAGATTGTTTTCGGCTTTCAATTCCATACATAGGTAACTGAAATCGAAATTCTTAGAATTTTTAATGTTGAGGCTAAATTCTTACCATACACATGTACGACGAGAAATGAAGCCCTAGTACAGAATCACACCAAACATCAATCCTACTTACAGTATTAGCATTATAATGGATTAGCTACGCCAAAAAAGATTAAAATCTCTAAAATATTACTAGATCTACATTAGATGAATTCTAAAAAATGGAATTTAATGTGATTTCTAAATTCTAAAGAAATGGGCTAAGTATGATTGCATCAAATCTCAATAGATAATACACAAGTGGATCCACATTAAATTATCTACTAATTGGACAGAATTGAAGTTTTAAGAAAATTAAAGTATGTATAATTGTCAATTCCTAGAGTACTGGAAAAAAGTGCTGGAGCATTTCCACAAGATGAAGCGGAATGCTTAAAACTAATTGCCAAAGTCCACTTAGAGGAACAAAAGTAAGAAAATTGTAACTTTTTAGTGCATAAGAAAATTTAGATAAATTTATTGAGGCTAATCCATAATGTAGTAGATTATTATACCTTGGATAAATTTGAGCATGATCAATTATTAAAAATAAACAAAAATACGTAAATAAAATGTAAATGATTTCCTTCCAAACTTCAAAGTCATTTTTTAAAGGGAAATTTTGCGAATATTTATATTTATTAGTTGAAATTGCATCCTCTTAAGTACTTGTAGATAATATCTTTATAGTGCATGTATTGATGAATAATAAAAAAGATATATCAAAAATAAAAATCTATTTAAAAATATTGTTTCTTCCAAAGTTTAGATTAATGCAGTATTTTTTTCAAATTTTATTATTGCATCAAAGTTTTTTTTTCTATAAAGACTTTTTTGAAGTAGCATAACTATTTTATCTTGATTATAAATTACATAATTTATAATAAATTCAAGTTTCATTAAGAATTTCGAATCGTTTTTGAAAAGGAGAAAATGGCTTCCTTATATCTCTGAAGTAGTTTGGAGTGAAAAGCTAAGATTTGTATCAAACAATTAAAATCATTATCCCATCTGCCTGTATAGATGCTAGGTGCAAAAACAACAAATGCAATAGTCATAACAGCAATTAAATTCTATTGAAAAATCTTAATAATCACTCAAATCTAAATTATTAATTGGATACAAATTCATATTATGATTGAGCCGAATCAAGTTTATAAAATCGTAACAACTTTTGTTGTTTTGGTAATACCTCTACATTAAATGGTGCTGGGTTTCGGTTCCCTTTATAACTTAAATTTATTAATTTAACTTTATTTAATTCAACATACTTCTATTCAGAATTATTTACATAAACCAAAGCGTACTCATCATCTAATCTCAAATTATATATTTTCATATATTCATTTCTTTAAATGATTGATGTGGGTTCATTTATTGCTTTTTCTATTAATTAATAATCTGTTAAGGGTCCTAAAATTTCAAAATTTTCCTCCTCTACACTAAAATTATGTTTGTCTTCGTTTTCCAAGAGAATTTAAAATGATACTAATTTCCTTTCATTAGGTAGGACTTGTATCAGTTAATTTGATTGATCATTATATGGAAAATTAACAATTACAAGATGTTTCATTAATTTAAAAAAAACTTTTAAAGTTTAATTTAGAGTGTTATTTTCAAATAGAATATATTTATACCTACCAATCTACGATTACACACTATATAATTGATCATTACCATATATTCTTTTGTTTTAACTTTTTGAATGGGAATATATTATTTCATTTAACAAGTCTAATTTTTCATTTTCTCTCATCTTACTCAGCTATGTAAAATATACTTAACAATTGCCATATGATTATATATTTAATTTATAGTTAGTTTATGATTACCAAAAGGCTTCAATATAAATTAAATATGATCCAATAGCTAAATTGCATTCAATTGTTAAATCCCTCACTTGCTAATACTTACTATGAATAAATTTAAAGTTTTTCCTATTTTTATTATCTTCAACTATTGTAATGTGAAGTTGAGCATAGTAATTTTGATTGCATACCTTTAAATCCTGTTAAGACACAGTGATGAAGGCGTGACATTACTGCTGTATCGTCATTTATATTACTTACTTAACCTACTAATTTTTAATTGGGATTTCTATTTATTATGTAATTTAGATGTAGTATTCATCAAAAGGGATAAAAAAAAGCTTATAATTACTAAAATCATTTATAATTAGTTTAACCTTGCGTTGTAAATCTAAAAAATAATTACTCTCTTCATGCCTTTACATCAAAAATATATCCTTTTTTTCATCCATTAAATAAAAGACGTTTTACAAGTTAACATAGTTGCTAACCTAATGGTTGAACTCTTACTCATCTAGCACTAAATATGGCGCTCCTGTAATATCTCTTATTATTTCATTCGCCATATCAACCTATTCTAACTTTTCATAACAACCATAGATCTTTGAAAAGGCTTTCTCAATCAACTAAACCCAATAATCTTCACCATCATAGAAAGAGAAAAGTGGTTTACCACTCATATTAAAAGGCAGATAATCATCAATCACAATTTCTTACCAGAATCCTTATTAATTTAAAACTATCCTATATTAGCAATTGCTCTAGATCTGTTTTATTAAAAATATTTTTCGTATGGTTACATCATAGAACGAAAGGATTCTTAAGGCATTTAAAAATTAATCATTTTTCAACTCTCCCTTTATGATTTACAAGTACTAAAATTCCTATTTTTAATAAAAATAATTACACGACATAAATTCTAATTGATATTTGATTTAGCTATTCTCTTCCATTAATAATTTTTTAATGCTTCAAATCTACATGGATCTTTTGATAAATTGATATTGATTCTTTAGAAAACCTCATCTGTGTATTCTTATTCATTATAAATCAATTTGGCATTTCTGAAATGATTATTTTTATAAGGTTCTTCTTATAATGGTTATCGCGGTATAGTGACATTTAATGACTCCTTATAATTAATTATACATCCCATTTTATTTAGTAAAACAAAATTATGATTATTTATTTTAATACTAAATTTCATACATTATTGAACAAATTTTTATAAACTAGAAAATATTTTTAATTATTTCTTATTGTGTGACAACTAGATAAATTGATAAAGGAATAAGATATGACTGATCTAATTGAGAATTTAAAGATTAATTGTTGCTCAAATTTATTCCAGAAAATTGTAGCAATTGTAGATTCATTTATTTAGAATTAAATAAACTGCATAATAAAAATTGATTTTATAAATTATAGAAATTCATTTCAATTTTTAAAGATGAAATTCAGAAAAATTATCATTTGATGTTTGTTATTTTAATAATGTTTCTTCTAACATGATACTTTAGAAATATATTAGATGACTTTTAGGAAAAATGGTTTTAGAAGTACTGATGCTGTATTATTTTATTAACTTTTAGCTAATGTATTTCCTAAATTAGACTCATCTGCCTCTTATCTCTGTGACTGGCCAATAAATGAAAAATGACTGTGATTAAAAGAACAATCAAAATCAACATTGAAAAAATTATTCGATGAATAGTTTCGAGTTAAAAAAAGAAAGATTATTAGAAGTTCCCCCTATTTTGAATAGCCATCATTTTGTTTATGCTTTGTAAAGAAAAAGCAGTGATTGCTATTAACAACATCAAAATTCAGATAAGCATAAAGCTATTAGGGGATAATACTAGGTGTTGTGCAATATAAAATTAATGTTTCCTACTAAGTAAGTTTTACGTGAGATATTTATCTTAGTGCTCTATTTTTAACCTTAATACTTAATAGATAGTGATGAAAAATGTATTGTAAATTTTGTTCACCTTAGTTATTGCATGTTCCAGTTTATATAAATATAATGCCACTAAATAAATAATTCCAAACAACATGCTCCAAAGTCACTTAACCTATCTATGGTAGTATTAGTGTCCTATTTGAAGGAGGAAAATTATATGAATATGTAGTTAATTGACATCGATTTATTTATAGAGTTTGATATTCTGATGAGATTGCAAATAGATCTCAATCTTGATGTCATTTTCGCAGTTTTTATTTATGTCAATTTAAATATCACAGTAGCGAGAGTGATTTCTCAGGTTAATTGAATTTAAATGAATACCTTCTTAATATTTGACTTCTTACTAAATTCTATAATTCCAATAACTCAGTCCCTTTGTGAATTTGAGCAAATTTACAGTATGATTTGTTGAAAAAAAATCAAATAAAAAAACTATTGAAGTAGAATATATTAAAAAAATTTGTTAAAAAAAAGAAAAAGAGTTTTTAATCCTTATAGTTGTTGATAATCTTTAATATATGTTTATGATTGTAGATCAACACCCTTTTCCTATTTGTTATAACCTATCTAATTTATTTATGGCCAAAACTTCAAAGAGCTCCTTGTTATCTTCACGCATTCCTCTTGGTGATAATATCTAACTTAGCAATTCCTTTATCTATTACTCTTCATTTAAATAATCCAAAAGCCTTTTGACGAATTTCTCTCATATAAAATTTGAGTGAAAATCTATCTATAAAATATTTCATCATTTTAAATACTAGTTAGATTTAGCAATAAAAATTAAAATCAAATTTTTTTTAAATTATTATATTTTTATTATATATAAATATTTAGACTTGATTCAATAGAAAATAATAAAAATTGAATCATTTCTCTGTATTATGTCCTTCCCATAAATGCATCAGAATTAAATAAAATGTATACTGATTCTCTAATATTACAATCCAATCCTTTAACTTTATTCTTTTAAAATAAATGATTTGAGTATTAAACAGAAATTTAAATCTCTTAAAGAAAATCACTACAATTATAGGCATTCTAATTAGATAGATATATTTAATAATTAATTTTGGTTAATTCATTGAATGGATTTGAAGATTTAATTGAAATTTAAAATTTATGAATTAAATTTGTATTCTTTTTAAAATTCTATATTTTTTCATATTATATGAATATAAATATGAGCGCTAGAATCAATGGTATTAGGATAAATTAAACTATCAAAAGTTGCAATGAGCAAAATCCGGTTGGTCCCAAACTTGAGAAAAAATGAATCTCTTTAAAATTACAAAATTATTCTACTTTTTATAGCGGGTATGGTTTCAGGAATGGAAAAATCTTTATAGCAACCATAGAATGGTGATCCATATGCTTGATGGTGTGTTTCAAAGTGTATCACTGACTATTCATTTACCCTGCTTTCAAAATGATCTTTGAAAGACTATTCTTTGTTAATATTTCTGTTCATTCAACTTTCTGATTATGTAGAAAATTCGATGAAAATTTTCTATCTTCAATTAAAGAAGTTGATCTGTGCCTTTATAACACAATATATTTAGAGTTATCACTAGAAGCAAATGGAGTAGAAAATTAAACAGCAGCAACAAAATTTTGAAGTCTCATCAAATATTTGCAACTACATGATTCAGATAATAAATACAGCTCCATAACATTCACAACTGAAACATAAAATAGTATTGTTCATAAAGTAATTTAGAAGGTGCTGGTGTTGTATAAAGTAATATTCAGAATTCATGAGCTAAATGTTCTCTGCAAAATTCATTAGTAAAGTCAATATATAAGAAATATTAACACTAAAGCATTCCTAATATCAAAGGACTGTAGAATGGGCAAAAAGTGCATATATTTTAATCATCAGATATATTTCACAGCGATGAAAAATTATCAAGCAGCGCTACTTTCAAGCCTATATTCCTCCGAGTTATGGAGTTCATAAGTAGCATTTATGATACATTTAGCTTAGTGAGTCAAAGTTGGACTACAACCTTCCCTCGTTCTATGAAGAAAGATAAGAAATGTCCATTAATTGAACTTAACAGGTAGTAAAGGTATTAAATTCAATAGCAGAAGTGGAGAGACTCAAGTACGCATGTTGCTCATTTTCTATTAATAGTACCTTACAATTTTTTCATTGCAAACTAAATTTCTCAATTCCTCATTAATTTATTTACTAAATACAGGTATGCATGTTTATCCATATTGAAGTAAGATAGACTATATAAATATGGCACAACTATTGAACAATTACCATATTTATTTTCAATAATTCCACTACCTCTTTTAAGCTTGAATCTCCTAAACCAATAGCATATGATATACTACTACCACATATATCTGTTTTATTTTTTTGTAAAGATAAACAAAGATCTCAAGTAAAAGTATGCTTATATCAGTTGGCATATAAAAACAACTCAAATACTTATTCATTACTGAATTAGCATCAAAATGTATTCATGTGCACGCACATAAAGTTAAAACTTGAAGAAAAACTAGGAGAATTAAGGGATGAATCATAAAATTTTTTACATGCTGGGTAGATGCATCCACCCATAATCATAATTTAAGTGTGGAGGCCTATACATCAACTGGTATAGCCTAACAGTCTAATGCATGCCAAAATTAATCACAAGTCTAATTAGTTTATTCGCTTAAACTGCCAGCCGTACCATATCATCATATGGGACAAGAAACACATTTCTATATTAACTGTTAGATTTCTAATAGACTTAATTTAAGTGCAAAAAAAAAAAATTAGTGTTCTCATGACTTGCACCACTTAACTAATTAGTTAGATTATTTTATTATTTATTTTAACAATTAGACTAAGAAGCCATTAGAGGTACAACTAGAACATCTAGTTGGTGTATTAAACAAAAGAGTTTTCACTGAATTATTTCAAGAAACATTTGATACATAAATTAAGCAACTGAAAGCAATACAAGCTAGGAGAGCATGTGAATTATACTCTTGATGAGTCAATTAAAAGGAGATCAACTCCAAGAGGAAGGTAATGCATCTCTAACAGCTAATATAATAGGACAAAAAATAACAATGGTGATGAAGGACCCTTTGCAGCCGAGCATAACAATTTGCCTATATGAGATCACAATAAAAATGCATCTAAACAGTCTGAAATTTATTTGAAGAATCTAATTTATTATTTTAGATCATTTGCTGATCTCTAGTATACTAAATTACTAGGGCAATTTATAAAAACTTTCCTAGAATTGCTTCAAGTGACTTCATATTCGTAATAAGGAAGAATTTCAAATTGCTAGCTTTTATAAACAGTTTAAACATATTTAAGGAATTACAACGCTATCGATTGCATCAAAACGGTATCAAGAATTCTACTATAATTACAATTTAGGAGGTCATCTTTGTAACTAAGTAACATAACACCTAAAATACATCTGAAAAAATAACTGTACCTTAACACATGTAGCAGAGTAGTTGCAAACAACACAGTGCCATCTATCATCTAAAATATATCCATATAATTATACATCTCTTACATGTATGTTGATCTAAATTAATAATAAACTTAGAATAGTAAGCTACCTGATTGTAGGGTAAATTGCTTTAACAAAAATTGAACATGTTTGAAAAAGATTTATATAAACTAAAATTGATTATCGCTATTCTGTAAGTATTTTTAAAGACAAACAAATAGTAATTCATCTTATGAACATGAAGTACATCAAAAGGAGGAAACTGTAACACATATTAACTGATGCCTGAAAAATTGTGTATGCTTTACAGAAAACGAGAAACCTTTTTAAAAAGTAGCATATCATATATTCAATGCAACTTGAAACAATAATGAGAGATACATAAACAAGACGTAATAAACAACTACACAAAGCATTAAAATTGGAATGCTAGAGCTTGAATATCAGATGTATGATTATCAATATTTCATGAGTTCAATCAAATACTAAGTTACAGAGTTGTTTCAAAGACTCACATGAAGTGGGACATGAAGAATAAACATGAGGATGTTGGGAGGTTTCATAAAATTATTAAGAAAGTTTTAGTAGCAATTGATAATCAAGCTGCAGAATATAGGCATGAAAACATGAATGTTATAAGTAATTTAGGCAAATTACAAATGATCTTTGTTCAATAAAGCAAAAACTGCTTACAATTCTCAGGTGCATTTTTGATATGATTTGCGCTGCACTATACTATAAACAACAGAATTAATTTTGAAATATAACACTGACATAAATTGTATACCTTAGGACAAATGCCAGTATAAGAAAGTTTTCTTGAGATTCAGAAAATTAACTAGAAGTTCAATCATTTAATTGTGGTAGGCTGTAGTTATAAATGCATTCTTTATTGTTCTACTTCTCCTGTTTTAAAGTGCTCTACTTTTCCACTTGGTAAGTATGAACAGCATTCTTTATAAGGAAAACCACATTAAATATTGTGATAGGAATAGATGTAGTTAAGTTATACACTTAATTGTTAAATGATGCATATAAGGTATCAGAGGGTTCAAAAACCGACATGATGTTGTTTAACATTATATACAACCAAGAAGATTTTTGGAATTGTCATTTCCACAACAACTTGATTCAGCAGCTAATACGTCTGCATAATATTCACAATTTTAACATGAAATGAAATTGTAGAAAAAGAATGTGTCAAAAAGTATCTCCATTATTTTGGCATATAACACAAGGAACAAGACTTTTAGAATTGTAGGGACACTAGTGGAATGCATTTAACAAATATTTACATGAGTGACTAGGATCTCAACAATTTTTGTAAGATTCACAAAAATCAACATAAACATGATTATTATGAAGGAAAAATCTAGTATGACAGTGTTGCCATGATGTAGAGCCAGTTTAAATGAAGGACCTAAGTTGTGATTCATCACATTAATTACAGGCAACATAATTTGTATAGCACATTAAAAGGCCCCTAATCACATCTCGCTTTTGTTAAGAGAAACATTCTAAGTGATTATTAAAGCATTGGAGGGGTTCCAAAATTAATCACAAGAGTTGTTCTAGAGAAAAACTTGTATTTCTTGATTAAAAGAATGAATGCTTCAATTTAAACCAGGAAAATGCATTATAATTATTTAGACCCAATTCTAACCTAGTCTCAAATAGATTTTAGCTAATATATTTGTAATTAAAATCTTCATTTAAGTAATCCACTTGAAAAGGAAAATATTAGCTTTTCCAAAAAATAGAGGATATGGAATATGAAAGTTTAGTTCTGAAGATTAACTCTTGTAGATAGAAATATCCATAAAATTGCTTTTCTAGTATTTTAAAGTTAAATATTTATTTTCATTCATATTTAATATTTCTGAAATTTCTGAAATCCTAACTTTTTTTTCCATCTTTTATTTCCTATTATTTTTTCTATTATTTTTTATTTAACATTTGATTTTATGTGTTAAAAGCCATTAGAATTCGAAATCTCCCTAAAAAAAAAGAAATTCCTTTGCCTTCTATTTGAAAAACTATTTATATATATAATAGGTAGAATAAAATGAAAATTTTCAAAATTATTTGAATGTAATCCTTAATTTTCATATATTGCATTTGGTATTAAAATATTTTAGCAGTATTTTAGGATTAATAATAATGATATAGACATTAAGTCGCAACCAGTTAATAATTTTATAAGTATAGCATTCCTTATGCTTCATCCTAAACCAAAGGAGAGATGCCTCCTCAATAGCTATAAGATGAAATCACTCATAATTCCATTCGAAAAACTCACTCCGAGCCAAACCCACATGGCTTTCAATTTTTTAATTTCACTTTACCCATAAGATACCAACATTATATCATCGACTGGCAGCTGATCCTTAAGATATAAATAATTGGGTAGTTAATTAAAAGACTCATTACTATTTAGAGCCTGATCAATAAGCTTCTTTAATTAAAATTCTCTGAGAAATTGTATTAGCGGAGTGTAAATAAAGTTAAGCTGTATGCCAAGTGCAATCAATAGAACTAGAACCATATAAATGAATAAATTAAACCACGTATGATAAGATTTGTTCTTAGAATATGAAATACTATTTCTTTTGAACTTAATCAACTACTACATGAAATTGCCTTGTCGCTTGAGTAAATTTGAAGTAGTGCCCAAATTAAGTGATGTTCCCGAAAGTAGGTTTCACAAACATGACTAAGTTGTTCAATTAACACCCATATAAATTACAAAAGGATGCATCTCTTGTTTAGTGATAACAAGAAACTGGACATCAGTTGAGTCCCACCTTTTTTTCAGCTGGCTCAGCATCACATAGTGGCTATTATCTTTATTTAGTAATGCATGTTAGCTTTACCTGATACTTAGATGAGCATTATGGTATTTTGAGCTGCAACATCAATTAGTCTTGATACCTTTGTCTCTTTCATAGACCTTATTAAATATAAGATTTATTTATTTTGCATATTTCTGCATATTTGCAGATTGATGACTAGCAATGTAATGCAAATTTTAATACCAAGTGAAAACAAATGAGGATAAACTTGAGTTCTTGTCTGATACTTCTAACGTTTGATATAAATTTTTGTATGGAACGGTAAAAAGTCAACCATATATAATTAAGTAGTGGCTAAAATGGAAGAAACTAATGGCCTATTACCAAATATTATAAATTGTTGTTTAACAATTCAAAATGCTCTGATGACTCTCCTTGTGAAACATTATTGCTCAATAATGAGATCTAGTATTCTCAAATGATAATTAGGTTGTTCTACTAGCAATTCATTTATGGTAACAGTTAAGCCAAAATTTATGTCATCTGAGAGTAATCTCTAACATTCCAGGCCATTAATATGGTTAATACCTATTAAATACATAAGTTGGTTTTGGTTAAAAAATATACAACTTTGAAATAATATTATGATGGAGTTAGCTAAATTTATAATGCGCAGTGTAATGTAAAATGTTGTATGCAAGGTTATTCAATCACAAAAAGATACAAAGTAGATCTTTCAATTTATTAGTAGAACCTACATCATGGTGAGCGTACTAAGATAGTGTAAATTAAGATTTTAAGTTGGAGATTCTTAAAAACAACTATTTGTTAAGTACTTTTTTAGGTAATCGTATATGCTAAACATCAAACATTATGATACCATCTTAAAAAGTCAATCTTGCTTTTCAAATTATTCGATCAAGGAATGGTCAGCGAATTTTCATGTAATGTTGACTTAGAAATACAGAGGATTTATTACATCCACTCTGCGATACTGCCATAATTGAATTCTCTTTGTAATTAGTTCTAAAAGCTCTGCCATTTGTAGATTATACTAGATTTGAAGTATATAAAATGGCGATCTTTACATTAATTTATTTTCTGATACTAGAAAGGGTAAAGTTCTCCTTTCTTCAGGATTATAATTATATAGAACTGGAATCAATGCTCAAATAATTCTTCAACAAACTCTAAGACCTCTACAGTCAGTCTCTCTTTTCAATGTATAAAATTTTGGTATTCTAAAGTATTTATTTAGTGTTATGGAAATAGTTTCATGATGTTGCTGGTTACCTACTTCTCAGACAAAATACACAAAGAAGGAGAATATGTATTGCTCATAACACGTGCACTAAACAACCATTAATTCACAATAGAGACTCCTATGAGTAATGATACCAATTTCATTCAAGTGCAATTTGGAAATAGTGTAAATTTGTATTATTCATATTGGAATTTAAAATCTGCAATCTTACTTAGCCAGCCTACAATTATTTATCAAGTGCATAATACTTGGCTAGAGATAGATGCAGAATTAATTTGGTCGAAAACTCTAACCCTGAGAGAAGAATATGTGAAAACCAAACATTATAAATTGTTCCTATTAAATATGTCTTGTGAAGATTATATTAGAACTGATATCATTATACATTAGACGCTGTTTTGGCATACTTTAAGTGATGTACTGATGTTCAAATTATTGACCAAATTAGACTGACACAAATGCTTGTTTCTCCTTTTGTAATACATATAAAATGCTGAACCTAGTTAGTACTATATGAATAATATCAAAATAATTTAAATGCATGCACTACTTGATTAAATAATTGTGCAAACTTTCTAGCATTAGTCCTTCTGACAAATACTCTTTATTCAGGTATTCCAATCGTTTAAGGCACGATTCCAACTAAAAACTTGATAATCGTAAATTGACCTAAATCTAGTATAAGAGTTAGGAATAGCTATTTTATGGTCGCGTTTTGGATACACAGATGGCTACATGTTTAAAAATTGTTATGCTATCCTAAAACAGTAAAGATTTAAGATTGCTCTCCCTAGCAACTGAAATACTTGTTGTAAGGCGCTGTGGAACGCAAATCTTTGTGTAACTTGAAGAATCTTTTCATCAAAATGACATCAATTCTGTAGTAGTGCTGTGATACTATATCAGATAGGCTTCCTCTATTCCTGTATTAATATACCATCGCCAGCTTAAGACATTAAATGTTGTAATCTTTTCTCTTGTATTCCAAGTAATTTTTATCATCACCCTCATGCACAACATGTATAAATCGTTGAGTAATTTTTACATTCCCCCCAGCTACTGAATTAAGTGCATCTGTCCTTTATGCTCATTTTACTAATATTTGCCTTTTTATCATGTAAAATTTTAATTTGCACAGCTAATCAAATTATATTGCATTACTTATACTACTTTTTCTGTTTAAAGTTTGATAAAGGAGATGATAGCATTAAAAAAAAGTACATCAAGATTTTTTCTGTTTAATTCAAATCTATGATAATAATCTTTCTATAAAGTAAATTCTACATATAAACTCAATTTAATTTAGTCTAAAAATTACTTACTTAAAAGGATAAAATAGTTGAGTAATTCAGTATTCCAGTTTTTCCTTGAGGATTGATGAAATTTCCTCAACTAGGAGTCATCTTGTCATAGAGAATATAATTCTGAGAAATTCATACTGAAAAGGAATAAAGTAAGCAAGAATTTGACGAACTAATTCTAGCCCTATAGAACGGAATTAAAAGAAATCTCTTAATATAAGAGCGACTCTGTCTTAACACATAAGGCAATATTTAAGAGTTTATTTGATATTATCAAATAAAAACCAAGGCACTGATATTTATACACTTAAGCCCAAAAGCATTGCTAACTTATTGATTCTTTTATTAACACACAAATTACATTGATGGCTTTAATAAAAAATTGTAATCCTCAACCGATGGTGAATCGAGAGTCTTGTTTCATTGGAAGCAAGCAATTGTTAAATAAAAATTGCGAGCCACTAAGATCAAGTTGAATGATTTCCTGAAAACTTGGATAGTGTTGTGTAAAAACTGTAATCTGATTAAAATAATATTGGATGGGACAAATGTTGTTCTTTATGATTGATTTTATTTAAATTAAACATCAACTCCAAGCAGAAGTTGATGTTCAAATAACTCTTCAAAGTATTAAGATAGGGTGCTTAAATCCTTTGCATTTCCCAAATTTCTATTTATGATCCTAAATAAAGTATTTCTTGTTCTTGGGGTCTTCATTTCTCGCTGTCTAGACTTCTTCTTAATTTACTAATATTACAAAACTGCCACAATTAGTCTTTTGAAAGTAAAATTCCATACGATAACATTACACTTTGCACTTGATGCACATAAAGTGTTATGAAAAATTTGCGTTAGAAAGTGGATTAATAATTTTAAATAGTCTTTTAGTTTCCAAAGGTTCAAATCGTTGATGTTAACAAAATGTCTATTTGTCAGTAATAGCGATTATCTTCCTTTCGCTGAAATTACCTTTTACTTATCTTGAAGTACTGAAAAGTGTATAATATGAACTGCTACTAAATTTTGCAAATGATGTACATACTAAATTGTTAATCATTTTCATGCAAGAGCTTTTACATTTAATTTTGCACAGTGTATGAGTCATATTTTGCAATGTCTTAACAATGTTACTCATATTATTGGGTAAACATATAACAGTCAGTAAAGGTATCAGAAGTTGCATTTAGAATTTATTAATACAAGCCAGACTCTGTAGTTGCCTAACAAATATCTTGTATCAAATACGAGTATTAATGAGATTTTCTGGAAACAATTAGCCTTTGTAAAAAGAAGCGTTTATGCTTTTGTGATTTGTACTAGTAGCTAATAGAGCTGGCATATGATTTGAAAAAAGAGTGTGTTTATTGATAACTTTGAGTGGTTGAATTAGGATATCTATAGAATCGAGCAGTAAATTTTTTTCCTCTAGCAATATTGTAGTTTTCAAACTAAGTCCCGGCTATTAACTAATCAATTAAATTTTAATTGTTAAATATGTACTTCTGCGGCACTTCAAAAGTGATATAATTAAATTTTACAGCTTTGCCCAACATAAAGATAATTAAGATACGCTCAAATGTATTTTTCAGTATATGATAAAGCTTTGTAGAGAATGTGCTTAGTATAGCTCCAGAGCTTGAATACTTGATTATCATATGTAATATCTGAATAGAAGGGTTATTTATACCATTTCTAAAATGATGAGTAAAGTAATAAGTGAGTGTTGTGGACAAAAGATTCAACACAACTAAAATTTATTATGTTTTAGAAGTCTTTTGATCAATCTGGATAGGTAGAAGCAATTTTGCTGGAATAGATAAACTCAGATTAATACATTTTATGAATATTTTATTCGTATTTACTCGTATCGATTTTCTATCTGTTAAAAAAAAACTACCACATTATCCTTTGCTTTTAATTAATATATATACAGATATAAGTTGCTAGATTTTGCAATTTAAAATTTAGCCACCATTGTATGCTGTGTCTAGCTAACGCACTTCACAGGATATAATCTTAATCACCATTAAAGTGCTCAAGAAAATTTTTGTTATGGCAATAAAAGTAGATTAGTAATATTTGAGTAAAAAGTATTTCAACTTCAGTTCATTTGAGCAATCTTTTAAATGATGATATCATCAAATTAACTTAGGACACTAACGTTAAAGAACATATAATACCTAATTGTACAGTTATAAAAGAGCATCAATAAATAATTCTTACTGTCAAGATTTTGTAGCTGTAAAAATATCAACACTCTCTCCTATTAAGTCAAATATTACAAAGGTAACAATAAACCTATATGACATCTCAAATTCAAAGAAAGCTAATACAACTAATAAGCCAATACTGCTGTAAATTAATAAAGAAAGTTAAACACAAGCCAACACTCAATAATTATTACTAAGATTTAAAACAGCATGGTCTTTACAAATGGTAAAAATTATGGTTGCATTCTTATTATCCAAGTAGATAATTTATTTTTGATTTAAAAAGTTTTGATGTCATTTAGATTTGTTATTACTAAATACATATGCAATATGAAAGGTTCTCATAATTATTAAGACATTAAATGAATGCAGAGGGTGCCGACTAAAAAGTAGGTATTAATGTAATATCTACTGTTACATCAAATTTATATATATCAAGCAATAAAATGCACTTCAAACATTGGGGCTTTATTTACTGGTATAGTAGATTATAAAAATCAACAACAGAACTATTAGAATGAAACTGCATAAATATATTTATACGGAAAGTATTACAAGTAGCTCATCAATTTGCATTCCAAATATCACTAATTCATAATTAGAAATTTTTTTCCAACAAAAAGTCAAGTGTAGCAGTTTAAGCTATAGTTTAACTGTATTCTATTCAAGATCTTGTGCAAGCATTACCATCAGTACTAGTTTTATGAATTAACAATTTTCCTCCAAATATTTGAAAGTAACCCCAAGATAATTGTAATTCAGAACAAATTTTGTTACAAGAAGTTAATTATCAAGACATCGAGCAATTTAACTTAACAAGATGGCTCTGATAAATAACCTTTCTGAAAATATAAGCATCACGCGGCAAAATATTATTTGTAAACTTAAGCAAATATAGTAATGACACAAATTCAAGTTGTCAAATTCAAAATGTTGATAGAAATTTGCAAATTCAATTAAAATTGTCATCATAATCAAAACTTGAAGGTTTACTATCTCTATTATAAATACGATATCCCTTGAAAGTATAAAATGGTTATAATTAAAGTGAATGTAGCTGGTACAAGGCAAAATGTATAAGAATGTTTATATCCCTTAAAGCTCAAAAGAAATTATGGAAATCATATTTAAATTATTTTGTAAAAATGTATCATAATTTATTTTGAAAGTATAAATGTAGAATTTGGATTTCAATTCCAGATTTAAAATTACATCACTTATTTTTGCAATTTTTTTAAGTAATATGTCATATTTTGCAAAAATAGAAAACTTGTTTATTGAGTGCGAAAAGTTAATTTTGTTTAATTAAACAACATCCTAGGATAATAACAATAAAAGATGTAAGAATAACGTTGTCTTTCATAAACTATAAACTGGTAGTTTTAATATATTATCAAATAAACAGAATATCCAAGCATTTCTTATAAGAAATAACTCAGTGATATTCATCTCAATTTTAACTAAATTTATTGACCTATTAATGGTAGCGTTGATCATAGAGAAGGTATATCATATTAGATGGCTAGCCCCCTAAAATGTGGTTTATTATAGAGATTGTACCTAATGTTCTTTATTGCGCAACCTTTTATATATTAGCTCCAAGCTTTCTAGTAATTTACTTTTATTGCTGTTATTCCTGAAATACCATTTATTAAGGCTACTAATATTTAAACTTCTTCTTTTAAATGATCACTTTCAGCTGTTTGATATCATTTGTTTTATCTATTATTTATCTTGATATTTTTTAGGCCCTAATCTCAATTTCCAAATCCAACAATAGTCTTTTTATGTTGTGTTAGATAATAAGCATAATATTTTCCTAATTGTGTAAAGAGTTTTGATGAGTTATGTATAGCCAGTAATATTTTGTAAAATTATAATTTGAACTCATAAAATAATTGCATCCGTTACTGAGCTCTAAATTTTCGAAATGAACGATAATTATATTAACTAATTGTTAGAAAATACATTTAAACTTAAAACATTTATTCCAACATCCATAATCAAAAAGAATGACTATCAGAATCACATCTAGATAATCGCAATGCATATTGACCATTCAATGATATTGAATTTCTCTTCTTATTCAACTTAAATAAAACGATATTTCCAAAATAGCTTTTCTTTTGCTTATTATTATTCTAATAATGAAAATTGTTCCTAATGGGTAATTTGCTTTCAACTCCAAAATTTGATAAAACTTTAGAATTTGCAGCAATAAAGCCTTTAAGGCTTAATTTTGGATCCACATTTCAAAGATACTACACATTTTTGGAATTAATTAATTTATCATAGCCGATGCTTTAGTAGACAAACTTCTGTAAATCTGAGTTTACGCTTACTTTATTCAATATTTGTTCAGATTGTTTAGATAAATACTCTCCAAATCGTAAGAATACCAATTAAAGTTAGGAAGCTGTTGATCATGGTACTGGCAATCTACTTGTATATATTTTTATGACTTTTTAATAGATGGAGTTATTTTTCTACTCAAATCCATATCTAGATTAAAATACTGCAATTTAAGATTTCTCAGGAATTTAAAAATAGTTATGATACATTTTTTTTGACTTGGTAATTTCGACTCTTAATGAAAAGGGATAAAGGATTGAATTTATCCCTTCTACATTTCTTTCCTCATCATCGATTCATATCCCACTAAAAATAAAATTCTAACATCTCATCTTAAGGTCTCTTATCTATGATCCTTCTCATATAGTGCTCAATAAGGATTCAGGACTTCTCAGATTGATTCCTCCTGACTTTTGTTATTCCCTAGACCTAATTTTTCCCTATGCCTTGTAAAGTATCTTTTGGCCATGATTTTATTATTTTTTTAAAGAATAATTTCCTTTATTGATTTTATATTTCCATTTAAATAATTTTATAAATATAAATGGTAAATTTGATACATTCCATGTAACTTAGCATCCAATCCTCAAGCATCCTGATGAATGTCCATTTTTTATCACTTATTATCCCCATAATACTCTTTATTAAAGTTGACCCTCCGGTCTACCTAAACTATCAATTAGGCTTCAATTTCAAAAATAGCCTCTCTTAATAAGCGAATTTGGTTCTTCATCAGGCTTATTAGACATAAATTCTATGTTATCTGAATATGCTAACCCTTATTTTATTCCTTGTAGGATTTAACAGAGGTAAAAGAGTGTGCCAGTTTAATGAACATATACTTGTCTTCCTGCAAACTGTATATCTATTTTACCTCTTTGCTTTGGTTTGGATTTTGCATCGTAATACTTTCAGAATAAGTGAGTATCTTTCTGAAAATTACTGGGCTTCGCCCCAATTTGTTGATTATAAAAACTATGAAACTTTCCCTAATTGAATAGAAAATTTAGATTATTCTTTTAAATTAAGATTCACCTTTTTTTGAATTTAATCACTTTTGGCAAAATGGCTTCCAAACTCTCCTATATTTCGAGAAATTTACATCATTTAATTGAAAAATATTCATCTATTCCTTAAAAATTAATAGAATATTCAATATTTAAAAGTGTATACTGTCCATCGAAGGCCGCCTTCCCCGAGATATATTTGGAGTTCTTCAATTTAAACTTACAAGATTGGAAAATGGAATTAGGAATTTCTATGATAAATTATGATGATGATAAAAGTAATCAATATGTTTGAAGGTAGTAATGTTTAAATTGCTGCTTGTCTCAACAATTTGTGTTAAGTATGTTGACAATTGATACCATGCTATACTACTAAAATTTTGTTAGTAGACTTACTAATGCACTACTGCTAAAAAATTCATTCTTAATGAGCTTCTTGATTATTATGACAATATTTTTCACCCAGAATATCTTTATTTTTGCATCTTTTTGTTACGGTAGAATTCAAATTGAGAAGCTTACACAGCCTAAATACGTTCACGATATTGGAGCAGCTGATCTGCAGATGGATTCATACAAACTTTGTTAAGAATAGCAATACATATCCAAAAGTATTCCAAAACACCTGAGGATTTATTCTGTTAGCATCCCTGATACATTTGATAAGTCATCATAAATATTCTCGTTGTTGATTATGAATTGGTGGCTCTGCTGTAGTATAACATTCTTCTATTTGCTATCCAGCTTGCAACAAATCTTGAAGCAAAGCTTGAAATGAATGTTTAACTTTTGGCATTTTGAGGATGACAAAAATAAATTTTGTTTATTTAGATTCTACTAAATGTACCGATCCTTGCTATAACCTTTTTACTGAGTAGATCATGCAAACATTAATTATATCATTTTACAGCCCCTCAAACTAATTCATTTTACATATCCTTGAAAAGAGAATGATCCAGGTATTTGTATAGTTTCATAATGTAAATATGCAACTCGCGTGCTTGCATTATTTGCTCAAATAATAGTACTAATCTTTATATTAATGTTAAACTTCCAACTCCACTTGTGTCTTCAGAGCATATTTATATTATGACAGCTACTCAATATGTCATATTTATATAACTTTAAACAATTCCAGCATCTTGTAATTGCGTTCACTCCATAATTTTATAGCCATACTAGAACTGAATCATGGTCTGTCTTCTTAAAATTTTGCTCCTAACTGCATCTTTTGCTCTTCTTGCGTGTAGTTAAAGAACTCAACGCCAATCCTACTCAAAACACACCATCTCTTACCCGTCCAGTCATCAACTATAACTTGTCAAAGTTGTTCTTTATTTTACTTAAATTCTGGATTCTTGTAATGCATATTAAACTACCTAATGAGAATATATAGCTAATGTTAGCATACATCATGTATTCAGAATTCGCTTGATAATATCTGCTCTTCTTACATCTAGAAAATGAGTTTACCCTTGTTCCTTCTTGCACATTATCTTATTTTCCTTACTTCTTACTTTCAATATCAATAATACAAAGGCTGTAAGTTTCTTTGTTATTGCTAGATTGTCCTTATATTTAGATCATAAGCATTTTGTATTTAAAACTGATTATAACCTATACATAAATAGATGAGTTGCTGTGTATATTTATTTAATGTTTAAATTTAACGTAGGTTCTCATGTACATCACGACACGCTGCATCTCCTCAACATGCACTGGATGTATTACATATTTTTTTTATTGTGTTCTATGTTTTTTAGTTTTAAAAACCTCAAGCCTTCTACTTTTAAACTGTAAGAATTGTAATACTGTTTTGTTCTTAATGCTCTATTTATAATAGCGCCTTAATTTTTGCCAAACCTGCAGTAATAAGGGCCAAATGTATACTAATATTTGCTCTATCCTTCAATGAAATGGACATTTAAGTATTATTCCCAAATTGTGCTATGCTAACACTATTTGCTAATAAAATAAAAGTATTATATTTTTTGACATTTACTGA